CGCATCTCTCATCCGGGTTGATTTACCCCTTACATTCAAGTTGACTGACACTTCAACCTTAGCAAGTTCTTCATCATGACTTACACCAGAATAATGTACGACATGCCTCCCAACAAGGTTGGAGAGCGCAACGAGTACTGGCAGCTCAAGATCAAGCCTCCTGGTGCTCTTGCTGCCTCTTGCGTCGTCAACAAGTATTGGGAAGACATCCACGCCGTTCATGAAGAACATTTCAACGAGGCTGTCATGATCTTCCAGCGAATTATGGACAAGGTAAGTTTTGCTAGTTTGTTCTTGCTCGAGAAGACCGTTACTGATCTTCTCACGCAACAACAGTATCCCGTCAAGAAGACTCCACTTTGGCTTCGCAAGACGTTTGACTTCTTCCACCTGAGCTTCTTGTATGAGCCTGAAGACATGACCGCTAAGGATCGTGCTCACATTGCCTATCCTGCGTTGGAGGAGATCTCTGATGAGGAGTGGATGCGCCGTGCCGCTCCCATCTACTACCCTTACCACACTCCTGCCTCCAAGAAGGCCTACGATGAGGAGATGGTCATTCGTCGTCGCAACAGAGCCATCAGATGGGAACAGAAGTTTGCCGAATACGCCCGCGATCATCGTATTCCCGACGCCTCTGAAACTTCCAGCATTAGATCAGTCGCCAGTGCCGCTTTCGATTCCAAGAATGCCACGTGCGAGGAGTTTCTCGAATACATCCAGCGTCGGATGGTCAAATGGGACAAGGCGGGTGTCTCAAAGTCTCATCCTCTCTACGCTCTTGCACTCCACAAGGCTAAGAAAGCTGCTGCGGTCATCGCCATGAAGGTCGACTCAGACTCTTCATTCTCTGAATCCTCCTCCGACGAGTGGGACTCAGATTCTGACACCGATGTTGATTCTGATTCAGCCTCTGGAGCCCACTCCAAGGCTGGCACCAAGATCGAGGACAAGTCAGAGTCTGCTGCCGAGCTCAAGCCTAACGTCAAGGCTGACACTGGTTCGCCTGAGTCGTCTAATTCTTCTGGCTCGTCTTACACCAAGGTCGGTTCCGACTCGGACTCTCGCTTTGACTGGGACGATCTCTTCTCCGATGTCGACTTTGATTCCGACTTCTATCTTGACCTCGACTTTGATTCCGACTCGTCCTCCTTGTCGTGCTCTACCGAGTCAGATGTTTCTTCCAGCTCGTCTGAGGCTTCCAGCCTGCTCGAGAGCGATCCCAGATGGTGCATCGAGCTCAATGAGGCCATGCTGAGCACTATTATCCTTGACTTCGACAATGACCCCTTCCTGTGCAGCGCTGATGAAGAGTTTCTCGAGGACGTCAAGTTCTGCTTCCACATGAGAGACATTCGCATCCATGACGAACTTCTCAGAAGACTTTTCCACGAGCGAGTCCAGGATGATTACAAGGAGTTTAAACGTCTGTACTCTATGTGGTTGAGCATCAAGGTCAGAGTCGACCTCCCTATGAACCCAGCGTTCACTCCAATAACTCTGGTGACGAGGCTGAGGAGGACGAGGATGCTCGCGATGGCGACGATGAAGGCGACACCAACGGCTCTGATCCCAACGAGGCTGATGAGGATGACCCTGAGGCCCAGCCCGAGTGGCTTCGTCACTGCGCCACCGAGTTTCCCAGACTCACCGTCGAGGAATCTGACATGGATGTGAACCCTCGCCACGTCGGCCTGGTCGAGATGTCCGAGGAAGAAGAGCAGGGTTATCTCGCTGAACGCCGCGAGCGCGACCAGATGTATCGCGAATTCTTCGAGACCGAGCAGGAGCGCAGAGACAGAGTCGCCAAAGATGTCAAGGAGATGGGCAGGGGCATCCAGTGGATGGTTACCAAGGATCTCGAGGGCTTCCCAGTCACGCCTCGTGTCTCGTCCTCGACCGATGCAGCCTCTCCCCTGTTTCAACTGAAGAAAGCTTGATTCGTTCATCTGGACGCTCATTCGAGCAGGAATTCATTACCTACGCCAACGAAAGCAACATTCTCAAGTGCTTCTCAGCCGGACCCCAGCACATTCGCGAGTTCGCCAGTCAGAAGTCGACCCCTGCCACTTCCCCCAAGAAGAAGTCGTTTGTCGCACGCGGTATGAAGAAGTCGAAGCATCTTTCTCGCCAGCTCAAGAAAGGCAACTTTTCCGATGACTCCGGCGAGCCCAGCGAGTCCAGCGAGCCCGGCGATGATACTGTTTAACTGACAGCGCCGAAACTTCTGGTTTGTCTATCGCACCATCATACGTTCGCAGCTTCTGACTGACGTAGCACGTAGACATCGGCATCACTTCTCTGGTGCTGGTCCACCAGTGTTGGTTGGCAGACGTCATTCAGGTTCCGATGGATATATCGTGCTTGTTTGCCCCTTTCTTTCTTGTTTCCTTTTTCTTTTCTTTCTTTCTGCTGGACAGACAAGAACAGGTTCAGCGACAAACCCATGGCTTTTGTGACGAAGATGAGGAACGAATAAGCATCGTGAGATAGGCTCGGTCAAACGGAAGGGGAATCAGAATTATGGTCTAGGTCATATCATGTAAAAAGCAAAAAAAAAAGAGTAGCGTAGACGGAAAGGAAAAGGAATCCAACCTCTGAACCCATTGCAAATATCCGTCCTATAACCTCTCTTTTGCAGTAAAGAAGTGGAAAACGCCTTAAAATGCTCGACGAACGTTGAACCTCCCGATGCCGTAAATCTCATGATACACGTTCTCTTATCTAACCTTGGAAGAGCAGACCTGCAGCATACTCGACGTTACCGTCAGTAGCATCCAAAGCGGCAATTGCTTCTTGTCTAGAAAAGCCGAGACCAATGAGTTGCTCAATGGCCGCTTCAGGATGCTTGCTGCTTGGAGCAGCTTGTGAAGGTGCTGTTCTGGCAGGAGCGGAGGCTGCAGGTGTAGGATGTACTGTAGGTCCGCTGGTGGATGGCTCACCAACAGAACGACCTTGATCTTGGAAGTTGCCGTTAGGCTGTTGCGACGAAGATCCAGCTTGCGTTACAGTTCCCGTCTTAGTGCCAATCTCGGTACCGTTGGGGCCCTTGATGTGTTCCTCGTTCTGCAAAGTTTCTTCAAACGATCTAGGCAGCTCAGATTCGGGCAAAAAATCGACTTCGTTGTCCTCGAAGACCAGCTTGTTGCGACGGAGGTCAATACAACCTTGATAGCGTTTAAGCATGTCCAGACCGAGCAGGAGATCAACGTCCTTTCCCTCCATGACGGTAAAGGAGCATGGCATGACAGCGTTACCAATCTTGATGTCTGCCGAATGTACGCGACCAAGAATCTGAGCGGTGCCAACACCACGGGCAATACCGGAATAGCGCTTATCGATCAAGCGCATAATACCGCAGTTCTCGGCGCAGCTGGGAGACATGATGGTGGTCTGGGCACCTGAATCGACAAAGGCCTTGAGCTTGTGGCCGTTGACTTCGCAGTTGATGTACAGCATCGTCACACGACCGAAGACNTGGATAGGTCAGTAGCTGTGGCGTTTTGTGGCAAAGGGACAAATCAAAATACCTTCGGGATTGTGTTCGTAGGCATACTCCAGGTTCTCCATGACACGATCTTGACGGATGATCTCTTCGATCTTCTGCTGAGCCTCGATGTTGAAAGGGTCATCGTTGAGCAGCTGCATTTGTTCACGTCTCTCGCGCTCTCTGGCCTCGGCCTGTGAGATAGAGTCGACGTATAGTTCGCGAAAGCGGACAGGGTCAGAGGCGGCTGCAGCGAGCTCGGGTCTCTCCTGGCTGACTTGTTGCATGGCCTGGGGGTTGCCCAATAGTTGCAGGCGCAGGGTCTCGATCTGGTCATTGCTGAAACGGCCTTGTTGTGGCTGGGATTGCTGTGGGCGGGTCTGTTGATGGGGCATGTTGTTCTGTTCGCGGACTAGCATGTAGAGCATCTCCCCATTCTTGATTCCTGCCTGATCGAGAGTCTTTTCGTCGCCGACTACAGGGGTTCCGTTGAGGAAGAATTGGATTGAGGTGATGGGGAAACCGGTGCCGTCGTGAACTTGGGTCTTGAGGTGGCCGAGAGTAGACGAGATGTCGGCGTCGAGTGGGAGGAATTCCTCGTCGAGAGCATGGCCCGGGGCGTTTATTTGTATCGTGACTTGAACCCTGTTCGGAAGGCATCAGCATGTGTGAACGAAAACAGAAGTCAGAACGAGTGTCACGGCACTCACATGGTTGCTGAGATGGATTCGGCTGCCTTGCGTAGAGGCTAGAGGCGAGTGGGATGGGGATATGCACGTCGCTGAAAGAGGTCGGGCAGGCGCGAAAAAGGTTGCAAATGTGTCTTGGGCTTGTTGCACTCGGACGGCGATGAGTAATGAATGTGAGAGAAGGAAGGTACGAGCACTTGATACGTCCAACCCTGGCCGACGGAAGCTCGTCGAAGCGCCTTGAAAGCTTGCGGAGGCAAAGACGACCGGACCCGTTCGATGCACACGTGGAATAGACCGCACAAACATTTATATTCTGCAATTGCTGCTTCCTGCTCCTGCTTCTGCTGCCATCTGCCAAACCTGCACCCTGCGCCATGCAGCCATGCACGACGAATCACTGGCAGATTGGCGGTCTGCCGTCTGTCTGCCTGTCATGGTTCAGAGCCCCTCATCTGCCTTTGGTCGTGCCGCCACAGGCTCTGCATTGTGCTGAGCTTTTCCCTGATTGTTCTGTAGTCTGGGAATGCACTCGAACAAGAGCCCTTTTCAAATCTTCTGCAATATTGATAGTTATTTGCCATTCTCTTAATCCTTCGAGGATGCACTGCTCTGATGCCATCGCCGTCACGTTCAACCCCACCAAGCGACTGGTCCATGCACTTCTTTCACACGTCACTGCCATGTGTTACCTTTCAACAAAGCACCTTGAGTGGCCTGTTTTGCTTGTCCTACCAACGCTCCGTCTTCATCCTGTGTTTCGGAACTACCACACGCCAGGGGTCAGTTTTATTCACGCACTTGCTTCCTTGCCTATATCCATCATGCCCCGCGATCTGGCTGCCCTGATGAGAGGTGATGATGAGCCCAAGGACAAGATCTCCCGCGACATGGAGAAACAGGATCACCTCGCCGAGATCAAGCCTTACGTTCAAGCCCTCACCATCTCCGACATTGATAGCGCCGTCAAATTGGAGGATGCCACGTTTCCCCTGAGGAACGTGCAACGAGAGAAAAGGTATTTGTACCACCATGTTTGCATTTCGTACCTCTTCCATTCAGCCCCGACTTGTGATTCTGCTCCTATTTTACCACATTCAGCATCGCTGTTTTCGTTTCGAAGACACCATCTGCACCTCACTCCATTTGTTCTCAGGCTATACTTGGCGTCTCTACCAGGTCATTACAAGGCTACGAGGAATTTCAGCCTCCTTCTTCACAATCTTTTGAAGTTCAAATGGAGAGACAAGAGCCTCAGGACATGCACAACCTTTGTCTTTTGTATGGTGCAGAACCCTCCTTGGACGCAATAAAGAGCACTCGTGAATTCCAACAGATACGTGCTTTGCAAACCTAAGCAAATGGAAGGCAGCCAGCGTGCCACTAGTATATTATCTGGAAACAATGCTTCACGATCTACGATCCTTCTTCGAGACTGATCCGGAAGCTCTTGCCTTGACTCACAGGTCAGCAAATACACCTATCGAGGTTGCTATTCGATGTCTATTTCGTACCACTACCTAACTACAATGAAGCCAAACACATTTGTCCTGTAACAAGGCTAACATGCAATGCACAGTTCGAGTATCGCTTCACGAAATGCGGTGGGCTGTGCCTGGGTCTTTTCACTTCCGTTGATATGAGCGATTCGTCTGCCGCTCTTGCATTGGTCGAGACGGCCTCCAGTGCCCATCACGTGTACAGCGGTGCCCCAGCACGCAAGTCTGTCCTCCTTGCTCATTGTGTTGTGACCAAGACAATCAACCCTACCGTCATGGACGAAGACATGGAAGTTCCTAATGACTGGAAGACTTCTAGTGTTTCATCGGACAACATCGGCCACAGAGAGGAAGGCCGCACAATTGCTGTACACAGCCTTGCGGTCCTGCCATCTCTCCAGAACCGTGGACTGGGTTCGACTTTGCTGAAGGCATTTATTCAGCGAATGGAATATGTCCAAGCCGCTGACAGAGTCGCTTTGCTTGCTCACGGTGAGCTTGTCAAGTTCTATGAGAAACTGGGCTTCCAGAACAAAGGTCCCAGCAAGGCAACATTCGGCGGAGGCAACTGGGTTGACATGGTAAGTTCACCTACCGAGAATAACTATCCAGTATACTAAGCAAGACATCAGGTCCTCGAGTTGAAGAACAACCAACACTGATGACTTCACAGTGAAGGATTCACGAATCTGTCCGTAGACACACGAGAAACAGGAGTAGGACTCTTTAGCTATAATTCTGAGCAGCGACTAGCGATCTGCATGAGTTACGGGTGCTCGCTTTGAGTGTACATGTATCGCGCAAGCAGCATCGGGTCTCGTCGAACGCAGCCTGAGTACAGGGGAGACTAGGCAAACATTGCTCGTGCTCAATCGTCTGCATGAGGTTTATGAAGTGTGAACTTCAGAGCTGATAGTATACACAACTAGACTACGGAACTCAAAATATCTCCAATCCATTCCATATGATGTTCTTGATTGTTTCAGCGCCAGTTGTTGCCGAGCAACTCTAGTACTGCTTATCACTCCACGGCTGTATGCATAGGAGGTTTAGCATGCTTTACCCCTCGACTTTTAACCAGGTTTTGGCTCGTGTAATGCATGCATGTCGATCACAGGGTTGTGCATGGTGGTAGCTCCCGCATGAGCATTAAATTCTACGACTGGTCACTCGGAGGATAGATTGAGGCTGGCGACTTTTCGGAACAAAGTTCAAGTATACCGCACGGTGTGTTGGTAAGTGAGGTCATTTTGATGGCTGAGTATCAACACACTCTATCTGATGTCGAGTATGGGACTGTGACAATGATACAATACTTCTTGACATGCTTGCTGCAGGCTGTGTACTCTATTTAAAACCCAATGTTGTGTACAGTCGACATATCTGCAATTAGCTCATCCTCCCGTCAAGACGAGGTATAAAGCTACCTATTGGCATTTTGTGGTCAGGTGGTACTTAGCTCGACCAGCAATGGAGGCAGGTATGACGGCGAAGGAGCAGAGCCCATCCTCCTAAACCTGTAAAGGCAAGTGCGATACAAGTATCACCTTCTATGGCAATGGAGTCAAGGTCCCTTGCTTCTTCAGCTGGCACCTCTTCGTCCTTCTCTCTTCTTCTTCTTCAACATCCACAACCTCCACAACATCATTCATCACAAACACAATCACAATCACAATCACAATCACAGCAATGAAGTCAACAGTTTACCCTCTGACTATCTTCGCTGGCTTGCTGGCCTCCACAAAAGCAACCCCTCTCCCTGTCCCTGTCGACAAAAGCCTCAAGGAGTGCGGTAGCCAATGGTACAGCCCAAGCAGCTATACCTGCCGAGTCGGAGCTGATAGTAACGCCCTCTGCCCGGTCGTTAACGGCGAAGCCATGGAGGACTGCAATGGCACCTGCTACACACCTTGCTGCTACAGGTTCGCATCTGCATCGTCAATAGCCCGTGCATCTACTAACCATGACCNNAGCTGCAGCGGAACGACTCTTGTTGAGAATCCCAGAAAGACCAGCGGAACCTTCACCCTTACTGCCAGCAATCCGGATCAGCCCTTCGACGGCGAACCTATTCAAGCTGCTGGTAATCACTTCTGGGTCGGAGGACATGCCGCCACCTACTGTCCATCAAACGTTGGCAGTATCTGCACCTCATTCCCCAATGACACCACCCTCATCGGCAACGGCTACATGGTAAGCAGAACATATTGCTCAGGGTTGAAGCATTGGCTGACCAAGCACCAGGCAACTGTGGTTCCCGGCGGACAGAGCATCTACTGGCAGAATGATGGATCGATGGCCTTCACCCAAGCACACTCGTCTGCGCAATACAACTTGAGCTACTACGGCGGCGGCATTGCCTACGAGGGCGGTGGCTACTTTGGACCCAACGGAGAAGACTTGATCACTTGCCCTGTCACGCCAGAAGGCAGCAACACGACAGCCTGGAAGCTCTTCGCACGTCTGTCCGGTGTTGGATTCCCAAGCTCGTGCGTCGGATTGTATGTCGTCGTCCATGACCAGAACATCACAGCAGGTGCTTGGCAGTACACCTAGGGTGACCGCTCGAAGGTTGATTGAGAGGAGCGAGAGAATGAAGGACGCAGCGGTTGCGAGGCGGGTAATGGCTGTGGAGCTGCTCTCACGGGATGCATGACTAGGAGTATGAAGCATGGTATACCGGTTTTCTGAGCAGGAGGATAATGCAGATGCAAAGGTCACTGCCGTGTAGCATAGTTTTCCCACTGCTGGAGTTTTGACAGTGTCAACATCAACTATTGTTCAGTGTCTACTTGTCCGTTGACTTGGTTTTGGATAGACAACGGTCGTGTTTCGGGAATGGAGAAGATGGAGATGAGCGGCGGGATCGAGGGGGTGGGCACGGACGCCATGACGCGCCATGGGGCAGGAGCATGAGTCTTGGGGCTCCGATGTTGGAGCAGATACCTAGCGAGGCATTCTCCCTGCTAGTCACTCGACAGCAACGAGCAATCTGTCTTTCTGTAATCCGAGCCTTTTGGAGCTGTCATCGTCGGCAAATAGCAGCAGCCGTCCGCTTAATCAGACACCCAAGGCTTGAGGAATCTAGGCAGACCAAAGGCCAAGCTCGTCCTTAGATCGAATACAAGCTCCCGGCTGTCCAAGTCCAGCAGAAGGACGAGTCCTTTCCCCACCAGACCACATGGTTGTACGACGATGAGCTCGCGCACCAGCTCGACGACAGCACAGTCGTCGACCCTACGGCCCCGAGCTCCACGACTCATCTCTGGTCTCGACGATGAAGCCCCTGCCATTCTGACACCCATGGCACGCCATGCCTCGCCGCTACCTTCGCCTTTCGACTCTCGCGAGCCATCACCCATGCCCAGCACTCGCTTGCCGCGCACCGCCTCGTCCCAGACCGTTCGTCCTGTGAAGAGCATGAGCCGCTTGAATCCTGATCGCCCTCAGTCGCCCGCAACTTTGTCGGCCTTCTTCGGGGACTCGTGGTCTGCTATACAGGGTATGGCCTCGGATCTGCTTACCCCTTCTCCAGTATCCTCCAAAGCCGCCCTCTCACCGCGACGTCGCAAACCCTCCATCAATTCGACCTTCACACGGAATACAAGTGCCCCTCCGAAGCAATGGGGTGTACCCAACACCACTCCGTCTTCTACCATCGGCGTTGGCTCCCACGAAGAGAGAGAAACGTTGCTACGTGCTGAGAAGCGCAAGCACCTTATGAATGCCACCNCCGAACACAACACGGTTGGACACTTCAAGCGTCGCTCGTCCGAAGATGGTCCATCCGCTTCTGCTCCTCCTGAAAACGGTCATGATCGGGACGCCCTGGTCTATGTTCACCACGTCCGACCTGAAGACACCCTTGCCGGTATCACCATCAAATACAACATTCATCCTTCAGCCTTGCGACGCGCCAATCGTATGTGGCCGAATGATCGCATACAAGTCCGCAAGACCATTCTGCTTCCTGTTGATCAATGCGCCGTCAAAGGTACTCGTTTGAACGGGAGCGAGGATCTATATCAACTGACTCAGGAGAATAATCCTTTCCCGACATCGATAGAAGAGGTCAAGACACCCATCCCCACAGGCAGGAAAAGAACCGAGTCTGTATCCACAAATGGCGATCGCCCGTCGTCTTCCTCGTGTCGTTCGTCACACGATCCAGAGGCAACCTGGGAACATGATGCATGGGTCCTCCTGCCAAACAGCAAACAACCTACTGAAATCGCCCGCTCATCTCGTCGTAATCTGGCCTTCTTTCCACCCGCTAGACGAAAATCCCAATCTTATTCTGATATTGATACGCCTTCTGCCTCTTTAGACCTCAACAGATCTGTGATACATGAGAATTCTCTGGACTCCNCCAAGCAAGAGACTCCTCAACGACCGCGAGGGACCAGGAGATTGTCCAATGCAAACAATGCTTATTTTCCCAGCTATCTAGCTGGACCGGGTGGTGTTGGAACCATGGCTAAGAACGTCAGGTCACCTGGCCCTGCTCAAGATGGTCTGAACAAGATGTTCGCAAGCCACCTTCCCAATGTCGCTCCTCCACCGAATCAGTCGAATCTCTATCTGCCCGACATCCCAACGTATACGGATGATCCGACGCCTTTCACGCCCGGCCTAACGCATGCGCAATCGCCTTCAATCAACATTGAGAACGTAGGCGCAGCGGTCGAAGGATGGATGCGCAAGATGGCAGCCAAGGCCAGCACAGCCATCCCACCACCGCAAGACAGAGGAGTGGTCAACAGGGGTGGACCTAGCGGAATTGGCGACTTGATTGAGATGGCCGAGTCTTTCGAGATAGGAGAGGATGAAGAGGACGAAGAACAGCATAGAGGTCGGCAGGGTTCAGAGAACAACGGTCGTCCTGGTATGAGCAGTAGTGCTTCTTTTGCATATGCTTCGACTCTCAAGGAAAGAGCGAGGAGCGGGACCAGCGCTGGCGCTGGCGCTGGCATGAGGCACAAGGACGACTAATCACGAGCGTCCGGTGTTGTTGGTTTCTGAAGAGGCACGAATTTTGAGTACTGTGATAGAGCAATCTCCAACCAACACCTTTCTCTTGAAACAGTGTCTTCAGTGCTTTGTTTAATGAATTGTGCTTTGTGCCTCTCTGTTAGTGCTTACTGTTCACATGCTGAGCTGCGGCGTGCAGCGATACGAGGTCAGCAGGGTTGATGGGCGATGCCAGACTTGACGGTCACTGTCTTCTCGAACTATATGATTACTCCTTCAAACTTCTTACCTTGGTGACTTCATACGATGGCGCTTGCACGAAAGAACGGTCTCGTGCTCGAATATGCCACTGTTAAGGACGCCGAAGCAATCGCACCACTCTTCTTCCTCTCTTTCCACGACCATGCCTACTTCAGACGCATGATGCCCGACACAGTAGAAGGTCGAGTCGCTTGGGCAGAACTGTTCCGGTTTGCATGCAAAGACCCATATACCATTTGCTTGAAACTCACAGACGAAAATACGGGGAGANTCATCAGTCATGGAAGATGGGTGAAGCCTAAGAAACGGGTTGAAGATGAGCAGTCAGGACATGAAGAGCAGAGATGGAGTGCTCTTGATCCGTATCTCGATACAGAGACTGCTGATGCACTTNTTGGGTCGTTTGCAAGGAATAGGCAGGAAATGATGGAGGGACGGAGACATTATTGTAAATTTTCAATGCTGATTACGATAAATGTCTATGTGCCTGGACTGACACAATTGACCAAAGACGTGGAACTTCTCATGACTGCTGGAGAGCACAAGGGCCGCGGCGCAGGTGGATTGATTTTGAAGCATGGTACTGAACTGGCAGATGAGGAGCACGTTGAATGCTACATTGACGCCAGTCGAGCTGGAAGGCCTCTGTATGAGTGACACGGCTTTGTGTTTAGCAAGCAAGAGAAGCTGCCCATGGACTATCACTACAACTTTGGCATCAGAAAGCCAAAGGCGGAAAAGAAGGAGAAGAGATAATGATAAAGGAGAGAAAAGTAGCTAATTAAAGGGCAGTGCTTGAATTCAAACCTTGTCAGGGGCGGGCGGCTTTGCGGCGATCGGGAGGGTGAGGCGCTCCAAGGCCGTGTCGCATTCATCACAGTGTCGACAATCGTGTTTGCATCTTTAACCTTGATCCCGTAAGCTCTGTCCGACCATACCACCTACTTCGCCTCTTGTCGCCGCCTCCGCCACCGCCGTCTCCGTCCATTATCCGCACTGCGTAGACAGTCGTCGCATCTCCAACGAAAGCCAGCCGTCCAGACCAAACATTTCCCCAGGCGACCATCTCGCTGGAAACCGCGCGTCGAAGAACACACAACACACACGACAACAATGCGCTGCCACATCTTGACAGCGCTGGCCACTCTGGCAGCCACCGTCGTTGCCGACGTCAAGTTCTCATCGCCTGCCGCCGGTCAACAAATTGCTGGTGGCACGGCTTTCACAATCACCTGGGCCGACGACGATACCACTCCCACCATCGACCAATTCGCTGGCTATACGCTAAATCTTATGGCTGGTGGAAACACGGCCGCTACTTCTGTATGATTCTAGAGCCCTTCGATCGCTGAATCAGTGCTGATAAGGACTGCAGCAAGCANNATCACCACCATCAAAGCTGGTACTTACTCGGGCACGACTGGTTCTCTTACCTTCACTGTCCCCATCGCTCTTGGCAAGACCTCGACTAATGGATAGTATGTCCCTCTGCTTTGGGAATTAATAATTGCTCCATCTAACTTTGTCCAGCNNTACCTACAAATGATTTCCACTGGCGTCGACGGTGGTACCGATATTGTCTACAGCTCGCGCTTTGGTCTCACAGGCATGACTGGAACCTTCTCTGCTGCCGTCCAGCAAGGTGTCACTGCCGCCGGAACCGACACTACTTTCACCCCTACTGCCGCCCACAACCTAGTTACAGCTGGCGATGCTGCTACTGGCACCACCGCTGTCGCCGAGGCTGGCATGTTCACCATCCCCTACCACCTTCAGACCGGTCTCATCAAGTACGCCCCCATGCAGCCCATGCCCGGAACAAAGATCACCGCAAAGACCNCCTCCATGTTGAACCCGAGCTCGAGTTATACCATCTACAGCACATACGCAGCCCCTGCCTCCATTACTTACACTGTGACCGAGTCTCAGACTCTCTCGCACTCGAGTAGAGAGAACNCCTGTAGGTTCTGCTTCGTTTATTATCCTCTTTGCATTGTGCTGACTGAACCACAGGCCAGTGCTGCTACCCAGCCCACAGCCGCCGACATGAAGAGGTACCTCAACCGCTGGAAGGACTAAATCCTCCTGGATTTCTTCCCCAATTGATGTTTCCATGGGCGTTTGTGTGTTTTCCCTGACTTCCTATCACAAGTAATTGCATTATCCTCGAGGACGGCGTTCTTTGAATTTCTATATCTGGTTTTACACCTCTGCCAGGAGGCGGGCTAGCATTGAGGCAGCGAAATTATGTATATGCATGAACAATTTCCAAAAATTTTCACCTACACACATCACCACTTATACATGCTTGATATTCTTGTATCTGCAGCATCTTGGATTCTGGTATATAGCCAAACTAGGCAGGCGATCACCGAGGCAGCTCCATGCCTTGGCGTTTCCCGTATCCTTGTTCGCACCACAATCTCTGTGTCTGATATCAAGGACACCAAACCTTGAGCAATTTCCACTCACCCTATCTTTCTTCAATATTTAGGTACTCTTGATCAGAAAGAACAAGAAAATGGGTCTCGCAAACCACGACCTTCCACCCCCACCATCGGGCAAGTACCCTGCCAAGGCACACGCCAGACGTGTGGCTGCCTTCATTGCAGAGAACGGTGGACCCAAAGAAGGTGTTATTTACTTGGAAGCGCAGAAGACTGCTATGGTTGAGGTATGCGGTTGATCTCTCCTCTCCCCATAACCCAGAATGCAATAAGTTTTGTGGTTGCAAGAATAGAGATGAATGGGAACAAGAGAGAAGCCTTTTGCTAATTGATGGCATGGATACAGGNATGATGACCAGGCTGCACACTTCCGGTGAGTTGGATGCTATCTTTCCTGATAGAACACTAGTAGAGACTAACTTTATTTCCAGCNNCAACGTAGATTCTTCTTCTACCTCTCTGGATGCGCTGTACCAGACTCGTATCTTGCATACGATATCAAGAACGACTACCTGACTCTGTTCATCCCTCCCATCGACGCTGAGGATGTCATCTGGTCGGGCTTGCCGCTGCTCGAAAAGGAAGCCATGGAGAAGTCAGGACCTGACTCTTTGTCTGTCGGATTACAGCTGACCTGATATAGGTTTGACATTGATGCATGCAAGCCAGCAACAGAAGTCAACTCCTACCTGACCTCTCCCGAAACTCCCCATGGCACTATCCTGGCTATCCCCAAGCAAGTAGCAGACCACATCACTTTCCTATCCTTCGAAGAGACCAACTGGGACCTGCTCAAGAACGCTATCGAGAGATGCCGTGTTGTCAAGGACGAGCACGAAATCGGCCTTATTCGTCATGCCAACGCCATATCCTCGCACGCTCACACCGAAGTCATGCGTATGGTCAAGAACGCACGCAACGAGAGAGAACTCATGGGTACTTTCGTCGGCGCCTGCATCAGCAACGGCGGCCGCGAACAAGCCTATGGCTGTATCTGTGCTTCAGGCCCCAGCGCTGCCACTCTCCACTACGTCCACAACGACTTGCCATTGTCCGAGAAACTCAACTTGCTTATCGATGCTGGTTGCGAGTACAACTGCTACTGCTCAGACATCACACGCACCTACCCCCTGCAAGGCAAATTCACCCAGGAAAGCCGCGAAATCTACGACATTGTCGATGAAATGCAAGCTGAGTGTATGAAAGCACTCAAAGCCAATGTTACTTGGGAAGACCTGCACACTTTAGCCCACGAAATCGCCATTGATGGATTACGTCGCTTGGGCATCCTCATCGGCGGAAACAAGAAAGAGTTGTTCGACAGCAGAGTCTCTACTTTGTTCTTGCCTCACGGTCTAGGCCACTATCTCGGCATGGACACACACGACTGCGGCGGAAACGCAAACTACGAAGACCCGGACCCCATGTTCCGTTACCTGCGCATCCGTGGCCCCGTGCCTGCAAATTCTGTGGTTACAGTCGAACCTGGCATCTATTTCTGTCGCTTCATCATCGAGCCCGCGTTGAAAGAGGACAAGTTTGCCAAGTTTGTGGACAAGAAGGTTTTGGAGAGGTATTGGGATGTTGGTGGCGTGCGTATTGAAGATGATGTTTTGGTCAAGGAGGATGGGTGTGAGAATTTGACTACGGCGCCGAGGTCGTGGGAGGAGGTTGAGACTTTGATTCATTCTGTGTAGGGAGGATCACTTTCCTTTTGTAGGATAGATAGTCACAGTCAAATATGTTCCTGTCTTGAGGTTGTCATCAATGTGAAGATCGTCCTGAGCTTTTCAATTACATACATAGTATCGAATTGCTTCATCAAACTGCCACAGTGCTTAGAGAAGGAAGAGAGTAGTCCCGACGTTCGACAAAGAGATATTTCTTGAATTTCATACATCCGACATTACTCATTACAATCAATAATACAAATAAAGCACATCCAGGGGTATCAAGACGAAGCAACCTCTCAGATCATGGTGGAGTTGCCAATTTTCCACGACCTCAAGTCTTCTCGCCATGGATTGTCAAACTCGTCAATCTCGTTATTCGCCGGTTTGGGTTTGCGTTTGGCGGATTCGAGTTCGAACTTCATGGCTTGCTGGTGCAGACTACTCCGACCTCCGAATGTGCCATGTTTACTCAGGTTACTAGCAGAAGACGTGTCTTTGGACCAGCCGTCGAAGCCTTTGCGTCTGTCGGATTGGACGCTTTCTTTGCTGACGTTGCGCTGGTGACCGTGCAGAGGGCTTTTCGATCGCGGTGACCTGGTGGAGTTGTCTGTTGGGGTGAGGTTGGCTGAGCGGGATTTGTCTTCGTCACTGCCGGGGTTGAGATGTTGGGTGTGCTGGACGTGGTCGAGATGCGAGCCCCAGCCATCGCCGCCAGCAAAGATGTCCTTGATACAGTCGTCGGCTCGTAGTTCCTATGTGAACGAATTAGTGGTCCATTGTGTAGATTGTATAGAAAGATTATGTTACCCCNNTGGCTGAGCTACCCAGGATGCGGCTAGCGTTCGTCGGTACATGTCTTGTAACTCGCCATTCTCGCGGCTTTTGTTGGACAAGGTGGGCATGGTGCTGCCTTCTTCGGCGGCTTCTGCAACTTCCTGAGACATTATGCCAGCGATACCTCCGAAAACAGGAGCAGTTCGCAATGGAGGNACTAGACTGGACTTTAGAGGGATGATTTCGCAAGGACAGACGCGAACTTACGCGTAGTAATTTCGATCGCCCTCGAGATGCTTAAGGTGGAGAGAGACCTTCAGTGTGCTGTTTATCTTGCTGTCCTGCATAAGGTAGCGTCTGGTGACGCCTTCTTCGGAGTCGTGGCCATGGTCGTTAGTATCGACGTATTCGGCAAGATTCAGCTTGATGTGTCCCAAAATAATGCGCTCTCCTTTGCCGGCGCTGGAATACTCCTGTATAATCTCGAGATGGATCCACGACTCTTGCAGCATCTGGTCCTTGCCAATGACAAGGCGCACGGGCGTCTGTTTGTCGTAGTCAAAAACGACCTTGTGATCCTTGATGTTGCATTTTGTTGTGCGGCCGCGGTGTTCGGCAGCGCTGGACGAGGGAAGGTGCCATTTGACGAAGCAGGTGCCGGATACCAAGGGCACGTTGTTGAGGTCGAAGATTTTGAGTTTGAAGTCGAAGCGCGGCTATGTTGCAGACAGAGTCAGTAAGAGTACAGAGAAGATCGATTTTGGGCGATGGACATACACGACGGGCCTTGGGGACTGTGAAGGTCAGCGTTTGAGCCCTCAAGGCGGCCGCCATTGCGCTCGTCTGGCCTCACCAAAGGTCTGCATGTCCGGCGAGGGCGGCAGGAATGGCTTAAGTAGGTCCGGCAATTATGTATCCGATGATTTGTGAATTTGTCGTCGTGAGTACTGGTCTTGCGGAAGGAGCGGCTTCGTCAGCATGTGAAAGATGACGACGGCGCGTTCGGCCCGTGGTCCGGAGCTGAGAGAAACGGTGCTCGGAGATAAGATAGGCTTCGGCGCCAAGCTTCCAGATTCGAGATTGTAGATCGAGTGCTGGATGAATTTGGGAACGCTCCTTCCTCGCATGTAGATTGTCTTGATGTTACGCCCGTCGTCAGCAAGAGACGCAAACACATGTCTGCGATGCAACCTGCGCCTCGTGCTCCGTCAGATCCAACACCGCCGCTACCAATCATCGGATGAATCGCCCCTTCCAACTCGAGATTTTGCTGCTTACACGTCTGCGCCTTCGCCTCAAACATCACATCTTCGACTTGTTCGCACCCACGGAAACCATGGAAGGATTCGTGGCAAGAAGGGCGGTCAGAGGCGTGTCGAGTCGTCAGAGGCCTTGTCCATTGACAGTCTAGGACAGAGCTCCGAAGTCATCGTTCTACGCGACTTGCACGAGCCCCGTCCAGAAAAGAAGAAGCCAGAGGAACACGCCCAACACATGAGCCATGTCGAAGCCTCCGAGCCCAAGCCACCTGCCCTGACCGGAAGGGACATTGAAAACATGTCGGGCAGAAGAGCAACTCGTCCGAAGTCTCAAGAAGTCTTCGAGTCAATCGATGCTTTGAGGCCTGAAGAGGGTGTCCACATCTTCACCGAAGATGAGTTCCGTCGCCAAATGCAGGCCCTTCGTAATGGCTACACTATAAGTCAACTGAGAGGTTATTTGGTACACAAGACTGCCCCTGCTCAATCCGCTGCCTCTAATGCCAAAAGGTTGCGTCGTGGCTCGCGTGCCTCTAACGAGACTGCATCTACCGAGATTAGTAGCGGAGAGGGGGAATTGCAGCATCTTAAGCGAACTGCCTGGCATGCCGGTACCACTCCCATCGCCGAACGGCTGCCCATGGTCGACTTGTCTATGCATCTGGGTCGCAAGATGGACAACAAAGACGATGTGATAGAGTCCATCTTGCGTCAAGTTTGGGCACTCGGCATCGAGGAAGAGCAGACAGCCATGGGCGAGATGGAGTTTCTGCTGTCACCCATGCAGTTTGGCCTGCTGCTCACAAAGAACTCCGACACCTTGCGGCCCCTGCTCGAGAGCTCCAAATTCTATAAAAATTCTCGTTTCCAGTTACACCAGGCCGACCACGTTATTAGAATCGTAGGCCCGAGGGCTGAGTCCGAGGCTATCGCCCACGTTCTGGCCGAAGCCTTCGCCCCTGCCAGAAGCGCCGATATCGATCTCGAAACCTTTCGTGCTGCTTTGGAAGAGACTTCCTCGCCCTTCACCCTACAGGACATATTGACCCCTGCCCAGTTAAACAACATCATGGCCCTGACAAGGACATACATCCACTACGAAGTCAATGCCAACCGCCTTCGCATTGCCAGTTTCATCGATGTCGCCATCAATGATGCCCATCGTCTACTTATCGCTCTCTTGCCCTCCACCCCGCCAGTCAGAGTCACACACCTCTACGATTCGCACGAGGCCGACAGCTGTCGCCTTGAAGCCATCTCAGCAACTAAGGACCTACCGTCTCATGTCAAGAATCGACAGCTCGGTCGCTGGGTCACCTCGTCGCCCAGGTCTAAGCAGTCTACTGCTGATCAAACCTCCGTGGATACTGAAAATGATAATCTCTTCGCCAACAGTCCGTCAAACGTTGAGCTACCAAACTTGCATAGTGACAGCCTCATCATTCGAGAAGCTATTGCCCTAATGAACTCCAAGCTCGACGCCTCACGCGAGGACATATCTGAAATTGTGTCTGAAATATGGCCACTGAAGACTCGATTCGGATCTTGGAAGGCGAATGTTGGCCTGTCGTTGCATGATATTCAAAATAAAGACACCTATCCTGGCGCTGCTGGTGTTTCCTCGAGTATCGAAGATCCCGCAGCATATCCCAAGCAGGTTTTTGCCTCTAAAGTCCAAGGTCTTGTCAGCCTCTTGTCTTCTGTTCCCCAGAAGAAGCCAGGGCAAAGAGTTGGCGAAGGATTTATGCTCACGGCCCACCTGATCCCATCTCCTCTCGACCAGACAGGTATTCTGGCTTCCACTACCTTTCCTACTGTGCAGCTTCGCTTCTTCCTTGATGAGTCTACCGCATTCCACGACCAAAAGCGTATATCCACCATGCTTCCCGATGGCAAGTTCCTCAGTTTCAGGGATATGCGCGCCGTACTCAGTACTGAAGCTATACAGCTGAACCTGCCCTCGTATAATGCTGACATACGGTTCGAGCGTGATCGGGATCTCGTTTCACGACGCGCTATGCGTGACCCCGGCATCAGGTCATTCATTGAAGCAGTAATCGAAAGTATGACAAACGACGCCACTCTTCGTGCACCCNCTGCTCTGCAAATCCCCATTCCTCGTGCGGTTATCCGTATTATGAGTAAATTACATTCAGAGAAGCCGCAACACGCCGATCTCAACCTTGAGACACACGCTGAGCTCGAGGAAGCTGAGCAATCAATCCGTGTCAAATATCTTTTTGCTGGCTTTGAGTATCGCGAGCCACGCAATTTCAATCTCGGAGCGCTTGGGCCAGACTATAGAGCAACTCTTCACACTGTGGAGGCGGGTGTAACAGGCGGACGTCGTCTCGCACTTGGTTTGCGCTACAACGACAAGCGGGAGCTTCCTGTTGAAGATCCTACGATTGTGGAAGGGCTTGCGAATGCATCGGTCAATGTCATCAATGTCCTGGCGACTCCTCCTGGCGAGAACCTTGATCCCCTGGACAGAAGTGGTTCCCGCGTATTCCAGCTGAACGCTCCCATGTCGAGTCGCTCGAGCAGAGAGAATGATCTGGCAGGAAACAGCCTGAGTAGAAACAGATCAGTCGAAATACCTAAGCTCACTCCGAGATTCGAGGCGTTTATAAAAACACGAGCAAAGCTTGCTACCAGAGAAAAGACGCTACAAGCACAGGTCACCAACGACAGCAACCCATCGGCAATGGAAAAGGTCGCAAAGCAAGAAAGGGGTGTCGAGCTAGACAAGGACCAAGATCCTCGCGTCGAAGAAGTGGCATCGGATGAAGCAGCTATGCAGGAAACCATCGCGATCGAAAAGCCGGAATCGCAAACTCGGGCTTTTGATGCGCCTATAGAGCAGGATCGCACCGAGCAGACATGGGGTACAGAGCCAGCTCTCTCGACTTCGAGCACGATCAAGGCAGACATGCCTCAGCAGACCACTACACAAGCATCGACAGAGCCTGAGACTCAAGAGGCCAAGGCGGAAGAAGCAAAGGCCTCCGAAGAGGAACCCNTGAGTGTCCGTCTAAGACGCATGATGGGTGGTGCATAAGGCCTCAGCCAACCTCTTATCTCATGAACGATGAAGTAAAAGCATTTCCGTCTCACTTCTTGTAGAACTATACATATACCTCTGTAACACTAGAACATTCTTGCGCTTGCAAAGATAGCCTTTCGAGTCCACGTATTTGTTGAGGGGTTTGAATGTTCTTATGTATCGGGACGATCAAGATCCTGTCTTGGCTTTTCGTCCTTGTGTGCATCTTGTCTGTGAGAGAAGAGGTGTGCAGGGGGGTGCAGAAGGTCGGGTAAGCTACAAGGAAGTGCGCTTTTTTGGCAAGCAAAGGACGATCCATCTGGTCCCTCTCTGTCCTGTCGTGTCAGGCAAATCAAGCCATCATCCAAAATCCAGGTCGATCAAGCACAGAAGACTGTCGAGGAGATAGATGGCCACTTAAGACCAGCGCAATCAGAAGGAGGATCCCTGCGTTATCGAATCATTGAATCCTCAAGCGCTTCTCGGTAGCCGGAGAAGCGGTATCATCAGAAGCAGTGGCCGCATTCTAAACAGCACTGACACGCGGCCTCTTGCGACCACCGCCGATCGTAGTCTCGGACCTAGCAGTCCTCTTCTCCTGGTTATCCAGCACCAAGCTGAGGACATCGAACCCGAACTGAGGAAACTCGAGACACATGCTGCGGAACTCCTTTTCTGCCTCGTGGCGCAAGACGTGTGACCTCGTAGCCCAAAAGGCAGCGACGGGCTTGCGGATGCTCTCGTCCGAGACCTTGGTGTGGCCGTAGACGTAGCGGGCGTACTCGATTTCGCCGCGTGCGGTGCTTTGTGTGAGGTGGATCTTCTTGTGGGCGAGGGTTGCGAGGGCGGGGACGCCGAAACGCTGAGCTAGTGTGTAGACGCGGGCGTGGCGCAGGAGGGCCATGCCTTCAGTGTCTGGGATGGGGATCTCGGGGTCGGTTTCTAGCGAGGAGCCGCTAAGGGTGGGGAAGTAGTCGTTCTTGTAGAGGAACTCAAGGAAGCAGGCGGTTGCCGTCAGATCCTCGTCAGGGAGATCGATGCGACGCTGGAGGGTAGGGTCAGCATTGCGATTGGGAGAGTGATCAATTCTTCGATGGTCTTACGTTNNCTCGGCGTCTGCCATGGCAGCAATCTTCTCGTCCAGGACGGGGCTCTGTTCCAGCAGACGCTGGTGGGCGTGCAAAACGGTAACATGGTCGTCCTTGCCAACGGAAAGCTCGATGATGGGGGATTTGAGGTAGNNCTGTCGCGTCGCATAAGTACTCGACCCGAGACGCGTCTTGGTCGTGGTTGCTCACTCTAGGAAAGTGACGCGGGCGGGGAGTTCTGGCTCAAGGTTCTCGAGACCGCTAGGCTCGACATCTTGCTGCTCGGTGCTGGGGTCGACGCTGTTCTCGGGCTGGGTGCTCTCGTCCTGACCTCCCATGTCGACATCCTGGCTCTGGGTGGGTGCAGGAGTGTTGCTCTCGCTGGCGTCGATGACAACCTCGGGTTCGGCCATTGTAATGATCTAGTGTGTGTAAAGTGCTGAAAGAGCGGTGATTGAGAAGATAACACGAAAATACGCGTCGAGAAAAGCGAGTGAATTGGCGATGAATTGAAGCTCAAGCTGGAGTGATGGAGTGAAAGAGCCGACAGACTCGCGCCGGAGTTGCAATCCGTCTTCGTCCTGGCCCGAGCTTGCGACTGAACTTCAGTTCAACTTTCACATGTGTCTATTACACGTCTATCACAATACGAAACACAAAACTGACAGATCAAACATGTAACTACAAACGGTAACCCAGCGCTCCGTACCTCTCGCCTGTACTGGGAACCGGCCTCTCTGCACGAATCGCCCACAACAACCAGTCCTCGAGAGGAACGAACACATGAAACACCTTGTTACTCATGAACGCTGCCAACACGTATATTGTCGCAACCACAGCGTCCAGGAAATAGTGGTTGGCTGTTGTAATGATGCTTGTTAAGATTATTGTTGGGTAGCCGATTTCGAGACCAAAGTAGAAGACCTTCCACATCCAAGTCTTGCCTAACTCGCCGTCATCATGCCTGACTGTATCCAAGAACCCATATTCTTTTGGCAACAGCCACGGAGGCATGCAAGGGTAGAAAACGTACGTTGTGAAAGCCATAAGATTGGTCAGGTTCATTGTACGGCGTACCGTTGCGAAGGTCGAATGCGACCGTGCGACGTAGTAGTACCATGCAATGAAGCCGACAGTACCAGTNATGTGAATGTACGCATATGCTTTGTTCAAGAAGCTCAACGCATCTTGATGCTTGTGCAAGAACCACTGCTGTATGGCCAGCTCACGACGGAACAGAGAACTAAGAAATCCGTGTTGCTCGAAATCCAGGATAGCGAGCCCATGACTTTCGGCTACTGTCCAAATGCCTCTGCCAGCAAAGATCTTCTGCGACAAGATGGCTGTCATACGGTAGAAGGCATAGTTGATGACCCAGTAGAATATCTCTAACAAGAAGGGAAAGCGCTGTAGCACTCGACTATGGATATTGTTCTTGAACCTGGAAGTATTCGGTGTCTTGAAAGCGAAATTGAGCAATCTTCGTGTCTTGGATAGGTGTTTAGTTGAAGGCGTTTGTTCGTGTGTGTCATCTTCGCTGGACTCGTCTCGACGCAGGAGCTCATCCGATGAGCAAGTTGCATCGTCCGTGTCCAGAGCTGAAGTATAGATGCCTGGCTTCCTTCAGAGTATTTGGTAACCTCTTCTCCTGGTCAAAATCATGCTTCCGAAGAGGATCATAACGACCATCTGCGAAGTTCAATGTCAGCTTCTCTCCTCCCGACCAACAGCCTTTGTCCGTACCGATGGCTCGGCCCAGCCAGGCATCTTCCACGCTGGAGTGCTATTCCATGGTGGCTCGGTTGTCGTCAGATTCCTGGGCGTGATTTCCATCGCTATACACGATCGGGTCGAATGTCGTAGAGGTAGGTAGGCAGGCGTAACGACAGTGGCAGGTGTCAATCTCTTAGGTCGCGTGACAGAAATATGCAATTGGAGCGGAGTAGTCTTTAGAAGTTCGGCGTATGCAAGGGATTTGTTTTACATTTATGTTTGCTCTACAACAAACTTCATGTTTTCAGATACATGCCACAATACAAGAGACCAAGTCGACCGCCTGTCTGGCTCTGGGTTATACAACACAATACCATATGACTGCCATCCTTCACAATACTAACGTTCGTGTGTTACTCAAGTAGGTACTGTTCCATTGCCTTTAACCTCATGTTGTATCAAGATCGACTGTTTCCTTGCTCTGGCTCTTCGAGTACTTTGTGTGATCTAGCTGTATCTGTTTCCTATATTGTGATTTGGTTTCGGGTTTCTACCGTATTTAACATCATGAGCTGCCTTCTGACAGTCAAAAGTCTGCCACAAACGTAGTTGACAAAGAATTCAAGTCAGATTATGGAAACCCCTAGTGTTGCTTCCAGCTTATTTTCTGCTTCGCCTTGCGCCCGACAGAACAACGACATGGGCAGAGACGAAGATGATCCGAACAACAGCGGTATGAGTCAGTCAACCTGGATGGTCGTTGGTGAGGATCTGCATGCGGAGCCTGAGAAGGTAGAAAGTGCTCCAAGCGAGATTCCTTCTTCATCTGAGTGAAGTCCCAAGCTGACGAGATAATCTCATCCAGGAGATGGCTGGAGTCAGTACAGACGATACGCAATCAGGAATTCAGACACCCAGCCTGTTCTCAGAATCATCGAAATTGGATCATACCATGAACCTGAAGATTGAGACAAAGGATCTCGAGTCATCCAGAGACCCGGATCTGATGAGCAAATCAACAATTCTTCCAACAAGATGGGGTGGCATTGAGTCATGGCCAGGAATGATCCTCCGCTTCTTCCTGTACTCGCCATTGAGAAATTTCTTGTCGGGACTTCTCGACTTCATCCATCCACCCTCTCCCCACCTTCTCAGTCGACCTGGAGTTGCATCACGTCCTTCTTATACGCCTTGGACTTCTGGAGTAAATTATGCCTCTGATGGCAAGGCCTACTTTGTATGTTATACCTGTGGGGACCTACAGAGAGCCGGTCGTCCATGTCGATAGGGTTGTGTTACTCGTTACGGAACCAGCCCCCTACCCAGTCCCTCGCCTACAAAGACTCGTACTAGACAATGCGCGTGTGGTCAATACATCGTGAAAGGCAAAAGATGTCCAACGGACGGGCACCAGAATTGACATACACGAACCATCGATCAACGGCTGACCCGAGATTCAGGATGGAGTAGCTGAGGATCACGAGTCCAAACATCATCCAGAGTACCTGCCCTATGATTGAGAGCGTCCTACGAATCCTGCTGGTGGTGTCAAGTATGCCTCAAACGGCATGGGATACGTCGTTTGTTCTGAGTACGGCGACTATAGGAGACTCGGTTATTTCTGTCTCCAGGGTTGTAGACCCCGTTGTGGGTCTGGGGGTCACGTATCGCGCAAGAGCCAATGCCCTGCTGGTTGTACTGTGATCGAAGGCAAACGCTGTCCAAAGCACACACGTTTCAATTGACTCGTCTTCAGAGTATACGGAGCCTATCGTGACTAAACCACATCAATTCTACAGTAGTAGAGTCACGCCCCTGGTTGCTCTGTATGTCCAGAAGTGTATGTAAGCTTGGTCATATTTACCATTGATTTAGCACTTGGCAACTGTGCTGTTTCCGTGTTGGCAATCGCTACCCTCATACCCACTTCTCCATCTTCACTTACCTGTTGTCACCACTAGTATTGCATACTCGATGCAAACTATCATCTCTGTATCGATCGGTGGAGTCTGTCCAATCGACACTCGTCACTCACAGATACGGTGCGATAAAGACTCCTAACAGTTCTTAGTCCAAATCCTAAGGGTAGCGGAACAACTATGTTGTTTCCCTCTTGCAGGGGTAGGATACTATGGAAGTAGGAAGGGGCTTTAGCTTGTGTGATTTCTTGTTTTCTTTTGATAGAGATTTGTTTTCTGTCTTCCTCTTTTTCTGTTTATCTCGACATAGATAGCATACCAAAATAGAAGCACCCAGTTTCTAAGTGCTAATTCAGTTACAAGTATGTCCAAGTGTGTGTGCATTCTAGTGTTGTTTGTATTGACTCGATGCTCTGGGGCTCCGTCGTTAGTTCATCTTCTTGGACTCTTTGAATGTCCATCTAAGGTGAACACACTTTACATCGAGCAGAACATGCACGTAGATGATGTTGATCAAATAAGTGTACTTGCATCGATCATGCGTCCCTTTAGGTTGATGGTCTTCACCCACTCAATACTCCGCCCCTTTCGTCAGAAAAAGTACACTTGGGTTATATCAGCGCGCAGCGTCTAGCAGATACACCATATATCCAGTCAAACCTGGTAACACAAACAACATGCCAACACCCCAGATCATATCCCAATGGAGTATCATTCAACAAGATCTTGATATATCCAACGAAGACACTGGAAGCACCGTCTCCGGGATCTGCCTCATGCATGCCAAGCCGTATGCTGACCACCACCAGGGGATCTACTCTGGCAACTTTACGCAAGACATTGAAGCCAACAAGACAACACGCGAAGTGTTCGTCAAAAGCAAGCATTACAGCGAGACTTACACTCGAGCCATCCACGACCCATCAATACTGGAATTTGACAAGGCCCCTGGTTTTGTCTCGAGTCGGGGAAAGTACAGCATGGCGCAGCGGAAGGGGCAGTGCTTCGAAGCTCTCTTGATCGTTCGTAAGGTCCGTAGACGTGCATTCGTAGCGATGACTGGTTGCCTTCTCATTCTTGCCATTTTGATGGGTCTTGCTGTTGGTCTCGCCACGCAAAACATGGACTGGGGTATTGGTGTGGCTGCAGGGCTATTCCAGGTTCTGGCAATTGCCCAATGGCCATATATCTGGTGTAAAAGGAGATAATTGTCAGCTTATCATGTCAAGAGTACAGGTGGATGTTGTATCAGCAAATGCGTCCAATCAGAATCATTCCTCAAAAAGCCACAAAAACTTTTATTAGTCCTAGTCTTGGAACAACTTGATGTAAAAGTGCTCTCCGGTCTTGACGACCTTCATCTCTGCTCCCACTCTAATCTCCTCACTACCTTTGGCATCATTGAGCAAAGGCACCATCTGCATACCCAACACTGGATGTGCACCAGCGCCTTTGTCGATGTTTCCTCTTGTTTGTTTGAGGGTTTTGTAGGGCTCTGCGCGGTCTTTGATGCCGGTTTGGGGGTCGACGTTGGGGAGGTCGCAGCGAGTGGTGCGGCAGCTGACGTGGTAGTCGAGGTTTCCGGAGCGGATCACTTTCCAGTCGTCTTCGGCGAATGGTGGGATGCCGGTTACTNNGGTATGTTGTTAGAGAGAGGTCGAGATTAACGAAGGTCGTGGATGATACGTACAATAAATGTTTGCACGGAAGCGGAGGGCATTGAGATGGGGAGTCTGTAGATTCTTTACTGTCTTGGAGACTTTTTGTACAGACGGAATACCCATGATGGACAACGGATACNNTGTGAACAAAGTCAGTGGTCGCTCTTCAGACTCAGGGTCGAGCTAGCTTACAGCATCAGCAAAGCCCACACCAGGTTGGTAGCCGGCTTCTTCTATCGTGGGCGCATTCCTGAAGACTTGACGATGGTTGAGAGGATCCGCCATAAACAGAGCAAGGGGATTGGAGACGCCGAGGAAGTATCTCAGCTTTGCCAGTGTTTCTGTGGGTATCTCTGATGTGATGTTGATAGCGGTAGGCGAACACTTCCAGATCTTCATGACTTCCCGGTTGTACTTTTGTGATCTCTTCTCGTCAGGGGCAACGGGAAGCTTGAAGGTGAGGCGCGGTTCCGCTCTGATATCGCATTGGGCAATCTTGGTTTTGAGGAGCGAGACTGCCGTCTTCAGACCTTCCAGATTCCAAGACCATTCCGGAGTGAAGGGAAACGAGCAAAGGATACAACCCTTCGATTTGACCCATTCCACGTCTGGAGAGTATGAAGGAGATGACGAATCCGGAACCCAGACTTGGACATCTACCTGGCTCAATCGAGGCACGTTGCGCTGAGTGATGAACTTCCAGTTGTGGACCCATTTAGTACTGACGCTGAGGTCTCCCTCGTCCTTCTCTGCTTCTTCCGTCTTGAGCTGTGTGAAACAGAATTGACGATCATAGCGCAGTCCAGTCAGGATGACATCGTTGTGTTCAATCTCCACGGGCTTGCAGGACTTGATGGGGTATATGAACAAAGCCTTGATTTTGCAAGTGACTGAAGAATCCAGGTTTTCTCCACTGTGTTTGGGTGAATACTGATCGGCCATGTTACTCTCGCCGACGAGTCCAAAGCGACGACATCCTGGCACTGTTGATTCTGCCTCTTGCTCTTTTAGAAATTGAAAGCTGAGGATAGCAAAATAGGCAATTAAGGCGGCGAATGTAGCGGTGATTAGGGCAAATGCGCCACTCTGCAGGAGGGCGTCCATGTTGTCAGGTATAAGCGAGTGAGATGGTGAACAAGGTCGCAGAGATGGTCAATTGAAGGAGAGATGACTCAAGAAGTGAAAGCAGAAAGACAGAGAGGCGAAAGAGAGACGGAAAAGCACAGCATCGTGTCGTACAGAGCCGGGCAAGAAAAGGAAGCAAAGCAGACTACTTCAGGATCTTCAGGTACGGAAAGGAGTGGTGTAGTATTTGAGCGTCTCGAACCGGGGCAAGGAGCTGAAGCAAGTCATGTGGAGCGGGCCGTAGGTAGTCTCGGCGAGGCCGAGGGCGGTTTGGCCACCCATGGCGTACAGCAGTATACTAAAGCAGCAGACATATAGGTAGATCTGTGCAGACGACGACACGAGCACAACTTCCAAAGGCGAGATGGTGTGTAAGATGTGCAAAAGGAAGACTTGGCTTCAACAAGTGCTTTTGGCAGAATTGGCTATCTCCGGGAGCGTAGCTGAGAGGTCAAAGTCATCATGACTTAGTCATGCGAGAAGGTGGGAGTCTTGCTACCGAGCCGGGGAGGCCGACGGCAATCGATAGGGACGGTTGCGCGCAGTTCGCGCTCCGCACGTGCGTACCTTCTTTGCTTCCTCCGAACTGCTCGCAATTGGACATGGCCAGAACAGTGACATCCGCATAGCTCTTATATGTCCTAGCAGCCTCATCTCCCCATGGCCTGTGGCTGCCGCCGGTACCATCAACATGTCGGACCCCACCGTCCCGCTGCCGCCCCCGTCGGCTCCTCGGAGCACCGCGCGAGTGCCTCCGCCATCTTCGCGTAGGTCGCGTGTGCACCGGCTAGCCATATACCAAGTCTGACCCCTTGTCAGATCGCCTCTCTACCGTCTCGGCCTCAGAAGCACTTCTCAGTCTACAATCTCGCGGGCCCCGGTCCATATCCACTGGCCTCAGCCAACTCAATGCGCTTCTCGGCACCACCAATCCCGGACTCGGGCGTGGTAACATCACCGAGATCTGGGGTCCGTCTGGCTCGGCCAAGACCTCTCTTGCGTAGGCTCATGTCTGCTTCGATGGTCAATCCATGCTGATCGATTCGCAGCNNTTACAGACTGCTACACACGCCTTGAACAACGGGAGCTCGGTCGTCTGGGTAGNNGTGTGTCTTCCTTTGTTCTATGTCGTACGTCTTGTCGACGCGCCGGCTGACACGAGACCAGATGCGACGACAGCCTTTGCAAGGTCCAGACTGAACGACTTCCTCGCCGCGAACCCCTTCGCCCATGGCTCGGAGCCCGACCACGACACCAGGCTAGACCGCTTTCACGCTTATTCGACCCCTACCGTTGCCCATCTGTTAGCCCTCACTCTACATCCTCCGCAATCCTTCCCTCCGCCAGGGACCGCCTTGATGGTTATAGACGACCTACATGCCATCTTCGAAGTATCCTATCCTCGCAATCGCGCGAACACTTTCTCGAGTCACAAGTCCGAAGCTGCTAGATGGGCCGCTGGTCGTCGCTACGGCATCATGGGCACTCTCATCTCTGCTTTAAAGAAACTGGCTGCGCTTAACGACATGGCCGTCATAGTCACCACTGGATGCGCTACACGTGTGCGCCCTGCCAGCGGTTTGGGCGCTGTCTTGGTGCCCGGAATGGGAGGAGCCGAATGGGAAGCCGGCATTTCCAACAGACTGGTCATGTTCAGAGACTTCAAGCTGGGGAGCTGGGCCCAACAACATCAGGATCCTGAGAGCGCGAGATATATCGGACTACAAAAGAACAGCGGCGTGGCCTTCTCTGATGAAGGAGAAACTGGCCAAGTCGTTCCATTTATTATCGACAAGGACGGCCTCAAGGATGTTGCCAACAGAAACTCGACAGCAGACGCTCCTGTCATTACACTTGCCGCGTCATCCCCTTCGAAGATCCGCAAGCGCCCATATGCTGAGATTGCCGATGGCACCGCAGAAGGTCGCGACGAGTACGGCTGGCTGAACGGAGACGAAGCAGACGCAGAGGGCCTGATTGACGAAGCTGCGCTGCTCGAAGACGATGAAGATGCAGCTACCGCTATTCCCGACGAAGACAAACCTGCTACCATCGTCATCGACGACTGAACTGGATCACAACGATTACCCCACAGATGACCTTGCGGCAGAGCAATCCCTGGCCCCTCTGACTATTACCAGCCGCCTATCTTATACAGCCTGTCAAAGCAGTTCATAAAGCGGCTAAATTCAAAGGAACCCCTTTGCTCCACAGGAAGAAACTCCGGCAAATCATCAACAAAACCCCCACGTCGGTGCTCTCCGCCATTCTCCACAGCATCATCCACATTGTTCCGATTACGCATGTTCTATTTCCAGGTCTTTGTCATGCGTATCTCAGGATAAAATGACGAGTACAACAAATCCCTGTCGACAGCAAGAAAAAGGCAGTCACTAGGTTATCCGTTTGGCGTGTGAAGATAGAAGGGAGAACTGCTGTTTGGCTGTGTATCATTGGCATGTGACGGAGGACGGGCCCGCCGCGTGTGCAACAAGGAAACGCATCATGCAATATGCAGGCAGCAGCGGCCCGCGGTGCAAGCCACAGACGATCAGTCACCAGGGCTGTGTATCTTGATTGGAAAAAGGTGGAGACGCCAAAGTGCTTCGAATGATCTTGTTGGTGGCTTGTCTGATTGGAAAGATGGTTGCCCACACCCACTCTACGCACCACCACACACTTGAGACATACAGATACTTTGGAGAAATCGACAGCTGATAAGAAGCCGTGCCTGTAGCTCACTCTTCGAACCACGTGCTTTGTGGTATTGGGCCAGATGACTTACCTTGCATAGCTTTGACACTCCCTATCTTCTCCAATCAGTAACATGTGTATATTGCTGTTGGACGCAAATGATTAGTCACCACGACCTCTGGCCAAGTTGGAACGACCGTCTGGTATTTATCATCTGTGTCGTAAGGTGTTCTGGCAAGCGTCCAATCATGTACGCGACTCCTCGTGCACAAGCGAACTGACTGCTTGAGAGCTGCCATGACCGAGCAGCCCCGTGGAACGCGTGTCTCTTGCTCGTATCAGATGCATGTGAAACACCAACCCTACAGAATCACAGCCAAAGGCGTTGCATCTAGAGCACATCATCGTCGGTCTCGACGAACAAAAGGGCGGTCAAACATAGGGAGGCAACAATACACAGGCCATGGAGGCCTATCTGCACTCCTTGGAAACATGCATAGCCCCAATATGGCTATCGAATAGAGCTTGCATAAGGCCCCATCAGTAGTTCCATCAAGGCATCCATCACTCCATGCGAGCATCAAAACAAGAATCTCCCTTAGGTAAGAGAGAAAGCAAATACGAAGGTGAGGAGATAATGAGATAGGACGTCCAAGCAAAACCGTTCTCTCGGTCCTCTTGATCAGGAACTTACGAGATACGGTCGGAACAAGGTGCGAACTCCCAAAAGCCGAGAATTTCACCGGAGCTGGGTATCGAGGCTCTGTCATCGGAGTTTGCGCCTAGTTAAACTTGCAGGGGGATGCACAATGAGAAGGGCAACGAAATCAAGATTCGGTGTGCCACTCCTCCTTTTTCTTCCCCCAATGGCGCATAAGGCTGGGAAGGTAGACAAGTACCTATATGTCTTGGGTTGGTGGAGGTCTGTTTTGTCTTTGATTCGACGCCATCATCCTGGGGAAATCGAGGGGCAGAGACAGGTGGCTTGGGCGGGTAGAAGCGGCCCCGGACCCCAGAGAAGGTGCGGTGGAAGGATTGAGGAATTAGGTACTCACAACCGTGTACCACTTTTGTACCGCAGTCGCCGTACATGTACCTAGCTTTTGAACCTGTCGTGATGTCTTCTTTTCTGTTCCTCGCTCCTTGTCTCTGCCTGCTTGTCGGCTATCGAGAACCAGGCAGAGAGTGTTCTCGATGTCGCAGTCGGCGATTCAGCCGGCTGCTTCGCGCCTGTCGTTGAATCGATAGTGCCAATATCATCACGTAGTGGTGACGGGTACGCGGCTTGCCTGTATCGTGTCGGTCTGAAGTGGCACCCCCACGTCGTCTTGCACGATTCGGAACCCTGATCATGTCCACTTGCCCGACGAGGGTTTATGCTCCAAGCCATCGTCCTTTTCCATATCACGTACGAGGTTATCGATCGGAGTGCATCGACCTCGATGTTTTCGGTGACGTAGCCGTTTGAGCTGCGCTTTTCGACGGCAAAACTAGGAGGGGATTTATCTCCCGGTGGTCCACCGCGTTGCTCCAAATGGACTTTGGGGGATTTAGAGTTCGTTTATCTTTCTGATGCCAAGTGGAGCCGGGTGGGCAGGCAGTTTCGTTGAGAATGCCCAGTCCAAAACAGTGTTGTTGCGGTGAAGGAGAAGGTGGTGTTGCACCGGTGGCGGTAGCCATGCGATAATCGGCGTTTTTACGATCTCTGGCGACAAACTATATCTGTATCGCATACACAGGCAACGATGTGAATGGACGGACGACTACGGCCGTGAAGAACAACAGAGCGGTTCAGGTCCTTCTTGAAGCAGCAAATTAGAGCCGGAAAGACGGATCTCTAGCTCCTTGACACCAAGATGAAGCTTTCTGTCTAGTCATCCTGTCATGCGCATGACAAGAGGTTGTGGTCCCCTTTGTTTCCCCGCGATCCCCGCAAGAAAGGAACTTTGGGGAAGCTCTTGCTTGTTGCTCGATTCGGGAAGCCGGTTACCCCGACTCGGGACATAGGTCTCTGTACCTGCAAGCCATGCCGAGCACCCTAGAGACAGGCTTGGGTAGAAACGCTGGCGGGAACAGTGGTGACCAGGAGACGATGGCTCTTCCTTGTTCGCTTTCCTGTGTGTAAGAGAAACCGGCGAGAAAGGCGTGCGACAACGATCGCCATAGACTAGTCGTGTCGGTTTTGTATGCAGTTCAGAAAACGTAATCCCGAGTCTGGCCGAGGACAACGCGCGCTTCAGGCAGTACTTGCGACCATGTGTCCACCGTCCATACGTCCATACGAGACAGTCGGAATGCGTTGATATTGTTGCAAAGTGCCATGACAAACCAACGTCCGATAGAGCAGACGAAGGTGGAGAAAAGGGCAAGACTTGCAAGACAAGCATTCTCTCCGTTGAATAGAGGAGAGAGTCAGCGGCCAGAGCGACATGTGCCTCCGTCGATCAGGGGGGCTTTATTCATGCTTCGTACGGACGTCTTGAGTCTTCATGGCGTGACTTCGGCGTAGTGGCGATCATGTCGGGGTAATCTGCAGCAGGTCTGGTGCACAGCAACAAAAGCGTTTGTGTGCTAGTGATGACTCAACTCGAGGGGGTCGACTCGTTGGCAGAGAGGGCAAGACAGCGAAATGAGAGGCGTCGATCGTAAGCCCACTAAGCGCCGAGTGGCCCTCTCGTACGCAAGTCTCATTCCACCGACTGCGGATACTTAGGTGAGACGCTCATCCTGCATGATGGTGCGTTTCTGTAAGGGCCCGTGGGGAGGCTTGGAGGACGCTGGGGCAAGCATGCGGACAGAAACTCTGGAGAGCCAACACCAACAGATCTGCATTGACGCGCAAGACGCCTGATTGTGTGGAGACTTTGTGTGGAGACCATGTGTGGAGCTGGAGATGGAGAGGGAGCGATGAATCAACAGGCGGCCGTCTGAACGATGTATTGTAGCTGAGAGTGAAATTGAATGATGTGTGTATTTTGGGAAACAGAGGATGAGTCTGTTTCGAAAGATTGAGTTAAGAGGGGAGCAAGAAAGCGTCTATCTAGAGGAAGGAGCCGCCGGGCTCCAGTCATCCGCATTAGTTGTAGTGAAGCAAGGCCGCTAAAATCGCAGAACAGAAACGAAGTCATTGGGGTTCTCGAAAGCAATAACAAAACAATTGGCAATCTTTCTGATTGCAGGTATCCTCCGTAGCCACAAACCCGACAAGGGACCTTTCCGTGAATCTCCTTCGCGCTTCCCGCTCAATGATACTATCAAACCGACTCCAGTCCAGTCTATAGGGTAGTGATAACGCCGTCCCGAAACGTAGAATGACAGAGACTCCGAAAATAATTTACCAAAACACCCAGGCCATGATGTCGTGCCATAGCCATAAGTCCAACGCCTTGACAATGATTTCAAACAAACGAGTTTCGAGGAGTGCTTAATTCGAGTTGTCGCCGGCTATGCTGCCAGTAGTGCTAGACTGACCGCTGCTGAAGCCATTGGGGTTGTTGAGGAGATCGTTGACTTTGACGGCTGATGGCACCATCGGGATGGGCAGTTTTCGTTGAGCTCCATCTTCGCGTTCCATGATCTCACTGATACGTAGGCCGCTGTGGTGCGTCGGAATGTACGGCTGTTGACCGTCAGCGGACGGCTCAACAGGGGCAAGGGCTGGCGGTGGTTGGTGCTGGAGGGAGAGGTGGTGAAGTGTGGGNAGTTGCACACCGTTATGGAAGTACTGCGGACGAAGCCGAGGAGAATGAGAAGGAGTAGCCAAAGGTGTGTGGTCGGGAGTTGGCGAGGTGGATTCGTGAGAGAATGAGGGCGATGGCGGTGCGGTCGACTGAGGAGAGCCAGGACGCGACTTCTTGGTCATGCGGTGGGAGTAAGGGTCATCATCCTCGTGCGAGTGCGAACGCGACATTGGCTGAGAAGTGGGGTTGGAGCTGTAGTGATAAGCCGAGAGAGAAGGAAGGCGGCCGGTCGAGTAAGGGTGGTGGCTGTAAGGGTGGGTGCCGTATGTGTGTCTGCTGGCAAGACCCATGTGGTGCGAGGGAAGCGAGTTTTCGCGCTCGACTTGCGAGGCAGCGGTGGCCAGAAGGTTGATGTCCATGGGGTGGTTGAGGCCAGCAGGGCTGAGATCGCCGCTCACGTTACGCGTCAGGTAGGAGCCAGGGTTGCTTGTGTAGGCGCTGGCGTAAGAGTGAGGAGGAGAAACGTTGGGCGATGAGAGCTGAGAAGAGGGCGCCGAGTGGGCCAGGCTGTTCATCTTGGGCGGAGGAGGCATCATGTGGTTCATCTGCTGCATGACCTGGTGCTGAGCCTGGTCCATGATTCCGGCTTGAGCGGCAGCGGCGGCGGCAGCAGCTGCAGCAGCGGCAGCGGCATGTTGCTTGTTGCCACGTCTCGAGTTGGGGTTGTTGTGGATGCGCGAGTGACGGGTCAGCTCATCGGAACGGCTGAAGCGCTTTGTGCAGCCCGGGAACTGGCAGGCGTGCGGCTTCTCGCCAGTGTGAGTGCGGATGTGACGAGTCTGGTGCTCGAGGCGGTGGAAGGCCTTGTCGCACAGAGGACACTTGTAAGGGCGCGGCAAGTCAGGGCGCACATCCTGCTGGGAGGTGGTCTGGGTGGTCTGTTCCTGGGTGGGCATCTGGGCGGCCATGGCGGGCACAGTGGCAGCAGCAGCCATGGAAGGATGGGACTGGACACCGGCGTCGACGTAGGTCGAGGGAGTGCTGGGGTGCGAGGGGGCGNNTGTTNNGGAGGCCGAGTTGTCTGGATTCAAGAGGCTGGAGAAATCCACACCGGACGAAGTGCGCTGCATTGACGACGTGAAGGTGAAAAATCTGGAGAATAGGCGGGAGGGGAGAGGGCGGGAGAACTGGTTAAATAGCGAGAGCGTGACGCAGACGGAGGGAAAAGGCGTGGGGGTGAGCTCCAACTTTGACTGAGAAAAGATCCACCGCCCGCCAAGCCACAGCCTTCGTCGCGCCCGACGTTAGTCACTAGCGCACCTGTGCTGCTGGCCCAGGGCCGACAAGCTGGCGAGGACATGCCGTCGGAACGACACGGCCACAGATAGCGCAAGGTCTCTCTTCGGCCCCCGATCCCAAAACCACCTCGCCCGCTTGTGCCATCTGTCCCTTTTGTGCACTGCACACGGCGCACGCACACGCGCGCTGCCAGCTAGTTGCCAACCTCCAGGTCACCCATCCCCCAGAGATCGCTGCTCTGTCGTCGTTTTTCTGCGTTCCAAATCCTCGTCTGTTTGGCGGAGCGCCCACCCGGTCATCGCAGAACAAGACTTTTTAACCTTTTTCGTGACGACCCGTGGCATGTGTTGGGGATGCCTGTGTGCTCGTCTTCGATCGAGCCTCCATATCCTCCTCTGTGTGCAATTATGACGATGCTGCACGGTTATCCCCCTCTAAGCGTTGGCCTCTTTGCAGCCGGGTAGCTTTTTCCCTTTGCGCTGCCTCCCCTTGCGTTTCTGTATCTTTTTGTCTCTGCGCTACACCTGACACGGGCGTGCTCCGGAAATGACTTTGTGGGGACCCACATACAAGATTTTTCGAATCCTCATAGAAGCGCCCCCCAGAGGTAGGCCCGAAATAGCAGTACGCCCCTGGCCGTCTTGTGTTTGTGCTTTACAACAGCGCCAAGCGCCGGCCAGAGAGCCGGCCTCATCGGAATCTGAGCTCTCTCGATTTGACCGTGTTCTTGCCGAACTCACCATCGTCTGTCCTGTCTGGAGCCGGCCAGATGAAACGTGGAGCGCTCACTTCAACTCTCGTCTACAACGTATCTGTTTCCTCCTCTTTGCTCAGCACATGGATACGATTTCTCCGTTGGCGCTCCTTACGGGAGGGCTGCGGCGGGTAAGTTGTTCCTGCTTATCTCTGCCCTATCTGCCTGCCACACAAGGAACGGCAAGCAGCGCCATACCTAACCTACATCCTAATTGGTCTTCAACCGAGCTTTTATCCGCTGGTGGCGCAGACATCTGCTTCCACGCGTGTATGATCTCTCCAGATCCTGGCATGTGAAACAAACCTGGAGTAGCAGTCCGTCCGGGGAACAGCGAATTACGTTGCTTCATGCTGCCCGTGATGTGATTATACAACTCATCGATGTTCCTTCGATATGCGCAGCTCGTCCAACGGAATGAGCCCTCGTTACGTTGCTCCGCTTTCACACTGCCATTGTCATCCAATTTACTGCACGTTGACTATCCGCGTTCCAAATCAGACACGGATCGAGTGGAGGGGTCGAGCGACATGCCTCCTCATATCAGGCGGGTAATTGCGCTCCACACTTGGATTGTCCAACTGTCCATACACACACGGGAATCTGCTTCTTTCTTCCGATAAGAACATTTCCCTCTATTCATCCATGCCTAGTCTCAAGACCAAAGGCTCGGTTGGGGTAGCGCGGGGGAAGAGTGTCGCAGCCATTGATAGAACCTGGGGCATCAGGTGAACTCGTTAAACTCGGCTGAGGACCCTTCGCAGGTCGAGCGCCCGTCTGCATTTGAGCGACACTTTCAGCGCCTGGCAGAACCAAAACGTAATCCTTTTCCTAATCGTTAGACCTTTGCGCGATCGTCAATCACGCCATTGTCTCCTCCTGCATCGCTGGCTGCTCTCACACGTACTGTACAGAGCTCGTCTCCTTTCGCCCACCGCGATCAACACAGCACACACCCCTCATTCAGAACTGACTTTCATAGCATCTCATAGATCCGGGAGGATGCCAAGTAACCTGGAGGTCGCAAGCCACATTTGCACATCCTCCACCCTCTACCATTGCCATGGGTCAATGCGGCATTCCCGTGAGTCTGCGGCCAAGGTTCTCGCGCCGGCAGTCCAAAGACTTCACTCTCCCCAGGTTCTAGAATATCACACCATCTTGAAGGCTTCAGACGTCTTGTTGATGTTACATGATGGCTTTATGGCTGTGAGCCGCTTTTAGTCGCTTTGAATCGCTTCGGATCGCCTTGGGTCGCTCCTATCAGAGTGCGGGTTGTTCTACGAAAGTTGGAGACGGGCCAGATTTACAGACCCACCATGTGACCGAGTCATTGTTGGGTTCTCGGTGTGATTGCGATCCCCACATACTTGTTCAAATTCCAGATGCTCAATCACAAAGCAACGTTACCTAACTACTCGGACGGCAATTGACTCGATTGCAGAGTCTCCATGGCGAACTGTGTGCCGGTCCACAGACGAGAAGAATTGTCATCGGGTACAATCGGGCTCACTTTGCGGCAGATGAGAGTGGTGCGAGGCTCCACACATCGATATGAGATTATCAGTTGCAACGCCTAGATCCGCCGCTGCCATTGGGGGAGCGGTTCAAGCGATCTCCGCCCTTGGACGTTGGTTTACAGCCTACCAGCCTTTGCCAACACGTGGCCGTACTCTAAGCCCCCAGAGCCAAACGCCAAAGGATCGATGCAGGTCCCAACTCCAGAAACCCATCTTTGGCCTGCTCTCCGCAAATACACAGCGCCACCAACAAACAACAAGATTTCTCAAAGAAATTTTGTCTTTTGCGCGTTGTTTAGTCAACAGCTTCGGTGCGCGCCCACCCCAACGTTTGGAGAGTGCAAAGAAAAAGTCGTCTGTTATCTTCTTGGCAGTAGAATTTGCTCCCTCGCACCGAATTTAGCATGGCGTCCGAAACATTGCCGTACAACCATCCCCAACACATTTGACGAGAGAAACACGTTCAGGGAAAAATCTTTTCCTGCGTTTTCTTTTCGCGGCGGATTTACGGCGTCACGCCATGGCTCCGTCGTCATCATCTCGCAAGAGGTTTCGAGTTCTATCCCCGGTCCCCATCAAAACGTTCACGATTCAGTAACCAGGTAGCCTAGTTTCGATATGCTCGCTTGGTGAGTTGAGCGCAGTGAGCACTGGCTTTCACCGCTCTTGGCTCAACATGGACAGCACTGTGGCCGGAGTTTTCTCTGTAACTCTCGCTCGTAGAGCAATCGCCGGGCCGACTCTTGAGTGAGATGCAAGCCTGAAGCCAGCCTCCCAGGTCCCACCAATATGTTAGGCAATCATAGACGCGATTCGCTTCGAGCTCAGCTCAACAAAGTGTTATCTGCCATTCCCAACAACGAAGTCGTAGGATGATAAAGATGCAAGCAGGCTGTCAAATCGCGAGTTGTTCAATACCATCTTGTTCCTGCAGCTCGACGTCGATGGTGTGGGGAGACCCGACCCCACGACGAGCATTGCCATGTGCTTCCAAGACCAACCAAGCCTCACCCACACGTGCAAAGCCACCACAACTTGACAAGGAGGCGGTTTGTGGATGGAACTTTCAGCCCTTCCAGAGCGAGAAGGACATGAGCAATTGAGCCATGGTGAAATGGCTTCACTTTGACATTGCAAGCCATGTGAATGTCTAGATCCACGCCAATTGCGCACTGATAAGCACAAATCGCACTATCTTGCTTTTGTGCGCTCAGCGAGGGCTGACAGTCTACTTTAATGTGATTATCACATTCTGTTCAAGCAAAGCAAGATAGGAGTGCCGACAGGTTTCGCCGAAACGCGTCGCAACAGGTTGAGCTCCTGCCCAACGAAACCTCGCAGCCTAATCACGATTCGTGCTCTCGCAGCTCACAAATAGTGTTGGGAAATCTATGCGGATGCCTTCGTTTTCTTTTTGGAAGCAAAATTGCGTGATTCAGACCCTGTGCGATAGCCTCGAGTAAAGACACCAACAAACCGCGAAAATACGCCATACGACGATGCGCCAGGTTACTGACAGATACGACCTGTCGTATACGAACATCCCCGCAGAAGGACGTGGTCAACTGGGGAGACTGCGGGAAAGAAAAGGAGGTTTTCTGGAGAACGAGTTCTCCAGCTGATAGCTCTTTTGCCTAACGTTATCACCCTCGGTCTCGACGGATGAAGGAATCCCGCAGCACGCAAAAGGAATGCCATCTCCATGAGCCGGAAACTGCGGCTTGTATGATATTGCTCTCCGTACTCACCGAGGACACTAGCCGATGTGGATATCCACCGCTTATTGGCGTTCCCCAATATTCTCCACTCGGGAGCTGCATATCGTTCCTTGCAGACTAACAACAGAGTATATTAGCATTCCTGCGGATCAGCGCCTTCTTACCCGACCTTGTGGAGTCTGGAGCAACACAACAATCAAGCGTTCACAATCAAGCGTTCACAACCAAGGCGGTAACAATTCCTAAGTCGAAACGTGGGTGGGTGGTTGGACGCCACATTTCAGTACAGTGGCGTTGGGTTTGGCAGATCGCTGTCACTGTGATAGCACGTGCGTCGGGAGGGTTGTTGAACATGTCACTTATCATCACTGAAGACAGCTTGCTGAGAAAGAGATCGACGCATCAAACAGGAGCAAAACTTACAGTGGTGGAGATGACCGCGCGACGGAACAGAAAGTCGCGCTTTTAACACGGGCTGAACCTCTTGCTCATACTCTCAGCTTGAACGACACACGGGCCTATGAGCATATTCTTGCCGACCTTCAAACACATCTGCTGACTTTCCTTTTGTGGTCTCGGTCGCAAACGTCGCTTCGAACGCCTACTCATTTGAACATGATGATTTCGTTTATCTTTACCGTTGACCATAGCCACGACATGCCCTGAGTGGATCCTCCTGCTTGGTTATAGCTCCACAGATAAGAAAGAAGTCCGACGCAACCCGCTTCCTTCGCTCACAAGAGCATGCATGTGAGTGCTCTAGCTAAGGACAATTGGTTCTTGCAATATCTTGATCGACAATCTCATCGATATGCTGTTGAAAGATTGGTGTTGCTGCAGTGTTCGAAGTGCAACAAGAATGATTCGAGGGACATGACAGGGCCTTTTGTACGGCGAAGGCGCGAAAGAGCAGTTCTGTCGTTTCAATCAAGGTCCGTAGACTGTTCATGGCAAGTACACGATATGTCTTTGTCATCTACTGGAGCATTTCTCTGCCTTTTCTACCTCCGTCCGAATCTCGAACCAGGCGGTAGATGGGCTGTTAGAAGACAAGATGTTCCCCAGAAACAGACCGACGTCCACTGACGACCATCCTCGATGCGCGTTTGGTTCATAGAAGCGTGCGCATTCTGATGAGTACACGTGCGAGCTTCTTCATGAAAACAGGTTACTTTGCGCACACCACACGCAGAGAGTAGGTTCTCATTTCTGTCGAAATCAGGTTATCAAGGCGTCAGCAAGCAACCAGATCGAGCAGAATTCTCTCATTAAACTCTCAAACGAACTCTTGTCACTACCACCTCGGCTTTTTCTCTTCCATGGCAACATGAACTCTTCAATGCACCTTCCCTCGACAATCATCGAGTTATCTGAAACTTACACTGGACGAGATGGCATCGAGATCATCACCAACAATCTCCAACTTCACCGACGAGCCTTGGGAGACAGCAACGATTATCGGGGAGACCTACGAGGATGAATACCTCGTCCGAAAACACATCTCTTCCACGGGCGAACTAGCAAACAAGAAGATGCAGAGCAGGCTACGGACTGATCATGTTCTTCGCCGCAAAATCATCGTTGGTGCCTGTGTGGGCAGCGTTCTCTTCCTAGCACTGCTTGGTTTTGGTATCAGTATGTTTGCGGCCTAGAGACAAATGCTCGGTCAGTTCTCCAAGGTATATCGGCCTTTGCGCTTTACCTAAAGCACAATTGCTGACCGATTTTGTAGTCGGTTTGATCGAGCCGCACGATGTTTGGCCAGGGTCGTAGCTGTAACAACTAATCATCGAGGTGAATATGATTTTGATGCCACAATACGCACTCTGTGACCTTTTGCTGGTAGCTCCAGGTAGGGATCATATTGATAGATCTCATCGATGCTTCAAGGATCAAAGAAAATGGAACGTTGCGCGATCTTTCGTGTTTGTGTTGACTCAAAGCTTTTGCAGCGGACATCAACCGACAAGAGCAAGTGACCCATGGTACCTTTCTACGGATTTAGCACGGTATCACCCGAGGTCGAACTGCTTTTGTGTTAAACTATCCCGATCATCTTCGTGTGAGGGGTTCTGGATAGATGTTTCAATGTTTGAGTGGTTGGTTGACGGATAGTTGGTACCAAATGTTGAACCGACACTACATGCGTGCTCAAATACACAGTCACTTTGATACTAAACAAACGCAACGAAAGGAATAGATTTCGCTATCGATATGCGACCTTACTCATGTGGTTTAAGACTTGGAAAGGGAAAGTTGTATACAGTACTCATGTGATCGTACGTCTGCCGACCCCTGATATGGTCGCACGCATCCAGTGCACGGTTGGAATCAGTCAGGCGATGGGTAAGATATTAAACGCACGGTCATAGTCCTTCAAATGAAAGTCCTGATCATTTTCAATTGTTACATGTCTACGCTGCTTGTATCAGTTGAGGACTTCTAGACATCGACTTAGTGAATATTCGCTCTCTCAAATTTCTGATTTGCTCGCAATTTCGATCAGATCTTCTAGGTGAATCAAGTGCATGCTGTGTAGGAATGCTATTTGGTTGAGATGCCATCGATAGCACCTTCCGTTTTAAGATTCGTCCAAGAGGTCGCTGTTGCTACGATATTGCTGTCGGTGTTGGAATGAGCAGCACTATTGGTGGATGTACGAAGAGGGGCACTGAGAATACTATTAGCTCGACCCTCGTTCTGGGATGCATAGAGAGTGATACATTCGATCTTGGGGGTGAGGAGAACTGTGTCGACAAGATGTCTGTTCCTTCCTCGACACCACTGTCGAAGTTGACCGAAGACTCGTCGCCTGAGTTGTTGGAAGGGACACAGTCGTCGTCGAGAGTCAGGTCGATAAGCTCGCTGTAGCTGGTGTTGTTGTTGTTGGAAAAAATGGAGCCATCGTCGAGAGTTAGGTCGATAAGCTCTTCCTGACTGCCAGGCCCGAGTTGAGTCGTGGCTGTGAGTGAGGATACTTGGGTGTTCTCGACGGCTTCGTCTCCTTCAACGACGATGCAATCCTGCATTGCCTTGTTCTTGTATGCTTCTCTGATGGTTCGGAGTTCAGCCTGGAGCTCAGCCAGTATTTTAGCGCGTAGCTCGGCCCGGGCCTCGGTCTGGATCTCTGCGTGGTACTCTGCGACCTCACGAAGGGAATCCCGAGCACACAAAAGCGAGGCCAGTGCCATGTAAGCGCGAATGTGGTAAGATCGTGGGAGCTCGCTGTAGTCGTCGACGAGATCTTCTGCAATGCCACGGGAACGCTTCTTGTCTGTCTTGTCCCTAGACTTCGCGAGCATCTCCATTTGATCCCAAAGCTTCTCGAATCCTGCTTGCTTGTCGGCGTGTGCCATTGTCGAAAAGACGGTTTGCTGCTGTGATGATAGTACAGGAATGAAGATGCAGTGACCAGGTAGATGCGTGCGGATGGAATTGACCAAGAGACGCACAGCAAGGGAGTAGTGAGCAAAACGCAAGTCTTGACTCATCCGCTCACTTATAAAGTCTCTCACTCTAATCGATTTCTGCATTGAGAGCACACGCATACTCACTCTCTCAGAGACTCACCCTTCACTTTCACTACACTCCGAACGAGGAAGAGACAATCGCACCAGTCCTTGGCGGCACTCACTCTCCGTATACTAAAGGCCATCGTAATGTTTGCCATGGAAATTTAAAATACTTTCAGAAAGAACTGATTACCACAGAGAGATTCACTGGGATGTCCATGGCTACGCTTCTACGCGCATGGCAGTTTTACATTTCTGCAGCTTACAAGCTCACTAAACGTTACCGTGAGGGAGAGTCCATCGTATGATTATGACAGGTTTTGACGCACCAGGAGGTCAGGGGCTTGCGGTTCGTCACTCCGAGTCCGAGCCATCATTTAGGGTGGGTAGCGTACTGTCAGAATGCAGTCGTATTCAACTCAGAGTCATGTCCAGCGTATGCCGTTGAATTATCGACTCGAAGATATGACTTCTACAAGAGAGTAATTTCAATGTCATCCCCTGAAAGTCATCCTTCTGTATATGTCGGTAGGGAGATCGAAATGAGAGCCCAAAAATGTAGGCAGATGCAACCATTGGCTAGCGATGTTTCCTCCACGATCACAAGATCGGCGAGAGATACTCATGCTCTTGACGGAAGTCCAGCATTCTGCTCACCCAGCAAGATCCTAAGATGAGAATTCGATGGGACAACTGGCTCGATGATCACGATATATTGCAAATATTGTTGTTGACATAATGCCATGTCGTTCGAGTAGGACAACTCTCTCCGAAGAGTCCGGGTTGAAGACGCACACGTAACACCTTCGATCCGACAAGGGTCTTGGTTGGCAGGTGAATCTCAGTCGTCTTTCTACACGGCGTGTATGGTCGGGCAAATTGACCAGTTTGCGTCGGTGCCCAACGTCGAGAAACATGATGTGTTGTCCAGACTCCGGGTATCCTGCCCAGTGAATTCCTTCTGAATGTCGAAATTCATGCTTGTTCGCTTACCCTTAAAAGCAAAAGGATGATGAAGAGTGCATACAAGACACTATAAGCTCATCGAAAAGAAAATGTCCCGCCGAATGGTGTTTCGAGAATGCATCATAGCAAAACAAACTTGTTTTGGGAGAAGTCCTGCCGTGTGATCCACCAATCGCTACTGGATCACCAGCGCCTATTAGCTATTAGCGGATTGCTTGGAAAAAGGTACTTTGATCAGCTTTTAGCCAGAACTGCTGGTTTACTATTCGTGAACCAGGCGTGTTACCGCGTGTAGCTCAGGTCAGACACAGCCTCAGAAGGATCAAGCTGTATCGAGACCCCTTTGTTGCCAAGAGGGATCGAGTGGCATATAATCGACTCTAGGGCCACAAACAACCTCCGCATAGCCGAACCTGTCACATTTGACTGTCTCTCACGGCCACTTGTAGCAACATGTTGTGCAGCTGTTCCAGAGTCAGAGATGCGTCCCAGAGAGCTTGCCATGTAGTCTCTATACTTCTCCTCAGAGTATTGTGCATCTTGGAAAACACGTATGACTATCTTTTGCACATGAAGAGAAAAGAAGGCCTCGTCGCACACTCAAGTCAAGCATGAGCTTGGCCTGAGATTGTGCTCTGCATCGAAGAGGCTCGCCCATATTCCCGTAGCCTCTTTCCCTAACGAAATTGACCAGTCGTTCCGGAAACGATCGATTGATTGCAGAGTCCGACCATAAAGATCGGCCCTGCTCCAGAATAGCGGACTGGTGCTTGTTCCAGTAGTACATGCATCATGCATACCCCTCAGAGAATGTTGTCGGCGCCGATGTCCCATAACATAGTCCTTGGGGATATATGGCGCAGGTTATTATCGAATCTGTTAAAACCGTGCACACTTTACCGAGCCTCCAAAGTCGAACTGCCAGTTCCAAGAGCAATAGCGAGAGACGTGCAGAGTGGAGAAAGGTAGTGTGGAGACGACGGGGAAGTACCCGTAGCCGTTGGACACCCTGCATTGTTCCAAACACGAGGTTGTCCATTGATCTGCCGTGCGCAACAATGGCGGTGCTTCGACAGCTTGAGCCTTGAGATACCCGAAAGACGAGACAGAACTCAGTCTCGAGCGTGACACGAGTTTCGAGTTGGCGCATGAACAGGTTTGAAGGTGCTTGCAACATGCATTCCACTGTGTAGGGCGTGACGGAGGCACATGACGCGACTTTCAGCATCAAGAAATGCAGCAGTCGCGGAAGATGGCGCGACGGCAACGCGCCATTTCAATCCAAAGCGACGGCTTCTCGTGGCCGCAGAGGCTTCGACGCCATCCAGCACGCCCGTGGATCATGTTGTGTGCGGAAGCTGCAGGACTCCTGTTAGTGGCGGTGTGGAGGGAAGGTGATTGGGTTGTGGCAGGCCCGACAGGTCGAGACGAGGTTGGACGCTGCGGTCAAGGTGTGATCGATGCGTGACGGGCTTGATGAATCGTGTCACCACAAGAGCCCATGTGCTTAGAAGGGCCACCGTCCTTTCTCGTCTCGCTAGGTCGACAGCTATCTCGTGCCTGCTGATTTGATTGTCGTTTAGAGGGTCGCGATTGCCATTCGCTCGTTAGGTTTTTGCTATTCCCATCGGCGCAACATCACCTAATCCTTGCCGTCCCCACGGCCACCACGTTACCTAGCATCCCTTCCCGTGATAATAAAGGTTACCTGCTCCTCCGCTGCAGTGCTTCCTCCCCCTAATCTACCACACCGCCTTCCTTGTACCATGCATCACCACCACCACGCCGACTCTGAGAGCCTACGGAGTCGCAGCTCCAGCTATTCGAACAGTGATTTTGGCAGCAGCAACCAGTCTCGTCAGTCTCACAGTACACAAGGCACACAGTATACCGGGCCTTCGTCAAGACCCCCATTTGTACACTACGAGACATGTGAGGGAAGGCTTGAGGGCTCCCGGCTCGAATACTGTCACCAAATCGAGGATCCCAGGTCGTCCGTAGAGACCTATGCCTCGACCGTGCCTTCGGAAGTCGACGATGACGAGGAGCCTTTGTCTGACGGACCCCGTCCATTGTCTCGCCCGGATGTATATCAAAGCAGAGCGATCCCATCAACTCCGTCAGATTTCGCCGAATTGTTTCCATCAGAACGCCTCTTGTCGATAAGACACGATGACTCCACACCTGACGGCAACATGAACCTCCGGATTGACACAGTATATGAGAATTCACGTTACAGCCCAATCGATGTCACTCTATTTCACCTTCGCATGCACGACCTGAAATCTAGGCAATTCTCGTTGAGGAGATATTGCAGAGAATCCGGCCGGGAGGTCTGCCATTCCATGCGTAAATGTCAAAAGAGTAGTGCTGAGCGAAGGATGGATATCCAGAGGTCTCTCAGTAACGCTTTCGCATCTCTTCGCACGATAGCAGAATACAAAGCATCTGCTCCGTCTGCCGGACTCAAGAGATCGGATTCTGGATACGAGTCACTCCAGTCGCACAAAAGCATTGAGCCCAACCAGCAAGCCGTCACACCAACTGGCCTTCTCAGCAGGGGACATGTGCCTATTCCCACCAAGACCATTAAGCTTGAGTTCTCGAATTATGCACAGGTGGAGGTGAAGCGTCGTGGTGCCAAGAGTAGTAAACGATATGAGTTTGAGTATTGGGGAGTTCATTATGTCTGGAAACGTATCACGGATCGAATTGGCTCTTCGAAGGAAGTGTCCTTCTGCTTGTTTCGCAACAACGAGGACTGTGCTCTTGCCCGGATCAAGCCTACCCTCATGAGTGGTGTGCAACAGCGCGAAGAGCTTTCGAAAGGAGGTTGGGTTCCGCCGTGCACTATGGGCATAACCGACGAAGAGATCCTCGAGAACCACAACGAAATTACAGAGTAGGTTCTGTATCTGGTGACTCCAAACTCACCGCCTTACTGACTANTCTCTAGTGTTGTTGTTGCCGCTGGTCTGATAGCGCTGGTGGACGACTGCATCAAGCGCCGGTTTCACACCAGACAAGTTCGTGGGATTGTCGTTCCAATCCCTAAATTTCGGCTAGACATGGAGTACACGAGTACCGCCAAACATTCAGGCGAAGAACAGGCCCGTCGACCTTCAACCAGGGGCTCCACTGCAAGCCGCCGGCCCACACCGCTTCGCAAAGGAAGTTGCGACGTATAACACGACGTTTCGACGGGACGATGCCACATTCGCCTGTCACCGACACAGCTCTTGGTACAGAAGTGTTGCGATCACCCGAGGCTGACTCGTCTTTCGCATCTCGACTCTGTTTGATGTTTTCCTTTCTGATTCAAGTCAAAGCACGATGACGGAAACTTGTCGGTTGCGTGGTGCACTTGCATCCCACTGTAGCCTGCACCACACAAAGAATTTCGGACGTTCCCAAAGTGTTTGTATCGCTTTGAGATATGTCATGTCTCCATGGTCGCTATCCCAATAGAATGGATACCTAACCTATCATGCGCTCGGATCATATAATGCCCAGCATTAACGATAAACACAAATATACACGTTCACGAATCTTGAAATATTCATAAATGATCACTACACTTTAAATCATGGTTGTACAAATCTCTATTCTTCGCCGCTTCGTACATCTTGGAGATTTAGAGTAATCGGGGATGTGATGCTGTCCCACTATCCCTGTATCTGATCACGCAGGTACCCGAAGGCATCCGGCATTTTTGATGCACGACCATGTCGTCAAGAATGTGGCTTCTCATAATTCATAGCGCTGGAGCTGGTTTTGGAGTTTGCGGATTGGCAGTGTTTTTCACTCTCCATTCGAGGGATGACGTGGCTCATTGATTGAGTCAATGTCCACACCACTCTACACAAGTTTGCCAGCATGCGTTGTTGCGACTACAGCAGACTGACAGTACAGGTCCTGGTGATTCGCTGCCCGACCCGCTGGGCTTGACACAACGCGGCAGTGTTGCCGAATGCAAGCCAGTTCAGATCCTGTAGCAAATGATTGATCTAAAGTGGAGTCTATGTGACTGCCACTTCATCGGGCCTTCTTCTCCCCATATAGCGGCTCGGGAACCAGTATCGTGATTACCCATCATCTTGCTGTTGGAGGCAGATCATACGCAAACAAACCTGGGTATTACACACGGGCGGGACGGCCCTGCGAAGAGCCTCTAGCGGACAACGAGTGTTGTTTCGAAGACCCATTTCGACATCTCCCTGCCACTTGCCTTGTTTGACAGCACACAGCACACATCCTACCTATCAATTTATCAGGGCAGAGGCCTGCCAAGTAGGACACGAAGCAACTGTCCGCTTTGCTGCCCAGGATATTGGGGATGTAAAGTGACATGTCGAAGGTCGAGATTGGAGTTCAAGGACAGGAGCACAGTATAAGAACTCGTACGGCGAAGCTGTGGTTTGTCAAGTCATCTTCCAATCCACGTCACGATCCGTGACTACCAAAGCCCTCGACATCTTTCTCGTCCCTACCAATCCTGTTCTCATCCAAATACAAGATGGCCTCCATGACTGCTTCCAGAGTCCACACCACCACAACCCCAGCTCACTCCACTGTCTGGCAGAACAAGCTCATGAGTATGTATAGCCCACTGTCTAGTTGATGTCAAGAGGCTGATCAGGTATACANNGATGAGTGCAGAAGCCGTGGCCTTCGTGCTCCTAACTTCCAGGAATGCTCCGACAGACGTGGTATGTCTTCAAGAGTTCGACAAATTGAGTTCAACAAACATTGATATCTTTCAGGTGGCCGCACTGCTTGGTCCAGTGTGGTTGAAGTCAACGGTTGCAAGCACCAGGCTCGCTACTGGTACGACGGAGACTGGGTCAACAACGCTCGCGAGGACGCCGCAGAGGTTGCTCTCCAGCGCATGGGTGTGGTCCCTATCCCTCGCGGCCCCCATGCACGTCTCCTTGGATCTATCAGCGTGTAAAAAGGTCAGCATCCACCATGCCAGACGTGGCGAGTCTCGCCGTCTCTTTTCGTTTGATCATCATACTTGGGTATTGCTTTGAGGAGTCAGGAAGTGGTTTATCAGTGGAATGGTGTCTCTTGCTATCGGGTCATGTTTCATAAAAGGCGCGTGTCGGGGTCCGGACCAAAATACAGCTCAGCTACATCAGCAGCATGGCGAAAAGGCGTTGTCTCTTACAAAGAAAGGACACCTAGATAGACACACTTGGGATTTCTTTTGTCGACTTGCATACTGCACTGAGTATCTGTATTCGTAAATGACAATCTTTGAGCTCGATATCCAATTTGGAACACGAGCACCTTCGAATGGATTTGATCAGGCACATAAAAGCCGTGGACGACATGTGTCTAATGTGTCAAGTGCCGGCAAGATTGGCCGAATGCGAATGTGGAGAGAAGAAGGTCAAGGCGGAGGCGGAGAACGCGACTGCTTTTTCTTCCTTCTCAGAATCCCTCTTCTTATCAGTGCCCAAGCCCTCTCACGAAATCGCATCGAGCAAGAGGGCGCGTTTGGTATCTTTTCCGAGGGTATCGTTGTCTCGCACGGCTCCGGCCTCCCTACCAGCCATGAGCAGCCTATCTCCCAGTGACTGTTTTGGCGACACAGCGTGTTGCTCGAGTTTGCCCGGACCAATCGATCGAGTAATTGATTGACGTAAATGGTCATCGCCGACAACCGAACCGTTAATCCTGCTCTCCATGTACATACACACGGTACAGTGAAATCTTCTCTTGACCTCAGTCGCATACCTTATCTTTCATCGGTTGCTATATCTGTTCAACATTCCCAGCTTCTATAAATACACTTAGTATACCCTTTAACACACAGAAATTGCACCCTCACTTCTCTGTTCTCTCAAATAACCGTTCGCTTGTACCTTATGAGATTTCATTTCAATATTGCACACGATTGGAGATCGAACCAACAGAAGTTTTAGATTGAACACACTCTAGATTCTTCGTTCCTCAAAACCAATCGAGCTTGCGAAATTCCCACATCTGGCACAATGGCCGACAATTTCAAGGACGATGGTCCAGATACAATTGGACCCGAGACTACACCAAGGAGGTCATTCTCCGAGAAAGGCCGTCGCTTGGTCAAAGCCTTTACGACCAAAGAAGGCCTAGTAGGCGACTATGACTATGCCTTTCTGTTCAAGCCTCAGCTACCGTTCATGAAACGGGCAAGACGGGCAGGCCCCTTCTTCGGTCTCGACGACAAAATGCCAGTCTTTCTTGCCTTGCTACTAGGTTTTCAGCATGCTCTTGCTATGCTGGCGGGAATCATCACGCCTCCCATTATTCTATCGGGCAGTGCCAACCTGATTCAGGCAGACCAGCAATATCTGGTATCAGCGTGTCTTATCATGAGCGGTATCTTGAGCATCATTCAGATATCACGCTTTCACATCTGGAAGTCACCTTACTACATTGGCACTGGCTTGATATCGGTCGTGGGAACATCTTTTGCAACTATCCCTGTTGCTACAGGTGCATTTTCGCAAATGTACGCCACGGGTTTCTGTCCGTCAGACGCGGATGGTAACCCTCTCCCTTGCCCTGATGGATATGGTGCCCTGATTGCCACTTCTTGTGTTTGTGCTCTTCTCGAGATTCTGATGAGCTTTACTCCACCAAGGATCCTGAAGAAGATCTTCCCACCCATCGTTACCGGACCCACTGTCATGCTGATCGGTGTGTCCTTGATTAGCTCAGGCTTTGAGAACTGGGCTGGAGGTAGCGGTAGCTGCCTGTCTCGCCCTGAAACTGGTCTCTATCGTCTGTGCCCCACCATTAACGCACCTCACGCCCTTCCTTGGGGAAGTGCAGAGTTCGTCGGACTGGGATTCCTTGTCTTCGTCAGCATTGTTCTGACTGAGCGCTTTGGCAGCCCAATCATGAAGTCGTGTGCTGTTGTCATCGGTCTTCTGGTCGGGTGTATCGTAGCTGCTGCATGCGGCTATTTCGACCGCAGCGGAATTGATGCTGCACCCGTTGCCAACTTCATCTGGGTTCGCACTTTCAAGCTTCAGGTCTACGGTCCCCTGGTCTTACCGTTGTTAACTGTGTACATCGTCCTGGCAATGGAGGCCATTGGTGACATCACGGCATCGTGTGATGTATCTCGCCTTCAGGTCGACGGAGCCACATTCAATAGCCGTATTCAAGGCGGTGTCCTTGCTGACGGGCTGAACGGACTAATTGCAGGTCTCTGCACATTAACGTAAGTGACTTTTCATTCCACCCCTCAACTCCTCATACAACGCCTTCAAACTAACTTTATCATTAGGCCGATGTCAGTATTCGCGCAGAACAATGGTGTAATTGTACATTTAACCCTAAACCCTTGGTGAAAGAATAGAGCTGACCAAAAGAAAGNNGCCCTGACTCGATGCGCTAACCGAAAGGCCGGATATGCGGCCTGCTTCTGGCTACTCATCATGGGTATCTTTAGCAAGTTCGCAGCTGCATTAGTAGCCATTCCTTCTGCTGTACTCGGTGGCATGACAACGTTCTTGTTCGCCTCTGTGGCGACTAGCGGTCTTCGTATCATCTCGACCGTCCCATTCACTCGCCGTAACCGTTTCATCCTCGCCGCAGCATTCGCCCCTGGATTCGGTGCTACTCTTGTCCCTACGTAAGTGTAAGCTTCAAAGTTGTCGTCTTTATGATCACTTACATAACCTATAGTTNGGTTCAGCTATGTCTTCACATACTCTGGTAGCAACCAAGCTCTGCAAGGCTTCTTCAATGCTATTGTACTGGTTATGGAGGAGGGTTTCGCCCTCGCTGCCTTCATTGCCCTCATTCTCAACCTGATACTGCCTGAAGAGATGGAGGATGAAGATATTCCCGAGTTGACTGCCAACAATATCGATGCACCAGCAGACGAGGAAGAGTGGCGACACATTAGAAGAGAAGACGAGAGTGAGAAGATTTCGCCCGTCAAGAACTGACCCGTATCTACGAGATGACGATTGTGGTATACAGTACTGAATTAGGTAGACAGAGTGAGCTGGAACGTCAAAAGCCGGGTCTCAATGCATTGTTGGGCTTTATTCAAGACTGCTAGTATGCTGTATTGTGATACTGTGTCTATTCGAGTATAATCCAGCAGAGAATAGCCAAGGTATCGGCCATATCTTATGTGTACTCTGTAGTGTCCAGAGCTAGATCGTCAATCTGATCGAGACGCAAGCGGAATCTTGAGGAAAGAAAAGGTGTAAGAGGACCGCATCTTTCTTTGCCTGGTTAGATGTGAACCAAGTGGTCTCTGTTTTTTTGAATTCCGAAGTCCATGGTGCGACCCTGGCTTTCGGAAAATGCCGTCCATGTTCAGCCCCAGGAGCATCTCGGTGCGACAGTGCGCAGCCATGTTCCTGCATACACAACGCCGTGGTTTAACTCCTTACAACCTGCAGGTCCCGTGCACTTTATCGCCAACTCGATAACATCAGCATGAAATCGGGCACACGATCTGATACCCAGAATGGCATCTAACCACGGCGAGGCTTCGTCCATGAAGCAGGCGGCGAACACTGAAGATCTGATTGCACTTGCCAAGTCAGCGCTTGCGGAGACGGAGGAGAAGCAACTCGCCGCTCTAGATGGTGGTGCGCAACTGCCTTTTGGCTATGGCACCCAGCCCGGCGACACTCTCGATCTGAGCGACAAGGGTGTACGGGTGTTGCCCGTCGAATTGATCAATCTGATTAAAGAGCGGGTGGAGAGGTAGCGAATTGACCCCTTTTGTTTAACTGAGAACGCTATACTGACTTTATGCANNAGGCTCTCGCTTGGACACAATCGGCTCACAGAGATACCTGCCGATCTCATCTTTTGTTCCAATCTGCTGTATCTGAACCTTCGTCACAACAAACTCAATGCCTTTCCAGAACCGGTACNNGAAGCTTGCAGCATATTGACATTGCTTCAGTCTAACAATGCCAAGGTTTTCCATCTTAGGAAACTCCAGATCCTGGATCTCAGTCACAACAACATCACATCAGTCCCGGACGATGTTGGCCTTATGTATTCGCTCATGTTCTTGGCCATTGAGTCGAACCAGATCAAACGTCTGCCGATATGTATGGGCGAAATGTCGCGTTTGCAGAAGCTCAAAGTCGGATCCAAATCAATGGAGTTTCCACCACCGGAAGTGTTCATTCCCAATCCCCTCGGCACATCACCAGGTGGGCCTCTAGTGGAAGAGGCACGTCAAGTCTGCTCGCAGGTCAAACTGTTTCTCCGCGAATATAAACAACGCGAGATCTTGGGAAGAGAGACACCAGACTTCAGGTAACGAAGTATCATCCCGAAAGCATAAAGAAGACAGACTGACAAGCGGTGTAGCGAGAGTAGCCTAGAAACTCCACGCCCTCCCAAGAGGTCAATATCGGGCAGATTTCCTGTGAGACCGAGCATGAGTGGCATCGATGGGCTTGATACGCTTAGGTCTGGTGACGGACTCGGCCTGAAACCACCACCACCGATACCGCAAAAGTCTCGTGCTAGGGACTCTCTCATCAATCCTCCGGTAGGCCGCCGGTTTGATCGTCCAGGCATTGGACCTCTCGCTGCTGAAGGTGAGAATGGTAGAAGCCGAAGCGAAACTGTCACCTCTACTGGTGCGCGGTCCAAACGACTTGGCTATGTTCCTCGCAAAATCTCTGGAAGCTCGCATACAACGGTAACAGAAACTGGCACGCTAAAAGCATATCATCATAGAGGAGCTTCGAGCTTGAGTCTTGCTGCTCACAGTGGTAACGAATCGTCTTCTGGAGCCGTTAGTCCTATGGAACCTTCCAACCGTATGGTTGTGGCTCGCCGTCGATTGTCCAGTCTGCCGGAAGACCGCCGAGTATCAAGACCAACAAGCATGACTGTCAAACTCGCAACCAGAATTGTTTTCGCTTTGTTTCAACTGAACGGTCCTATTGGAGATGCGGTACGAGTCATTAAGAGTGGGACGCCCAGAAAAACGACAATGGAACGAATTTTCTTCGAATCAAGCGCGAGTCTTGAAGAGCTGGACAGACGGCTGAATCAGATTTCCAATGGCACTGGAGAAAGCAGAGCATCAGAAAACGACCCCTGGATTCAAGCAATCCGCAGAAAGTGTGCTCATGTTCTCCAAAGCTATGCTACCCTCGCTGCAGAGCTCCGTCTTCATGCTCGCAAGATTGCACTGCGTGGTGAAGGCATGTACATTAGAAGTCTCATGCTTCACATCTACGGCACTCTGATCGAGATTCGTAATACCCTGACGTTCCAGGCTACCGAGGTCAAGGCACCAACAAGAAGTGCTCGTGGATCAATGGCGACTATCAGTCGATCTAGCACACCCACTCAGCCCAAGCCAATTGCTCCGAAGAAGAGGTTACGAGGCGCGACTATACTACAACCTTCACGACTGACAACTCCTGGAACTGCTCCTCCACCTGTCCCTCTCAGCACGAGTCGAAGCAATACTATGACGAGTATGAGCGCTGTAACGCCACGATCGGGAGAGTCGTTCTCGTCAGCCTCCGGTATACCACGATCCAGCGCAATTCAGCCACCGAGCGAGGAGAGCGAAGAGCAACGTCAGTTCGAGTCGATCTTCTTGAAGCTTCAAGGCGCCTGCGAACTTGCAGCTCAAACGCTCCCTGGTTGCAGAGTGGACTTCTACAGCCGAAACGAGTCAGCCAAACGATCGATGCAAGGATCCATGTCACGTCTCTGGTGGTTGGCTCTACAAAAATGTGATGTCGCAATCAATGCTTTGGAGTCGATGAGAAATCGGCTATCTAAGGTCAAGCTCAAGGATCCTAATCTGCGTACTCAGCGAGATTTCTGGCTGTTGTGCGATAAGTTCGTACGAGTAAGTTTCTACCAACTGTCATTTAACTTGGTGTTCACGGTAGCTAACGAAAGAACTAGANCATGGTTGGATCTCGCTCTCGAGATCAGAAACATTGGGAACCAAGGCTACGACACGGACTCCGTGAAGGTAGTCATGCGACCAGTGCAAAAAGCAGTCAAGGAGGTCAGTATAGCTGTCAATGGATCCCAGCTCTACCAGGCAGCACTCCGATCAAACTCGGTGTCCGGATACGTGACACCGGTTCCAGCAACTCCCTTGAGCGCAGCACTCGGACCAGCGGCACTCGCGACGGTGCCTTCGACGCCAAGCTCGGTGGTGTTGCCCTCCGAGTACATTGCTTCAGGCTTGCAAAGTGCGGCCGAGAGGCAATCAGATGCTCCCAGTCTGCGCAGCTATCCTCGAGGACGGGGAGTGTAACGAGCCTCCGGCTAGGGAATGTATATGAAGGTGAAAGATGGAGCAATTAAGCGAATGATACCATGGGAAGGACGGGATAGAGGTGCATTTCAAGGCGAATATGGCGAAGACGGGCATACATTCCTTTGGCTTTCCTGTTTTGTAAGATATAATGAGGGCTAGCATGGCATGGTTGACATCGAGTGAATACGAAGGGTGGAGTCTCAAGACATGCGCATACAGACAGCTTTTTGTCCCCAGACAAGTAGAGCGCAAGACAGACAAACGTACACACGAATTCAAAGCAAATACAATCACTTCTTTGCACAGTCGTAGCAGTTGTGGAGATTTTTTTGCTTGAGCCGGTCCATTTTTGAATAGCGAAACGTTCGGACTACAGAAAAGGCGAGCAGAAAAAAAGCCGCGCGGGCGAACCGACGAGAAGCAGCAGAGAAGTGCATGATCCTCCGGAGCCGTAAACTGTTCCCAATAGCCTGAGCGATTCCACCACGCTTGAAGATACACGGAGGAGGTATTTTTGAAGGTGAGGGTGAAGCGAAGAGGGGACGAGACGCTTAGTCGAAGAGACCGAAGCCCATGTCGTCGTCAGACTCCTCCTTCTCCTCGGCCTTCTCCTCGGCGGGGCGTCCTCAGCGGCGGCACCACCAGCGGAAGCACCAGCAGCGGGGGCGGCGGCGGCACCAGAGCCGGAGCCGACGTTCAGGAGGAGCTCCTTGACGTCCTTGCCCTCGAGAGCCTGTGGGACACGCGACGAGTCAGACAAAGTTCCTTTATTCTTTTTGCGATTGCTTCTTCTTCAGTGGGGGCGCAATGTGCGCGCTTCCTGCAGAGAGATTCGGGAGCAGTGTGATCGTACCTTGGCGAAGAGCTGAGTCCAGATGGGCTCAACCTCGAGCTTGGCGGCGGAGATGATGGTGCTGAGCTTGTCGGCCTGGTATATCGGGTCAGTAGGAAGTCGCGAAATTGGTGTTAGGCGGAGGGTCGCATACGGTGATCTCAATACCTTCATCGGCCAGGATGAGGGCAGCGTAGGAGGAAGCGAGCTCGGCGGTAGACATTTTGATGGGTTGTAGGTAAAGAGATGCCTTTCTGTTTTCTAAAAGGGTAACAGACGGACTTCTTCTCGTTGCGGTTGACGACGAATTCAGAGTCGGCACCACGGCAGGAGAAAAGTGTGCGATGGAATTTGGCGAGTGGGCGCACAGACTCTTTTCACTCTTGGCGGCGTCTTCCTTGGTGCTGTCAGGTGACTTGTGCAGCTTGTGCGGTGGACATGGAGCGACACCGAGCTGTGAAGAGATGTGCAGCTTGTGCACGCGGAGACGGGACTTTGCTGCCCGCTGCCAATACGTCAGTGGAGTGACCGCAGCGTCGTCCGCCGCTCATTCGACATTGCCAAATCCACTCAGCCGCATACCACCTGTCGACGCCGTATCTTGCCCAGAGACACCGTCCATCCCACTTCAGAATCCAGCATGACCGACTCGCCATTCGTGCGCTTCCCGCTCGACCCCAAGGAACAACCCATCCTCGACCGCCTGCTCGGCCTGCGCGACCAGCTCTCGGTCCTCAAGAGCGACCGCTCGTCATACATCCGCACCCAGGATGTTTTGGACCTTTACAAGAGATTGATCGGAGAGGTCGAGAAGCTCAACGAGCTGCGCACCGACAAGCGTGACGAACAGAATAGGGTCGACACAGTGCTCGACGACTGTTTCCAGCTCGTCTCCCTATTCTTCCTTACTATCGGTCGCAACCAAGAAGCTCCCGCTGTCTACTCTGCCGTATCAACCGTAAAGGTAAGCCATAAGATGTCTCGTTGATCTATCCTCGTGCTCAACTTGCCTGTAGNNCGTCTCCTGGACCACCTCAAGGAAGCCGGCTTCTACCTACCCCAAGACCTCGAATCCATCGAACACAACCTCCGAAAATGGCGCTCGTCAGTCGAACGTGGCAGGGACGTCCACAGCGACTCCCTGATGACATTACTCGAAGCACGCATCGACGTCTGCTATCAAACCCTTAAAGAGCTACAGGCTTCGCTGTCCCAACTCGACCCTGAACTCATGGGCTATTACGAAAAGCTTGTCTCGATACTGCGTTCCCTCTCGGCTTGCAACACACGATCAAAATTCCCTGTCAAGGAGGTTGAAGAACTAGAGGAGCAACTCAAGCAGATCCAAGCAGAGCTGAAAGATGCTGGTGTGTCACACGAGGGAAGGACAGCCGAAGAAGCATATGCCGAACGCCTACAACAAGTTCATATCGGAGAGAGCCACGTTGAGGAGGGCAGCAAAGTTGTGTCCTTCCTGCTGGGCCGCTGTTTGCTCTGGGTTGAGATTATCCAGAAGAAGTGAGCCACATCAAGCCATCTCACAAGTTGGTCCTCGACTAACGCCATCACAGGCNAAGGCAAGATTGACGAGCGTTTCCGCGACACATACGACAAACTCGTTAAGCTACGCAACACTCTCGACAACATGAACCTTACCCAGGCCTGGTCGTTGCGCGAGACAGACTTGTACAGCTACCAACGACAACTCGACCGCATCGACGAATCTCGCGTCGATGGCAACTTCCTCGACGGCGAAGGCAAGCCTGCCGATCTACATTCGCAGAGGGTAATCTCACCTCAATCCATCGTTCTTATCCCTTTACTGACGCCTGACCCTACAGNNACACTGCTCTACCTGCTTCGTAAGAGTTACTCATATATCTATCACTACATCGTCTCGTCAGAGCCCGTCTCAGAAGCTCTGCTGCCCATCTACAACCAGCTCCTCACCCTCAAACGCTGTCTGCTCGAGGTCAAGCGCTCGGGCGGTGTCGATTCTCCTCGCGAGCTGTACCCATACAGCATGAAGGTACGCCCAACTCACTCCTTGACCTTTTTGCACATCCATACTGACCACGACTCAGNNCTTAATTCAATCGACAACATGAAGAAAGACGGCAAATTCATGGTTGGCGACGACATTCCTGAAGGTCAAGGTAGTGTCACATCATTACTCGCCGAATGTTTCGACATCGCCTACGATCTCAGGAACGAGGCCGAGGAGCGTCAAGACGAGGCCGAGCTGGCCGACGACACCGAAACCAAGGAGTAAAAGTCTTTGTGACGAGATCACTCCATCTCCTTCGTGTACAAATTCAACTATGGGTGATAGTGGATATATATCCTCTTGCTTTTTTGTTTTCTTGCAAGGCGTCAGGGGCTTGGGAGTCTGGGTCTTTGCCACTTGGGACGGTCACAACTTCTAGCGGACGGAAAGGTGGAATAGAAAAGAAGACGCACATTTGCGAGGCACGCATAAGGAATACTCTCCACAACTCTCAATATCATCTACTGTAGTTTGTTGTATGCGTGCTGACTAAACCGAGTTTTTCCTCAGATGTGACAAGCATTATACTTCAGCACATTTCGACTTCGGAAGAGCCACGGGTATTCCGACTGGTATGCACCAATAGTATATCACGAGGTCGTATGAGTCATTTTGCTCAATGGATGTTTGGCTGCCTAAAGCTGAACACGAAAGTCTTTTTGACGGTGTTCTTAGTCCACGCAGCAACACAGAACTACTGAACAACGACGAACTTTGATAGAACTATACTTGAGATGTCCGACCGAAGAGTACCGCATTCACACTGGAGTATTCGTGGTTACCCTCTCGCTGCCGCACCGATTCGAGGATCAGATACCATTTCTCCAGCCCCTTTGCGTATCGGTGCTGGGCACTGCGGTAGTGTGTGGACAACATCAGACGCAACCTGGGTGATCAAANAATCAGACGGGTCTCTACACAGAAGCCTCTGGAAGGAATACTACATTCAAAACCGAATCCTCAACTACTGTCCAAAATTACCCAAAGCTCTGATACCCACGTCTTTCTGGTATACATTGGTAGAAGGATGTTGGATCATGTGCTCTGAACGTATACCGCCACTACCTATCAAATTTAGAGATATGTTGGTGGATACTTTTTGCCCAGAGGAGGCCAAGGAAGCAGTCAAAGAGAAAGATAACGTATGCATTGCTAGGATATATCTAGGAAGGCGACGACGATCTGGACGTCCACCGAAGTTCTTCTCACTCAACAACTACAATCTCCTCTTGGATTCGATGGAGCAGCTGAATCTACCGATCCTCGAATATGCAGAGGCCATTGCAAACACACTGGCAACATTACACTGGGACGCAGAAATCGATGCGAATGACGTCGAGTTTGTACTGGGTACACGCCGTCAACTTGATGTCGAGTCTATACAGTCCCTATCCTCGGCTTATATTGCGAATCAACCATATAATTACCCTACACGCCGAACCGACGACGCCTCAAGACTAGAGCCCAGCACACAGCTCCAAGAGAAATCCACAGATCTACAAGTCTGGGTACTCGATTTCGATTGCTGCGATGCCATTACAATGGATACCGAGGGCGTTGAAAAAGCAGCACTATCAGCACACACAAACGATCCCTATCACCCTAAACCCGGCGCACCAGGTTCCCAAGACTTTGAGCTTTGGGAGTGTTTCCGAAAGGGGTATATCGCTACTGGTACTGAAATCATGCAGAGAAAAGGATTAGATGAGAGGCTACCTGAGATGTTTATTGAGAGGTTAGTGACCCTTNCAGGGGAGCTGCAATCTCAGCATCGTCACTTCCCTAGGGGTCCGTATTGTGCTCGTCATAGTGGGGAGAGTTATTGAAGATCTCTGGTCCCTGGGAGCGTCTTCTTATAGTTGTAGGAATGCAGAGTATTTTTCTAGTTAAAGGTGTGACCATAGAAACACCATGAGTTGATGCTCTCTCCGTGGACAGCACCCCTTTCGAGACACCATCGTGCAATTCTATAGCTAAGAATATCACTGCATCTCCCTGTGAGAAGAATTTTCATCATCGAGCAAACCCCTTCCATCACACCCCCTCTCTCCATCCCATCACACCTCAATCCCACCCAAAACCCCCAACCCATCACCCTCATCCTCCTCCTCCCCNACATCCGCATCTTTAAACCACAATCTATCGCCATAAGAAATACACAATTCTTCTCCTTTTTCCACCTTCCGTAAAGTTTTATACACGATAAGTTTGTTGGCGACATCTCGTTCCCAGCCCACGTTTTGGTGTAGAGATGAGTGGTTGAACATGCTGCCTAGTCCTAAGATTACGGCCTGGGTGGTGGTTTGTTTGAAGGTTTCGGGGTGGGTGTAGGGCCAATTGCTTNNGAGGGTGTGTGAATTTGCTGTGTAGAGTGGTAGAGAGAGGGGCATAGGGAGAACTCACTAGGTATAGTGGTATAACTCTGTCTTTTCTATGTGGTCTTTGTTTTCAGTTGGTTCGAGGACTAGTACCGGACATGTTTCTAGTACGGTATGTGCTGGTATGCGTGCTGCTGCAAAGACTCCTCTGCCTGATATCAAAAGTCAGTCATGCCTGTCATCACTAGATTCAAATGAAGCAAAAGGACCCAACTCAAAGGGAAATCATGACAAGAACAGCGCAGTGACAAAAGCAATCTCAACAAGAACAATCAACCAGAATAATGAAATCTAACGACCAACCACAAAATCCTGCATACAAACCATCTGAGGCTGAAACCACGGATAGAGCTCCGCGATATAGACTTTTATATGCTTGTACCTCTTGTAAAATACATCCTTCTCTTTCTTCTTTTCCTCGGTGTCTTGGACGCAATATGCACGTACGAGAAAGAAACTGTATCAACATACCTTTCGGCGTATCCAACACCAACTTGATATCACAATGCCGTGTCAACGGAACCGCCTCCTTGGGCAAACTTTCAAATTTCTCAAGACCCATGTTTTGAAGATTTTGAACTTTTGGAACGATTGCAGTGACGAAGTGGATGTGTTACAGATGCGTGCGATTTGTGATGGCAAAGCAGCTGTCCTGGTTGAATCGGCGGCGAAAGAAAAAGGAAAATTATGATGTTGTGCCAGGGTTGCCTTCAAAGCGACATTTTCCGAGATCCGATTTACGACCACTGCTATTCGGATATATGCGCCGTGTGGTCTGAGTCGTGGGCTTACAATGGAGATCTGGGAGATGTACTATGACGAGAGAGATAGCTAGAGTTTGAGGAACTGATGGCATTTCAGAAGAATGTGTTAACCCTCCATTTCTAACCATATGCTCCTCGGCAACGAACAACCAGAACACAGAAACGACCTGAAAACATCGGGCTAGCAATAAGTCCACAACACGTCTGAGCACAAGATGATCTTCGAAGAAATGTTTCAGAGAAGAGATTGATCGTTATATACTTTTTGTTACAACAAGAGTCAGATGGATATCTCAAATGACCTTTCTTTCGTGAAAACCCCTCGCTGAGGAAAGAACAAATGCAGGGAAGAATGATGTGATAGAAAAACAAGAAAAGGCGCTCAAATAAACAGAATCTAAAAGTACAAACATCACATAAGGCCGTAATGGACAAGCCTCGAAATATCCCACCACATCAAACTCCGTGTTTTGGTGAATCATGCCTTCCTTTTTCCTCGATAGCAATTTTACAGAAAAGCACAGCGATGGCAAGACAAGGCGCAGGACTCGTCCAGAAGAGGAGACGTCGCAAAGAGAACTGGTCGTGTGAATGTCGGACCAGGTGGGAGAAATATGTATACAGAGAAGTCGGAGGGGTATCAGGAGGTCGAGTATAGTTATTTCGGATCCAGGGTTGCGAAAAGAGAGAAGAGGGATGTCAGACAGAAACCTCAGATTTAAGGCTTCTGCTCACCCTCGCCACCCTGCTTCTGCTCACCCTCACCAGACTCGGACTTCTGCTCGGAGCGGGCGCGGTGCATCTTGTCGAAGAGGGTAAGAGAGGCAGACTGGAGCTCATCGGTCTTGGCCTTGAGGTCCTCGGCAGAGGCGGAGCCCTCACCGGTCTGGTTCTGAGCAACGAACTCACGGAGGCTGGCGATCTTCTCCTTGATCTGGTCAGCCTCGGCCTTGTCGAGACGGTCCTCGAACTCCTTGAGGGCCTTCTCGGTGTCGTTGAGAACACTGTCGGCCTTGTTGGCGGCCTCAATGGCAGCCTTGCGCTCCTTGTCAGCAGCACCGTACTTCTCGGCGTCGTTGACCATGGACTCGATCTCAGAGTCGCTCAAACCAGAGCCGGAGGCAATGGTGATAGACTGGTCCTTGCCGGTAGACTTGTCGGAAGCGTGAACGTGGACGATTGAGTCAGCGTCGATGTCGAAGGTGACCTCAATCTGGGGAACACCACGGTGGGCAGGGGGNATGCCAACGAGCTGGAAGTTTCCGAGGAGCTTGTTGTCACGAACGAGCTCACGCTCACCCTGGTAGACCTTGATCTCGACGGCGGACTGGAAGTCAGCAGCAGTGGAGAAGACCTGAGACTTCTTGGTGGGGATGGTGGTGTTGCGGTTGATCAGACGGGTGAAGACACCGCCGAGGGTCTCAATACCCAGGGAGAGAGGGGTAACATCGAGGAGGAGGACGTCGGTAACCTCACCGGAGAGGACGGCGCCCTGGATAGCGGCACCAATGGCAACAGCCTCATCGGGGTTAACCGACTTGGCGGGGTCGCGGCCGAAGATGCTCTTGACCGAAGTGGTGACCTTGGGCATACGGGTCATACCACCGACGAGGATAACCTCCTGGATGTCCTTGGCGGTCATGTTGGCGTCCTTGAGAGCCTTGCGGACGGGCTCGACGGTGCGGTCGATCAGGGGACCAACAAGCTTCTCGAGCTCGGCACGGGTCATCTTGCTGTTGATGTGTTTGGGGCCCGAGGCGTCGGCAGTGATGAAGGGAAGGTTGATGTCGGTCTGGGGAGCAGACGAAAGCTCAATCTTGGCCTTCTCAGCAGCCTCACGGATACGCTGGATGGCCATGCGGTCGCTGGAGAGATCAATGCCCTGCTCGTTCTTGAACTGCTGGACGAGGTGGCGAACGAGGGTGATATCGAAGTCCTCACCACCAAGGTGGGTGTCACCGTTGGTCGACTTGACCTCGAAGACACCGCTCTGGATCTCGAGGATGGAGACATCGAAAGTACCACCACCAAGATCGTAGACGGCAATGACACGGTCGCTCTCCTTCTCGAGACCGTAGGCGAGGGCGGCAGCGGTGGGCTCGTTGACGACACGGAGGACGTTAAGACCAGAGATCTGACCGGCATCCTTGGTGGCCTGTCTCTGCTGGTCGTTGAAGTAGGCAGGAACGGTGACGACGGCGTTCTTGCAGTTCTTGCCAAGGAAAGCCTCGGCGGTCTCCTTCATCTTTCCGAGGACGAAACCACCGATTTGCGAGGGCGAGTACTTCTGGCCCTGGGCCTCGAGCCAGGCATCGCCGTTGGTGTGCTGGACGATCTTGTAGGGGACCTGGTTCAAGTCACGCTGAACCTCAGCGTCCTTGAACTTGCGACCGATCAGACGCTTGGTGGCGAAGAGAGTGTTTTCGGGGTTGACGACAGCCTGGCGCTTGGCGGCGATACCGACGAGGCGCTCACCCTCCTTGGTGAAACCAACGACTGAGGGGGTGGTTCTGGCACCCTCACTGTTCTCAATGATTCTGGGAGCGGAGCCCTCCATGACGGCGACGGCCGAGTTGGTGGTACCAAGATCGATACCAATGACCTGGCCCTTGACCTTCTCCTCACCGCCATCGGCGTATCCCCTTCTGAACGAAGAGGCGATGGGGGATCTGAAGACCGGCGAGCGGACTGAAGGGGTGGCGCGAAGCTGCAACGGGTGTCAGTAGGGAGCTCAGTGAGCTGTGAGAGCTGTCGCATGTGCACTTACGCCTCTGGCGAGTCTTTGTGACAGCATTGTGATGTGATTAGAGCAGAAAACCAGAACGCGACAAGAGAAGATAGGGTATCCTGAGCAACAAACAAAACTTGCTCTAGATGGATATGGGGATGGGGATGGGGATGGCGAGGTTAATAACTGATGGAGCAGCAAGAGGAAGTCATGGCGTCGTTGCTCGAGGAATTTTGTCCTTAGCGTCGAATCCCCGGTCCCGGCACTCTCCGCCACGCCCATCGAACATGCTGGAATCTTGTCCCGACATCGTAACCGCAAGTCGCTCTGGAGTCTGCCATCACTCTAACTGCGCTTGCGCCGACACATGCCCGTTCGCCTCTGCCAGTGCTTCTTGTTCGCCTCGCCTCGCCTTTGACTCATACCACCGGCCGGTTGGCCTCGAACACCCACTGCTCCTGCCGCCTCTTGTGAGCTTCACGTCGATAGCTTGCTTTGCCTCGGCTGTGAACGTTGAAGTAGGCCCTTGCGCAGGTCGACCGGATGGATCAATCCACTCGCATCTGTCACTAGACACGCCCAAACATGCTGTTTGAAGGGATTTGATATTGATTATTTACACGAAATGAAGAGAAAGCATGCCTTCAAGTGTAGCATCCCATACGCCAGCAATGCCTTTGTTCCCAATGCTCTCAATGCTCCATTGCGCCATGTGCTCAATCCATTTCTGATGCGCCGTAAATCACAACCTGTTCGTGTCTGTTCGTTATTTCATTTCCACTGCTGGGAACATCATTCTCAGCTTGACCTGCAAGTCGATCTCGAAGATGCCCTCCTCGCATGCCGCCCACAATCTGCGTCCATCATGACTGATGGCTAGCCCTGCCGTCCGGACTCCTATGGTAGCCTCACGTCCAGTCCTGCGCATCAGCATCTCGTAACCATCATGGAATGCTGTAGGTCGAGTCGATGTATAGCCTCGTAGTGAGGTGAGTGTATCGTACAAGCTCTGTGCTGTATCTGTTCCACGCTCAAACTCTTGTCGTAGTCCGCGAAGCCGCTCACGCTGCGCAGTCATTCGGCGGAGCTGTTCCGTACGCACCATAGCCTCGCGCTCACGAGACTGTCGTGTGCTGGCGTCTATCGATCGAGGTGATTCGAATAACGGTCCTCGGGCCAAGCTCATTGCGTTGGATATAGTGCGCCATGGATTGTCCTCCTCTGTTTCAGCCCTGGTGGTCGTTGTTGCTCGCGTCGCGTGTGGAGGAATGGTCGCGGCAGTGCTCGTCAAAGTAGGAGCTGCTCCTGCTCCAGAACGGCGGATGCTAGTTCCACGATCCGTGTTGGATGCGGACGACGCTTCACGCTCTCTATCACGGAGCAGCAGATATTCCTGTATCGAATGAAGCGGCGGCAATGTGTTGTCGCCTGTAGTTCGATCCCTTTCGCGAGACTCTGTGGTATCCCGCTGAGATGTCCGAGATAGCTCCGGGAAAGCTGCGTAAGGGTCGTTATGGTTGACCAAGACGTCGCTGAATGGGCGAGGTGTCTCGTTTGATCGTGCAGTTGCCGAAGTGCGGCTACTGGTATGGGCGCTGAAGAGGCCGGCGCTTGTATAGTTGATCGAGCGAGGAGTACTTCCCTGAGTACGAGCTTCTTCGCGTTGTCTGGTTGTTCGAAGTGCTTCAAGAATCTGTTGCTCGTGTGCTGTAAGGCCTCGCGGATCATCTCCTGGCGCCGATGCTGTGTTGGACAAAGTCGGGAACATTACACGGGCGCGGTCGAGATGTTGGTAGCGTTCACGCTCTCGAGCTTGGAGGAATTCTCTAGCAAAGTTGCCTTGCTCGGCGGGATCTCGTGCCTCTCGGTAGCGATCCAATATTTCTTGCTGCAGATCATCCAAACGGTCACCTTCAGTCAAATACTCCGTCGCAATATCTTCGAGTTCAACCTTCTTCAGACCTTCTTCGTTGGGTTTTAATTCTATCACCTGTTTGGTCTTTAGTCCGGTGCGCAGATCGCCAATGCATATGCGGCCTTGATCTTCGGCCCAGATAAGCAGATCCCAGGGTTCGGGAGAGAAGATCATGGATCTGACAGCGCCAGGATGAAGGGCAGCAACAATATTGGGTCTTGTTGAGGGAACGGTAGCGACGATGGCATCTTCTGCCTCGTCAGAAGCACATTGCGCAAATATGTCCATATCGAATACTGTGATGTAGCCACCTTCGGAACCCAGAGCGGCTAAGCTGCCATTGGGTGACCATGCAGTGGTGAAGTATCCGGGCTGTGCAGTGGGATCACCAGCACGGAGCTGAACGATGTTTGCTAGGTCCCATGTGACGTTCGTTGTGTTCAGGCGATTGTGAGGTTTTGGAATCTGTGGNGGAGGTTGCGACAGCGTGCGTGTATAGAAGAAGGCCTGGTTGGAGTCGCCAACAGCAACAAGCGTGGTGCCATCAGGAGATATCGAAGCGTGGTTCATGGGAAAGGGCAGGTCCAGGACCGAAGTCTCCAGGGCTTGTGGGAGCGAGTAGATGCGAACAGTCTTGTCGTTGTTGGTCAGGACGGCGACGACATCGTACAGATGATTTTCCTCGTCGTGGATCTGGTGGATGGAGATTGAGTTGACGATCTCTTCGCCTATACGTTCGAGCTTGACGTTGGCGGCCCTGGGAGAGCCTCTTTGCGGTTGCCAATAGTCCAGAGGCAGTGGGGCGTCTACATCGACAGAGCGTGTCGGAGACGAGCCCTCCAGCTTGATTGCGGCGAAGTGGCCATCCTCCTCACCTCCAACACAGATCCAGCCAAAGCCAGAGGCGGTACATCGGGCCTCGAAAGGTAGTGTAGCGAGGTATTTGCGTTTCCGCGAGAGCGTGTCGAGGTAGTAGACTTCGTTCCCACTGGCGTAGTAGATGGCGTCCTTGTCGGGCGATGAGATGTAGTGTCGCAATTGCCAGTGTCTAGTGCTTTCATATCAGGTCCAACTCTTGTATTTCTGCCTCTCCTGCACTCACGATACGGGAATCTTGACTGGGTAGAAAGTCTTGTCGGGGTGGGCCAGGCGATCGGTATCAGGATAACTATCTTCCGGTTAGCACCGAGCAGCGAACATGCAAACCTGGTGCCGAGGGACTTACGGTATGCTGTCGATGGCCATGCTGTTGCTGTGTCGAAGTCAAGAGGAGATGCGGATATTTAGAGATCAGAGGTAGAGCAGGCACCATGCGACTTGGTCGATTCCGGGCCTGCTGCGATGACAATGGAAAGACGACCAACTGCGCTTGCGCTTGCGGGGCTTCTGAAATGACGCACCGCTCGTCTTTGACAACACCATCACTCTTCGACATCATGTTTCACTTCCGCATGACCTGGCTGCCACTGCACAAGACTCACTCGGAAAGCACATGCCTTGACTGACTCTGATTCTGATGTGTTTGGTACCTTTGCACGCGGCACCTCAGACCATACAGCAGTCACCAACACCAACACTCGAACACACAAACTGTCAAACAAAGACCATGCCGTTCTTGAACGTCTAGGTCAAAGACAAGCTGAGTCTCCATAATCAGTCATGTCTGAGCCATTAAAGGATGCCAACCATGTTGAAAGAAAATACGCTCAACTGTTTCCAGGAGCTGTGTCAATTTCGTGAATCCATGCTACCTGCTGCTAACGCCCGCTGCCTGATATCGGGTAACATGCTAAACCAGTGCTAATCCTCCCATGTCCCAAATCCTGAACACCAATGTCATAAATCCAATGCTGCGTATCTCGTAGTTGTAGCCGCTTCATCCAACGTTCAGAGACGCTCTAGCCCCTTGCGACTACGGGGAGCGCCCTGCTGAGGTAGTCAAGCTTGTACCTTCTTGACGACTTCCTCGACCGACGAGAAGAGGACATGCTCGCGCTCAAGACCAGTAATCTTCTCGGTTGCATCACTCGAAGAGTTCTCCTTGAGGATCTTGGCCAGCTCAAATGATTCGTCGTCACCCTCAACGTTCTGGAAGCGGAGACACATCTCAATTCCACCAAGAAGAGCATCGTACTTGGCTCCCATCTCGGCAAGATGGGCGGCAGGACCAATGAAACGTTCGTTGCGCGATAGCTTGCGGAGAGGGGCGCGACCAACACGCTCGACGTTGTCCTTGAGGACAGGGTTTGAGATGCGCTTGATGATCTTCTCGACATATGCATTCTGGTCTTCCTCGGTGATTTCGTGCTTGTTGACGATCAGGTGAGCAGTCTCCTTCAGAGTGTTTCGTACAATCTCGTTCAACTCCTTGTCTTGGAGGACATCGTGAATGCATTCCTTGCCACGGTTGTATCCGAAGTAAGCAGCAGTAGCATGGCCAGTGTTGACGGTGAAGAGCTTGCGCTCAATGAAGGGGCAGAGGTCTTCAACGAAGTGGACGCCCTCAATCTTTGGCGGCTCAGAAGGAAGGAAAGGCTTGCTCTCCACACACCACTCGTAGAACTTCTCAATCTTGACGTTCAACCCAGCGTCCTCGTCCTGCATGGGAACAATGCGGTCAATGGCGCTGTTGGCGAAGCGAGCCTTATCCTGGAGGTTCGACTTGGTCGAGTCTGAAAGCTTCTCCTGGATGAACTTGCGAAGGGTGTCAGTGGCTCCAATGGCGTTCTCGCAGGCAATCACAGCGACTGGTGAATCCTTCTTGCGGCTTTCGATACCCTTGGCGATGACAGGAGCAATGAACTTGAGAATGTTGGGACCAACAGCACAGGTGACAATGTCGGCAGTGGCAATCTCCTCGACAACCTTGTCCTCATCGGTCTTGCTGTTGATAGCGCGGTAGTTGTCGATCGTCTTTGACTTGGTCTCTGTTGTGCCGACTTCTGTTACAGTGTATGACTTGGTTTGTTGCAGGGAGTTAATAATGGCGTCCATAACATCGACAAAGACGACCTCATATCCGGATTTGTGCAGGAATTCGGCGACGAAGCCTAACGAAAGAGTCAGCGCTTGCATATCCGTCAAATTCGAGATTTACTTACCACGGCCGATGTTACCACCACCAAAGTGAATTGCCTTCATGTCGGACATTTTGTTTGTTGATATAGAGAGGAGAGAAGAGGGCTGAAACCGAATGTTAGCTCTGTGTCCAGGACTCGATATCTTTTCTAGCGGCTCGAGGACAAAGAAGCAAAACAAAGCTTTGTCCCAAGGAATCGTGATGACGATAGTAGTGACCCTCGAGCGCATCAGAGACAGGTATTGTCTACTAACCTTTGTATAGTTGGGTGGGTTGGTGGTGATATACTACTGTCCTATAGACAAAAGGTCAGCAATGTGGTGGGGTATTGCGGAGCGAGGGGCAGATAACACGAACCTAACCGATGGTTGGCTCTAGGCAAAAGATAGTGTTGAAGGAGAACGAGGAGGTTCTTTGGTTATAGAGCGAGGTGTGAGATGAGAATGACAAAACAAGAGGTCGAGGGATACCAAGTCTATTTAACACTCTGGGTGCAACTGCTTAATGCCTCGTTGCTCCCTAGTTGTCACTGATCAAGCGCCAACCCGCACCTTCTCTTCCTCCCCGCACCATGACGACGTCGCTGCCGCACGTCACTCAAACCTCCACGCCCTGTTTGGCTGACGTTTGAGGCTTTGGGGCTGGAGGGCACGGCCCCGAGGGCGCTTGTCACTTGGTTCTCAACCCGCAACCATTCAGACTACATCAACGTTTAGCATCTCGGGCTTGCTAACGGACGCTCGCGGAAAATCACATGCTAACCAGATCGAGCCGCTTGTCACGCTGTGGCTGGCTCCATGGGCCGATCGTGAGTGACCACCACACTACTGTGAGTGCGGCATGGTGTCACGGCAAGATCTGGTACCTCTATCTTACAACAGATTCCACGACATGCGATAATCGGATGTGCAAAGACTCATGTGTGCTGCTATTATGTATTACTGTACTGCTGCAAGAAAGCGATCAAAGTGTGTTATTAAGAATTTCGTGGGTTGGGTATCGCTGTTGTTCCGTCCTTCCTGCTCCGATCCCGATTGTCTGTTCCTGATTATCCGTAAACCCGAGGCCTAAGCAACAGACCTATTTGACGCAACAATACGCGAATCGACAGGGGAGCGTCAGGTTTTCCCCAACAAGAATAAACGGGTGTCTGTGACTTGTAGTGAAATGTTCCGCGGCCAAAACTGCTCGGACTGGCGAATGATTGCGATCAGCTTCTTAGGCATGAATGGCCTGCTGAACATGAGGATATGTCGACACCATCTGGGCGTACAAGTCCGGGTGTTCTGTGATCATTACTTGCGGGTCGAATGCTGCAGCAACAAATATAGTGTCGATGCCGCTGCTAAGCGGGGTTGTGAAGATATTGGCGATCTGTAGGCCAATCAAGAACGCGAACGCAACGACAACGGGTGTATACTCGCCGCCGCTGTTGTACGCAGGCGAGGTGAAAATGAGGTACAGGTAGGCCAAAAGAGCGCACAGGTAAGCGATGGCCGTAGCGCCCTGAGTCAGTACGGGGCCAATGAGGCATTCATTAACCAAAGCGTCAATACCGCGGTCTTTGATTAANACTAGTCGTTGGTCTTGTCAGCCGAGCCCTCGTTCGTATAGATGAGTTACTTACGTCCAAGTGGCCTTGGCGGCAGGGACATAGCCCTTGCCGTACAGCGCGATGTAGCTGAAAGCGTATCTCNNTGTAGTTTCGTGAGCTGTCTGGAACTTTCGAAAGATTGCACCTCGGATGTCTTTTCCACTTACGTTGATGAATTGGACAGCCCAGTCTAAGATTCCGATAAGACACTGGAGAACGCAGAGCGCAATATCAGCAGCGATGTTTCCAGAATTCGCTTCTTGCTGTCGTGCAATACTGCATGCCTGTCTGAGCATGTTGATGATTGCAACCACCAAGCTTCCAAGACTGATACTTCCAAAACTGTAGGTCAAAGAGCGGCGGGCGGCTCCTCGGGTAATGTTCTTGGGAGGGTTGTGAGAACAGAAGTACCACGAGCCGTAAACTCCAGAGATGATAACATGAATCATGTTCTTAAGGAACTCCGAGATCCAATACATCGCAAACGTGATGAAGACGAGCAGACCAATGACTTTGGCACTTGAACAGCCGCCAGCGCCTGTAGAACAGGCTGGGTTTGCGCCTGGTTCGTATTTGACATACACGGCAACGAAAGTGACCGAGAACCAAGCACCTAGCGCAGTTGCGAGAATGCCGCCAACAAGCGAAACGATATAGACGTGCCCGAACTTCTTCGAAACGTCGATGCTAATACATGGTCAGTATTTCCATCGGCAGAGCCAGCAATCAGAGAACACATACCTTGTTTGCAGCATGACCACGCTGAAAGGAATTCTGGGGATCCAGGAGATGAAGCAGACGACGGTGAAGATTGAAAAGAGGAGGAAAACAATACCGCCCGACCAATACTTTCTCGACAACATGTAGATGGCGGTCGCAAAACCAGCGATGATGTGGATGATACCAGTAATCCAGATGAATTGCTGCCGCATGTCAGTATACGGCTCTGGTTCACACTACAAGTAACGTGTGTTGTTCTGAAATGCGGATGGTGCAGTATCCAATGCAGAACACTATTGCCTGGCACACTGCGAATTCTCGACACGGTATGTTGGGAATCGTACCTTTGTGAATGCGCGGGCTAACCAGATGTAGGCATAACTCAGGATCATAGCCATGGCAAGACAGAAGGCGAAGAGAACAATGGTGTTGGTATCGAGGCCGAAATCATTGTTGCTGTCGTAGATGCCGCCGCCATTGAAACCCTTGGTCGCAGCNTATAGGTCGATGGTCAGCGCTATTCTCATCAATTGTTCCAGTCATGCGCAGTCTATTATTCGTGTACGCAAGCGTCTTGACATACCGTAACCTTGAAGGGAGATGCCAGAGACAACGATGTATCCTGCAAAAACAGCGAGGAAAAGAAGACCAGCCCACCAGTCGTTCCACTTGGGCTTGTCGATTTTGAATGCCTGCTCGAAGGTAGGCTTGTTGTCGTAGCCATTCATGTCAGGGCGGGGGTTGAAGTTCTGGCCGTAGTTGGGAGGCGGTTGCGAATAGCCCTGGCCATTCTGGTAGGGCTGTTGGTATTGGCCATTCTGGTTGTATGCCTGCTGGGGTTGCATAGGGTAGTCCTTCTGGCGATCGCCATCCGGCATCTGGTAGTAGCTGTTTGCTTCACCGCCGGCCATGGTGATAGCAAGACTGTGCAAGGTTCGATAGAGAAATGAGTTTGCGCGCAAAGCAAGAAATGCGACCGACAAGAAGTGAATGTTTTTGTGTTCCTGCTAGCTCAGCTCTGCGGGTCAAAGCTTGGTTCATGACGTGCCCCTTACAGCCACAAGAACAGCAATAGAGATCGTCACAGCAAGGAACGGCTCACAACTGCTGACTCTGCGATTGACATGTAGATATGTACATGCCTCGACAAGTGCCACGTCTCTGACTTGCCCTCGACGCATCTTCGCCAATTGGCCTTCTAAAGACTGCGACCTGGTTTTGTGGATTGTGGTCTGGAGCCCGGAAGCTTAGAGGCGTTTGCGCCATCATATAAGAATAAGATTAGAGATTAGCTTATATTGGTGAAGGGAGATCTTCAACACGCGCATCAACCAAGCTCCTCTCGAACAGTGCACGAGCATGCTAAATTCTGAGAGAGAAAACGTGTAGACGTTGTAAGAATGGTTAGGTAGCCTGGATTGTGAGAATGTAACTCTTGCAAATCTCGAATCTTACAGGTAACAGTGATGGTGGTGCAGATTGGCGCTTCGGAGCAAAAGGATGAAAGTATGTACAGTTCTAGACCTTGCTCTTCTTTCACACCATGGCATCACACTGGAAAGCACGCGATAGCTGTGCACTCGAAAATCTTCCATCTGGTAGAACATGATGCTCTGGAATAGATAGACATTCAAGCGAGGTGTCAAGGACGCCCACATAGTCTGTATAGCACGAAGGCAAATGATGCTCAGGGTCATACGCTCACCAAGTTTACTCGAAGACTCAGCGTACGTCATTGCGCTAACCAATACCTACCAAACCACGGATTATGTGAACGAGTGGTGGCACACTGGTAAGAGCTACGGTTATCGTACCCAATAGTCCCATGCTAAGACTTGAGAAAGCTGCCGCTCGAGGATCGGTGGTTAGAAGCAGTGCTGTCGCTACAGCAGACGAATTGGCGCCCAATGTAATACCACGCGTGATGTAATCATCTAGAAACGGAGTCAGCCAAATGAAAATCCGAGTCCTAGCAGCTCAGGTAAGAGAAAACGTACCTTTTGGGATTCTGAGCAGGTCCAAGCCGATTGGGCCCACGATTACCCCCGCAATGCCACTGAAGATGCACAGAGGTGCAATGGTGAAGGGATCACCACCCAAGTTCTTGGTTGCTGGCGTTGCCAGAGCAAGTGTCAAACTTCGAGATGCAAACGCAAGACCGCGCGGTGCAGTAATTCCGATGTGATAACAGAATATCGGATATGCGAACAGCGATCCGATAGAGACTACCACATTTGGAACGATGATTGTCATGAATCGAGCCTTCAGCTCATTCCTGTATCTGTACATGGGAAGACTTAGAGCCACGATCGAAACATCGAGAACGCTGCCAAACATGTCTCCTGCTCCTGGAGGCTTCAGACCTTGATTGTCGTCCCAGAGCTGCGTATATTTTGTGTTTGTTGTGTATGCAAGCAACCCGTCTCTGAGAGTGTTCTGTCGAATCAGTGCGAGAATCCAGATGCCAAGGATAGTGAAAGCCGAGGAGACCAAGACAGGATGCAGATACGTCCTGTATGTGGGTGGCAACCGAAGAGCGGCGAAGTAGAAGACAACGTTGAGAGAGAGTTGAACCGGCATAGCATAACCTAGGCCGTAGTAGATTGGTATACCCACGAAGAGGAACAGAGCTCCATATGTGAGCATGTCGAAGTTGACACTGATGAAGGCAGCATAGCGCTGAGGGCGGGTCAAAGGCGCAGCATTGTGACGAACGGAAGCAGGAACGAATGAGGAGGTTGTGGCGTTGGTGGCCACAGGNGGTCCGCCAGTGCCGGTCACAGAGTCAGGATCCATCGCCTTGGAAGGTGCTTGAATATCAGCAATTCCATTCGGGGGAGAGGGCGTAGATGTCTCGCCCGAGCCAGTCTGAGTCGAAATCGATTGCATGGTAGGCACCTCACTGGCGTTTGAATCATGCCTCGTCTGTGTTAGTGGAATGTTGTCGTCTTGACGTCCAAGTTCTTCAGCCCTTTCTGTCATTGCGCGTTTGGACGTGCCGAGAACAAGCTGAAGACCTCGGACCATATATGCTGTAAAAGCAAAAACTACAACATATCCGATGACTGTAGGAAGTTAGGAGAATGAGACAGACGGACCTGGAGAGCACTGACTGAAGACGGCTATGATTTTCGCAACCTCTACACCACTTATGGAAGGACTGAGAGGCAAGGTGACGAATGCAGGACAGAAGAAGATGTTGATGTATCGTAGAGCAAAGCCACANCTAACAGCGATAAGAACCAAGCATAAAAGATGGATGCGGAACAACACACTCACCGGAATCTCAATCAAGTTGACTATCCGTTTGGTCTGGCGATCACCGAGAACACCTTGAAGTAGAACCAATATGAGGAATAGAAAAATCATACATGCCACGGAAGCTGGAAATGATACAGAGCTCAGCGAGATGAGAGTATGAACACCAAAACAGACTGCGAGGATACAAGTCACGCCTAAAGGCACATAGAGCCATGCGGTCAGAGTGCGCTCCCAAGACGACTTTGCTACCTTGAATGATAATTAGCAATTGAGAGAGGTCGATCGTTGCGATGCAGTAGCTTACAAGNNCGTGGCAGCCTGTCCAACATCATTGATAAAAGCAGCAAACTGCTTGGTGTTCATGATTTAATATTATAAAACCATATCACAAATGAAGTGGAATGTGTACGAGATGGAAGTTTTGTAGGTCACGGAGCCGATGACTGTAGAGACGGCTTTTGCGGTTACGGCGGAGAGCCTCGCCGGTGGGTCTTGATTATCGTGAACAACAGGACATTCTTATGATATGGCACGAAGAGAGCCATCAGAGCATAGTCACCGAATGAGTTTCCATAGCTCAGAGGAAGAGAGCTGAGAATTAACGATGCGAGGAGCAGTAGAAGGACAGAACAAAGATGTCGAGTAGGCGAGTTGGCCAGATTTGCCTTGGACAGCGTTGGACCCTTTCACGCAGGGGCCCAACACTCGCAGTGCTGTCTCTAGTACTCGCTCTCGCACTCGCACAACGTAGCCCCTTTCTAACTGTCCAAGCACTCCCACGTCAACATGGCCGCGCTTGCTACCAAGACGCAGTCGCAGAAGATCTTTGAGAAGCTGAAGCAGAAGCAAGCCAACAAGGTAGGCAGCCCGTCATGCAGAGACTCGATGTGAGCCACAATATTGATGCCATTCAGANTCTGCTTCGACTGCGGCGCCAAAAACCCCACCTGGTCGTCGGTTCCCTTTGGCATCTACCTCTGCCTGGACTGCTCGGCCCATCACAGAAACCTTGGTGTTCACATCTCCTTCGTCCGCTCCACCAACCTCGACAGTGTGTAATCCGACTCTCCACATACCTCACCCCACTCATACTGACACCACATGTCCANNGTCTGGCAATGGGAGCAGCTTCGTACCTTCAAGGTCGGCGGTAACGAGTCGGCTACCAAATACTTTCAGAGCCATGGTGGCTCTGCCGCTCTGGCCAGCAAGGACCCCAAGACGAAATACACTTCCAACGCCGCCAACAAATACAAGGAAGAGCTGACACGGAGGTGCCAGGCCGATGCTAAGCTGTAAGAGTGCCATGTACTACAGCCTGCCCCAGATATTGACGAGTCCTNNAGATACCCCGAGGAGGTCGTCATCACCGACCTGGCCGACGAAGCCGGCGCAAGCGGCACAAGCACCCCTGCAGGCGACGACGACGATTTCTTCTCTTCTTGGGACAAGCCAACCATCAAGCGTCCTAGCAACNCCCCGTCTCGTACCGGTACACCAGGCATCAACCGAACCAACTCGCCCTTCCTCAATACCCCAGCCAATGGAGCTGCACGACCAAAGTCGCCCCTGACCGCCGATGCCGCCGCCCCTGCACTCACTACCGCCCGTGCAATTCCCGCTTCAGCTGCTCGCAAGACCGCTGTAGGCGGCGCAGCTCCTCGCAAGACCAACATCCTAGGCGCAAAGAAGAAGCTTGGAGCAAAGAAGGTTGACCCGGCAGCTCTTGACTTCGACGCAGCAGAGCGCAAGGCTCGCGAGGAGGCAGAAAGAATCGCAAAGTTGGGTTATGACCCTGAGGCTGAGGCAACTCCCGCAGAAGCCCAGATCAGCTCAGCACAACCAGATTCCACCTCGAGCATTGTAAGCCCGCAACCCGTCAGTCCTAGACCGGGTGTTGGCTTTGGCGCAACCGGAAAGGCCAAGGAAAAGGACCAGGGTGAGATGGAGAGACTGGGCATGGGTGTCCGCAAGCTCGGATTTGGTCAAGTTGGTGGTGGTGCTCCTGCCGCTGCAGCGCCCAAGAAGATGGGCTTTGGTTCCACCACCAGAGCAACAGAAGGTAAGAGATTACATGATTCGACGTGCTCAACGAAGCTAACGATTTCTGCCTTAGACGACTCAGAGAAGTACGCCCGCCAGAAGTTTGGAACTCAGAAGGGTATCTCGTCAGACGAGTTCTTTGGCAGAGGCACATTCGACTCGAATGCTCAGCAAGAAGCCAAGTCTCGTCTGCAAGGTTTCGAGAGCGCCCAGTCTATTTCTTCTAACGCATACTTTGGACGACCCGAGGATGAGATGCCCGAGGGTGAGTACGGAGATATTGAGACGGCAGCCAAGGACTTTGTACGCAAGCTTGGAATCACCGCAGGAGACGATCTTGAGAATCTCACCAGTCTACTGGGAGAAGGAACCAACAAATTGCAAGGTATGACTGATGACATTGATGGGTTGATCGAGCAGTGGCTAACAGAAGCGACAGGTGCTATCAGAAACTACCTCAACGGATAGATTGGATGAAACCCCGGGGGACCATGGACGGGAGCAGTACGTGTGCAGTCAGCCATCAAAGTAGTACTAGCTATTGAGCAGACAAGAATGAAAGCGAGAACGTTAGATCTAATAATTTTGTCTTGCTTCAAACAAAAGCTGTCAGTCGGTAGAGTGAGAGCCGAGGCGGCATGGAGAAGGGTCCAAGCGGCCCCAGTTGCGTCATCTTTTTCAGAAAAGTGCAGTGATCTGTTCTGGTCTTCGCGGCGCAACCACCGAGTGGATATGGCGATCACGACCGACCAGCCATGCACCTGACCTCGCCAACGACGTGTATACACTTTTCGACTTTCTGACCAACGACCTGCATCATGCCGCCTAAAGGATCGCGCGTCGTGCACCACGACAACGACTCGAGGTCGGACGGCTCGAGTTCGAAGACCAACCACAACGCCGCGAAGAACAAGCGCCCGAATGGCACAAGCAACCTGCGTGATGCGAAGAGCGTGAACGATGCAACCGCAGCACAGAATGCCTCGTCTAGCAATGGAGTGAGTGTCTGCGTTAGCCTCAAGCACCGTCTCGCAAGACCAAGGCTGACCTCAAGGCACAGTNTCACATGGGCCCAGGAAGACCTGTCTCTCCTACAGCAATACCGCGCCGCACATCGTATGGACACGCCTTCAGCATTCAACTCGATACGCAACCAGTTCCTACTCACCAACCCGGGCATCGGCAGACAGTCGCCGACCATGGCCAGGCGCAAAGCAAAGAGGAAGGTACCCAAGGAACAACTCGCCATGGCAGTGAGGAAAAACTTCAACGACGCAGCCGTCAACGAGATTGACGTTATGGTCGATCTGCTGTACAAAGTGCGCAACCAGGGTATGTCGTCCTGCAACGTGCCGCCTCCTTGTCCCAAGTGCTGACGCGAACGCTCCCCAGAAAAAGCGTTCCGACTTCGGTCGGCACCTAACAAAAGCAACAAGTAAAGAAGGGCATCACGGGCCAGACAGCATATGGGAGAAACTCGGCGTCCTTTGGGTATACCACATGACAGATTGAACGGACATGGCTAGGCGGCATCATCATCACCATGCGGAGTTCTGGCGTTTTCTTTGTTAATGGTCGAGCAACAGGTGAGGGACGAGATAGACGAAGGACAGTAGGCATTATCTTGGGTCCTGTGAGTAGCACGAATACCCAGTAATCAAACATCAGTTTTAATACATGTTTGCAAAAGAAAACACAGGCCATCAGGGTTCCCCAGTGGTGAATTTCGTCAAGCATCTCGAAGGTTCGGTGAGCATCGGCATCGATCGCTGACCGCACGCCAAGCCGACGACACATGCCTCCCGCGGCAGTGCCAAAAGTTTCCTGCGTCCACCATCTTTCGAGGTAGGCTAGCAATTGTAATACTCAACTTGTCGCTGTCGAATCCTGCACTCCTCGTTGCAAGATCAACACTTCCCCCAAGCACAAGTCAGCATAATCGCCATGAGTTTGGCCGCTCCAGGCTTGCTCCCAAAGGCGGCCACTCCGCTCCGCATCCTCGCCGCATCGAGGCCGACCTGCCAAATCCATTCCGAACGCTCCCAGTCGACCCTCCAATCTAGACGTCTACACACGGCTCCATCGACCAGGTCTGCCCGTCATGCGCCTCGTCAATCTGCTCAGGCTAGGGTGAGTGAGAATCTTAGTGTTACTGTTGACCTTTCCCATTGCTAACTTGCCTCGATCTGCAGANCATTCCATGCCACCGCTCCGACACTGGCCAAGGACCCATATGCTACCCTTGGCGTGAACAAATCCTCCTCTACTGGTGAAATCAAGAAGGCCTACTACGGACTGGCCAAGAAATACCATCCCGACACCAACAAGGACGCTGGTGCTAAGGAAAAGTTCGCCGAAGCCCAGGCCGCATACGAGACTCTTTCAGACCCAAAGAAAAAGGAGGCATACGACACCTACGGCTCTGCCGCTTTCGACCAGAATGGAGGCTTCAACCCCGGTGCCGGCGCCGGCGGCAACCCCTTCGCAGGTGGCGGTTTCGGTGGATTTGGAGGCTTTGGTGGTGGTGGCGCTGGAGGCGCTCAAGGCTTCGGCGACATCAACTTCGAGGACCTTTTCAGCGCATTTGGTGGAGGAAGCGCGCGAAGAGGCCGTGGAAGAGCCTCGCCATTCCAGGAAGAGATGTTGGTTGGAGAGAACATCGAAGTTCAGACCAACATCTCCTTCCTCGACGCGGCCAAGGGTATCACCAAGGACATCCACATCAACCCGTTGGTCAAGTGCAAGACTTGCGAAGGAAACGGCTTGAAGAAGGGCCAATCGAGATCGACGTGTAAGAGCTGTGACGGCTCGGGTACACGAGTACACTTCATGCAGGGTGGCTTCCAGATGGCAAGCACCTGCGGTGCATGTGGAGGCCAAGGCCAGACTATTCCCAAGAACGGTGCTTGCGGAAGCTGTAAGGGAGAGGGTGCACTTCGCGAGAAGAGAACAGTATCAGTCGACATTCCTGGAGGTATCGAGGATGGCATGAGAATGCGCGTATCACAAGAAGGAGACTACCCACCGACAGGCCAGGCGGCCAATCCCAAGGCACGAACAGCAAATGGCGATCTTTACGTCTTTGTGCGAGTTGCACCCGATCCAAAGTTCAGCCGCAATGGATCAGACGTTCTCTACACAGCATCGATACCGCTGACGACAGCGATTCTCGGAGGAGAAATTCCTATTCCCACACTGGACGGCGAGGTCAAGATCAAGGTTGCGACAGGCACAGCAACCGGCGACCGCATCACGTTGTCTGGAATGGGCATGAGGAAACTGAACAGCCGACGTGGCAACAATGGAGACCTGCGGGTGGAGTACAAGGTGCAGATGCCCAAGTATCTCAGCGTCAACCAGAGGACGATTGTCGAGATGCTCGCAGACGAGATGGGAGACAAGACAGCCAAGCGAGTGATGAACCTCGGAAAGATGGCAGAAGATGCCAAGAAAGATGCGACGATGAGCGAAGAAGACTTGCACAAGAACGAAGGGTTCCTCAAGTCTGCATGGCACAGACTCACACACCAGCACGACCACCTCAAAGAGAAGGAGGAAGCCAGCAAGCAAGAAGAGGAAGACAAGAAAAAGTCAGGATCGAGCTGAAGAGGACGAGGAGACGATGTGTAAAGGAATTGTACATTTATGTATATTATAGCGAGTTGTGTTGGAGCATTTGAGCAAAAAGTGGGATTGGAGTGGGCGGCACATTGTACTTGGACTGGTCCATGTAACAACAGTGAGGTTGGTTAGAGAAGACAATGATAGACTCTCCTCTCGATAGATGTGATGTGCAATGATTAGTTGTGCAATATAGCGGGATAGGCGGGTATCAGATTGATGTTTCAAGCGGACGGCGTGGATGCGGGACGATGACGATTGGGCACTGGCGTTCGTGATTGATTAGCCATTAAGCTGCATCTCTTGCACACACACACACTCGAGTATCTTAGACGATTGCGCATTCTGGCCTTTGTCGACTATACATCTAAGACTCGAGTCTTAAGAAGATCTGAAAACGAGACCGAGCAGCAGTCAACAGCTTTAGCAACCACAGCGGTAAGCGCGATCGACCCAACCCGCGTGGCCATGGTATAGCGGCCGCCTAGACATACAACAACGACAAGATGATGCAGACACCGATGCTGTCCTGCCCGCTCAAGGCAACAAACGAGATCGACTGGATAGCGCCGCTCAAGCAGTACATCCGCACCACGTACGGCGACGACCCGGAACGCTATGCCGACGAATGCGCCGCCCTCAACCGCCTGCGCCAGGACATGCGAGGCGCCGGCAAGGACTCGGCCGCCGGCAGAGATCTACTCTACCGCTACTACGGCCAGCTGGAGCTGCTGGACCTGCGCTTCCCCGTCGATGAGAACCACATCAAGATCTCCTTTACCTGGTCCGTCTTGTCCTCCATCCCCCACCTGCCGCCCACTCTGCTGACCCCTTGACCTCATCAGGNNTTCGATGCCTTTACCCACAAGCCCACGTCGCAATACTCGCTCGCCTACGAAAAGGCCTCTATCATCTTCAACATCTCGGCTGTCCTCTCCTGCCATGCCGCCCACCAAGACCGCAACCAGGAGACAATGCTCAAGGTTGCCTACCACTCGTTCCAGGCTTCGGCTGGCATGTTCACCTATATCAACGAGAACTTCCTACATGCCCCCTCGACCGATCTGAGCAGAGACACGGTCAAGACTCTCATTGCCGTCATGCTGGCTCAGGGCCAGGAAGTCTTCCTCGAAAAGCAAATAGCCGATGGCAAGAAGGTTGGCCTCATGGCCAAACTAGCCAGCCAGGCCGCATACTTGTATAACCAGGCCCTCGAAGGCGTACAGGACAATGTCGCCAAGGCCATCTTCGAGCGTGTCTGGCTGCTCCTTGTCCAGTTCAAGACGCACTACATGACCTCTCTTGCTCACTACTACCAGGCCCTCGCCGATGACGACGCCAATTCTCACGGCATTGCCATTTCTCGCCTGGAGATTGCCATGACGCTCGCCCGCGAAGCTGCANAAGTCGCAAACTCATTCCCCTCGTCTATACCTGCTACTTCAAACTTGGCGGGAGATACTGCTTCCATCCTCACAAACATGGCCAAGACTCATTCGACTGCATGTGACGAGAAGCTGCAGCAATTCAACAAGGATAATGACTTCATCTACCATCAAACCACTCCCCCTGAGGCCGCTCTCCCTGCCATTCCCAAGCTACCTGCTGCTAAGCCTATTCCTGTGAGCGAGCTCTACCAAGGTCAGGATATCCACCGTATAGTTGGACCCGACATCTTCCAAAAGATCGTTCCTATGGCTGTCACAGAATCTGCTAGCATGTACGATGAGGAGAAGGCCAAGCTCGTACGTGCAGAGAGCGAGCGTGTCGAGATTGCAAACGATGAGATGGCCGCTTCACTGGATTATCTCAAGTTGCCCAACAGTCTGAACATCCTCAAGGGAGGCTTAGATCAAGACATGGCGGTTGATTCTGAATTTCGCAGATGGTGCGAGGACTTTGTTGGTCATGCTCCGTTTGCCCAAGATTTTGAGCAGCTCAACTCTAGCAAATCCAGCATTCACGGCATCCTTGACCAATGTCAGAAGAGCTTGGATATGGAAGAGAGTGTTTGCGAGAAGATGAGAAACAAGTATGGAGCTGAATGGACCCAACAACCTAGCTCGCGCCTTACTTCGACACTTCGCAGCGACATCCGAAACTACCGCGGTGCTGTCGAGGAGGCGAGCATGAGCGATGTACAGCTTTATAGCACTTTCAGACAGCATGAATCAGACATGGAGGAGATGCGCTCTGCAGGCGAGACTGATGAGGCCGATGTACTCTACCAACGGGCTATGATCAAGGTTGGTGCTGCAAGGAAGACAGGTGGGAAGAGTCCAGCAGCAGAAGGTAGTCTGATTGATGACATCGATGATGACGACAAGGCGAGCGTAACCGAGCAGATCGCTGCTGTTGAGGATCTGCTCAAGAAGTTGACTTTGATCAAGCGAGAGCGGGAGAAGGTGCTCAAGGATCTGAAAGAAAAGGTTTGTTAGTCCAAAGACCCATCGCTTCGGACCCACGCTAATTCGAACACAGATTNNCATAACGATGACATCTCCAGCGTCTTGATCTTGAACAAGAAGGCTATGTCACAGGAGAATCAGCTTTTCAAGACCGAGCTTGAGAAGTTCCGACCGCATCAACAGCGCTTACTACAAGCCCAACACAAGCAGCACAGCTTGATGAAGGAGCTCACTCGGACTTACAGTGATCTATTGTCGGACAAGCGCGTTCGTCAAGAGCAAAACAAGTATGAAGCCTTCTCACGTCAACGTGGCACTGTCATGTCGAAGTATAAGAAGGTGCATCAAGCACTCATGGACTTGCAAGCAGGTCTTGAGCGCGCCAAGAACTTCTATTCCGAGATGAAAGATACTGTTGACAGCCTGTACAAGAACGTCGAAGGCTTTGTCGGCAATCGCAAAGCAGAGGGCAGTCAACTGCTTAATCAGATCGAAAGCGGAAAGACTTCTTCGGGAGCTGGTGGTGCAGACCGAGAGCAGCAGCGTCTCAAGGAGATGATGGACCGCATGTCAATGAACCCTTCATCCTCGCCACACCAACAGCAGCAACCGCAACCACCTCCGAGACCCCTGCAATTGCAGCAACAGCATTCATACAACAATTGCAACCCTGCAGCCTCACCACCAGTGACGCCAGGCTACGGCATGCAACCCACACCATCGCCCTACATGCATCAGCAAAACTATGCCCAACAACAGCAACCTCAACAGCCCAACTATCAACAACATCAGCAACCGCAGCAACCTCAAGGCTACAGCTACAATCCTACTTCTTACGGCATGCCCACCTCCCCACCCGCCGCCCAGAATCAATACTTTTCTCCCNCACCAAACCAGAATCAAGGTCATAACCAATATGGTCAGATGGGTCAGCAACAGCAGAACATGCTGCCTCATGGTTATGTGCCGCCGCCTCCGCCACCTGGTCCTCCGCCGCATCAACAGCAACATCAGCAGCAGGGGTATGGTCAACAGCCTCAACAGGGTTATGGGCAGCAGCAGGGGCAAGCTGATCCTTGGGCTGGACTCGGTGCTTGGAAGTAGTGATTCAGTATACTGAAGCAGTAATGTGCATGCAGCACGTTAAGGTGAATTGGAGATGAGAGCAAAGGCTGGCTGAGAGTGTCGAGAGCATTGCGTTTTGTACATTTGAAATGGTCAATATCAAAATCATCCTTTTGAGGATATTTAGTGAGAGCATTTATGTGATTTTTGGTGAGTGCGAATCGAATGAGGTCTATTGACATAAAAGATATATACAAATTCGAAGGCACCGAGCCAGTAATGACTCGACTGAAATGTTTCCTTTTCGGTTCTATAAAACGTTCTAGTCAGTCATGTTGCACGAGATATCCCTGTATGGTTGGAAGATGAAACCAATTCACAGGAGGCATAGCGGGCGTGCTTTTGTAAGAACAATGCTGAACGCACACTACCCTTACTCTTTTGACGTACCGACGTCGCGGAACCTTCAGCACGTATATATAACGCACTAACGCCAGCCCGATGGCACGGTGCAGGAGTCGCCGTCTGGATTCTCAGGGCACACCGAGGCACCATACAACTCCCAGACCATACCACACCTCCCTATCACTCTCCTGCTCACAGGAGACCAAACCGTGAATTGTGAGACGAGATACTCATTGCGGGAAGCCGTACGCGCAAACGTGTCCATGAGATTGGAAAAGGTGCCCGTGTCAAAGTTGCGTATCTCGCATCCGGGTTCGCAAGTATATTTCAGCCCTCGATTGTCTCTGAACGAGAACCATCCTTCTCTCAGAGTGTATCCGGTTTGTTGACACCAGCCCTGTCGCTTTTCAAATGGATTGCCTGTGCCGCGAACGGTGACATTGTCCGCCTTCATGTCCGAGTCCATCGAGTCGAGGACGTGGACAAGGTCTGCGAATTGCTCGTCACTGCTGAAAGTCGTGTTCAAAACTTCCAAGTTGTGTATGACGGTGTCGGTAAGGTTGTACTCTCGCCTCCGCAATTCCGTACGCTCGCTCCTCGAGGCCTGCTGCGAGGCTCCTTCTCCCTGCGTTTTCATCGAATACTCCGCGATAGTGCCTCCACCGATTCCAAGAGAGATCACAAAGGTGTGCCAAGCCATTGTCTGAGCGACTGCAAATGAGCATTCGAGTCCGTTGACGTTTGCATGTCTCCAATTGCCGTAACAAGCTTGCTTGATTGTTTGAGCTTCGTATACTCCCACTTGGGCAAAGTATCCAGTGACGGCCATGGTTCCACCACCAATCTGGAAGGAATAATTGGCATGTGCCTCTCGAATCAGAGCCGCTATGAGTACAAAGACCCATTTGATGAAAGAGTAGTCGAGCATAGTGGATTCAGGCCGAGCAAGGAGGTCTAGTTTCTCAGATAAGCGTACATGGGCAAGAATGGGAGTGATCTCCAACATTATATACACACTGTAGAAGCTGTTTGGTAACAAGATCCAAGGATTGGCGCCGAGAGTATGCTATAAGCCGTTTTCTTGGGTCAGAATGCTAAAGGGAAGTCATAAGAGAGCAAACCCTGAAAAAGGCCACGGCAGTTGGAAATCGCGAAGATTCAGAATAACCGCAATAGACAGTTAGTTACATGTGCAGCAGAGCAAGGTATTGATAACAAAGTCCAAGAATTGGCGTCGAGGGTATGTGGTCAAGGCATTATTGAACAATTCTCAGCAAGCCTCAACACGAACCGGGAGAAGCTACAGCAGTTGGGGATCGTGAAGGGGCGGATTGATGAGGACACGTTCATGTGAGACAGAGAACAAGAAAAGAGAGGGTAGGCAAGGAGGAGCCGAGGACAGCCCTCAGAGGCGTCCGACCAGCAACGTCTCCGACTCTACATCGGCAGGAGCGATACCTAGGAAGAAGCCACCTCGGATTCATGTGAATCGTGTCAGAGAACTCCGCTCACACGAGCTCAAAGTCCATCTCCCTTTGCAGCAGCATGGGCTTGGGCATGGTTTTTCGATGATTGTTGAGTTCGCCATCCATCATGCCATGAACATAACACTCACCCAACATACGATACAACTTTGCATCGCCTCTATGCTCTGTCTGGTGCCTGTGCAGCACAACAGGTACATTGCAGCCATACAGCAAAGCTACCAAATCTCCTGGTTGCGTATTTTTGGGCACCAGACACAAAGTCACCACACCAGTGTGTTTCAAGGTGATTCGTGCTAGACGTCTATTCCAGACGACTTCTTGTACTCGGTGTAAGAATTCTCTGACTGAAGAGGCCGGGTTGCCGCTGAGCACTAGAGAGGTCTCTAGATCGTCGTCTCTAGGGGCTTCTTGGAATGCTTCGGAGCAGGCTCGTCTCCAGTATAGAGGAGGCTTTCTGCCGTGTGTGTTTCTGTTGGCGACCAAAGTGCGCCAGAAAGGGTCTGGAGGGTGGTTCTGCTCGGGCGGTATGGTTTCGTGCCATTGGGCTGCGTCGCGCCAGTCTGCTGGTATGGTGCCGGAGGTGGCATTTGATTTTAGCTCTGTGGATTCGATGGTATGCAGGATTAAGCCTTTGATGAGGAGGCTTCTTTCTCGTAGCGGATCGCCGTGGAAGAAATCGTACTTCTTGTAGACGGTGAGGTTGTGCGAGGCTTTGTACGGTGGACCGTTGGAGTCGAATCTACCCAGCAGAGGGTTTGCATTGACGCGTTGGTATTTACCTCTGCGGTTTGGTTTGAATGCGATTCTGTTGGTCAGTCTTGGAATCCAAGAGGGAAAGACTTTATCGTTTGGGTCATCTGGGGCCCAGGGTCGACACAAGATATCCAGGGTGGCTTCAGGTCTAGACATTGCGAACTCGAGAACCTCACGACAGACCTCGAAGATGGATTTGCTGTAGTCGAGGTAGATTCTGCGTTGCTGGAAGTTGTTGCTGAGTCGGGCGACAATCTGTTCTTTGTCTACTGGGCTTCTAGCATCAGAGAGGGTTCTTCTACGTCCGCGGCTCATGAAGGCAGCCGCTGCGTTGATGGGCTGCAAGCTGTCGACGATACCGTTGTTTCCATTATGATGCGAGGGCTGAGTCGAAGTGTGCTGAATTGCCGTCTGTTGCTGTGTGTATGAGTGGTCAGGGAAGGGTGATGTGGCCGAGCTTCTGTCAGCTGGTGGTGAAGAGCAGTAAGGAGCGTCCGCGATCATCGTCACTGTTTGTGCATTGTTGTCTCGGAGAAAGTGCTGAGTTGCACCTTCTGTATTCGCACCAACTCCGCTGATTTGGATTGAGGGGATATCTTTATCCTCGCCCTTTCTTCTTTTGAAAATGTTGTCGCCGTTGGCGCTTTGATGGCCATCTGTCAGAGACCTCTTGAGCTGAGCGTCTATCGACAACTGATCAGAAACGACAGGAGCCATCGCAGGGGATGAAGGTGAACTTTGATCGCGCCGCAATCCCGCGACACCAACTGCATCATTTGACAGCCACAGGATTGCATAGACTATGTCATGAGCAACCGAAGCTTCAAAAGCAGACATTGTCGACACTAGTGCCTCGAGCGAAAAGTTTTTGTCGCGGATCTTGTTATCTTCGGTCTTGTGAAAGAGGTCGTCCGTCAACTCCACCAAGCGGATTGCTCCTAGTTCAGAAATGTCACCCAAGTAATCGGCGTGGTTGTGAAATTCAGGCGACTTTTTGAAAAGCGCCTTCATTTCGAACAGTCTGGTCGATAGCTGCGAGATGACATCTGCAAATTCGTGCCACGGCAACACTTTTTCGCCGCAATGAAGTGTTGCTTTTTTGGCCACTGCGATTTCTTGTACGATCCACCTTTGACAACCTGGTCAGCAATAGGTCCATTGGCGTACGTGTGCAAAATGAGATGACTCGAACCTTCGACTAAACCAAGGCCTCTTCATTAGAGAAACCAATGCTTTGATGTCTTTCGACACGTGTGGATCACGCATAGCTCTGTCGAACTCATCACTGGCCAGACAGTTTCCCACAAACTTGAAAGCGAGTTCGGAGTCTTCATCCTTAGGTCCTAGCCAGACACGAACATGAGTTGCCGAATTGAAGATGATGGACATGTGAGAAATCTGTAGACTTTTCTCTTCTTGGTTCTTCTGATCAATACACAAAGCGTCAATCCACAGCTTCCGTTTCTTGAATCTGGGTGCCCGCAATGCTCGTAATGCGGAAGCTAGGTTGTTTGTGATGCTGACTGTGCCTCGGTCGTGTATGTTGACCACTGGGTCATCGTCCGTGACTGATCCCCAAGTGTATGACAAAGCCTCGTAGTCGCCTGGGTCAGCAGCATCGATGACCACGGAGCTGGTTGTGGGTTTCTTTAAGCGACACGTCACGATATCGCCTTCGAGTTCGCTATTTGGTGAGCCTGGGTAAAGGATGAATAATCGAAAAGCGCGTTCTCTATAAGGTTCTTGTGAGAGATTGTCGAAGCGGTACGCTGTTTCCGGGACCGGGATAGGAGTCATCATTAATGAGTGGGAGCAATTGTCCTAGTCCGTCCGGCGCGACGTTGGCATCTTAAGATGGTGTCCTGAGGACCCCTAGGAGTTTATCAGGGCAGAGGCTGAGTTTGCGAGAACTTTAATCAGGCGTCCTGATCCTTCCACTGTTCGGCGTGGGCGAGGTCCTCGAGCATAAGCACAAGTGCGGAGTATCAGCCAATATCAATTGACGAGGCTGAGCCGTCCATACTGTGTGGTTGATCCCGGATGACTTCCACTCCCCACAGAGCTCTCAAGTACGCATATCGAGAAGGAGAGTGCTTCTTACCGGCACATTTGCTTCACGGAAAGAGAAACCCCTAAAAACTCTCCCATGGACGTGTTTCGATGCGTAGAGATGATATGCACTTTGGTGGCATTTTGCGAGATTCGGCTCTTGTGGGACCGTGGCCCTCGTGTTATTGATTGGGAGTCTATCCTGATTGGTTGTTGTGTGCTGATTGTATATTACCTTGCATACAAGGCGTTTTTGTGGGGGCGGTATGAGGTAGCCTCGCTCCGCCACGCCAACAAGTGCACAGGTTCATGCATCCAGGCAGGCCGGATTGTTCGAATGTGTCTCGTATATGTATCCAAGCCATTTCCACCTCAGGCGGCCAGTCTGGTCGTGACTGCGCCATTTGTCAGTCGTTCTCCGCCACCACCTAAGCAAGGGCTGTGTAGAATGCTTCCAGAGCTCATAAGCAAGATGTATATTCCACAAAAGGTTGGTTGTTTGACATTCAGATCTAAAGCAAATAATTGAAACCCCCTTCAGCGAGAAATATCAATCATCACGGAGCATTGGAACATGCCTCACGTCACCCTTGACGCCGCTGGAATCGTTGCGCTTGCCGACTTGGACATCATTGCTCGACGCACCGCATTATCCGGTACCTCGCGATTTGCAGATGCTCTCGTCCTCTGCCCGGGTCTTCATACACAACAATCAGCCAGCAGCCTGAATCGTGGGGAGTTTCCGGCATGCGCTGCGATGACAACTGGTTACGCTTTCAGAGTTGAAAATCCAGCAACTGTGGCCTTCCTCCAAAACGTGGGGCGGACGGGACAGTTGACCAATGTCAAAGTCGAGTACGCCAAAAGCCATTGTGAGGAATGGAAGACCATCAAGATATTCTGCAGAACTTTTCCCTACGCTTTCTGCTGCGTCCTCACGATCTCCACCCTCATCGTGTTTGCATTGATCCGAGACTGGTGGGCCGTTACATCCGTTTGTATCTTGATGTTTGCACGACTATGCAACGTCCTTGTTGTCAAGAAAAGGGTCGAAAGGGCGGGCGAGTGGAAAGGTGCTAGCGAGCCGGGGGTACAGGGCGATCTGCTTGTGCTGATGAGTCAAGATCGTTGGATCAGGCTCTATGGCGCTGTCGATGACCTCAAAGCAGTGACATCTGGACAGTGGCTGGCTGAGATGATACCACTGGAAAACGCAGTGTCTGCACTGGCGACGGTAATGGTGTATCTGGATGCCGCATTGACGAGCAATGCTACCCAACTGGGAAAAATCCTGCTTCTGGTCCTCCTGATAGGCTCTGCTGGCTTCTTGGCCATAGCCAACGAGCAAACAGAAGCTCTGCATATGCATGGTCGTGTACTTCAAGTTCAGACGCAGCGAAAGGCGTACGACCGACGACTATCCATGGCAAAGGAGCTAATACAAGCTTCGGGTAGATCCGACTGGGCTCTGAAACTTGGTTTGGTAAACGAAAAGGACTGTGATGAGAAGTGCGCCAGCGAGAACTCCTCGGTGATCATGTGAACACGAGATAGCCATATGAGATCATGATAGTATGACATTTATGACAAAGCTTCAAAAGGATTCGCCGGATGACCTCTTACATGAAAAATTGTCTGAGAATCTCAGTCCGAAGAAAAATGTCTGAGCCCAGGAATCCTGCTTCAAGTTCAGTGTCTGGCGCCCACGCCCAATTGAGAAGTTGTGTAGTGCGTAGAATGGTGCCAGGACCCGCTCTCGGAGCACACGATACAACGGCATTACTGAACACTGTTTGGTCAGCAGGGGTAACAGCACCTGTACCAAGCAAGAAGACAGGCCACAGAAGAAGCGCAGATGCACCCTGAAGAAGATCCATCTGTTGGAAGACCTTGTGACTTTGCCGAGATATAGCAACAAGATCCGGATCGAACGGCCCATTCGATGGATTCAATAGCTTGTGTGAGAAAAACAGGCAGCCGTAGTACCAGGCCTTTGCTGAAAGCAGATTCTTCATCATGAAAGCGTCGGCTGTTCCGGAGTCGACATCAAACAAATCTTCTGGAGCTTCGACCGGTGCTCGCCAATTCATGATCCTGGTTGAGAGAGAAATCGCGTCGATCAAATCTTTGCCTCGGAGTGGCATTCTATCTCTTAACCAACACAATTTGAATCCCATATCAAACAGCGGAGCGCACATGCCCACCCAGGGGCACTTTCTCCATTGTTTGACCATATCTTGTCGAGGACTTCCTGGGAGACACATTGTCTCAAACAGTCGCTCGATATAGTCGTAAGGCAGTGAAGGGAAAGGCTGGAAAAGCCGATTATGCACTGTGCGAAACGAATATGCCTCAAGTAGTAGGACTTGATGCATCGATGAAGGTGCTTTGTTCATCATGCTTACCCGAACCAGGTTATGGGCACCGCTAAGATGGGCGACTCGCATACTAGCAGGTTCATCGGTCCTTGGACTCATCGANCTGGTTAACATTGAGTTAGCTTGAAGGCTTTATACGCCGTGTAGAAAAGTTCTTGCCTCGAATGTATGTAACAGAAGTATCGCAGCCACCTTCCATTCCGGAGAGGTCAGGCCAGTCTCGGTCAGAGCAGTAGCAAGTCCCTTGACTGCTTGTTGGTAATGTACGAGAGCCTTTTGGATACCTCCTGGTTGTGTCCTTGTTACAAATGCAGTGCCGCATGATAGCCAGGCATGCATAAGTGATGAGTTCTGTAGACATAGTGGCAGACAGAGTTGTGATGCTGGTTGATCAAGACTTTCATTGTCTGGGGAAATGATGGCCTTGTCGAATGCAGTCGTGATCTGAATCAACTGACTTGATGTGAATTTNTCTGATTTCGTTAGTCAAAGTACTTCATTATTAGAAACATCGATATGAGGCCCATACGGTGATACTGTCTTTACTCCGCTTGGAAGGCTGACAGTGATACAATTCTCTATGCTGTTCTGTGGTGAGGGTGGTGCCTCCCACACACGTCCCGTGGTGTTCGGAGTGGTTATGCCGTAGTTGCTCCTTCCCTTCTCGCGAAGTACCACTGTAGTTTGAGACGAAGATCCAGGATCTGCCGACGCCCGGATCGGGTCTCTTCCAGCATCGAGGTTAAGATGCATTTGATATCTGCCGCCATCTTCGGAGGCTAGTGACGCTGCGTGCGCAGGCCATTCGCAGACCACGGATCCAATACTCTTCCGGCAGCGCACACAAACAGGCTTCGCAAGATCACACCTCTTCTTCTTTCGCCGANNCCTGATATTAATGCTGTCAGTCGGAGAGATCATTGCCAGCACGTTCGTACGAAAGCCCCGCAATATAGAAACTGATCCGAACATGCCCGTCGGATTGTGTAAGGGGAGTGGGGGACACGTACATGGTAGACAGCCCTGATCCGTACGTGTTCGCTTGGGCTTGACGTCCGCTGCGACCAGTCCGCCGGAAGACAGCTCGAAATTAGCAAACATGACACGCTTTCAGCAGCTCAGAACGGGGGTATCGCGGAGTGTGGTTCGCCATCCAAATCTGTGGGAGCGGCTCGCTCAAACTGGACAAGTGCCAAGACCCTGCCCTTATCAGAGGACCGAACATATATTGGAGATCGGTACATTGCTGATCAATCACTGATTTGCTTCTACCAAAACGACTCGGGTTCGATGTGTGTTCTCCGAGTTGAGAGCAGACAGACTTGGGCAAGAGCTCCAGAGCAAAAGATAAACTCAAATCAAAGAGTACGATGATAAGGAAGTTTAAAGGTTCCGTTAACCGAGTTTAGCAGAATGATTATAAGAAATCTAGTAGTAAGTCGACCTGTAGCATCGATGTTTGTTTGTCTTGTTCTTGTTACCAAGGTACTTCTAGTGCATCTTCTTCATGTTTCATGTTGGAAAGGTGGAGTACATGTAGATATATGCAACTCCCGTCTCACAGGCATGTTGCTGCACCTAAAGGAGGTACTAGCGAGAAGCAAGATATGATGTTTTGCAAAAGTGTCTCTACAGCAGGTCATCAATACCACGCTCCGAATCCTTCTTGATAAGATCAATCATGCCNCTAGAGTTTCATCAGCATCTGACCAGGCCATGTAAAAAGAACAATTCACATACATCAGGGAAGATGGGGTTACCATCCTTGTCGAGCACATAGCGGAAAGGCATCTCAGTGCTCTCATGCTCGTCAACCTTGATCTCCGGGTGATCAACGTATTTGATGTTCTCCAGCTCGATGCGATCTTGGACCACAATTCTAGTGGTACGCACTGCTGTATCGGTAGTCATCTGGACTGGTCCCAAACGACGTCCTTGGTAACCCTTCTTTCGAAGCTCCGAAGTACGGTCTNNATCAACGCATTAGATATGACGGTCAACATCAAAACTGCAAGTCATACCTCTAGGTGGATCGTCTCCAAGGATACCACCGAAGAGGAAGATGTCGAAGTTGTCGCCATCCTCAGGACTAAGTTCCTTTGTCGCTGCGGGATCGAGCAAGCAGACGCGGTCCTTCTTGTCTGCATAGATCTCCTCAATGCCACGGTGTTCCACATTCAATTCAGAGACGTTCTTGAGAGATTCGGGTAGTTGAAGCTCATGCGGAACAGATGTGAGGTAAAAGGCGGATCCTGAGGCTGCAGTCTCTCTGGCGATGCACTTGTATTCGAGAGCCGACCACTGTTCGAGCTCAGGATCGAGATGCTCGACGATGAAAGTCTTGTTACCAGACATTCTCTGTGGTTTGTTAGAATGATCATATCCATGTCCACACTTGAATATTACGGCAGACTTACGATCTAGTAGTTGGTGTTTTGCTCCTAGGTTTTCTACGAAAGAAGTATATAAGACCCGAGAGATGCCAGTGTCGAGATTTGTATAGAGAACAAGACTTTTGGTTGTCGGGATGAGAATTGAATGCGGTGGTTGCTTTCGTGGATTTTTCCAAAACTTTTGACTCGAAGCCGAGACTGGCGTGGATTTTGCGGAGAGAACAAGCATCGTGGGGAAGTAGCGAGGAGACGCCATGGGTCTGTTATCTGGCACACTAGGCGAAAGTAGGCCAATCACCGAGATGATCGACTAGCTATATGCTGGATAGTAGACCTCTGATGCTCGTTATCATACTCTTAGCGTTACAGTATGCAGCTGCATGAAGCTCCAGATGCTCTGGATCAATGAGCAAAGAAAGCACGAGGGAAGCACAAAACACAGTCAATCTCTCTACAAGCGGACGAGAATCGTCTCGCATTCTCTGCAACGGATCAAGGGCATGTTGCAGACCTTGAAACAAGCTAGAGAGCCAAGTCTAGGATGAAGGCTGCGTGACTGTGAGCAAAGACGGCAACGATCAGAGCTGAAGGCTAAAACCTCAGTGAGAGCTAGGCAAACGTTGTAGAAGGGGACAGAAGACGGTGACACCAAGCTTGGAAGCTCTTCGTACGTACCGTACCCCTCCCTCTTTCAACCACGCTGCTCTCATCAGAAATACCAACAAACCTCGTGCTTTCGATTTCTGAAAATCAACCAACAAAGCAACAAGTCAACTGAGCGCCAAGCACGATCTCTAAGCTTCCAGCAAACGCGAAACGCACGCAAGCAAGGGCATCAGCAGCAGAACGTGCGTCAGAGTGTGCTTCGTCATACGTTTCACACGACCGCCTTTTGACCGAGCGATTGACACTTGGGCAGCAGCGAACATCCAAGAAACAGTGACAGCACTGCGAACAGCGAAAGCAGCCCTCTATCGTATCAGATCTCTTTGTCCCGGAGCCGAACAGGTACCCCAGCTTTCGTAAGAGCCGGGCTTAGTCAAGCGACGACATCACCCTGGTGAACAAAGCCCAAAGCTATCTATCCACCCACGCCCTGGCCCAAGAGTCTCGACTTCTTTGGCCTGCTCCCCGACCGCACTTATTCCTCTCGCGACACCAGCTTGCGCACAACCAGAAACGCTGCTTCGATTCTTCCTGGCGAAGACCCGCGCTCCCCCTATCCACCCACCATCGCAAAGCAAAAAGGTCGACCGCTTTGCGACCAGCCCGCCATCATGAACCCCCACCAGAAGAACAAGGTCGACATCAACGTGAGATCTCCGTCTGCTGCCGTGTCCACCTCTCGACTCATCATATCCCCCACAGNNGCCATGTCACCCGACGAGCAGCGTCTGTTCCGCATGTACGGCAAGCTGCCCGACAAGAAGAACCTGCTGCAGAACAAGCTCAAGGTATAAACTTGACTCTCCCCTCTACAAATCACCCATCACTCACACGCAAACCCATAGGGCCAAGAGCGCAAATACTTTGACAGCGGCGACTACGCCCTCAGCAAAGCCGGCAAAGCAGGCGACGTGGGCGTCACCAGCATCGGCGTCGAACACCCCTCACCAGACACCATCCCCCACCTCTCATCGTCACCGAACACGCAGACCCCTAGCAACCCCAACGGCAACCCGGGCCTCAATCTGCAGCCCACCCAGAGCCACCAGTCGTACGTCTCGGGCAGCCCGGTCAAGGAAAGCAGTATCCTGCAGAGGGGCATGAGTGTCGACGACCAGGACGGCGACGTCAAGAGCGCCATGGAGAAGCGTGCTCAGGCTGCTTCGTCTGGCCTTTCGCCTTCGTCTGAGAGTGATGCTGTGCCAATCCGTCAATAGGAAATGTCCACTTTTGCTTTTGAACCAGGCATTATTGGAGCATACAAACCTCCAATTGTGGAGATTGGCGAGAACGGATCGACAAGGCGACAGAGCCAGGTCAAGGTGGTCAAGGTCAAGGTCAGGACAGGCGTTGGACCGGCAGGGAGTGCAGGAGTTGTCTTTTCTTGTCATTGTGTTTTCTTCTCATATCTCACCCCTTTTGGTTGTCTCTTTGACGAGAGCAACTGGACATTTGAGGAGGTGCTCAATCCATCCATGCAGCACGTTTTTCTTGTTTTCGTCTGTACGTTTATGCCATGGTTTCTCTCTTCCTTTGTTCACTCGTTGCACTTTTGCACAACCATTCTCTTCGGTGTAGCTACTTTGACATGGACACTGGATTGTCTTTCTTCCAGACAAACACAAATTTCTCTCTGTTCAGTATTTGAAATGCGTAAAATTGATGATACAAGTTTGATGTCTCTCCCGAAGACAAAGAGAAAAATATAGCTACATGAAAAACCTTGGCCCTTTTGACGTTTGAATCTTACAGTTTTATGCGTGGACAAAAGCTCCGCCTTGGGCATTCTGCCCTTTCTTGCTACCAGGCACGCTGGGCTCGACCTCATCCAGAGCAGACAAGACATCCTGATCACTATCGACATCCAAAAGGGCATCCTGATCACCGGCCCTAGCAGACGAGCCCGAGAGTTGCTTGATAGCCATGATCTCCTTGGCGGCCCACTCGCGCCATTCCTCGTACTTTTGGTCTTCGAGCTGCATGCCGACGTCCAGGGGTGAGGGGCCGAACTCGGCGCCAGTCCAGAGGGCTTCTTCGCGGGCGACGCGGCGCTCGATGTCCTGTGTGTGGCGGACGTCATAGAATTCCTTGCGGGCCTTGTCGTAGGCGCCTGCCTTTGTGTAGGCTTGGTATGTGTCTGGCTCTGCGGTGGGGAGGGTGGGGCTGAGGATGTCGGTGGTCTTGATGTTGACGGTTGTTGCGAGGTGATTGAGCAGGGCCGACACGTTTGCAGAGGCATTGCGGTAGTAGGAGAGGGAGATTGGGAGGACGTTGAAGGGGTCTTCGGCGAAGGGCTTGATGGTGGCTTCGGGCTCGAGGGTCATGACGACGTTGTATTGCTTGCCAATGGCTGCGAGGTCGGTGCTTCGTAGCGTCTGCGCGACAGCGTCGGAGTGTAGCAAGGCGATATTGAAGGAGCGCTTGTTGACGGAGGAGGTGTCGAGACCTTGTTCGGCAAGGATCTGGTTCAAGTGTTTGAGTGCATCCTTGAATTGATGAGGGTATTTGGGGTGGTATGTCATGTAAAGGTTGACGGGAACGCTGGCATCGGCGTCGGTGTAGTCGGTCCTTGATGGCAGCTGGCTGGATTGCAGGTCGACGGCGTACTCTTCCCTGAATAGTGGCAGCAGTTCGTCCTGGAGTGCGTCGGACCGTAGGTAGTCAAGCAGTTGTGAAGAGGCAGAGAAGTCGAGTTCATGGCGGAGGAGGCCCATGAGCCATGCTTGTCTTTGGACGACACTGTGGGAGGGTCAGCAGGTGGGCAGCGCATGCGGACTGGTAGAATGTACACACCTCTCTCCGTCGACCTGCTTGGTGGGCTGGTCCAGCTGGCTCCAGTCGAACTTTTGGTAATCCTTGCCGTCATCCTCGAGAACCTGTCTAGGTCTTGCCAATTCCCACGGGTGGTCGCCAAAGAAGTCGAGTCTGAGTTGGTCCTCCTGGTACTGAAGCTTGACGGGCTGGAAGAGCTTGCTGGCCTTTCTGCCCTTGCGCTGGGCGGGTTGCAATGGCGGACGCACGAGACGTTCTGATGGTGGAAGGTTGCCGATGACCGTGTACCACGGCGGAGGAGGCTGGAGTGTGCTGGGGCTCCTGGGGTTGCGGACCTGGAGGAGACGTGTGGCGGCCTGGTGCACGCGCTGGGGCGCAAAGTTGTATCGACCCATGGCTGGTCTTGTCTGGCAGGTGCGATCAAGATTCGCTCGTCTGGTCAATAATTCGAGATTCGAGCAGCGGAGCGGGAGAGAGGCTGCTTGGCGTCGGCGGAGAAGGTGCGGCAGCCAATCAGCGGGCGGCAGATGCGCGTCGGTAATGCTGAAAGTCGCGGACTTTTTGGCGGCTCTCGACAGCAACAGAGACCACTTTGGCACGCTATGTACTGAGTGATATGCCCGGGGAATGTCGATTGCTCGTCTGACACAATGCTCGCCGCTTCATGTCCCTCCTTGGCTCCTTCTCCCGCACCCAGAGCGGCTCCTCTCTGCACAAGAAGCCCACGACTACGACTGCCTCGATCATGACAGCCCTGTGTCCACGCCGCAATCACCTGTCCGCGTCCAATCCCTTCGACCACGACTCGCCTCGCCATCGTCGCGACCTGCACATCCTCTCTAGGCGGCCATCCCCTGCTTCTCGCTCTCTGACCTCCGAGTCCGCCGAATCCCTCTTCCTCGAAGCTCTTGCTCGTGCGAGCTTGTGCCGGAAACATGCCCGTCAATCATCCACCATCACACGACCCTCTCACCCGACTAGCTCCTCCTCTTCTTCCTACTCCACCTCCCGCTCTGCACGTTTCACCACAAGCTCTCCGACGAACAAGCCACCTCAATCCTCCGCTGTCGAATTCTCATCCGACGAATCAACCCATCCTGCACCTATACCCATCTCACGCCACGAGCTGCGTTCCATAGTCGACCAATACGACTTCCACGGCTACCAGGAAGATCCTCCTCCGAACAGGGACTCGGATCACGACACCTCTCCGAGCATCCATGTTCACTACGCCAGCCAGATACCCGACAGGAAGCCCCTGACCGCCCAAGCATTTCTTCAACAGCAAGCCATCGACTACTTCAATCTCATCATACAAGACAATGATGCACCCAATGCCCTGCTATACAAAGCTTACACGGCCATACCACAACCGCGACCACAATATCTCGAGAATCAACCCATCCGGCAACTGATGCATCGCCTGAGTGTTGTCGAATTTAAAGATGAGCGGACGATGCAGTGCTACCTCTCTATCGTCGATGACATGCTGAGTGCCGACGTACCTATGACGAGGACAGAATGGAATAGTGCCATGAGCTTCGCCGGTCGCTATCTTCGCAAAGTTGGTGATGTCCAGGTCGAAACTGCAACTCAGATTTGGTTGCGCATGGAGAAAGAAGCCGCTCTCAGAAGCAGCCCTGCCACTTTCAGCATTCTGTTTGATATCGCCACCAAAGCTGGTAGAANNTTCGCCCTTGCCGATATCGTCGTCAAGGAGATGATGCAGCGAGGTATTGAGCCCAACCGCTATTTTCGCACAAATACAATCTATTGCCACGGCCTCAAACGCGATGGTGCTGCTGTCAGGAGAACCTACCAGGACTTTGTTGATGCTGGCGAGATTGTTGATACGCTGGTCTTGAACTGCGTCATTGCCAGTCTGATCAATGCTGGCGAACCGTCTGCCGCCGAGTACATTTTTGAGAAGATGAAGACTCTCGGGACAGAAAACACAAGTGCCGCCAAGATCAAGGGTTGGAAAGCTCAACGAGATTTAGGAAAAGTCCTGAATCGTGCAGGAAAAACACTGCGCAAAGAGCCAGAGAGACGCGTTGTCGTGCAAAACGTCACTCCGATCACACCAAACCTGCACACCTATCGTCTACTGATCAAATACCATGCTCACGAGTCTGGCAACATAGACCGCATCAGTCAGTTGCTCGATGAGATGCAACAAAATGGCATCGACATCCATGGATCCATCTTCTACCAGATCATACGCGGATTCAGCATTCATGGAGGCATTCGCTATTCTTCATGGAACAAGAAGAGGCTTGATAGCTTCTGGGAGATCTTTTGTCAATTCGTTGAGAGGGACAAAGAATTGGAGCAGAACCACGGCGATTGGGTGTCGGAAGAGGATAGAGGCTGCTATCTCAGTATCTCCATGGTCAAGATTGTTCTCAATGCATACCACAAGGTCACGGGCCCAGAGAACACAAGAAAGGTGTGGCAGGAGATCAAAGAGATCTGGAAACCCAATGAGCAAGATGAAGAAGCTGTAACTACAGGGCTTGAATACCGCCTGGCTAGATGATGACTTTCCGGGAAGGATTGTAAGATCAATTGTAACCTTTCATGTACAAACGAATTTTCAAAGAATAAAGAAGTTTTTCAAGGAGATATCGTTACTGAAGTCTATTGCTTTCTCGTGATGTGGAACAGATTGATATCTGATCGTAGCTACCACTTTCAACAGTACGAAAATAACTGCTTTACCTTTACATTGCTCCAGAAAAGGTATATAAAGATGTCCGTGCGCGGACGCGACTTGCAGGTTGCTCTTGCCTAACCATCTCCTCAACTTCGTTTTCGTTCTGCTTTTGTTCTCACCCTGTTTAAAATCCAGATGTCTCAACAAGTCCTGTGACGCGTCAAAAATTGCGATCATCTCACTGACGAGGATGTTACGGTTGTCAATAGGTCCAGTGTTGCCTGTTTTGCCATCTGGTTGAAGCCTTGGAAGCCATCAATCGCCTCCCACAACTATTTTGCGTACAACACACCCGACCGATCAACCATTGAGAATGCCTATCCAAAGGCAGCGCAGTAAGCCTGATCTCGAATTCACCCTCCGACAAGTCTTCGGGAAACCCTCTTTCAGGTAGATATTTCCTACTGTCTGCTTTGCTTGGCGAAACTGACCAAGTTACATATNNAGACCCATACAGCGCGAAGTCATTGAGGCCGCTCTAGATGGCAATGATGTTTTCCTTCAAGCTGCTACTTCATTTGGAAAAAGCTTGTGCTTCCAATTGCCAGCATGTATTGACCTTGGGAGTGAGCAAAATCGCACGCGAGACGGATTGCTTGGAGATTCTAACATGTCTCAGNTCACAATTGTCATATCGCCTCTTCTTGCACTCATGGTCAGTTCTCCATCCTCTGCTCTGTTGTATAACGTCGCTGATTATCTCGCAGNNAACAACCAGGTCGCTGCTCTGCGTACGGCAGGCATTCAGGTTGCTACTATCAATAGCACTGTCTCCAAGCATGTCCGTGATGCCATTATGGCTGACCTCAAAACTGGCCACCCACTCACTAGACTTCTTTATGTCACTCCCGAGTTCTGTACTATGGATCACTTCCGCCGTGTCTTACGTGTAGTCCATGAGCAGAAAGAACTCTCCCGGATCGCAATCGACGAGGCACATTGTATCTCCGAATGGGGTCATGACTTCCGTCCGAGTTTCAAGGAGCTCAAGTTTTTCAAGAAGGAGTTTCCAGATGTACCGATGATCTGCTGTACAGCCACGGCTACACAGCGTGTGCGAGACGACATTATTGCGACTCTGAATCTCGACAAGCGCAGGCTGAAACACTTCACCATGACCACCAGCCGGCCAAACTTGCACTACGAAGTCAGGTACAAATCGGATGAGGAAGACCACTACGATGATTTTCTCGCATGGATCAAAGCCGCACATGCTCGACGCAAGAGTCCAGAACGAGCAGTGGAACTGGCAGCTCGTAAGGAACGGCCGACGAATGTGCCAGGCATCATCTACACCTTGTATCGACGAGACTGCGAGATTCTAGCCGAGCGTCTGACCAACGATGGTATTGGCGCAAAGCCTTACCATGCCGGCCTGACCAACGAACAAAAAGACGACCACCTCTCCGGCTGGGTGGCCAACTGCGAAGGCTACGATGTCATTGTAGCAACCACAGCTTTCGGCATGGGTATCGACAAAGAAAATGTCCGTTTCGTGGTGCATTGGCAGATTGCAAAATCTTTCGAAGGGTACTATCAAGAAGCAGGGCGCGCAGGCAGAGATGGAAAGGCCTCGGTCTGCATCGTCTACTACTCCCGCGAAGACCGTGACCGTGGCGCAAACATGCTAGCCAGAGCCCAAGAGCAGAAGATGCGGCAAGAGATGAACAAGGGTCGCAATAACCCCGAGTACGACAACATGAGCACGCATCCTGATAGCAATGGTCGTGCCAACTCTTTGCTATACCTGACGAAATATTGCGAAGCAACAGGAGTGTGCAGACACAAGATGATAGCAGAGTATTTTGGAGACAAGACTGTGGTACCGTGCAACTATGCTTGCGACCACTGCAAGGATCAGAAGGGGCTCGAGATGAGAAAGAATAGTGGATTGGCGAGCGAGGAGTGGTGTTTGACGCAAAGACAGTCTTATTCCTACGACGAGTACGATTAGGAGCGTACGTTGCAGTGAAAAGTAGAGGTAAGCTGTCATGCAAATCAGGCTACCTGGTAGCAACTGGTGAAAGATGGTCTGCTATTCATAAAGCTAAAAGGAGATGGAAGTTGGTTGCTGATAGCGGAAGTCGCTCCGGGTCCCAAGACATTTGCAAGCGAGAACAAAGATGGCCATCAAAGTGAGCAGCCGCGGTCCAGACAAAATATTTATCCACGCAGCAACCACCAGACATCAATCATTGGCAAATCGCAGCCATGCCCAAGCCCAGACGTAACCTGCAGGCCACGGCCGAAGAAACCATGACACCTCCTCAGTCCCTCGCCGAGACACAATCCGTCGCTCGCGTCCAACAAGCCGCCGGGAACAACCTCTACCGTGTCGAGCTGCCAGACACAAAGGTGCTGTTGGTTGAGCTGCCTGCTCGCTTCCGCTCAACTATCTGGATCAAAAGAGGTGGCTTCGTGCTCGTCGATACGGGCGCCATGACCGAGCGTGAGAACAAGCTGGACGGCGAGATCATTAACGTTGTCAGAAACGAAAAGGAATGGCGCAAGGAAAAGTACTGGTACGCTGCCCGTTTCTCGCATGGCACAATGCAGTCGCTGACACATGCACAGGNNCCCAAGGAGTTTGTGCAAAGGATCTCGTACGCCGATGAAGACGACTCGGACGAGGNNGAAGAGTCCAACGTCGGCAAGATGCCTCCTTCTGACTCTGAGGACGAGTGATTTACACCATCTGTCTTTTTCCGACACTACTCTACATGCTGGTGCTTCTCTGCCAGAGTATCCGCGGTCTCCTTTCTCACCCCGTACCATACACCCGCCACCGTCGCAGCAAGCACCTGTACCACAACCATTGAGCTGAAGTTGGTGCTGGGGAAGACGTTCCAAGCATACTCTTGCGCTCCCCACAGGGCATACTGGAGGATTGGATGGTAGCCCGCACGCCAGAGAAGGGCAGGCGTCGCCCACACAATCCAAGAATAGAACTGGTAGTGGAGCGATCTTGCGCACAGCATGCCAATCGCATTGGCCGAGAGAATGGTCGTCAGGATAAATCTAGGCGTCACTCTTGCCGAGATCTGTGCCTGCTTCGCCTCTGACGGAGGGTTGAAGATCGAGCCGATGATCTCTGGGAGTGATTGCTTTGAAGGCTTCAGCCAGCGGGTCGTAGCAAACAGGACAAGTAGAGACACATGAGCAGCCAGCAACGTCAAAGCAAATCGCTTCGAGAGAAACGTTTCCTCTCCCACGAAGCGCCAGTTGACCGTCCACTTGAAAAAGAATTGTCTTGTGAACTCGAATGCTCTTGAGAGGTAGGCTTGTGGGTTGTGCAGTGTGAATGGCAACGAAAGCAGAACCTATCTTTGGTCAGTACAAAGCCACGAAATGCTATATTGAGCACATACCTGTATCAACACAATCAGTGAGGCATGACCGATTGCATCACTTGCACCGATTGCTTGCAGAAGCACAATCCCGACAGAAGGTAGTGCCAGCAATAGACTCATCTTGACCCCCAACCCAATCGAGTAGATCGCTGAGCCAGCGATCCACCATCGCTTCTGGTAGCAGTAGATGGCCAAAAAGAAGAAGAAGACGGCAAAACAGTCATTGAACAAACGCAGCGTAAAGATGGAATGCATGCGCTTGGACAGGATGAGCATGGGGAAGACGTAAGGTGGTATCNNTGTCGGCGGCATCAGTAATTCTGCTCAAACCTTGACGATAGTCTGACGGACCTTTGCATTACGGTAGCATGCCATAACCACAGCAAGGGTCATGAGGTAGAGGACACCAAAAACGATCTGTGCAAACGGGATATCGGTTCCTTGATCGGTGACTCGATATAGGATCTGGTAAATGTAGACATGGGCCGCAGGGTAAACCAGAGGCCCGGTACCTCCTTGGATCTTGGTATAGTCGCGCTCTCCGGCAAGATATTGTGTGACTTGTTCCACATAGGCCGTCCAATCGATCTCGGTGTCTAATTGCAGCACATCAGAATTTGAGTTGTGAAGTTTGTTTGCTGCTGCGAGGTTTCTCATACATGGAACTTTCCACACGATCAAGGCTGTGAGGCCTGCGTCAGCTAGCAGCAGCAGTGGACAGATCCATCTGGTATGCCACGGGTCCTTGGCAATAGCCAAACACTTCTGGAAGACGTCCATGACCAGTGACATTTTGTGTTTGTCGCGAACGGCACCCCACCGTTGATATTTCTGTGAGATGGTCAGCTGAAGGATCAGCCGGGTCTCAGCTGGAAGATGATGCTACGTACCCAACGATACCCACGTGCTGGATGTCGGAGCTGGTCCAAGAAAAGGAGATGTTTGTTGGCAACAGAGTTGCGGCAAGCACCCGCGGCGCTGATCCTCCCCGCGTTTTTCTTTTCCACGCAAACTCTCGCAGCTTTCTTCTCACCTTCTTCGATACCATATCTGTTGCCAGCGACACGTCTCTTGTGGTGGCCAGACGGCTCTCATCCGGCTTGATCGGCCATCACACCCTACTCGACGTAAGGGATGATGTTATAAAGCAATACAGTAGATTGAAAGTGATACATGGCTGTCCCAGCTACAAGGACACTCTGAGATGTCATGCAGAAGTGGCTAGCTGAACAGCAAACAGATCGAACAATCTGTGCAGCCCTATGGATCGCCAAGCTGCGCCATCACCTACACCTCGCCGACAGTTATATGCACCTGTTACCCTAAACAGTCCGAGGAAACCAAAGAAAAGCAATTGTCAGCCTCCTGCTCATGTGGAGGCTTACGGTCTAACCACAATCAAACGACTGTTTGCGATCCGAGAAAGTATCGTTGTGCAAACACAGACACAGCCCGCGGCATCATGGCTGTATAGCTATCTTGTTCTTGGAGCTATGTCTGAGGTGCCATGCAGCTACTGTAGGTTACGGGTAGGTAAGCAGTTAGGTACCTCGTTATAAAGGCTGTTTGTTTGTATCTGTTGTCGAAAGCAACGACAGCGCAAGGTTCCATGTTCTAGTCATCATTTGGTACTTCAGCTCCGGACTACCTTTGGTGACTGCCAGTCTTGAAGACGGTCCTGTTGTCATCCTGTTCGTCTAAGTTCATTTGAAACAGTCGTTCTTGAAGCCAGTCATATCCACGAATAATCCTGCGATTCTGCTATTTGAGCACATTCTTTTGAAAAGACTCATCTTGCAAAGAGTTACCATCAGAATCTCTTTTGCTGTCTGTCTTATATATGCGAGCGTTGTTCTTTCGTATTCTCTTTCCTTACGACAACTTGAAAGTACAACATGGCCCGAGACAAGACACAGTACACGCTCAGCATGGACGCTCATCCCATGGACATGGATACCACGTATCACACACCAGACATCGAGATACCACTCGGACCACCCTCATCACCAAACTTGTCTCCCAAACATTCGACACTCACAAAGTTCCCGTTCATATGGCGACTCTCAAGCTTAGAAAGCATTTTGGAGTACAAGGAAGCTCTGAAGCAAGAGAAGAAGGCTGGTTTGTCGGTGACCATTTCCGAGGTCAGCTCGTCGTACGCTACCAGTATCAAAGACCACCGAGGATATCGGTCACTCGCCGCCGAATGCGCGTTTGTCTTTTCGATGGCGTTATCGCAGCTCATCGCAGTAAGGATGTCTACTTTCATAACATGTTGACAAGTGTTGACTCGAGGCAGGNAGTACATGATTAGTGGCTTTGCTGTGGTGCTACCAACGCTACTATCGCAGTTCACGAACGGCGAGACTTCCGACTTCTGGCCGGCGACTGTCCTGTCGCTGCTGCTCGGCTCGACCCTATGCTTTACTGCACGCCTCTCAGACAAGTACGGCGGATATCCCGTCTTCATGATTGCCATTTTATGGCTTTGTATATGGTCGGTCGTTGCTGGGTTCAGTAACAGTCTACTGCTTATGAACATCTGTCGCGCCATGCAAGGCTTGGCCATCGCCGCCTATACACCAAGCAGCTTTGCTTTGTTCGGCGCCATCTATCCAAATGGTCCCCGGAAAACTTTCATCATGGGCATCTACGCAGCCTGTTCACCTCTCGGTTTCTTCGTCGGTATCATGGCTGCTGCTGTACTCCNNCCAACAGAGCAATGGAGCTGGTGGTTCTGGATTGCGGCCATTATGGCATTCGTGGCTTTGGTCGCTGCTTACCTCTCCGTGCCCTCGGACCGTCCGGAAAGGCAGGAACTCAATCTCACCATGGATTGGCGTGGCGCTGCCTCCATCACTTCCGGTCTGATTCTTGTCGCTTACGCTCTGGCTGCTAGCTCTGACTCGCCAAAGATCTGGCTGACTGCAGGTGTCCTGGCTCCGTTCATCATCGGCCTTGTGTTTCTAGCAGTTGCGCTCTACATCGAGGGCTGGGTTGCAACATGTCCACTGTTGCCAAAGGACTTCTTTGCACGCAAGTCTGTCAAACCGCTCCTCATGGCATGTGTGTTCTTCTACGGCAGCTTTGGTTCATGGCTCTTCACGGCCACTAGCCATCTGGATCTGGCATACGGTGTTACTGGTGTTCAACTGGCACTCTGGTTCGCACCAATGGCTCTCGGCGGCATAGTCTGCGGAATCGTTACCAGCATGGTCATACACAGGATTCCTCCCATCTGTACTATGCTCATCTCGAGTGTGGCTTGGGTGGCAGCTCCACTACTACTGGCTCTTGGTAATACCTCCATGGGTTACTGGCCTTTTGTGTTTCCCGCCATGATCTGCTGTACAGTGGGCATTGACGTTACTTACAACTTTACCAACATTGTCTTGTGCAGCTTGGCTCCACTGAAACAGCAGGCTCTTGCTGGAGCTGTCAACAGCACGACTGTCAACCTCGGTATTGCTTTCTCGCTCGCCATCACACAAATCGTGCAGAGTATGACAGAAGGCCAAAGTCCTACTCTTGATGACCGCCTTCGTGGACATCGCAACTGCTTTTTGTTTTCTGCTGCTAGTGCCGCGGTCGGATTTGCGATTACGGCTGGTTGTGTCCGAGTTTCAATGGAGTGTGTTCAGGGAAAGAAGGACGATGATGAAAAGTCANGAGACAGTCTAGAGTTGTTGCTCATGCTGCTGGTCCAATGGGAGTACATTTGAAGCATAAAATGAGGGAAGGATAAGATAAAAAGCGGATACCCATGATGATGTTTTTGCCATTCTGTATGAATAGAAGTAAAGTATGATAGCAATGTCAAAGATTGTATGTACTATTCATATTTCCGATCACCAGATGAGATGCGCTGGTTGTCAGCCTTGCAGAGCAAGATATTAACACAGTGCACCTGCTTGTTGCAGAGTCAAACCGCAAGCTTCGCTCTTCCCATCCTTGTACACGCCAACCCCCCTCTCAGCGGGAGCTTTCACGCTCGCTCAAGCTTACAACATTCCAGAAGAGTGGCCCTTGAGCTGATTATCCATATAGCCATGCAATTCCTAAGTCTCAGCCAAACTGAAGTTCTTCCAGCAATACTGGCGATAAGTTTCCCCAAATCGGTTGGTACTCTTGCGCGTAGTTCAACTTCTGCAACTATGGATGGGGGTATACATGGCCCCAACAATTCACCACACAGAAAGAAAGAGCAATCAGTGTGTTCACTGTAAACTACAGAACCCCCTTATATCGCTGGTACATCTACTGGTACTGCTGCTCGTACTCAGCTGGATTGTAAGCGGGCGAGGGGATTTAGATAACACCGTTGGGCCTGAAATGGGTGGAGGAGGCATCATGTTCTGACCACCGTACTGCATGAGGATTGGGCCATCAGATGGAGCAATTAAAAGTGACCACTAATAGTGCTATATCTTCTCTGTATACCCTCAGGTCATTACAGCTCCGCTTGAGCGATTGGGGATCAAAGGCCTTTGTTGTAGCCCTGGTAGACCTTATAGATCAACACTCCGTGAAGTAAGAGGCCTTACAACAACGCTTAAAATCGTGGTCAGCATGCGACTTCCGGGTCCAACCAACGTGCCGAAAAGGCTTTGGGAAAGGGAAGTAAGGCATGGCATAGACTGTTGTGGACGACGTCTAAATTAGGGGTCTCTAAAGTTTTCCTCGACACGAATCAGGCCAGGGAAGATAAGGTATATATGCGTGGTTCGAGCTCTCGACCATGAAAGTGGTGAAAAAACAACTGATGAACACGTGATGAGAAACATCAGAACTTTTGTATCGGGGGAATGTTAGGTCTATATTATTGAAGGCTCCGCATTGAGATAGAAGTATAAGAACTGATTAACGCAAGAGCTATGCGGGTAATTTCACCAACGAAACCACTCCCGATGAGCCTTCTCACTCGCCAAGTTGAGTGGGAAGACAGCCAGCATGAAAACTATACTATGGATTGAGGCAAGAAGAAAAGCACAAAGGTAAAAGGAGACCAGTACGAGAATAGCCAACAATGTGTGCAAACCCAAGTTGTGATACCACCAGATCCTGAACCTTAGAGAGTGCTCACCCTCCGAGTACAATCTTTCGCTTCCAAAATTGTCGATGGCTGTATTTAAGGGATGTTACGAGGTGCAAAAGACGGAACGAGAGGCGAGTTCCAGAAAAGGAGAGGGGCTGCGGCAAGTTAGTATGTGTCTCTTGCTTGCCATAAGACCTTCAAGACATACTTTGTGAAATGCTTCGCACGCTTTGAACCTCAACAGCGAATTTGAAATTGACCATCTGTATGGCATCCTCTGGAGCCTCATGACCCACGGTCTGTTGTTGTTGGTAGTGGTTGGAACCTCACGATAGCGGCGAGGACCGTGGTCAGGATATTCATCAAAAAGTGCTCGCAGTTGTCGTCGGGAGTTGTGTTAGTTGCGATAGAACGACCATAGCACTGACCACAACTTATGACGATCGTTGAATTAGCTCAATAGCTAGAGGACAATGAGACTGTTAATTCAAAACAATCGTGGTTGATTTCATTCGACAACAATAGAAGTTACTGTTAGCAGCTACTGGCACCTCAGCAACGATACGAACACAGGACAATAGTCGCATAATAGAAGTTGCTTGAATGTTGATGTTAGCAGACTCATAGTCGGACCAGAGCTGGAAAATTCTAGCATTTGCTCAACGCATGCTCAACAAGAGGTGCTGACCAACCAAGTTCTTTGTCATTTGTAGATTCAAGTATTATCTGATAGTTTGTCAACCTTCCATCATTTTGTGCCCACGACTTACTTGAGTAGGAAGCCAGAGAAGTACTGCTGCCGAGCAGCTCGAAATTATGATGGATTCTGTGTATCTCACACTCATTTGACGAGTCTCTCCTTTCGAAACCTGAGCAAAACAAACAAGTGGGCTAGCAACAGAGGTGGTCGAATGGAGCCATCGGCGTCCAGTTTCTGCAACAGTTTTCCTATCACAGATGAAGCAAGAGAATATTGGTTCGGCCGGTAGATGCCTGCCATTCGATCTGAAGCCAATCAACGACCTTCTGAGCACTGTTCAGTCAGGTCTTTGCGACTCATGTCGAAGTGCGAGCAAAAGAACAAAACGTACAGCAGCAGGGATTCCCACGTGGTCACCCACCGTAGTACTAATCTGCCGTTCAACTGCTTATGTATGGCAGAGCGGACGGGATGCCCAGTTTTCAGCTGACTGTGGCCGTACGTGCAAAATTGGTGTCTTATTTATTATATGATCCTTTGATTTGCAGCAACAGCCCTATGCTCATACTATCTGCCGTCGTGCTACTCAGACGCATCGATAATACCGCGACGCCCAGATTACAACCCTCTTTCTGACGGGTCCAGGCTAATGCAATGGTGTTTTTGAGTGGCTTCGAGCATAGCACGGAGGGGTTCGCACTGTGCAGCAAAGGATGGCATTTGTAATGTCAAGGTTATTAGTGGGTTGACTGACGCTAGCTACCCCACACACCAATGGATTTTTTTCTACTGGTCAAAAAGATTAATGACTGGTGTCTGGTTTTCTATGCTTAAAGATCAGGCGGATTGTATTATGATTTTATTTCAATATTATCAAGACATTATCCTAGTAATATCTTATTTTTATTAATCCTATAGATTTAGCTAGATATTCAAAATAAGTTATATTACTATTTCAACATTATTCTAGTTTTATCTTTGATAAATGTTCACGGTCGCAGCCCAGAACATGATGCGGCTCGATCTGCGCCGGGTTGAGGCTCCTGGAAACTCGTCTCCCCTTGCCAACGGAGCCGAGAGAGCCCGATCAAGGATCCATACGATAACAACGTGAACACGCCATCAGTTACGCAAGCAGGTCCTCAAACTTAAACCTCCTCGACCCTACTCCGAGTACTGTGGTTCGCTTTTCTTTGTAAACTCCTTCTCTTTCACCAATCTTCCCCAGGTGCGGGCCGTGAATCGTCTTTTTCGGATTACCTGTCGGCGTTGCCTCTCAGTCCTGGATTCTCAATACGACGTCATGCGGTGTGATTTCTGGATCCCTTCTTTTCACGCATAATTTGCCTTGGTCAGATGCATCCAGTCTTCCGAACCCAATGGGTGCTGCCGGCTCTGTTGTTCGCGCTGCTGTGTTTGACTCCGGCCTGCGCAAATTCGCTAACGAGCCCACGCGACGAATTTGTTGAATACGCTCAGGGTTACGATACGGAGGCTGTTGAGAATACGACAATACCGATCGAGGATGTAGCGACTTCCGAACCCACGATCAATCACCGGTATCATAGGCATGGAACCGCGCCGGAAATGTTAAGGGCGCGAGGTGTCTCCACGAATATCTCTACAGCTACTACATCAAATTCTGCGGCCTTATCTTGCTATGCCACTTTCTCTGAATGGCGAGCTGGCTCGATGAGTTGGGCAATGACCGCTATCGGTAATAAAACATGGCCCACGATGGTTACGACCAGCACTATCACACAGACAATCGACACGGTGGCGACGATTTATCCCTCTGTCAGCCTGTCAACATACAAGCTCTGCGACGGCTCTCCACGTGTGAATTTCGAGCCCTTAACTCTGACCTCGCAGGTCACTTCTGTCTCCAAGTTTGATGCATATGTTACTGTTGGGCTTCCTACCTATTCTTTGACCAAGCCCTGCGAAGCATCTTCGGAAGACTGCGAATATCTTTACTACCATAGTGGGCTGTCCTGGGATGACATCACATTGATGGGTCTTTGCGGTTCGCCTGCACACCTCGGTCTAGTAAGATATCGTCCTCGCTCCCTATACTCTTCTGTCTGCTAACCGTGTCGTAGCNCATGCTTGATAATGGGAGGTCCAGTTGAGCTGGCCTACTTCCCGGTCACCACGGTTGGAAGTGACAAATGTCACAACAACGGATCTACCATCACGAACACTGGAGGCCCAACGGCGATCGAGGCACTGGGAACCACTCTTACTTCTGGTTCTGTCTACTTATCTTTTAAAAGTCTATATGCCTTTCAAGAAGGGTTTGGTAGAAGAATTGGTCCCGCATTTACTGATCTTATTCTACCCCTACCGTCCAGCGCTATCTCAACACAATGTGGTGGATGGTTCTCTGCCCAAGGCCCCGGAACACCTTTGAACTACGCAGATCTAAACTTTCCTTGGCCAGCAAGTGCTTACAACTGTATGAATCGATGTCGTACTGATTTATCATTTACTATAAGCAATGGTACTGGGGTCAGCTGGACCCCTCCTCCTCAATGTTCTACCATCTGGTCGGACCTCAACCCTATACTTGCAATGCCGACGGAAGTTCGCGACTTGGTCCCGGCATGGTCTACGTGTAGCATGTGGGATGCGGCGCTTCCCAACTTCGTCTTTGACCCGCCTCGTGCCCTGGTCGCAGGCACAGCGATCGCTACACCGACACCTGCTTGGATGCATCAGGGTTCTACTGCTCCTGCATCTCCAGCAGCTACCTCCTATACCGCCTTACCGGAGACTTTGGCTTCTACGTCAACACATTCTACCACTGCTACCTCTTCTGTTGATGTCTCGAGCACAGCACCCAGCTCAATAGCCTCTGTTGTGGCAACACCAACCAGAGGCATAGGTGCCACAGGCATAAGCATAGAATTTAGTGTCGATAGCCACACATTCACGGCATCAGCAGGCGACAATGCCTTTTCCATTTTGGGTCAAACCATCTCGGTTGGACGACCGGCTCAGGTGGTGGAGGGCGAGACCATCAGTTTGGCATTGTCAGGCTTCGTCGTCAATGCGACCACGACTATACCATTCACTTCCACGCGCCCGATGACCACTAATAGTGATTTACGAACATCTTTGCAGCAGTCGCATACTGCTGGTAAAGGGTCAAAATCATCTGGAGGGCCAACAATTGTGGTCTCTTGGGCAGGTATCTCCTTGATGTCTTTGCTCGCCATGGTGTTACTTTAATGCACGACATTTTCCCCACCTTTCAATATCCATTGCATTCATTCAATATATGGCGGGGAGTTTGGGGAGTGTCGTCTGGCGAAAAGTCTATGGCAGTGGAATTTTCTCATTACAAATGTACACATGTTTCTGTAATTCTATATAATCATTCCATTACCGATCTTGAATCCTATTCCTTGTTAGATCTTAACCAATATATCCTGCTCTGTGGACCGGTCCGTATCTGTATGTGCCATCTGCCGATCTGCGGTGACGCCTCAAAGATTCAAGCATTAATCACTGGAAACACTATCCTTATCAGTACATATTCTCCGCCCAACTGATGTGCTCAAACTCATAAACTGAGTGCATTCCAAATTGGAGGCTGGTAGAGGAGAATTAATAGGCACATGTGATGTCCCATGACGGCGGAAATAGCCGCAATCTCCAGACGATCTCGAACGCCTGGCCTGTGCACGCTCTACCAGCGTCATTGATATGGCATCGACTTGAGTCTCGAGTCTGATGCGACTTCCCTCTTCATCAAAGCTATACCACACTTTGACATCTTTTCTCAAATTCCGTGCCTTTAAACTCTTCAGCACCGACCAGCTTTTCTTGCCGATCGCTCTGTCTGTCAATCATTCTTCGACCTGCTATACTTGCCACTACGACCATCTGTCGCAACTGGCGATTGAACACATTTGCACTCCTTCATCTCCAGAAGTCAACCAGAGTCTTACTTGCCATGGCTCCCAGAAGAACGCGCGCAAGCGCTGCCGCTAAACTCCAAGTCGAAAGGGGCCAGCAGGTTTCGAGTCCTCCGCCTGAGCCTGCTGCCAAACGTCAGACTCGCAAGAAAGCTCCTGCAAAGTCTGTTCAAGTCGAGGATGAAGCCAATGTTGAAGTCTCGAAGAAAAAGATGCCTGCGCGCAAGCGCAAAGCTCCTGCTCCCAAAGAAGAATCTCCAGTCTTCGGCGATGAGTTGCCGCACAATCTTGGCTCTCTACCTACTCCCGACACCGATGATGTCGACGAAGCCAAAGAGTCACCACCTCCCAAANAGAAGGCCAAGCGCGTATCAAAGGCGAAACAGGTAAAGGCTGATCCGGAAGAGGTCGATGAGCTCGCCAAGAAAGCAGCTGAGATTGCCTCGCCTGACGCAGAACTCAAGTCTGAGGTCAAAGACGAGGTCACCTCTCCAGATGCCCNNAAGCTGATGGCAAGGCCAAGAAGAAGGCCTCTAAGGCCAAAAGCTNACAAACTCACTCCTGGCGAAACGCCTTACCCCGACTACGCTCACCCCACCACAGAGGAATGTTATGAAGTTGAGCGCATCCTCGCTAAAAAGCATGGCAAAGTCACGGCACCAGAATCCATCCCACTACCCTCACTGGAAGTTACTGGCTGCGGTGAGGTTCCTTCGGTTTTGGACGCCTTGATCAGAACCAGGCTATCTGCTGCGACGACTGGTAGAAACTCGTCAAATGCTTTCAAAGGCCTCGTCAAGACTTTTGGTGTTTTGAACGAAGGTGTCGGCAAAGGCAGTGTTGACTGGAACAAGGTGCGCCTCGCATCTCAACCAGAAGTCTATGAAGCCATCAAGAGCGGAGGCCTTGCCAACGCCAAGAGCAAAGACATCAAGGCCATTCTGGACATGGTCTACGAGGAAAACCAAGCTCGATGCGCTGCACTGAAGATGGAGGGACAAGCCAAAACCGAAGGTCCTGCTGGCTCGGAGAATGAACCCGCTGAAGAGAAGAACACTGAGATACAGCGCGCCGAATCCGGTGTCATTTCTCTCGACCATCTTCATCTACTCTCTAGCGAAGACGCTTTTGCCCGGCTGGTCAAGTTCCCTGGAATCGGTCCCAAGACAGCCTCATGTGTTTTGCTCTTCTGTCTGCAACGTCCGTCCTTCGCTGTCGACACCCACGTCTTCCGCCTCTGCCAATATCTGGCCTGGGTTCCGAAAGAAGTCCAGAAGGGCCAGCCTCCCGTCAATCGCGAAACCACTTTCGCTCACTGCGAAGCACGTGTTCCTGATGATCTCAAATATCCGCTGCATCAGCTTCTCATTAAGCACGGCAAAGAGTGTCCCAGATGCCGCGCTGCTACCAGCACGAATAGTGAGCGTTGGGAGGAGGGGTGTCCAATTGAGTATCTGGTCACACGTCATGGTGCCAAGAAGGGTGAGGTTTCACCTGCAGGCAAGGCAGCTCCAAAGACCAAGAGAGCCGCTGCTGCCAAGAAGGGCAAGGGCAAGAAGAAGGTCGACAGCGACAGTGAAGAAGCTGAGAGCAGCAGTCCCAGCGATGCCGAGAGCGACGAAGACTACGAGTAGGCTTGCCAAAGTGCGCAGCATGCTCTTGCGGAACGACACGCCGCTGTGATGGCTTATTGCTAGCTGGAGGATTGTTCTGATGCATGAGATGTCATGCAAATGGCTCGATCATGGAAATACGGGTTTTGCTATTTTGATGTGGGGATTGGGCGTCTTTTTGCTATCTACTCGGAGGAACGAATATTGCTTGGAAGGACTTTGACGAGAACTCATGCATGGAAATTAGCTATTATGATATTACGAGGCCATGCTGCTTAGCTTGTAACAAATCTATCAAGTCAGTATTGCTTCTGCTTGAACATTCCCCGACGACGAGCAGGACTATGAGTGAGCTCAATCTTTCCGCCTGCGAGTACGGACAGTTGATATTTTGAGGGAAGTGACGAACGTCAAAGGTGCAAGTGAGTGTTGGCTTTTCTTTCGTGAGGCAGCAACTTCGTGTCTCGGGAAGGCACTCTATATTCCATCCACCCTCCTGAGAATTTCTGCTTCAGAACATCCAAGCTTTCTGACTTGTCTACCACAACGTAATAAACCGCGTCTATCATCCTTGTCGTCACGTAAGACTGCAGATCATAACTGAACGCACATCTGCTAATTTAACCCAGCATGGAAAAAGCTTTCGCTGAAGCAATCGAAAAGGCTGTCACCGCCGCTGTCAACAAAGCTGTCCCTGTCGCCATCAACAATGCCATCAAAGCAGAAATTAAGGAGCAGGTCAACGAAGAGATCGAAGAAGCCATGAAGAAGAAAATCAGCAGAGCTTCCAGAAGAGCAGAACTCAGAACTGAAATCGATGCAGTACGCTATGTTCCTCCCACATTTCATGGCCGAGAGATGTATTCTAATGCGTGAGGTTTTAGACAGACCGCATGATGGAAGAGCGCGCTTGCATGATCCTCCATTGCCCCAAGTCAAATTTGGTACATTGGCTCCGCTACAAGAACGAGGGCACCGAGGCCTACCTCAGTCGATGCTTGGACGAACTCGCTGAGATGGACGAGGAAGAGGCCGAGGAAAAGAAAAAGGAAACTGGAGCGAAAGTCTAAGCAGTACAACATGCAGCATAAAGAAAGTGGAGAGGACAAAGTGTGCTGCATTCGAGGCGAACCCTGATGTCGCTAGCATGTACCTTTCTATTTCCAATGACAACGGCCTTCCTATGAATCAAAACTACCTGTACTGTATTAAACGCGTGCTGTTTGCTTGCAACTCTTGATTTTCCAGCTCTTGATTACCATGCAATGAAACACCGATGCGAGCCGATATCGAGCACCAACGATCTCAAACGAAGGAAGAACTTTAATTCATCAAAACAAGAAGGTGCGACAGGCGTGATTACAAAAAAGGAGAACAAGACCAAGACCAAAAGAGGGTAAAAGAAAAAGCCACTGATTACCAACTTCTTGAAAGAAGTTCAAAGAAAGAGCAGAAAGAGCGGAGAATGTCCAAACTAAAACCAAAAGCGGAAAGAAAGACCGAAAAACAAAGGGCAACGACGAAGCATGCAAGAACAACCGAAAAGAGAAAACGAAGGAGGACGCCGAGATGATCCAAAAGGCAACCATACTCTCTCAACCCCAGAGTAACGACGGTGGGAGTACGCGCTGCTGAGGAGCAAGCGTAATTCACTCCTCCCTCAAAGCCATCACGCTGCGGTTGACAAAGCGATACCAACCAGCCTCTCTGAGACGAAACTTGCGCACATCACACTCAGCACAAAACAAATCTTCCTTGACGGCCTCCTTGATCTTTGCCACAAGCTCGACAACACACTTGGGAGTCTTTGCACCATTGTCAGGGATGTTGAGAGCATGCATGGCGTTCTCGACCGAAATGTCCAAGGGAGGGTAAGTCTCGTCTAGCACGGAGAGGAGTTTGGTTTGCAGGGCCATGCGGGTGGAGTTGAGTTTGCCGTTGACGTCGGGGTGGAAGGCTTTGTTTGCGTTCATGAGGCTGGTAAAGGCTGGGTTCTCGGTGATGGGTGTGGTGGGTGACGTGGGCGAGGCAGGGGTGGATTCAGAGTCATCACTATCGGTACTCTGGCTTTTGGTGGCGTTGGTCGAAGAAGATGAAGCTGACGAGATGCTGTCGTTGCGAGAGGACGGGTGAAGAGCAGTTTCTACGACAGCTACTTCGGCTGTGGTAAGGGCGTCTCCTCCTCTCAAGGCTTTGATGCGCTTTTTCGCCTTCTTGCGCTCTCGCTTCTTGAGCTTTGAAGTAGTCTCTGGGTCGTTATCGGCAAAGGAGGAGATGGAGGCTCTTTTGCTGGTAGGGGAGAAAGGCGAGCCTGAGCAGCCGCTGGGCTCGATGCCTTGTTCCTGCTGGAGCAGGACAAGTTGGCGGAGGAGCAAGGCGAGCTGTCTGTGGCGCTCGTTGTGGGCGCTTTTGTTACGGCGACAAGTGTCGCAGTTGTGAGCTTGGCCTGTATTTCCAGTGTTAGCCGATCCTTCTAAGAGCCGTGTTCAAACCATGAACTAAGAGGAACGCAGACGCCGAGCGAGATCGCGGTTAGGGCATGTTGACTCACCAATCATAAAGAAGTGTTGGTGGAACAACGGACAAACCTCTACATGCTTGAGGTAGCAGGTATGTTTGGCTCTTGGGTTGTTCAATGGAGTCTGGCACTTGGGACAGTGGTGCTCTGGAAAGGGTCAGGGGCTGTGGTCCATAAAGATCGTAACAAGAGCTCGACTCACCAAGNNACCAGGGCTGTCTTCCCAGCGGAGCAGTTCTTTGGTCATCTTGTTGGTCATCTTGTCTGTTGAAAGACTATCTTGAGCCAGGATGCAAGAGGTTTTTGCTGATGATCTTGCTGTGCGCACTGATTGTGGTCCCAATGCTCGCTATGTTCTCCTGAGGGCGGAGAGTTGCCAAAGCAAAAAGCGATGGTAAGGAGAAGAATGGTCTAACAAGAACCCCTTGTCAAGCAAGAGAGCTGTCAAAGCAAAAGGCGACGGTCAGGGGCAGAATGGTCTGGCAGGAACCTCCTTGTCAAGCAGGAGAAGAAGCTGGATGTAGTCAAACAAACACCGCTTGGCTGATCAGGGGGTGACGAAAATTTCTTCGGAGCCGAACTTTCGTCACAGTGAATAGATCGTTGGTCGAGTAGGTTGTGCTAGTGAGCCGGCGGGAGGGAGCAAACGCATGAAACAAACGAAGAGTGGAGAGAAATTTGGAACCAAGTTCGCAAGGGGAGAGTTTAGGCACCAGGAAAACCATGCACGTTGCTTATACAGCTATTCGATAATAGACTCTTTCCAGACAAAGGGGAACACTCTACACCTACGTAATTCCCTCCCTGTGTGCGATAGACAGTCACAGTGTAGCTGTGGAAATGCACAATCCGGTCCCTCAACAGAGCGATATCCACGGAGAGAACGTTGTGTTCAGGCATCTCAATGGCCACATCTCTGTTGAGGAAGCAACTGTGCATTTTCGTAGCATATAATGACACTATACTCCGTATGTCATTGTGGGAGGGGTAAATTGTGAGGTTGTGACAGTCTTTTGCACACGGGGAGGTGAGACCCTTCCCAGGGTAGGCAGCGTCCCGCTCATGCATCCTTCACCATGCGGGCACCCGCCCAAACGAAAGGGTAGTTTCTCTGGTACCAGTTGACACTGAAAATCGTCAGCGATCATATCAGGCTCGAGTACGGCAAGTCAACTTACAAACTCTTACGTCCTGAAATACGCGGGTGTGTTGCCCAGGATCCACCAAGCACGACGTTGTGCTTGCCATCGAAAAAAGTCGGCTGCGGGATACGTCAGAACGAATCTAGCATGGATGTACCAAGACCCTTACCTGTGTAACCTGGATAGAGGGGCATGGCCTCAAAGCCCTCGTGTTTGTCCAGCACTGTACTGGTCCATTCCCAGACTCCACCCATCTCCGATTGACCAGCAAGCTTGTTTCCGTGCTGTGAAACGGGTATGGGATGCCAGTGTCGGAAGCCGACATTAGCTCCTAGCAGGTCCACGAACAGATCGTTCGGGTCCGGACCTGCAGAGCTGGCAGATGGGGCCTTGGATGGTGGTGATTCTTCAACGCCATCATTGACGAGATGCCTGTACCCGAGTTAGTCAAGTTCAAATGTATGTCATAGTTGTACTGACGCGTTTACGGCGGGAATGTTGGCTCCAAGCGATTCATGCGCTTTAGCCTTTGCTTCATCAACATAGCGGTAGATGCTTCGAGCTTCCTCCATAGTTGGAATGCGGCCACCCATCCAACGAGCGCAGCCTGCAATTTCGTCGTATGACGCGCAGACAGGCCAGTCCAATGCTAGCTTCAGAGCGATTGGCCCATATACAGTACGTACTGCTTTGCCATGGAGGAAAGCTGATGACGACCCGTTAGTAGTCTCTTCACCGTTGGTGCGAGAAAGGGTCTGCCAAGATGCAGGAAGAGTATCAATGCGGTTCTCCTCAAGGTATTTGGCATACTCTCCGTTGGTGATTGGTCTTCCTTGGGCTTTGAAGGCTGGTACCTGAACGGTGCGCTTAGGCTTCTCGTTGTCCCATCCGAAGAAGTGCTCGGGACCAGAGTTGTCATCAGGATCTTCGATACCGATCTCCACCTCTTGTGCTGGAATATCGAACCATTGGTTCTCAACAGCACCTTGTCTTGCTTGAAGAGCCAGAGCTTGGAAGTCCGGCATCACTGTTGTAGGTGGGGCCATGGTCTTCTCACTCTGTATGAGCATGTATAACAGCGTCTCAAGATGCATAATCTCATGCTCGTACGACAACCATAACGCTCTTGAAACAGCACGATCCTTGGTTGCCTGACCTGAAGCGTACAGCTTCTTGACTCGAATTCGCACCTTCGACTGGAAGTCAAGGATTTCGTTCGCTGGTGGCCATGAGTCCGGAATTTCGCTGTGAGCATGACATTGCTCGGGGTCATCGACATCAGGGTCAATTCCTCGCTCGAAGATACTAGGGTAGGAGCTTGGCTCTGTTGGCTTGCCGTGAGTCGCACGTGTGAGGTGAATGTCCATGAAAGTAGGAATGTGACCGAGGTAGAATATGCAGGCATTGCGCAGCTTGATGGGTTTCTCTAGCAGCTCCTCCTCTGGGATCATCTCCAAGGTAACAGCATCCCAAGCAGCCCAGAGTTGATCCCATTCTTCGAGCGAAGGAACGGGTTGGGCAGCGTATTTCTCTGCGACCAGAGGATATTGGACTTTGGGTTTGTTGAGCAAGTGCAGAGCTACATCACGTAAGTTCACGAGTCTGGTTCTAAGACGGACAAGAGAGGACTTACCATAGTCGCCGTCAGAGTTGGTCCACTTAGCACCCTCTGTCAAGCCAGCATCAGACCAGAGCCGCTCGCTCTGGACTGGGTTGTACTTGTAACTCTCCTCAATCCTGACTTGCTCCCCTGCACGGATCAGAGCACCCTCGATCGTCACATCTTCTTTGGGAGAAACAAAGGCTTCATGGCGGTCTGTCTCCTTGTTGTATCGACCGATCACCTCCCATTTCTCAACATCGAAGGCTTCATAGCCAAGTAGTTTGTTTGCTTGTCTCAGGCCGCAAAGAATGAACTCATGCGTCAGACCTTCTCGATCATTGTAAGCGTGGTATACTTTGTCTGCATCCGTGCAAGCGTCGACACCCAACAACAAAGTATCGTTGGGGTCCAATGTCTCCGAGAACTGAGAGAGGAACTTCGCAGCCTCGTCTCTAGAGAAGTTTCCGATGCTTGATCCTAACGACAGGACTGTTTTTGATCGATGGGCGTTCTCTGGCTTCTTTAGCCATTCGAGGCCTTCGTCATATGTCCCTAGGAGTCCATGGCATTGTACGTGGTTGAAGGTGCCTTGTGGCACCTCGGCCAATGTGCGTTCGAGTTCTACCTCCGAGACATCCAAAGCATAGTAGGACACGTTCTTGCCTTTGCGGTCGAGAGCGTCGAGGAGGATACGGACTTTTCGGAGATTGCTGCGAGATGGTCAGCGACCCGCAACCAGTAACGCGCAACATAGTGGCTGTACATACCCACTGCCTAATTCTACTAGCATAGAGTTCGACTCGAGAGCAATGCGATCCGCGATACGATCCGCGTACGCTTCTAAGACCTGTATTTCCTGGCCTGTAGGATAGTACTCTTCTAGGTATGTGATCTTCTCGAATAGCTTCAAGCCATTCTCGCTGTATAGCAATAGTGTGGGCAGCTTCTTCTCTTGTCCTTCTCTTGCATTGAGGCCTTCTCGGATCTGAGGCACTAGCGGCGTAAGACCTCCGCCATCTTGGCGGATATCAATGATCTTTGGGGCTGTGGTGGTATCCATGGCTGGCGTGGTAGCGTTGCTATGGTGGAATGGCGCGATTTTGCGTGCTCAAAGGGAGGGGCAGACCGAGGGTACATAAGCCGCTGCACAGGTCTTGCTTTCCCCTCGTTCCTGTAAACACTTGACCCCACATCCATGTCCAGCTGTGTCATCAATGATCAGAAGCTCAGTCATCCTATTCGGAACCGTTTCCGTGCCGCAGACAACTTAGCCACTCGAGGCTTTGAAAGCCAATCAGCTTGAATGAGGCTCGACTCGATCGAGGAACAATGGCCTTTGTACCTGGGATTCGCGGGGCAGCAGGCGAGTTTCCTCAGCATCCATCTGCTCGTAAACCATTAGTGCCGCAATGATGCGGCATTTGTGCCAGGCACTGCCTACGAGTCAACCTCGTGTGTCCCATGTCACCACCTGAATGGTGGCTGGCCAATAGTCCAGTTTGTTCGATCGATCTTGCACACACATTTCCGCGTGACGTCAACATCGGGCTTGATTCGGAAGTTCCGAGGCTTCGGTAGTCCTTTGGTCATGTGATTGCCAAGCTCATCTTTGCTAGAAGTACCACCCTGGACAGTACTTGTACATGGTGTGAAATATTTTGTGACGATATCTCAATTCCATCAATTATCAAGGTAGCCGTGGTATCTAACTAACCCTCTTTCCTTGAGCCTTCTTAATTAGTTTCACCTTGAGGTGAATACCACGAGCTTGCGCTCTCGTTGAAAGCCACTGCTCAGCAAGAAATAACAAAACAGAATAGCAACAACAACTCTTTCCCTCCTCTCTTTCACCCCCAAATCTGACTGCCCTGTTCAGCACACGGAGAGGCTTTTCTTGGAGCCCTTCTCTCATCAAGGCTCTTAAGTTTCTTGGTCAGGCTGTTGAGTCTCTCCCTCAATCCCTCATTCTCGCTTTGCAGTACCGCGACGTCGTGTGTCAGACTCTTGTTCTTCCCTTCAAGCTTGTTCGCGAGAGCGCGGCGCTCACGTCTCTCTTTCTCCATCATGGATTCCAGACGTTTGATCCCTTCTTCCAGGCTGCCATCACTGAGACCGGCCTTCTCCTTTTCGAGCTTCAGGATACGTGATTCAACTGCTTTCAGAGTGACAACGTATGGTTCCTGCTGCTGCGTCTCTTGTCTTGCGATCGGCATGGACTCTAAGGCCACTACTCTGGATTGCATATCTTGCCAGTAATTGTGCGAGCTTTTCAGTTGGCCGACGCGCTCGGTAAGGGTTCCATTTGCTGACTGGAGATCACGCACAAGCCTTTCGTGGTTAGAGAAGTATCTGCTCAGGTCCTCGAAGCTGCCGCTGCCGCTGCCGCCATGGTTGTGCTCGGTTGGTGACGGTTGGTTGTTGGTCGGTGCTTCCGAGCTCATAGGCTGGCTGCCTCTAGTATCGCTCCTGTTTGGATAGGTGAGATGTAGAGTATCATCTACATCTGGCTGTGGTACCTCGGCCAAGGACTGATCGCCCTCAGCTTGGCTCGGGTCCAGAGAACCCTTGTAGCTGTCCTCACTGCCCTGTTTGTCGAATGCCAGAGTGTAGACTGATCCTCTCCTAGATTCCAGAGGCGTGTGGTACTCATCGTCGTTGTCGTCACAAGCGGGCAGTTCGTGGAACTCGAATGCCTTCCCGTCCATGGAAGCTCTGGTACGCTTCGCAGGAGGCTCTGTACCTTCCCTGTTGTCTACTTTGTTGAAGGCGCATTTGTGTGCATGGCCGCTTGGTCGGAACTGACATGTTGTTAGTACCTATACCGTCAATGCTCCGTGTGGATGTCTCGAACATACTGGAGGATCCTTGTTCTTCCGAAGAACGGTGGCACTCTTCTGGACACCGTTGGCTTGAGAACACTGGAAGTGTCTGCGGATACAGAAAGCACAACCAGTGGTCTTGTACTTCTTGCCGAGCAGGGACATGCAAGCCCTGTCCTCTTTCTCGCACAAGTCGCACCGAGGGTTGCGCTCTTTGCCGTAGTGAAGACCCAGGCGTAGTTTCTCGTCTTCGCGGTTGTTACGATCGAGGCCCTCCCAATAGTAGGCATCCTTCAACTTGCGGTTGTTGAAGTCTCCTGCATACAAGGGAGGATGTGGTCGGACGACCTCGGCGTCATGAGGGATTGCTTCCTTGCCAGGATGGTAGAGCAATGCAGGAGGAAGGGGACGAGGCGAGTCTTGCTCACCGAGTTCGGGAGAAAGGTTCATCGTTGAATGGAATGTGAGAGGGGTGTGAAAGAGATGTGGAAGGGGTTGTCCGGTAAGGTGAGGATGGGAACGGGATGGGGATGGAGATGAATTTCGGGGTGTTATGTGGAGCGAAGGAAGAGAGAGATGGGGCAAATGTCAGGCGTTTTTATACCCGGGAGGAGATTCTAAGAGTCACACTTCCCATTCGATGGGCCCGCATAACAACGCAGACATGACCCATCTACGGACCCGTAGACCGGGACGGACTCATCCCCTTGTGTCGTCTCCTCTCAGAGCCGACCGATCACAAAGTCAAGCGAGCAAATTTGCGGCACATGGTTCGGAACGAAATCGATGGTGGATCTCTTTTGAGGAAAGGACTCGGGGCTTAAATAACGTTACGGCGAGTTATAGAGGGCGTGTGATCTTCTCGAATATCGTATCCTCCGTCCTTCCCATGTGCTAATGATTGTCACAGGTAGCTATAAAAATGCAGAATACTTTCTAGAGGCACATTGATATCCACTGAGAGAGCGTTCCCCTAGGGCATCTCTATGGCCATGCGTCTACGTACAAAGCAACTGTGTATATTTCTACAACTATTCAAAGCACTACACATCGCGTTGAAAGGAGAGCTGGGGTTGTGCGTCACTGCGCAAGTTATCGCAGGAAAAGCAGGAGGTGAGTCAAAGGACTGGCACCGCCCCCTTCGAAAATCTTCTTATTCAGGGCTTCAAGAACCACTGTCTCCTTCTTTGGTCTCACACTCTTCCACTTGAGTCGAAGTCCTGCCTCCTTGAACACGATGTCTGCTTCCAACTTCCACGAACGCTCCCAGATGGCTCGCAACTCTCCTGACTATGTACCGAGCGAGACGTCAGTACGAAACTCGCCCCTTCCTGGCCCCGGTCCTGCGATGCGAAGCAGCCGACCGGCCTTGCCTCGAAATGCTGTCATGAGCCGAGAACACCCTCCCCTTTACGCTGGAGACTATAACAACAACCTATCCAAAGACATGTACTGGTGGGAGAAACTCGATGTCGATGATCCTGAAGAGAAAAGGGTTCTTCTTGCCATGTATTACGGCGAGGAACGTCAGCCCCGTTGCAACGTATGCGAAAAACAAAACCGTGCTTGTATGTGGTTTCTTGGGGAAGAAGATCAGATCAACAAGAGCTGCGTCAAGTGTCGTCGCGTACATGCTACATGCAAGACTATCGGGAGCATCGAACCGAATGACGACCTGAGGCCGAGTATTGAAACTCGCGAGAACACCGCCCAGCAGCGTATCTCGTCTCACAAACACAAAGCAACCGAACCTGATGTAACGACATCTGTGAAGCGTACCCGCTCTTCTTTGAGGGTCTACTCAACCAGAGAGTCTACTGACGATCAACCGGAAGTCATCTGTGTAAGATCTCAGGATAAGCAGGAGGCTGATAAGCTTGAATTGCATCACCAAAGCGGCTTCGAGAGGCCTTTGTACGATGAGACTCAATTCAACACCCTCCCTGATCAATCATCTACTGCCGATCGCAGAGGCGGTCGTCTCTCAAGCGTCACATTAGGGGCAGACGTGCGCTATTCGCAAGACACACCAAGAAGCCTTCTTCGCGTGCCCCCTCAACAATCACAGGACAATACTTTGCCTGGCTTCAGTCAAATTGAAAAGGGGCTATGTGCGATCATCGACGAGCGGTACAAGAACGAGCTTGACGGCCTCAGAGCCATGATCAAGAACCAGGCAGCCGACCATCAAGCTCAACTAATGGCCCTTCGCGCTGATCTCACAAGAAGGGACCACAACGGAGAAGCGGTTGACGAACACCAGATCAAGGAGTTGGAAACACAAATCGAGACAGAGAGGGTCAACAGACGTCGCCTAGAAGATGAGAACACCCGTTTGAAGAGCAGGATGACCCGGCTAGAGAGTGGGCAGAAAGCAGGGTTGAACGACCTTCAGGAGCAGATTAGGAAACTGAGAGAGGGCTTCGGCGCTAGATACTAGAAAAACAGTTACAATATCTCTCCTATATCAATTACGAGTGCGATATGTGCTATAAAAATACAGAGTTGCATACGGAATTAGATGAGTGACCATGGAGATAGCTCCAGGATGATATCTCTCCTTGGAAGGTACTTCGAAGTAAAAAGTATTGTGCATCTGTGTAGTACTATGGACTGGATCAGCACGAGGAGGGAGAGAGCAGTGGGGCGAGAAGGGGCAGGGGATAGGACTAATCAGGAAGTAGGAGTTGACCACATGTTTTCTAGAGGTCCCCATATATTCTTATTAAAAGCAACCGATGGACTCCCATCCACTGAAAACTAGAAGGTGCGACAGTATTCCTCTCCATCTACGGGCTCGGGCCCTGTTACTTGCTCATTCTAACGAAGGCGAGCTGGAACCAGCGAATCAGAAGGCACAGAAAAAGATCAGGTGGCATACAACACCATGACAGGAACTCAAAGGGGCGACGCAGGACCAATAGTCATTCAGCATGGGACAGGGACGAGACAAAGTCCGGTTGGGTCATACCTCGTGGCTCGCACCACCGGTGACTGCTCTGTCAAATTGACTCATTGTATCGAACAGACAGAGTATAAGAACTCCTCACCTTTAGATCAGAACCTTGCCTCCTAACTTTTCCCATCCGGTCAGACTTACTTCAAAGTCCTTCCCTTCCTCTTCCCGACAGGACTTACCAACCTCCTTCCATCCACCATCAAGATGCCTAGACTTCGACCCACGTACTCGAAACCGCCTACACCCGACCTATCCAGAACTTCTTGGACACCTCCCTTCCCTGATGGCTATATCAACGCCGTGCAACGAGAGCATCCTATTCTCAAATTGGGTGATTATTGCCCTAATACGGGCCTGTACTACTGGCAAAAGGAACGATTCGAGAAACTTGCCACCGCCCCCGACTGTCCCGACATAAGAAATACTAAGCGAGCACTCACGGGCTTGTACTATGGTGTCGAGAACAGTCCTCGCTGTAGTCAGTGTGAGAAATTGGATCTACTATGCACATCGTCTCCCTGTTCTCAGAACACATCATGTACGGGGTGTACACTGACCTTTCACAGGTGCACCTTCGCCCACGGGGGTAGACATCGGGTATGTCCAAGGTTAGCATGAATGTGATATGAGCCTAGACTGACACAATNNCAGGATACCGCTACATGCTCATCGCGTGCAGAGAATCACTCAAATGATCACCCACCTGTAAACCACCACAGAGACCCTACAACACACGACAGGAATGCTGGAGAAGTGGAACAGCCAGACTTTCAACCACCCGCAAACCACCACAAATCCTCCGATCCAGGATCAAGTTCCATCGATCAAGAAGACTCGGATGACGAACCGCCTATCAGGGNNAGGATCCGGAGCCGTCGCAGTGCTAACATCAGGCATGATGCAAATGTCATCAAGCCACGGTCGAGAGACCCCAGCCCTCATGACACTGTGCAAGCAGCCGGCATGCAACATGGAAGCCACCGAAGAACAGTGATCGAGTTACTGAGCTCACCACCTCCATCACCTCTCTTCTGTACTCCATCCAGGACACCCGACGCCGAGCAAGAACCTGCCATCGAAGAACAGCCCCAAATGGATGACTTGAATGACTTCTCCACAATCACCAGCGCGGCTGATCACGAACAAATCCAAGAACGTCTTCGTGCCCTGGAAGCCGAAAACTACCAGCATCAAGCAGAAAAACGTCAGGACCGAGAACAAATCCACAAGCTGGAAGGACAAATCAGTCAACTCAAAGAACAGCAAGATCGCAAGCTCAAAGAAGAGATCCGCGGACTCAAGAAACAGATGAACTATGCCATCAATCAGCTCATGATACAGTAACCAAAGGAAGCCAGGGTGGGGTACTAAACAGATGTGGAAAGTCGTGGTAGATCCAAGATTTTGGATAGTGTTGGTAATATAGGTCGAGGTTGATGAAAACAGGACAAGACTGGTGCAGTGCTTGTAAAGTCGATACGTCCATATCCGGCTTTATCATCTGAGATGAAGCGGCAATATCCTGGATGAAGTCGCGGCAAGCAACATCGATGTGACGATCACTACGTTAGGTAATGCAGGGTACGAAACTTGAATATCGTGAGAGGGTATCATTCATATATACGTACGGTAACAGAAAACGAGTCGCAATTCGAGAAAGCAAGTCTATGTTGTGAGAAGAAAGAAAGAAGAAGAAGGCAGAACCATCGATGATCCTAAATCGGGGGAATATCGAGAAATTCTCGTGCAGAAGAGAATCAGACCAGCCAAACAAACGCTCAAAACAAATATTCCGAACTTTATGATCCGCTATGCAAGAAGAAGAAAAACGGAGAAAGATATTAGTGCCTAAAGGAGTCTCGACAGGAGTGCAGGACAAGTTTATCAACAGGGGACGAGAAGATCAGAACATCTCGTCCTCGCTGAATNNTCGGTAAGCACCCCTTTCTTCGGCAGGAGTGCGGTACAGTTCATACGGAGTCGGTGGCTCAACACGGGTATGCTCATAGTTCGGCGGCGTCTGGCGTACCGAGCTGCGAGGAATACTCCGACGCCCACTGTCAACACCAGCGCTACGGTGGCGAGCATTGTATTCGCTATCCTCGCCAGAGTCGCCAGAAAAGCGACTCTGGATCCGAGCGTCAGGTCTGTCGAAAGCACGCAGATATGCGGTAGGTGGAACCACAGTGGCTGGCGATGAGAGAGCGTTGTATGCTTCCAGACGCGAGGCGCTGCGGCCTCCATCTGACTCTGCCGGTGTGCGAGGGCGTTGTCCTTGTGGAAGGCTCTGTGCTGTGTAGCTACCCCAGCTACCACGCGAAAGTTGCAAGCGGGTAACCTCATGCTGAAGGTTACGGACTTGATTCTCGAGAGTACGGCGAGCGGAACGTTCTTCAGAGAGCATGTTGTAAAGGGCAGTGAAGGTTCCGTTGGCCGTGGCAGCGGTGCTGCGAAGAGTGGGAGGGGCGAGGTTGGAACGATCGCCATTTGTGCTACCATGACTGCTCGGGCCCCATTCGCGTTCCATGATGTCGCCAGCATCTTCATAACCTCGAGCTCGTGTCTGCAGTGATTCGACAAAAATACTGGGCGTTTCCTGGCGATGCGATGAGCCGGGTGGCTCGGTCGGAGCCACAGCTGAAGGGCTAGAGAGGGCGAGGTTAGACAGCGAGCGCTGGAAATCAACAAGGTGCGCCTCGAGTTTGGCAACACGAGACTCCAGATCAGCAGGAATTTCGGTCGCAGGTGTGGTTAGCGGACGACTGAAGGAGCGGAGGGTCAGCTGCGGAGATGGGTTNTTGGCAGGGACTGATTGGCCGCGCGTGGACGGGAGCGAGACAGCATCAGCGCGCGGCAGAGGTGGGTGTGCTGATAGGGGAGTTGGCGCCGAGACAAAGTCGGGTTCCCTAACGAAGTGTTCGGGGACTTCGGGCACATCAGGGACATCGGGTGCATCTGGTGCATCGAATTCGGTATCGGCAGAGGGATACTCATAGACGGGGGCTTTCCCGGTCGGACTGAGAAGGACGCTGGCATAGCTCCGGCGCCAATACTCAATCTCGCCTGTGCGATCCCGGAATGGTTGTTCGACTACCATAGCTTGCTTGAGATCGTTTGCACTGCGCGACCTCCTTTTGTCCAACCTCGAGGTGACGGTTAATCCAGTAGGTTTCAAGCTTGTTTCGGCAGCTCTTGTGTCCTCGCCCGGTCGCAGTGTGTTCGAGATGTCGGCCGCCTCATTGGCCGTCATGATCAGACTAGGCAGGGTGGCTCTCCGCTTCGGGCCATGTTCGCGGGTATAGAAGGGGTTGCCCAGGTCCAGAGGCTTCAGGCGAGCGCTTTTGGGGAATTCGACGGCATGGACAGGCGATGCGCGTGCCGAGTTGTTCTTGTGATTAGGAAAGGGTGGTTGTTGCAACTGGAAAGGAGCGGAAAGCGGGCCCGCGAGCGGAGCGGACAAAGGTGCCGAGATGATGCGTTGGTGAATGGCATCCGATGGGTGCGTGTGGATCGTTTGTGGTCGCTTGAAGTGGCCGGGGTCNCTGTATCGCTGTCAGTACTGTTGCGCGGTCAGGTCTATCATGTCCTGCCGACTCACACTTTTGTGATAGCCATGTCGCGATGCTTCTGCCCGTGGTAAGGCGGGCACTTCGGGAATGTCGCCCTTGGACTTCCTCCCAAACAAGCGGCGCACCGCGTTGCGTATTGAGCCCTTTCTCTCTGCACCTTCTGCCCCTACGCCATTGCCAACTGAGTATCGCGCTGATTTGCGTTTGCGGGGCTTGGGGGCCGTGTCGGTGCTGCGTCTTCCGTCTGCCTGGGGTTGTTGTGCAGTCGCCGTCGCCGTCACCGACGCGAAGTACTCTGCCGAAGGGCGCCCATACGAGGCATTGTCGGCGTCTACTTCGGGTCGCGCCGGCCGGATTGGCGGCGAGCGAGTTCGTTGCGTCGTTACTGGTCCGTCCATGAATCCATGCAGCAGATTGAAGTCGTCTGGTCTTTGTTACGTCGGTGCCGTGTTTCCCAACGAGACAAGAGCGGTCAAAGAAGACGACGATGAAAAGGAAAAGACAGACGTGGTTGAGTGTAGCGAGCGACGAAGATTACTGAAGGAATGGACAGGTGCAATGGCCACGAGAAAGGTCGGCGTTAGCAGGTAGACACCAGGGCCGGTTCTCTTTGTACAGCAGGCGCAGCACACTGGATAAGAGATAGAGATGCAGATGATTGCAGAGTACGACAAACAAAGACGGAAACCGCGGCCACTTAGCAAAGGGCGAAGGAGGTGCTGCGTCCGACAGAAGAACAGCAAGCAGCTCGCATACCAGAGACGGACTCCTGGCTCGCAAGTGGGCATGCGCAAGAGGATATAGCCGGGAAGAGTCCGTTGCTCCAACCGTCAGCAGTGGCTTATCAAGCAGGAACCGTCTCCCGATTGCCATTCGTCGTTGCGGGGATCGCGCAGACGTGGCGTTTGCTTGCTCTTAGCCCAATAGCATTTGCATTAGTCGTCGTTGTAGTACTGTTTCAGCATTCTCCCACCACCACATGGCAACGTTTTGCGGGCTTTGGCAGAATCCATCGCTGATTCGTATGCCTTCCTTTGCACCACCCACACACTGCTGCTGGCTGTATCTCTGCACTGTCTCAGTCGTCGATACCATTCTCCCAGCACGCGCATGAATGCATTCCATGACTGAATCCACATCTGGTCCATCACCAAGGAAGAAGACTTCTTCATCTTCATGACTACGCTAGCCGAAGCCTATTCATAACGCGAGGGCTGCTTCGCGAAACCCTCGGATCTCTACAAGGCCTCTGGTCAAGCAACATCTGCCAATGATGGCGCAACCTCTATCATCACCATCGTCGCTTCGATAATACAATCAAATCCTATCTGCCCGTTCAGCTCGACCGTTGCGCCTCCGAGGCTCGTTGGCATCGAAGAATTGCTTGCTATAACGGGGTACAGTCCTTCTCTTTCGGCACTGTTAATCTCCCGTCGCGCCTTTTTGCTGCCAAGCCCATTGTCACTGCGAGTCTGCGACCCATTCGGGTAGATCTCACCTCCGATTGTGCTGATTTGGAGAGCAGTGGAGACATCAACTCACGGTCCATATCCTCGCATCTTCCTGCCCTGCTTTGCAATTACCGACTGCATCAGCAGACCACAAGGATACTTCTGTCTTGTACCATGCGTCGTGTCTTCAGCGTATCAAGTACAATCGCACCATCTGCATCGCCTCTTGAAACCAGCACTGCCATCAGCTAGAGCGGTCATGCGGTTCAGCGTGACACTCACTGTCTGTCAGACAAGACATCCCGGAGTTCCTTGCCGGACCAAACCATCTATCTGTCACACATTACTCGTCGCGCAATAAGTCGTCCAGATCCGGATAGCGCAGGTCTGCATTCTCCTCGAGAAACTCCATCCAGCTCTTGAGGAATTTGCTGCCTCTNGTAAGTACCGCAGAAGCAGTAACTTGTTAGCTTCAAACATCCGCTGTCTTTGATACTTGCGCGCGCACGCATGTGTATGCAGGTACAGCCGTCTGCAAGGGTGGGATGACTTACCGGCCTACAGTCTCGGAATCGCCAACTACACAAAGATGTCGCTTCGGCCGAGTCATAGCGACTNNGTAAGCGATTTTTAGCAGAGGTCATCAAAACTGTAAATGCCGTCCCGTACCATTGAGTCTTCGCTTCTCGGCGAGGAAGCCAACTTCGTGCTCTGCGTTGCTGCGCACAAGGCTGACAACCACAGCCTCCTTTTCTCTACCTTGGAAACCATCAATACTTCCGAGTTCGATACCAACAAACCTCTCCTTGAGCAGTTGTGACAACACAGCAAGCTGCCCGTTGTATGGTGTGACGACAGCAATATCCTCTGCTTTGACACCAGCATCGACTAGGCTCTGTACGTGCTTNTTGACGATGGCTGCTTCAAGTTCGTTGCTCTTGCTCTCTCCTAGGAGACTGCTCTTGGACTTTGGTACATCATCATCGTCTGTCTTTTCGTGAAACTCGCCTCCCTGTGTGTCCCAGAAGACGACAGGCTCGGTTGTGTCTTCGGTCTTTTCCACATCGTACGGCAGGTCTTTCAACAATCTTGCCTTGACACTGTCCGCCGCCATGAGCTTTGACTCGTACAGCGCTGCCGATGGGAATGCATTGATCTTCTCGTGCATACGGTACTGGATGGTCAGCATACGCTTGATACTATCTCCGTAGAGGTCAAGCATGCGATCGAAGAGCGTCGTCTCCAGATTGACGTCGTCGTCCTGGCCTGTCTTGGGTTTGTTCTTGGTTGACTTGGATTTCGAGCTCTTGATTGTAGGTGGGAGTTGCAGATGGTCTCCAGCCAGAATCAGTTTGTTAGCGCCGCTGCTCAACAGAGGCACCCAGCACTGTGCTTCCAGAGCTTGACTGGCTTCGTCGACAACGACAACATCAAACGCTTGATTTTTGAGGTGAAATCCACCGGATCCGTGTAGTGTAGCAAGGACGACTTTGCTTTCCCGGACGAGACTGTTCACGCAGGAAGCTTCACGCTGTCGGTAATCCTTGCGTAGCTCCTTAATTTCGCCATATATGGCCTTTCGTTCTCTGCCGTTTCTCGTTTTGCGTATACTTGCTTGTTTGGCATCCATCTCGTTGCGGATATCTTTGACCAGCTCGGCGGCATCACTCGTGCGTGTCAAGATGTCGAGACTGTGGTTCAAGACTCCTGGCAACAAACGAGCCGGGTGGCCTAGCCTGACCATGGGTACTTTGTGTGGTGACAGCCTCTCCACAATGTTGTCGACTGAGATGTTGCTGGGTCCACAAACCAAGAGTCGGAGACCCTGTTTGAGACATTGCCGTATCAGTTCAATCAACGTATGGGTCTTTCCAGTGCCTGGCGGTCCATGGATCAGGGCAACGTCGGGAGAGGCGAGAGCGAACTTGATGGCTTCCTTTTGCGAATCGTTGAGAGATGGGTCTAACCACTCGAGATCCTTCGCCATGTCTACAGGCTGGACTGTGACTGCCGAGGACAGACCAAACAGAACGCGCATAAGTGTTGAGTGTTCGCTCTCGGGCATTTTCAGCAACTTTGTCATGGTTTGGTTCATCNNCTTGGAGCGATCAGTCGTGGGATTTGACATAGTAAAGAACACGGTGATACCTCTTATATGTAACATCGTTTGCGAGCTTAACACTATAGAGACGCACGATCTATCAGCCAACAACATTCTCCTCTGAAACGAACATGCAGAGTTCACAAACAGCCAGAGTTTTCCGCCAGGAATGTCAACCTCATCCTTGTCCAGAGCAACAACAATGATCTCTCTCAAGACTTTGACAACAACACCCTGTATCTGTTTCTGCTCCATGTCCTGACGCTCTTTCTTCTTCTCTGCGCCCTTGGGCTGCTCGGAAACACCGACGATATCACCCACGCGCAGACCATGCTCAGGAAGCTGAGTTTCGGTACCGGCAATTGCGGGATCCAGGGAGAGCTCGACCAGAGACTTACCACCCAAACCTGTGCGCTGAGCGCTGACGGCGAGGTTTAGCACGGCCAGACCGGCGCGTGCGAGAGTGGACGGAGCATGGGTGGCGGTAAGCACGGCCGTTTCTTCGAGCTCGGCATTCAGCTCTGCAGCCAAGAGCTGTAGCTGCTTGTCAGCAAAACTGGATACGTCGATGGGTGCCATTGCTGTGTTTCTGACAGTGCAGACAAGATGGAACTGAATTGTCGACTTGGAGTCAGCACTGTCACATGAAAACGATGACGTCAGGCTTGGCGGACGATAAGATAAGGAAAGTCCCTCTCCACGCGACTCAACAACGGTCAGCATGTCAGCGTCATACACACCAGACCAATGCGAACTTCACGAGTGTCTCGAGAAACTGCGCGGGTAGTGGACGCTCTGTCGTCGCGAGCGTCGACTGGCAATGCGCCTAGACGCTCCTTGCGTAACATTGCTCATACCACAGACATCAACTATGCGCCAGATGAAGCGAGCTCGGATCTGTCCTCGCTCCCCTCGAGTGCTTCTCCATCGAGTGCATCACCATCGCCTCCACCGTCGACTCGCAAGCGCAAACGAACAGCCAAGTCCGAAGTGCTCTCCCCAAATCCCTCGGCCGCCAATCACACTACCAATGTGCCCAAGAAGACGAAGCGACAGCCTGCCAAACGCATAAAGGGCGAACATGGACACGTCGAGCCTCCAGCCAATTGGGAACAAGTGTACAACATGACTGCTGAGATGCGCAAGAAGGTCCTCGCTCCAGTCGATACCATGGGGTGTGAATCGCTGGCCGAACGTGATCGCTCTCCAATCGACCGACGACTGCAAACACTGATTGCGCTGATGCTAAGCTCGCAAACGAAAGATACCGTCACCGCTGTCGCCATGAAGACTTTGCAAGACAATCTTGAGGGAGGCTTCAATCTTGCTGCGCTGCTCACAGTTGAGCCAGAACGCCTCAATGAACTGATCGCAAAGGTCGGATTTCACAACAACAAGACCAAATACATCAAAGCAACCGCCGAGATCCTCCGACACCGCTTTCATGGTGACATCCCAGATACGATAGAAGGGCTGGTTTCGTTGCCTGGAGTTGGACCCAAAATGGCTTATTTAACCATGTCTGCTGCATGGGGTCGCGATGAGGGTATCGGTGTTGATGTACACGTTCACCGTATCACTAACCTCTGGGGTTGGCACAAGACCCGCAATCCTGAGGAAACTAGGGCGGAACTCGAGAGCTGGCTTCCGAAAGAAAAGTGGCATGATATCAACGGACTCCTCGTCGGTTTTGGCCAGACTATATGCTTGCCTGTTGGTCGCAAGTGCAATGATTGTACTTTGGCAACAGAGGGACTATGTCCGAGTGCTGTCATCAAGAAAGAAGCTGTCAAGAGGGTTAAGAAGGTCAAAGATGAGGATGAGGTCAAGACTGAAGTTGATGCGGTCGTCAAGGAAGAGAAAGCTAATGAAGACGCTCCTCCGCTGGATGCCCCACTTGCTGGTGCCGGTACTGTGCCTGATATTGAGGGCATGGGCGCAGGTGTCAAGAAGGAGGAGCCGTAATCCTTCGGCCTACTTCACACCTTTTGTATGTATGATACTATGATGTTAAAGAGTATATGCACATAATGTACAAATCAATCGTCCGCAACACTGGATTTACTCTTCAACATGGCCAATTGTTTAGACAGTCTTGCAGGTTTCTCCTCTGTGCAGCTCAAAGAATGAATGAATCGATGGCAAGGAGATAAAGAAGAGAAAGACCTTGCCCACACGCGATGTGGACTAGGGTGGACGAAAAGATGCAAAAAAAGAAACGATCCTGGCAATGGGCGGAATCGAACCGCCGTCGGGTCGGCGTTGCTGGACTTTAACCTCCACAACGACACATGCTACCACTACACCACATCACCTTAGCTTGTAAGGGTTGAATCCGGTTGACCGGATTCAGGATCTTGAAAGCATGGTTGTCTGTACCGTATATATCCAACCGGAAGAACCTGGTCGCAAGGATCAATTTGTCGCACGCAAACATCTACCATAATCTATCCATGTCTTATTCGGTGTCGATTGCGCTGCTAAGAAGTATCGCATTGCCCTACTCGACATCACAGTGCATCTTTTGCCTCTTGCTCCAATAAACATGTGGTTACTTGCAAATCTATGCGATGTAGCCTAATCATCTTGCAAGATTTGAGTCGGAATGTCAAACCTCTATCGAGACATGTATGCTCATCAGTAGACCACGAGCCAGTATCAGAGAGAAATCGTGAATGCTTTACATCTCACAGAGAGAGAGTATTTGGCCTAAAGAGCCTCAGTGCGGATGCTATATGATAGTGAGTTGGTGGCAGTCAGGGTGATATGCTCAGCAAGTCCAACTTGCGAATTTCAACGATGGTTGAGATCAAACAGAGTGACAACCCTCGTAGCCGCGTGTAAAAAACGAAAACACATGGAAGGAAAAAAGACTCTCTAGAAGTTTATCAAACGATAACCTTTGACGGGACAAATCTGAGCAGCCAACGCCCAGTTCAGGTGATTATTTTGATAGATATATACGGTCTGTTTCACAGGCTCTTTGTTTAGCCCTATAGCAAGGGAAACACAGCTTTTCTATATTCCTACCCCAATGCTGTTTCATGCAGTATCGTGAATTCGTAATTGTGTGAGGTGCCGAATATGCTCAGAGAGGAGCATATGGACTTCTGTAAACATCCAGGGCAGAGGCATTCATAGCCATGACATGAGGGTCGGGATCTGCGTACAGATCGTGGTAGACTGCAACGTTGTGGTAAGACGGAGCAAGAGAGGGATCGAGGACATGCAGGTGGTGTGATTGCAGCTGTGTATGGTGATGCGGATGTTGCGGTGGAGGTACAGTCAAGTCCTGCCAAGGGTCAAGAAGATGGGCATCGGTCGGAAGTTCGGCGAGATGGTCGATCGGGACGTGTTGAGGGACATATCTCGGGAGAGGAAGCTGCTGTGTCAAAGGCTGGACGGCATCCTTCTGGACGGTGACCTTGTTGGCGGCACGGCGACGAGGGGCGGCGGTAGAGGTAGATGCGGTGGCGCGTGTACGGACAGGCCTCTTCTCAGGGGCGATGCCTGCTCGCGAAATGGCGCGCGAGATGGTCGACATGGACACCGTCAGTTGCAGTTCTTTCTGCAGATGGCGGCGCATCTCGTCGAGCTCCATGTCTGGTTTGGCGGCAAGCAGGCCCTGCAAGAACTTGTCGACACCCTCGCTCATGGCACGCGGCCTGCCCAGCGTCTTTGTCTGCACGCGACCCACGGTGCCGTGCTTCTTGAACTTTGCGATCTTGAGATAGACGTTTGTGCGCGACACATTGGGCACGGCGGCGCGGATGGCCATGGCCGACTTGCCCTCGCTCACCATGCGCTCTATCGTCGCATTGTCCTCGTCCGTCACCATCGTCTACATGGCCATTGTCAGTTACAGGTCAAGAGGACTGGCAGAGCGCAGTCATGCAAGCTGGCCATGTGCATGGCGTACGAAGATGCGCTTACCGACGTCGTTTGCTTGTGAAATAGTTATGGGAATTTGGCTGCATGTCCCATCAATTTTGCTCACTCGAGCCGCTTCGCTCTGCAACGGGGAACGAGCACGAGCACGAGCAGCAGTGAAGCTTCAAGTTGCCAACATTCCAAGCCTTTTCACCATGATTGAAAAACCACTCCTCCAACTGTGCTTCGTATCTCTTCTGTAATACTGCATTTGCATTTCATGCTGTAACATGCACACTTGTCTCTCTTCTGAGCTGTCCCTGTCTCTCCTACGCTGCTCGATCCTGCGTCTGGCCTTGTCTCCTATGCACTCACTCAAATTCTAGTTTCAACAGTCTAGGGCGCCCTTCTCTGTCCGTTCCCAGACACTCGCGCTGAACTCGGTGTGGGCCCTCGTATCTGTTGCGAGCGAGGGCGATCTGGATATACTGAGGCCTCTCAGCATTGCGCCGTCTCCTTCGCGCCATGTACTCCTTCATATGAATGCACAGCCGGTGCACTCGCCAACGGTTTCAGGGACGTCGCCTTCCATACCGTGCTGCGGGACGACGGCTGATTGCCTGATTACGGTTTCGCAATCAGTGCAAGGTGCTCTCCTTGCCCCCTCAGACGTCATATGCAAAGGTCAAGGAGCGTAACAAGACTCTGCCAAGGCAGCATGGCTTGATGCTCGGTCGCTGCGCCCTCGGCTCCTGCCCAAGACATGCTTCCCTTCTAGAGGCTCGAAGCCTCCGCCAGACATGCGAGCCTGTACTCGGATGTCTTACTAATGGCAAGACAGAGACAGCATGACATGAAACCTCTTCTCCTGGATACACGTCAGAGGTATCAAGGTCGACAAATTCAAGGTTCTAGCTGACATTCCCATGCTAGCGAATGCAGAGTTTCACAAACGTTTTGCCAATACATACGTCTCCTTCAGACCCGCAGGCAATGGTCTGAATCATGAAGCCGTCGGCCTACCGAAAACAACAGAGGTCACAAGAGATCTGCCCTAGTCGACGCAACGATCCTGGCTGGTGGATCTGTCGTGGGCTTGCAACGCAACAAGGGCGGACACATGGCGCATATAAGGATCATCGCTTATTGTTTGGCGACAAATATATACAGAGTAGGTGCGCATCTCGCTCACGGACGCCTTTTTCTAGAAGCAAAACCGAACAAAAGGGAGTCAGCTTGGCGGGGTTTCTCCTTCCGAAATTGGGCGCGGCCGTTGAACCTTGCGACCACATCCACACAACCCAGCCCTTTCAATTTTAACGTATGCGTGACAGTTCGATAATCGAGAACGATGTACACGATAATACGTATCTTACGGTTGACGGATGGCAACTTGTCCATGAGACAGCAGATGCAAACGTCTCGTGCCACGCCGAAAGCGTGCATCCATGATGGAAAGAGAGGGCCCAATCCTTTCTTCAGCGTCTGAGCATCCCGCAATTGAACATGCACGGTTGGCGTTCACCGATGGTCCCGGCTTTTGGGTTAATTATTGCCATGCTCCTCATGACTCCTGGGCACGTTGTGTCTGTGTCAGATCAAAGGGTATTTTGCATCTAGTTGCTAGGCTCTATTTCCTGCATAGACGTTTCGTCCCTCGTCTCTTTAATCGAAGGGGCCGCAAACATTAACATTCCACTCCCCTCTTGCCTTGCTTGCTCGCTTTTCCTTATACCACCCATCCCACCCTCCTCTCTCTCGACCACCCCGCGTTTAGGCTCGCTTTCGACTCTCCTTTTGCTCGACCCAGCTGTCCGGTTCCGCCATCGTCTTTGTAGTCGCTGCTCCCATCACCACCTCACAACCACCACGACATCGTCCGCTCGCGGCATCTGCACTAAATTCAATACCAAGACTGGCGCCGTGTCTTTTCTGTTGAACAACTTGGACATACCCATAAATAATATCTGAACTTTTGGCTGGTCCCAACTCTGCAATAATACAACAACAACAATACCCGGCAGAAACAGGTCACCGCCTTCGCGCAGAAGTGAGTATACCACAATCGAGCCCTTTTCCTCGACGTCAACCCCAAAACGGCTAGCGTACTCCTGTGTGACAACCAGAAGCTGATTTCACTCTGCCAGAAAATCTTATACATTCACCGCGTCTCATCCCATAACGCTGCGACAACTCTTCTCTTACAACTTTCTTTCCCACAACCTCTCCTCCCACTTCTTTTCCAAAGATCTTTCATTTTTCTACTTGCATCCCCTCATACCACACCACACACACAGCGATGGAAGGTAACGGCGGTAGAAGCGGTAGAAGAAACGACTCTATCAGCAGTGTCATGTCTCTGGGCGCTGACAACACCTCGCCCTCATGGGCAGACGACNAAAATGCACCTGCCGATCAGAGATCTTCACGTGCAGAGCAGAACCTCGATCATGAGGCATCTGTGCACATGCTATCACAATATGCCCATGAGGAGCCTTCATATATGGATGGCTCGAACACCTCTGAGACTGACCAATCCGACATGATGAGCCCTCTGGAGATGCGCCACGCTATCTTTGAGTTGCTCGATGAGCTCCCCGAGACCGCCACAGTTGACCTCGTCACCCCTTACCAGAGAGCCGCCATGCTCNCCCCTGTCACCCAGGACTCACTCTGCGAGTTGGATGTTGGACGCATCATCAACAACCCCAAGCTGCGCCACGATGTCAACTTCGACCGCGAACTCCATTTCAGACCCAACCTCGACGGATCAAGAGGCAAGCAGAAGCTCAAGTCAGCTGACGAGTACTGGAAGGCCTTGTTGGCCGAGCTGGAGATCTACAGAGCCGTCGGCTTCCGTCTCATGACTAGCAGAAGCGCAGAGGAATTGGAGTACTGGACTTGCATGATCAAGGCCAACCAGATCAGACTGCCAGGAGTCTTCAGCACCATCTACGAAATTCTCAAGACTCTTGTGCCCGACCGTGACCAAGCCATTGTTGCAGAAAGACTCGACGTCGAAATGATCATGCAGCAGATCTGCAAGGGCGTCTTCGATCTTCTGGATCTGGCCCAGTGGTTGGCCACCATCTTGAAGGCACACTGCGCCCCTATGAGAGATGAATGGATTGACCAGATGGTTGAACAGACCACCAAGGGCGTCCAGGAGGGCGATCAGAAGGCTGTTGTTGTCGGACTCAGACAGACTCTGGCCATTCTCGAGGCTATGAAGCTGGATGTCGCCAACCACCAGATTAGACATCTTCGCAGCCTCTTGATCGACGACACTGTGAACTTTCAGCAGAAATACCACGTCCACAAGATCGCTGCAAACAAGTTCAAGGTCGATGGCGCACGCAATTGGTTCAAGGAAGAGCAGACTATCCTCAGCGGCTGTAACCTCGCCCCAACCCCTCTGGAGACATTCGCTTCGGCTGTCCTCCGCTCCTTGCTCTCTCCGAGCACTATCCCCCACTTTCCCGACACATTCCACCTCGACTACGAACGCCTCCGCCTTCTTCGCAGTGATCTACACAACATGATCCAGATGGAAATGTGCTGCAACGCTTTCGATGTTCTCATCAAGGACAAGGCCGATGAGATTACTCGTGCTACTGGCAAGAAGACGCTCCAGGCCAACATTACTGATATCATCGGTGATTCTCGCCTCTACCTTGAGAACCTCGAGAATATTTCTGCCGAGATCGTTCGCCTCGTCCTCCATCTGGAAGGTGCCAGTATCGCCTTCGACTCCGACATGATGAGCATTGTCGAGCACCACCTTCGCGCCGAGCTGCCCCTTGCTTCTTCTGCTTTCGGCATTCAGCTTCAGAAAATCCTCGACACTGAGCTTCCCAGATTGTGCAACGCTGTCAACTCCAGCTCAAGACTTCCTCTTCTGGCTCTTCACGATGTTATGCTTCCTCCCATCCAATCTGCCGGCAAGCGTGCTCCTGCCAAGGCCATCGCCGAACCACTCCTCGACGAGATCCTCAAGCGCATTACCCACCTCGCTGTGATTCACTGGCACGTTTGGTCGCCCATCGTCTACGACCCTCAGGTCGAGGCAGACTCGACTCCCCTTGGCTCGCCTGGCAACAACCCAGACACATCTTCCATGAACACCACTGCTACCTCGCCTAGCTCGATCGCCTCGACTCCCGAGATGCAGAGCCAGGGCAGTGGCTTCACTCATCCCTCTGGCCCTTCTATTACCAATGGTCGCTCCCAGAAGTAGACCAGCCACCACCCATCAATCCTTCGACTGATTGCCGCACTGTAACATCACCACCCAATTAATTCTCGTTTCGTTATTGTTTTCCAGCCACCACCCAAGCTAGTCCGGAGCAGCAAGTTTCTTTCGCCTCCTGGGACATGCTCGTGTGTGGCTTTCTGCAGATACCCCTTGTGTTTTTTCGGTTTCTTTTCTCTTATGTTGTCTTTACATTATCATGAAGCAGTTCAGCAAGGCGCTGGCGGAGTTATCAAGTCAATCGTTTATTTCCGGAATGGCGGAATCGTGTTATTAGCAAAGCAGTCACTCCCTTGTACATAACTTATACCCAAGTTTTTTAATCACCATTTCAAGCCCTTTCCAAGTTGAAGCCTGTCGATACAGTCGAACCAGTCCAGTTGAGCGTATGAACTTCTTGGACGTTTACCAGTGGTAGAGCATCGACCTCTTGAAGGTCAATGTCATGCTCCATGATTGGTTATCCTCAGAGCTTGGCTTCAGACGAGAAGGTGTCAAATAAATTAACCCCACGACTGGGAAGAAGCTTGGTTTGCGCTTTAGCCCGTCATGGTCAAGTGTTGGTTCTACCCGACAAGCCGAAGGCAGGCCGCGAACGTGGGGTGAACGAGAAAATGATATCACTTTTCGACTGCCTCATTGTTACGTAGGCGCGGCAACAACACCGATCATGATGTGTATGGGCGGCTGGAGATTGAATCACAAATGTGCATGACTGCCGCAGCTTCCGTCAAATCGAGTTTATAATTTGCTGTACAATCAACTGTTTTTCTCTTTATCTCCAGTGTAAATTACTACAAGAAACGAATCAAACATGGACGCAAAGAATCCCAACAAGGAGTACAGATCTACTCCCGAGTACGCAGAGTACCAGCGGGACAACTTTTGGGCCGACAATGAAGGAAAAGTGCCTCCTTTCAACACACGTAAGCAATGCACCTGAACCAGCGAGCGGATGAGATGTTGAGAGATATCACACAGATNNCCCGACAAGCTCGAGGAAAGAGCAAAGGAGAAGCTCTCGGAGGGTGGCTGGTACTATGCCTCTTCCAATGCTGGCTACTCAACAACACATCTCGCCAACCGCCAGGCCTTTTACCGTCATCGCATCATTCCTCGCATGCTAGTCGACACCAACAAGCGCGACACCACTTGGGAGATTTGGGGCCATAAAACCAGTGCACCCATTGGATTCTCTCCTATTGGTATCAACAAGATCTATAACCCTCTTGGAGAGCTTCCAGTCGCCAAAGTTGCGAAAGAACTCAATCTGCCGTATTGTCTGAGCACTGCTGGTTCGCAACCGATTGAGGATGTTGGTGCTGCTAATGGAGAGGGTCCTCGCTTTTTCCAGCTATACATGCCGCACGACGACGAGTTGACCATTTCACTCTTGCGTAGAGCCATTGATTCGGGCTTCACCGCCTGCATCTTGACTGTTGAGTATGTGGTTTCTCAAGTTTTTCGACCGAATCAGCCACTGACAAGTCCTTCACAGCNNACATGGCAACTCGGATGGAGACACGACGATGTCGCACACAGCAACTATGCTTTCTACCATGGAATTGGTGCCGATTTGGGTCTTTCCGATCCTGTATTCCAGAAGAGGCTCGCAGAAGACGGTATCGATCCTAAGAAGGAACCTAACAAAGCAGGTGCCAAGTGGATTGATAATGTCTGGCATGGCAGAGCTCACAGCTGGGAGAAGATGCCCTGGCTCATCAAGACGTGGAAGGAGATGAGTGGCGGCAAGCCTTTTGCTATCAAGGGTATTCAGAGCGTGGCCGATGCCAGAAAATGTGTTGAGATTGGTTGTGACGGTATTGTTGTCAGCAACCATGCTGGAAGACAAGTTGACGGCGCCGTGGCGAGTCTTGATGCCTTGGAACAGATTGTTGATGGTATGTTCACGAAAAGATCTTTGAGTAACGCAGCTGCTAACCTCATCTCTCCAGCTGTTGGCGACAAGATCTACATCATGTTCGACTCTGGAGTTCGTGGCGCCTCGGACGTCTTCAAAGCTCTTGCACTGGGAGCCAAGTTCGTTTTCGTTGGTAGGCTCTGGGTTTGGGGTTTGAGCATCATGGGAGAACATGGTGTTAGGCACGTCATGAAGTCGCTTTTGGCAGACTTTGATATCCTGTTGAACGTTGCTGGCTTCCAGAATGTCGAGCAGATTGTGGGCAACCGCGAAGCACTTGAGTCCTTACCCAAGGCATACACACTCATTCAGGAGAGAGCAAAGCTCTGAGGAACTACTTCGTACGAGGATGATGAAACGATGGACATGATCAAGCATAGAACTAGTAATCAGAATTTGGAGAATTTTACACTACTTCACCCGAATCGAGTCTGCTCTGAAAGTACGTTCTTCTTTTCGAAGTTGCATGTTGTTGTGTTCGGAAGAAGATAGTTCTCTTGAAAGTTATCCTTCTGTTTTGTTGAGTCCGTGCGCACAGGCGAACTTGACGTACAGCTCATCCACCGAGCATCCATGATTCTGTCAACCAATTAACACATCTTCAAGACCATTGCACAGCAAAATGGACGAATTACACGATTACGAAACAATCACGCTCGAAACCTTTTCAAAGTTGCTTAAATCATACAAGGAGCTCGTCCCAAGCAAGCTAGATGAACTGGAAGAACAGCGTCTCGAAATCATTCCGAAATCACTATCGGAAAGGACCGACGACGCACATTTAAAGAAGGCCGAAGTGCAAAAACTGGTAGATTGGAAACTGTATGTTGAAAGCGTTGAGGCATCCTCATCACGCAATATGGAAACTGACCTCTTCTCCAATCCTTCAGCGNGACATGGCACTTTCAGACCCTCTTTGCGCAAGCTCGTCGAGTCAAACACAGACGAGACAGTGGAGAACTGCACACGAGAAGCGTTCGAGACTTACGACAAGGACAACGATCAATGGGACAAGGCGGTGACGATGATGGCCAAGGGGCTTCGTGGCGTAGGGCCCGCAACAGCCTCGCTCCTCCTCAACACTTACGACGGCGACAAAGTGCCGTTCTTCTCGGATGAATTGTACCGTTGGGTCATGTTCTCCGAGGGCAAGGGCAACGGATGGGACCGAAAGATCAAGTATTCGGCAAAGGAATACCAAGAGTTGTACAGGAGAGTGGAGACGTTACGAGAAAGATTGGGCAAAGAGAGCGACAAGACGATCACGTCAGTTCAGGTGGAAATGGTAGCGTACGTACTAGGACGAAGACAGACCGGGGGAACGAAGAGAAAGGAGATTGATGAAGAAGAGAAAGAAGTAGTCGATGAAGAGGCAAGGAAAGACACGACTAAGAGGAAACGAAGAAGGGTATAGATGCTCTCCTACCGTGGTACAGCATTGAGTCTTGTGCTCTCGCAGGGTTCTAATCGCATCTCAAGGGGCTTCAAGTCGTGGTGAGCTGCTGATACATAACAGACATTGAGTGCCATAGGGCTGAGCACGCCATACAGACATTGCAGTAATTCTGGCTGCTTCAAGCCACGGTTCTCGCCGATATAATCTCTTAGGACAGAACATATCAAAAACTTTGAGAGAGCAGTTCTTGTGCACCTACAGTTGATCTATTGGCGATGTAGTCCAGATTACCCGAAGTAGTGGTGCCGTCTGAATGTGCAAAGCACGGCGGAAAAGATTGCCCGCTTGGTCAAAGATATTATTAAGCATCAGCGTGTGCTTTGAAAGCAGCAATAAGCCGAGGAAAGGCGGGGGTTCACGAAAGGTTCCCGCAACCTAATCTGGACTAGTACAGAGGGACGAGGAGCAGGGCAGAACAATACCAAGGTTACGAGTGAGATGGCTCGAAGGGCAACGAAGCAGCAGCAGGAACAATAGAGTCGTCGAGAAACAAGCGATAGGGACGAGCAAGAGTATTCGGAGTGAACTGATCACAAGCGGGACAGGGTGGAAGGACAAAGGGGATTGACACGACTATGATGCCCTCAAAGGAACAAAGCGGAGATGCGGCAGAGAGCGAATCGAGGGCTGTTTCGACGCACGTTCCCACTTCCGAGTGGGCTCGAAAGCCCCGGGCTCCCAACACTTGCAACTTCAGGACGTCGCACTCGAATTCGTCCGACTGTTTCCCTCCTGCCTTCGCTCGACATAACCACGCAACCACCCCACGACCCTCTACTACGCCCAGCGACCCTTCGACACCACTCACAAATCCCCGAACCGACCGCTTTTGATATTTGCAACGACTTCCAGCGCCGCCGCGCGCCTGCCGCCCATTTCCGCTCGTCATGTCGACCTACAGCGCCCGTCGCGCCNCCAATGTGTCGCAATACATCGCCAACCTGAACACGGTGCCCTCGGCCGCCGACCTGGCCGCCCAGCAGGAGCTCGGAACCTTTGACGATGACCTGGCCATGTTCACCAACACTCAATTCTTCGACTTTGACGGCGACATGCCCGCCTTCGCCGACATGCCTCAGCAGCAGTCCNCCGCCAACATGCAGCCCGACATGCACAAGCCCCTCGACTTTGGAAATGGTACGCTTCCCTTGGCACGTCAGCATGCCTTCCACAGCTAACCAAGCGTAGCCAACAACAACTTCCAGTTCCCCGACTTCTCCTTCCAGCAGTCGCGACCTCACACCCTGCCAACCTCGCCGCCCAACGGTCTCGCCATTGCTCCTTCACCCTCGGCCCGTCTGGACTTCCCTGCTCAGCATGCACCTCGCATGCCTCAGCCCCAACCCCAGGCCGCTTTCTCCCACCCATCTCCCCAAGTAGGAGACAAGCGCAAGTCGACCGTCGCCGCCATGTCGTCGCCTGCCGACCTCGAGGACGAGTCCCGCATGGCTGCCGAGGAGGACAAGCGTCGACGCAACACTGCCGCCAGTGCCCGTTTCCGTGTCAAGAAGAAGCAACGCGAGCAGGCTCTAGAGAAGACTGCCAAGGAAATGTCCGACAAGGTCCAGCTCCTCGAGGCTCGCGTCAACCAGCTCGAGATGGAGAACAAGTGGCTCAAGGGCCTTATTACCGAGAAGAACCTCACGGGTCCTAACGCCAAGTCAGAAACCACAGACGTTAAGGAGGCCGAGACAATAGTCGACTCGTCCAAGAAGNGGGTCGGGACTGACAACGAGGCGGAACAGGCTGTCGAAGCTTGATTACCATTACATCGACACGCCTCCGTCGGCCCCAAATCTAAAACGCCCTTTTGCTTTTCTGGCTTTCTTACACCATGTCTGATTTCTACTATAGTTGAGTGGATTATTTTTGGTCGAATTATATACATGCCAAGTGCTAAATGCATCTACCTGTTGACTTCTACAAGCGTGCCGACCGCTTTGGTCTCCTCGTTGGGCTCCATTTAGCGTAGGGGTGATCCGCTGTGGTAGGCACTAGATGGTCGACGTCCAAGCTGTTGATCAGACCAGGATGCACCTCTGAGAGGTTGTTGATGCCGACCAACTTCATGCTTGTCTCTAGCTCGTCTTTGAGGACTGTGGGTACCTGTCAGCGTCGTCTTTCCAAGAGGGTGTCTGATGTGGGCTTACTGTCAACCATATGCTCTACTCCCTCGGCTCCATAGTTGACCGAGTACAAGAATGGTCGTCCAAGACCAACTGCCTTTGCTCCCAGACAAAGACACTTCAAGATGTCAGTGCCTCGACGAATTCCGCCATCGACATAAACCTCCAGTCGTTCGAAGATCTCTGGACAACGGCGTTGGCACTCGAGCAGGATCATGATGGATGGTGGCGAAGTGTCCAAACTCCTGCCGCCGTGGTTGCTCAACACAATGCCATCGACACCAGCATCAACAGCCATCTTGGCATCCTCAGCACTCTGAATGCCCTTGAGCACAATCTTGCCATCCCAGCAACGACGCAGCCACTGCATGTCGTCCCAGCTCAAACTGCTGTCGATATAATTACCCATGATTCTGCCCAAACCGCCGCCTTTCTTGTCGTTGACAGCTTTGGCGCCCGACATGGGTGCATTTGTGCTGGGGTCTGCAGAGACTCTTTCGTCGGCCTCGCGCTTGCCTGGTACGGGTGCGTCGACTGTGACGAAGACGGCTGAGCAGCCGGCGGCGCGGACTCGCTTGAGGAGTTGTTCTGATTGCTTGCGGTCCTTGTTGACGTAGAGTTGGAAGAAGAAGGGTTGGCCTTTGGCTACTGATGAGACGACTTCGTCGATGGGGTATGAAGCATTGCTGGACACNCTGTGTTTTGGAATCAGTATACCTTGCTTCAATCTAGTCACCATCAATGAATATAGTAGACTTACACAATATGGCACATTCTCCTTGCTGAGACCCCTCGCAATCCCCTTCTCACCGTCCGGGTGCACGAGCTTGACCAACGCGGCCGGATGCACCATAAACGGCACACCAACATCATGACCAAGAATCGTCGTCGTAGTATCAATCTTGCTGACGTTCCTCAAGATACGGGGTCTAAACCAGATACGGCTGAAGAAACTCCTGTTCCTCTCATAGGTATAGCAATCCGTTGCCGCCGAACTGTAGAATGCCCATGTCTTTTTGGCCAGTGTGTTTTTTGCCACTTCTTCAAAGTCGTCGCAGTTGATGAGGGCACTCAATGGAGGCTTTTCGTAGGATGGAAATGTGGAAGGTGGGGGTTTCTGGAAGGTGTCGCCTCTGTTGACTCCTCCCTTGACGGTGGCATTGGTTTTTGCAGACATGATGTTTGGGGATGGAAATGAAGTGACAGCGATACAAAGGTACAGAGATAGATGACTACGTTTATATTCGAGTACACATTTCTGGAGAGAATTGCCGATGTCATCGGGTATTGATGATTCGCAGAGAAAGCCGACTGCCCCTCCTTGATGTTCTCGGGTCAAATCCTCCGAGATGTCGAGGTCATCGGCACATACTTCCGAGATGGATCATATGAGTAAATTGATCGATCTATGCAAGAAGTCTAATGGCATGTACATCTAACATCTATTTCTCACCAAGTCCAAACATCTTGATCGAGTTGTTCCATGCGGCTTCGCATACCTCCTCGACCGAGATGCCCTTGATGTTGGCAATAGCATAAGCCACGTTAGGGATGGTGCATGGTTCATTCCTGCCCTTGACCATGTTTTCGGTTGTCCATTTCTCTTTCTTGACGGCTTTGGGCAGCTGAGGTGCATCTTTGAGGTACTTGGCTGAAGCATGCGAAGGCCGCATCTCGCACCAAGGACCATCGGTCTCGATCTGTAGTCGTTCCAGTGGAACCTCTTTGACCACCTGGACGTTCTCTTCTGTCTTCAGACTGCACCCGTTGATGCCGACGTCAAAGCCCATGTCCACAATGTTCTTCATCTCCTCTAATGTTCCTGTGAAACTGTGTACGCATCCTCTCTTCGGCAGCTCGTCGAGTCTCTCTTTCAGGATTGCTTCGAAGTCTTCTGCTGCTGCACGCGAGTGTAAGAACAAGGGAAGCTGTACCTCGACGGCGATGTCGAGTTGCTTGCGAAAGTACTTGATCTGGGTGTCCTTGTCGGCGTAGTGTAGTCGATCGTAGTCCAGACCAAACTCGCCGTACGCTGCCGCGGTTCCAGCAGCCTTGGTCTTGAGGGCGAGGTCGCGGAGAGCAGATAGTAATGCATCGGGGCCTTGCTCGTACTTGTCGAAAGTCGTGGCGGAACAAGGATGGACTCCTACGGTAGCGTAGCAAAGACCAGCTNNGTCAATGGGTAAGCATTTGCTATCTGCGTCAAGTATCGATGTCAACACACGGTATTGCTCAGCCAAGTCAATGGCCTTCTGAGACTCTTCAAGGTCGGAGCCTGTGATCATGAGCTTCCGGCAGCCAGCCCCCAAAGCGCGCTGGACAATTTGTGGTAGGTCATCGTCGTGTGCCTTCTTGCCGTGGTAGACGCCTCTGAAAATGGGATCACTCAGGTTGATGCCAATCTGCNNAGCCACTCAGCATCCGTCACACAAAGTCGAATGCTTGCGCCTGCGAACCAACATCGGCAATCTCAGAGACACTTGACTCTTGTCTTCGTGTTGAACGGGCACGGCACTGAGGCCTGCTGTGAGCGGATCGTTCCCTGCTGTCGTCGACATGTCGGCGATCCTGTGTTTGTGGAGTCTTGGAATAGCAAAAGCTCTGCTGATGGTTATGGGTATCCTGGTCGTTCTCAAACACTGCATGCGAGCGGGTTGTGCTGGTCAATAAGTTGCCTGGGTTAAAAAATGTCAATAGCCGACGAGAGTGATGACGTCGGCTAAACTCGCCGTTTGGCACTCACTCTTCGGAGGGTTTGACCATTCTCATACACACGAACCGAAACAAGTAGGCCACAGTGCAAAGTGAGTACGAGTACGAGTCCAAATATCAAAATTAGAACCAGTGGTCTCAATCGTTTGTTTGATTGTCGAGACCGTGTGATATTCCCATTTCTTTGCGATGTGAAGTCGAATCACGATTTCGTGTCTACATGGCCGAGACGCGACAACGTGCAACTCTTTCTTTGATTCAAATCAACCAAAGATAAATTTCCTCGATATTTCGGAGTTGAGACTTATGGTCTCGCCAGAAAAATTCGAGCAATAGAACCTTTACACAATATCCTGTGCAGGGTTGACCACATTGCAGCTTCCCTTTTCTAACCTCGAGGAATATCAACACAAAAATGCCACCAATCCGGAAGCAGCAAGCAGAGCCAGCCTCTAGAGCTAATGTTCTTTACTTGTTGATAGCTTTTCGCATCTGCAATGCTCTTTTCATCCGCACCTTTNTTCAACCGGACGAATATTTTCAATCTCTGGAACCAGCCTGGGACATAGCTTTTGGACCTTCTAGTGGTGCATGGATAACTTGGGTAAGAGGAAGTCGATACTAGATCTGCGTAGAAAAGTTAACAATATCATTCAGGNAATGGCGAGAGCGTCTCAGGTCTTCGCTACACCCTTTCCTGTTTGCAGCAGTCTACCGCGTGGCAGCCTTAATCGCTGATTCTCTACATCTGGAAGCAGCAACTCGAGCCGAGCTGCTGCTAGCAGCCCCCAAATTACCTCAAGCGTGTTTCGCAGCAACCACTGACTACTTCATCTGGAAGTTGGCGACAAAAGCATACGGCAAAAACTCGAGAGCTTCTTCCGCTGCGGTAGGTCTCGCTTTCCTGTATGATGAACGTGAAACTAAACAGATATTTATTAGCNTCTGTTTGACTGTTGTCAGTCCATGGCAATGGTTTTGCTCGACAAGGACACTTTCAAACTCTCTGGAGACCACATTGACCACCATTGTTCTATGCCTTTGGCCTTTGCGTAATGACCCGAAGCAACCTGGTTCTAATGCTACAANNGGTAAGTTCAAGAGGACCATGCAAAAGTTTGATGGCTGATGCGAGTGTAGGCTTCGAATGGCTCTGGCATTGGCGGCTGTAGCCACAGTGCTGAGACCGACGAACGCGATCATCTGGATTGTCATGGCTGTATATACAGCAGCCCCAGGCAAAGACATCAATCTGACACGGGCACTCTGGACTCTCGCCGTGGAGTGCCGTGAGGCTGTGATTTCAGGGTACGTCTAGAAGTATTTTCCTGTTTCGATGTACTAACCGTAGCCTACAGCGNTTTCTATAGTCGGTGTCTCGCTTGCCTCGGATCGTCTCTACTATGGTGATTGGACCTTTCCGCCACTTCGCTTCATCCATTTCAACGTCGTACAGTCTCTCGCGGTATTCTACGGCAGGAATCGACCCGATTACTACCTGACCGAGGGACTTCCGTTACTCTTGACTACGACACTGCCGTTTGCTGCATGGGGGTGCTGGTCCGCTTTCACCAATAACACGAGACACGATTCAGACTGTCAGAAAGTCATTCGACCTTTGGCAATCTCGACCTTCGTTTTCGTGACGGTCATGAGCTTGATCGCTCATAAGGAAGTCAGATTTATCTATCCTCTTCTACCAGGACTCCTAGTGCTGGCAGCAGGTCCCTTTTCGCAATTCTTCTCACCGCTGCTGCTACCAAGAACCGCTATAAAGAAGATACTTCTGTTCCTCTTTATTACCGTCAATGTGACACTGGCATTCTACATCAGTCAAGTCCATCAGCGAGGTGTAATTGATGTGTTGCATCATCTCCGGCAACAACATGAACTCAATGCATCCTCAAACACTACAGTCATGTTTATGATGCCCTGTCACAGCACGCCCTGGAGAAGCCATCTGATACACCCCAGTATTGACGCACGGGCACTAACATGCGAACCACCACTTGATGTCCCCATCGAGGCGAGAGCTTCATACATGGATGAAGCAGATCATTTCTACGCAGATCCTCTTGTCTGGATGCGCGAGCACATGGAAAATTTGGAAGCCTTAGAGAAGAGACAGCACAATGTTGCAATCGACATTCATCAAGACAAGGCACAGTGGCCAGAGTATCTGGTCTTCTTTGAACAACTGGAACCTACCATGACTGAGTTCTTGGCCAAGACTGCATACAAACAGTGCTGGCAAGGCTTCAATACGCACTGGCATGATGATCGGAGGCGTCAGGGAGATGTGGTGGTGTGGAGTTTGAGTGAAAGTGTATAGTGTGCTTGAAAATGAATGGAAGTTCTCAAAGTACGATGTGAAATGCTTTTATGATTATTCATGTCGTCTTAACTAGGTACTCTCCTTACGAGAGGTTGATATCGTCTACGCGATAGTGGTCTGCAACGATCCTGTACAGATAACTGGGCGCGTGACCTCCANNCTGTAAAATAGTTAGCAACAGAACGACTCAGCAATGGAACATGAGACGGTGCACTTACAGATTGGTGATGTACAAGTCCACAAGATCGGCACCCACATAATCGTAGATGGGATTGTTGACATCAACGTTTTCAACCAGATCGCCTTGCTGGAAATCGATGACCTTGCCCGGGTCACCATACTCGACCAACTCCTCCATGTCAAAGGGATACACGGGGCTGAGCTTATAGACACCACTGACCACCACAACAGGGGTTTGATGCACCTTTGCAGCTTGCGCGATGGTAAGAGCACCAGTAGCTGCAATCAACCCACCATTGGCAAGGACAGTGTGCGGGGCGAGGATGACCTTGTTGACGCGCGACATAAGGGCAAAAACAGCAGAGTCTGGGATCATGATGACCTGAATACCCATAGAAATAAGCGGCTTCCATCGCTCATCAGCTTCCTCGTCATCATCGTCGCCCTTCTTGCCACCAGTCAAGATGGTAGCATGTGTATCCACATGATCATTAGGATAGGCTTCAGCATGGATCACAGTAAACTTTCGCTTGCGAGCCGCAGCGATAAGGAACTTTTGGACGGTCTGCGAAGAAGTGTGGGTGAGGATGATTTCGTTTGCGTGAATATGCTCGAGTGCGGACGCGGCGATTTGGTCGTCGACGATTTCGAGTTCGTCGACGAGCTCCTTAATCCCGTCGATGACTTCGGCTTTGACGTCCATTTTGGTTTGGCCTGCCTCAGGGATGCTGCCTAAACGCAGACCGCTCTTTGAGACTGGAGATTGGGCGCCTGTTGGCGGGGTTGCTGCTGGAGAAGGCTCGTCTGGATGTGAGAGAAGACCGAATAGCGAAGTAACCTGAGGACCAGTAGCGTAGGATGTGTGAGAAGTAAGAAGCGGGGGTCTATGAGCTCCCATGCTGTCGTTGAAGTCTGCCGATGCGAGACTTTCCTGCCTCAGGTTTAGTTCAGATGATGCAGCAGAGCCGTGATTTAGCGGGCTAAAGGCCGAGATGTGAGAGTTCAAGACTGGTCTATGCAATGAGTTGTTGTGATTCTGGTGAGGTTCATCGCTTTGGTCGGCCTCGCTGAAGGCACCAGCGTCCAGACCTGTCTCCTCGACTTCTCTGATCAGACCAAGAACACGGCGCACGATGTTACCGACTGCCATCTCGCGAGGCTGGGCAGCAATCAAGCGCTGACCAACCTTACGCACACGCTCGATCAGAGAGGCGGCATCTCTAGTCTTCGAAGCAGCAACAATACGAAGCAGCAGTTGAGTAGTCGCGATAGCACACGGCCTGGAATTTCTGATCTGGCGTCTCTTCAAAAGACTNTTAATATTGTCAGATGGAATGTTCCTTGAGATATATTGATGGCTAGAAACATACGAGATGAAATGTTCGATCGAAGTCTCGACGTCGGCATGTTTGAGAGACTTCAGAAAAGAGGACAAGCCAGGGGTGGCGGCCATGGTGGTTGACATGTTGGTTGTTCACCAGGTCGTCGTCGCGAGAGAATTTGCTTGATGGAATGAGTCGGATGACTCAGATGTTTGGGGGATCCTCTTCCGGTTTAGAGATTGTCAGGCGAGACACTTGATATTTATGTGTTGAAGCAGATGTGTCCAGTCGTAGTGACGGTCGAATCCAAGGGCTTTCCAAAGTTTGATATTCTATCTGAATCATAAAAAGAGTCGGGTGGGAGATGGCAGCGAGTGCCAAGACATGTGATCGGAGACGCTCGGACCATGAAGAACGAGAACGCGAGAAACGCGTCAGAACACGTCTGGCGGGGATGTTAATTGTTGGAGGGGTAAGGAGTAGTTTTGGTGGTATACATGCATTGGACATGGCGCTACCGCTGAAGCCAGGCCTGACGCCGGCCGAGGTGGCCTTCCTGTGCGAGATGGAGATGGTGACGGTGATACCTCGCCAGCGCCTCGAGTCGCTCGAGCTGCTCGGAGTAATTAACCCTCCTCTGCCACAAGACGTTGGACATATCGACTAACTCTCGAACCAGGGCCCTACCAAAGCCCTTACACCACCCTTTCCCACGCCGCTACCTCTATGGCTCGCCTTGCTACTCAAACGCCAGCGTCGCGCAAACATCCTGCCTCCACCCTGGCTCAACCCCGAAGCTCTCTCCGCCATCCTCGACATCGAGGTCGACAACGAAGACCTCTTCTCTCCACCACCTCCGCTTCCTGCAGCAAAGACTCTACCATCAGATCAATATCTGGACCAGACTGCTTTGGAAGTATCAGCTCCTTTCTTACCCTCGAGTACCTCAAACGCTGCACCGGATGCCTTACCTTACCACTGGCTGGAGCTGAGCCACATGCTCCTGTCGCATGCATCCGATGACTTTCAGGAGCCCGATACCGTCAGGCGTTTGCTGCGCGATCTCAAGGAGGTGCGCATGGCCAAGCTCAGAAAAGGTATAAGGGTGCTGGATGCTGGTGCAGGCGTACAAATGAACGGTGTGGGAGCTCTCGAGATTGCCGAATCGAGAACCTTTATCGCTGGTGTCGTTGACGGCCTGAGGTATCTCACTCCGTATCACAACATCCCAACAAGCCTGCTAACATGCATCACAGAAAGANTCGGTGCCTCGAGAGAACAGACGCGCAAGGAAAGAGACGCCGAAGATGCCGAGAACGGCTATGCTGCGAGCTCAATCGACGACCAAGACGATGACATGTTATGATAAGATACCACATATTGCATTTCTTTCTTCATCCTTCTTCGTTTGTAATTCTGGCTTTCTTGAGCCTGCATACCGCCCGGTCTATGGTTACTCTATTTGTTCAGTGAAATCATGTCGGGATTGGCGGTCGGAAATTTATCTTCCCGACTGGCTTCTCTTTCTGTTCGGCCGCCATACACTGCTGCCTGTTAACTATAATATAATGACAAAGATTCCCTCATCCAATGCGTCGTTGTAAACATGAAAATTGGTTATCGCAGGCCCAGCCCTCAATCCGAAAACTCCTCTATCGACGCCATCGCTTGCAAAGGAAATTAATAACAACAAAGCTTCTCAATTCGAGAAACCAGATCTAGTACCACAAAAAAGGTTAGTCGCTCTCATCATGACTGCGTATCTTCTTCATGGTGTTGTTACTGCCACTCCTCGACGACTTCTTAGAAAAGGCTGATGATCCGGTTCCTCGTCGTGGATTGTGTGGGAAGTATGATGTGCTGCTGACTCCAAGTCCTCGACCGCCACTAGGTGTCAGAGGCGCGGAGCGCCGACGCACCATTTGCAGACCGCCGTCATCGTCAGACGAGTCCGAGTACGAGGACTCACCGCTCTCGATGGCATTGTCACCCGAGTATCCGTCATCCTCAAGCACAGGAACACAGGGCGTGAACGGTGCCTCGTTGGGACCTAGAGGCTCGCTTTGCTCTGCTTTTTCTTGTGGTGCCTCCGAGTCGATGGTTGTCAGAGAGGGGATTGAGGGATTTGAGCATGACATTGGTGTGTTTGGAGGAAATCGATCTTCTGAAGAGCTCGGCGTCATGAGAGGTTGTGCGCCCGAAACATGGCTTGTTGGACTGGTAGGTTGGGACTCGTGCATGTACGCACTACGTCGGCGTGGGTCGGATCGGGATCCTCCAATTACTAACTCGTCTTCATCATCATCGTCATCATCATCATCGTCTTCATCACCATTGTCGTCGTTATAAAAGTCTAACTCATCATCTGGACTGGGAGGGCATGTCTCAGGAATCTCAGTTGTCGCTCGACTAGGGTGTATGCTTGTTTCGGCCGTGGATTCTCGTGTGCTGCGTCGAAGCCATTCGTCTTCGGCTCTGCGGAAATTATCTTCAGTTGATTCGTTAGGAAGTCGATCTGGATTGGTGGGGTCCCATGCCGAATCAAGCTTCAGACGTCGGCGTGCCTCGAAAGATGAGGTAGATACTTGCCGAGAGAGCGTTGTGCTTGGACGAATTGCCGTATCTCGGCGTTCCGGCGCCGCTCTTGATTGTGACCTTGAGACTATTGGACTCGAAGCACTGCTCACGATGTTTTTGAGCACGTCCGGAAGATCCAAGTGGCCTGACGCTTGTGTATTACTGACAGCGACACTTGGGTCTGCGTGTGCATCACTCGATTCGGAAGGTGCTCTACTAGCTGATCTCTCTAGTCCGTCTGTACTCCGACCTGCAGTACTGCGATCTCTCACGCTCTTCAATATGCGACGACCAGCACCGCTTAAAAGACCACCAATATTGGTGACGGTATCGAAGGACGAAGAAGCTAGCCCGGGAGAGGTGGGTGGCGATCCAGGAGTGATCTGTGGAAGAAGTGTGTCGGATGGCTTGATGGTTCGTACAGAGGTGGTGGTAGACATGATAGATCTTGATCTATCACCTTGGCTTGGGTAGTCAGTCGCTCCGGTCGGTGTGCTGAGACTCGAAAAGTAGGCGTCGCGATTCGGGCCTTGCTCCGGGCTGACAGTAACACTTTGCGCCAGAGGGTGTTCGGTCTCACGAGAAGCTTTCAGGGCAGAGAAAATACTCTCATCTCCTCGTAAGCTATTCCTTCGTCCCTCTTGGCTGATTGCACTGCTCGAAGAGCTAGCCGATAGAGGGTGTGATCCCGACATTGAGGGTGTTCTCGTTCGAGTCGAACTTGCGCGACCTAGGCCGCTCATTAAACCACCTATGGTCTTCTTCACTCCTGAACGAATCCTTTCGACCAACTTGACAGGGACGACAGCGTCTTGTAATTCTTCCTTAGAGACCTGAATTTTCTTGCCATGTGACTGTCTCGAAGGGTCTGTCTCATCAAGCCAAAGATTTTTGTTTGAGATGTCTTGAACCACCCACGGATGATGTCGAACTTCTTCTAAGGTAATACGTTTCGCCGGATCCTTCTGAAGTAGCTTACGGAACAAGTCGAGGAGTAAGTCGTCCAGTTCTTCATACGCAAGATCGTATTCTGACCTCTTGCCTGAGGCGGCAGGTGGGAAGTAGCGACCGTGAGAAGATGGACGAGATTTGGGACGTGGGTCAACTGGTCGCAGACGCCTCCTGGGCACGTAGATCTCTTCATCAGCAATGCGTCGCATGACGACGAATTCGTTGTCGACAAATGGTGTGCGACCGAAGAGCATACAAAACAGAGTGATACCAAGGGCCCAAACATCAATAGCAGGTCCTACTGGAGGAGTTTCACCACTCCCATCAGTGTAACACAGCTCAGGGGCATAGAAAGCTGCAGTACCAACGGTCTTTGCGAGCTCTTTCGCTTCGTCGAAGTCCTGCATGTCAGATTCTGAAAGGTTCTCAGGCACTTGGTCGTCATTGATTGGACGACCAAGATATGAAACACCGAAGTCCGAGATTTTTGTCCGATGGTCAGCTGTTTGCAAGAGATTGGGAGGCTTGATGTCCCTATGGATGATGCCCTGGTAGTGGAGATACTGTAATCCAAGAACAGTGTCCCTGAAGGCTACTCGAGCAGCATTCATAGACATGCAGGGTACGAATTGCAGATCGGGATGAAGGTCGCGGTCAAGAATCTGGGCTCCTGAAGCATCCCAGAACTTGCGTTCTTCTGGATGACGAAGGTCTTGAGCACCGAAAGAACGCACGCTACTGGCCAAACTTGGCGCACGGTCTGCTTCTTCATCTGCCTCTTCTTCTTCGTAGGAGCCGTACATGGTCCCTTCTAAAAGTTTGACTGGGCTGACTTCTTGCCAGAATGCTTGAGGATTGACGGGATTGACGGGGGTGCCGGGATCAGCTCCTTCGCTCTCACCAACAGAGAACTGTGCGAGTACAGCTGACAATTGACGACTATCAACTCCCACTTGATCCGCGCTCTTCTCGGTTGTCGATGTCGAGACCCTTGACGCATGGTCTGCATCCGAATCATCTTCGTCGGTGTCACCACCAAATTCGAAACTCCATGCTCCCGGTCCAGTACTTCCAGCCATTCTTTGTCGGCGTAGCTTTCTCAAAGTACGTCTCTGCTGTTTGAGACGCCGTGTTTTTGCCTCGTCGAGGATGGCACGGTCCTCAGCCTCTGCTTCTTCGTCGTCAAAGACACCGCGCGATTCTCTCTTGTAGCGGCGGCACTCCACTAAAGCAATCTCCTTGGGAGCACTCGCACGCCATACGATTTCGCCAAGCTCGACACGTTCTAACACGATGTAGACCTTCTTGCGAGCGGGATCGTCAATGACTTCCAACAGGGCAACGATGTTTGGGTGTCGAGCCTTTTTCAGAATGGCGACCTCTTTCTTAACTTTATCCTCAGCATTACCCAGTTTGCCGAGTCGACGCTTNTTGGAGTAGCGCTCCACAATCTTGATCGCAACATACTCGTTTGTGGCAAGATTGCGACCGAGTTTAACCTTGCCGTGTGTGCCTCTGCCGAGTTCGTCAATAATTTCATAGTTGTTGATCAGTTTTCTTCCGGATATAGGGTCAATATCAACATCTGCAATATGAGTCTCTTTAGGTGCTTGGCGGTGAGTAAAGTGGAGAAATGGGCTCGCGTAGAATCCGTGTTCATCAGGGCCCAGATTCGATTGCTCTGGAGGCACACTAGGTGTGAATAAGCCAGGTGTTACAGCTGGAGTGTTATCGGCAGTCCTAGCACCGGTTTTGTGCAAAGCGTTTATCGCTTGACGAAAGTCTCCTGGCTGGGCGGGATGATGGGTTTTGGTGCGCAGAGTTGGAGGGAGATGGGGTGGCGGGTATCGCTGTTGCTGCAGGGCAGAGAAGGCCTGATTAGGGTATTTAGGCCGCGTGTAGAGAGGAGAGGTTGCCGTGCTGGACGACTCGTGACCAGAATCAGAAGCCTTGACAGTGACGGTGCTCAAGTTGCTTTCAACGCTAGCAACCGAGGCATGGGAAAGGTCTCTCGTGACAGCAGGCCTGTTGGGAGTATCTGGATAGGTGATTGTCCGGCGGAGGTTAGGAGGGGTAGCGGTGACTGTGGGGGACAGAAGCGAGTTGCGATTCGAGGCAGGCTTCAGAGCAAAGTAATCGTCCTCGGAAGTGCGCTGGGGGTCATCACAAGCAGGCGAAGGGGTGACAGCGAGAGAGGGNAGTTCAGAGCGGGGAGTCTTATCCGAGTCTTCCTGATTGTTCGGGCTCGGCGTGTTCTGATCCATGACCTTGTATCGCACGCGCTTGGCCAGCGACTGGAGGTCTACGGCCGACGTGGCAGACGGGGAGCGACGAGCGAGCCAATATTGCGCGCTTGCTGGGCCAAAGTTGTCGGGTGAATCGCTGAAGACTGGGAATGCTACAACTGGCGAGGGCGGATCATGTCGGAGTCAGTCGTGAGAGCCAGGAAGGTGCTCATGCGAGATTTTGCTGCGGAGAAGCATATAGCGATGCGATGTATGCGCAGACTCGACGACGGGACAGAAGCTCTTAAGTGATCGTGTGCTGGTGCATCAGGCCATGGCAACAAAAGTTCGCAGAATTCAAGNNAAGGCATGCGGGAGGGCAGTTGGTGGTGGGCGCGCCTGCCCAAAATGACGATNNAGAAAGTGGTCCGAACTCAAGTCGCTTTTGGCCGGCCGTTGAGCCCGGCCTCTCTACCNNACCAGCCCAATAGTCCAATCGCCGACCTACCTTCGACAAGCCCCAAGAGCCCATGCACTCCAANTCTGAGCACCGTTCCACCCACAAGACATGTTCTTTGGCGTTGTTAGGACATCTCGGGCGCGGCGATCCGGTCCTCGTCTCAGATGTCGTNTCCCTCCGCTCATTCTCCAATCCTGTTTTGCGCGTAGCTGAACCCTCTACTTGCTCATGCCAAGCAAGCACGCGCTTGCTCTTTCCGAACCTGCAGGGCTTCTTCTTCGCGCTTGCCTTCGTGCTGCTGAGNCAGTACACAATCTCGCATCGCATTCGTCTCGGTACCATCTGCCAGGTACCGTTGAATTCATGCCGTGTGTCGCTTCAAGGCTACCATCTGATGACCCTCGGCTCAAGCTGGTGCTCTGTCCTTCTGTTCTCAACGAGAAGAGAAGGATCTCAATTATGGTATTTGGCTTTGACGGCAGCCCAACACCCACACCCCTCTGCGTTCATTGGCTTCTCGCTTGTGGCCGTGGACGAGAGGGCCGTACCTAACGCGGATCAATAATGCAACACCGTCGTAAGGTACCGCTGCTGCATATTGCAAGCTGCGGTTGAAGTTTTGGTTGGCCTTTTTTCTTCTGTCTTCCTCTCCCCTTTGTCGATCATCGCTGTCTCTACTCCCCATTGAAAAAGCTCATCCTGGCGGGTGGTAAGATCTCGATTTCGAGTACATGTTGGGAAATTGCCGGTGTATGGCTTGCAGAAAGCTCATGCTTTGCTCACTTAGAGTCACTCTGTCATCCTTAAGAGCATTTGTGGCTTTTCAAAGTCTACCCTGCCAAGTCAGTATATCTGTGCCCTTGATCACATTGTCAAAACTTGTGTATACTCCAACGGGCCAGAGAGCTTCTCCATATCAGGGAGGTTGGTCCTGCCCGTGACATGTACAAATGTACACCAGTACACTGGCGACTCTCCACATTTCGCAACCTACCTCGCATGTAGGAGTGGCTGCCAACACTCGCTTCAATCGCCTTTGCTTCGCGAATGTAGCGGCCTGAGATGCCCCTCGCCATATCCAGACAGACATCTCATTTCCGCACAATCACAGATGGTGTGCAGCCCGATATTCATCGAGCGCACGGGCTCCACAATAGTCCTCGGTGGCGGCTGGAGATGCAGGAAAATGCAATATATTAACCCACCCTCCATTCCCACACAGCGCGGGGTGAGTGCGGAGAAACACCTCCTCACCGTGTATAAGAGGCCGGTCACACTGTAGCTATAGAAAGGCACGATGTCTGTTAGAAGGGAATGGTGTCCAAATAGATAACATTATCTAAGGGTATCCCCGCGGTCACATCCATGCTTGAGGATTACTGTGTGAGTTTATAGGTTAGCTTGCAAGCTCGATATGTCACTGTGAGAGAGGGGTCTATCGTGAGATTGTGACAGTCTTTAGCACATAGGGAAGTTATGAAGCTGGCAGAACACTTTTTCAATAGATGTAAGGTAATTAGAAGTACATCACTGTTGATTTATGCAACAGTTGTTGAGCCGTAGAGGCTCGCTCGGTACGATCTGCCCGATACCTCATGACCCAATCTCCTCTGCTTAATGTGACTGGCTGCTAAGGATTCAATTCCTATGAAGGAACTGATCTCCAAGCCTCATCACATGCCGGGAGGTGGTGGAACCTGTGAGGAGTCAGTCTGATGCTTTGAAGTTGTTGGAGGATGCAGAACTTACAGAGTTGTAACCTCCTGAAGGAGGGGGTGGTGGTGCATCTCCACCAGGGGTGGTGGTGGTTGTGAATCGTCTGCCGGAGGAGGAGGTGCGGAGTTGTCGTACCCAGCAGCCTGTTCTGCACCAGGAACACCGCCCTGCTGCTGCTGATAGTACTGCCAGTACATTCTTGTGTAGGCTTCGTAGCCTCCGTACGCGGCGTATGGGTCCTGTCCATTCTGTTGGTAGTACTGGGCATAGGCCTGGGTATAGTCGGGTGTGGCCGCGGCGCCGGGGCTCATGGCTGTAGCGGCAGCTCCGGTATGAGCGGCAGAAGGCGAGGCAGCACCTCCGTAACCACCTCCATAACCTCCACCGTAGCCGCCGTCTCTACCACCATCTCTTCCACCTCCGTAACCACCTCCGTAGCTGCTGTTGCGATCGCGGTCTCCATAGCCACCACGGTGTCCACGGTCGCCATAGTCATCGCCACCACCACCACCTCCTCGACCACCACGAGGGCCACGCTCCTTGAACTGCTCGTATTGAGTACGAACGTTGGCCAAGAGGTCGAGACAGAGTTCTTTGGCACGCAAAACCTCATTGGGGTCAGGGCCNGCTGTATAAAGTCAGTCTTTGCATTGATACTGTTAGTACATGGAGACCTACGCAACGTGCAGATACATGGACTCGTCACTCTCGTGTCCAGTGTCGTGCTCCATGAAACCAGATCCACGGCCCTTAATTTGGACACGGCATCGGGTTTCCTGCTGGATGTGTTTGACATAGGAACCACCTTGGCCTACGACTTGAGCACGGAGGTTGAAACCAGGAATAGGCTCAAGATCCACAGGGATCTTCTCCTCGGGCCATTTGCGNCTGTGAAGTATGTTAAGACAAGCAGAAAGGGTTACGCTCAGACAACGACTTACACGGCCCATAGAATCTCTCTCGACCTGCTCTGGTTCTCTGCGACGGAAACGTCTCTCGTCTACGAGATTGGGTAGGTCCTGCTTCATTAGCTCGTCAATCTCGGCGACAGCCTTCTCAAGACCGTCTCTGGTGGTGCTGGTGACATGAAGGTATAGAGGAGGGTTCNNTAGACTCGGTTAGCCAGATGAAGCAGATGTCATGTGTTGCTGCAAACTTACGGCAGCGGTTGCCATGGCCTTGTCGGGGTAATAGCTTCCTCTCGTGGTAACATCTTTAGGACAAATAAGCCTTGTGAACAAATCGTCAGTGTGTAGGGATGGTGCATACCGGCGCCAGTCTTTTCTTTAATCTAGATGTCACACACTCGAGGTCAGCATTTGCAAAACGGGGGTGCCGAGAGGCTGTTGGGCTAGAAGTGAGCAATCTGAAGTATCAAATGGTCATGACCAAAACGAGCGACCTTTGGAGTNAGGGGCAGGAAGAGGAGCAGCTGCAACATCAGCGGGGCGCAACGGTGAAGATTTACCATTTTCTGAGTAGAGCCCTTGGTCAGGGTGTAGCGATTGCGTAGATCGTTGACCTCGATGTCGCGAATGAAGTCACCATCTTGGGTGTAGATGTCAGCATTCAAGCCGCCGGCGGCAGGAGACTGTGTTCCAGCAGCGGAAGGGCTTTCGGTCTGCGCATGACGAGTCAGCGCTGGGGCAGGATGNGATGTAGGGAGGGGTGTTTGTCGGCGTACAGAGCGGATTGGGGGNACGTCGACATGCTGGATGCCCTTGCGAGCCTGGATCTGTGCGTTGATCTTGGCAGCAGCAGCGGCGGCAGCTGCAGCAGGGTCTCTTGGAGCAGGACTGTTTGTGCCAGAGACGGGACTACGAGTACGTTGACGAGGCTCCGAGGTTCTGTTCTTGGGCGAGCGCGAGCGACGGTCGAAGCGGGAAGGGCGCGCATCAGACTCGGTCTGGTCGAAACGCGATCGTTTACGGGGCTCGTCCGACATGGCGAAAGGAGAGGCACGGAATGGTTTGCGACAAGGTAGCAATGTTTGGACGAGGCAGCGACAGCGAGTCTTTGGGAATATAAAAAGCACCAAATGCGCCAACGCGCGACTAACAAGAATTAACTCCGCGATTCCGCTGTGCGCACGGTCCACCCGCCCGCTCGAAGAGCGCGCCGAAGTCGCCGGTGAGCACGACGAGCTTCTCGATTTTATTATCTGCTGTGTACCACGACCGTCTTGAGTCTTGTTCTTGACGCACCTTCTTGCATCACGCCTGTCACGTCCGTCGTCCTCACAATGGCGTCCAAACGCTTCTGGACCGCCGTGTCGATCGACTCGCTGACTCCCCGCTGCCGTGCTCCCGCCCAGCGCTGCTTTGCCCAGTCAACAACCCGCAGCTCGTCGTCGTCGACCTCGGCCATCGCATACAAAGCCCTGCACCGCCGCACATCGCCCCTGCCTCAGGCTCCTACTGCTGCCAACGTCTCGCCTGCCGCTGCCGTCTCCAGCATTCTCTACGAGACCCCGCTCCCCTCCCAAGCTCCTCCCAAACGCCATGTGCTCAACTGTCTCGTCCAGAACGAGCCCGGTGTGCTCTCGCGTGTCTCTGGTATTCTCGCCGCTCGTGGCTTCAACATTGACTCGCTGGTTGTCTGTAACACCGAGGTTCCCGACCTGTCGCGCATGACCATTGTGCTCCAAGGTCAGGACGGTGTCATTGAGCAGGCCCGCCGTCAGCTCGAGGACTTGGTGCCAGTCTGGGCAGTCCTCGACTATACGTCCGCCCCTCTTGTTCAGCGCGAACTGCTTCTGGCCAAGGTTAGCATCCTCGGTCCCGAGTACTTCGAGGAGCTCCTCGCCCACCACCGGGAGATGACGGATGCCGAAGCTCAGGCTCAGGCTGCTGGCCTCACTCCTGAAGAGCTCGAGAACAACGCTCGCGCCCATCAAGAAGCTCTGAGACGAGACTTCCATCCCAGCCGTCTTGCTGCCAGTGAAGCGCTGAGACACAAACACAAGCATCTCGAGACCATCACCTATCTTACCCACCAATTCGGCGGCAAGGTCCTCGACATCTCAACTAACAACTGCATTGTCGAAGTTTCGGCCAAGCCTCACAGAATCGACTCGTTCATGAAGCTCATTGCGCCTTTCGGTATTCTCGAAAGTGCCAGAACAGGTAATTTACAGTCCTTCTCTAGTCTTGTTACTATGCTTACATTCAACCAGNGTCTCATGGCCCTGCCCAGATCGCCTCTTCACGGTCCCAGCGAAGAGATGGAGAAGGAGGCCGAAGATGTTGTCGATGCCAGTACCTTGCCTCCTGGTTAAAGCAATGTACAGATATCTTGCAGCTTACACAACCATCTTTGCTTTTGACCCATGTATGACTATACGAGATCTGCTTTCTATCAATCTTCCAGACTTGTCTTTTATCCAATCCTCATGTTTTACACGATCTTGCCCTTGTTCACGACAAAGCTTTCCAGTGCANNGCTGCTTGCGCGTTAGCATTGTGTTGAATTTTTCCAGAAGTGCTGTGACTTACAGATAGCGGCCCACAGACGATTCTCTGCTTCCTGGAAGACCAGACTCTTGGGGCTGTAGAACACTTCATCGCTGACCTCCTCAGGGTGTCGGGGTAAGCAGTGCATGAATTGCCAGCCCTCTTTGGCACCTCCTCGCTTGGCCAGCTCTGGCGTGATCTGGAAACCTTCGAATGCCTTCAGACGAGCAATCTTTTCTGCTTCTTGGCCCATGGAGATCCATGTATCCGTGACAAGAATGTCGGCGTTCTTAACAGCCTCTTCGGGAATAGTCGTCTCAACGAGCGAGCCAGCCTTAGGAGAGGTCTTTGCAGCGTCTTGAATGATCTGACGCATAGCAGCGGGGATTTCGTAGCCCTTGGGAGTAGCGACGGCAATGTCAACACCCAACTTCATAGCACCAATGGCCAGATCGAAAAGCACATTGTTTGCGTCACCAACCCATGCAATCTTCAAGCCTTCAAGTCCCAAACCTTGCACGTTGGCAGTCTGGGAAGAGGGGAAGGCTTCATGAATAGTCAAGAAGTCGGCGATGGTTTGCAGAGGGTGATACAAGTCACTCAGAGCATTGATGACAGGAACGGATGAGTGTTTGGCCAAGTTGGCAACATCATCGTGACCATTGACACGAGCGACAATGCACGACACCATGGATGAGATGACGACGGAGGTATCGTACAAGGACTCATTGACACCGAGTTGGATGTCTTCCTTGCCCAAGAACATGGGATGACCACCCATAAGTGCAACTGCACCTTCGGTAGAAACACGAGTGCGAGTAGAACGTTTGCTGAAGGTCAAGGCAACACATTTACCAAACAGAGACCCTTGAAGTGAAGCGGGAACCTGGCCAGATTTGACAGCTGCCTTATGAGAGGCTGCATTGCGGACTAGAGTGCTCAATTCAGCCGTAGTCAGGTCGGAGATGGACATAAGATGGCGAGGAGCAAAAGGAGAAGTTGTGGGTTGGGCTGGCGAGGTAGCATAGCTGCGGATGGGATTTGCCAGAGACTTGCGCAGGCTGCAGGCCCGGTGGGCAGCTCGTAGGATAGTCATTGTTGTTTGTGATAACAGTTTGGAGATTTTGGAGTCATCGCCGACCACGGCGGAGAAGAAGTAGGGCGGATAGCTATCGATAACATGGAAGCTTTGACTCGATGCGGAGACGGCGGATCGGCGCCTCGGCTCGCCTGCTTTGACGTTTCGACCGACTCCACGATTGCGTCTCTCTCCACTTCGTCCGCCTCTTGACTCTCTCTTTCCTCTACCTATCGTCCGTCAAGGCGATGTGCACATAGTTAGCCTTTGCTATACACCGGCGCATAGCGCTGACTCGAACAACAACCAACCATCGACTTCACCCACCAACTCAGCCATGCCAGAACCAAACTCACAACCATCTTCCCGGCCGCAATCGGCGCATTCCGTCCATTCATCATGGTCGCAGCAATCCACACCTCGCAATGCCAACGATGAGACCACGCCCCTGCTGGCCACCGACAACAATCACAATGTCGAAGCACAAGATCAAGCCGAGCCTTCTGCCGAGTCGACGTCTCAGTCACAGTCGCCTGCCGTTGCTCGCTTGCTACACCTCTTTCAACCCCAGTCCAAGAGTTCACCAAGATGGTCCAGCTTATTAGCCTTACTGCTTCTTTGCATTATTGCCGTGCTCATCATGGTCCTGGGCTTTNTGGCCCCGTCTAAGGTCCAAGAGTACGCTGTTGAAGCCGCCACATTCAAGCCTACCAGCTTATCTATACACTCTTTCACTTCCACGGGCGTTACCGCCAGGATACAAGGTGACTTTTCTATGTGCGCCGACAAAGTCAAAGATAAGTCTGTTCGCCGCTTTGGTCGCTTTGGTACCTGGATTGCCAGAAAGGTTGAGACTGGCCAGTCGTCTGTTCAGGTCACCCTTCCGGACTACAAGGACGCGCTTCTCGGAACTGCCGAGATACCATCGATTGTAGCCGACATCCGTAATGGTCACACTACCCATATCGACTTCCTGACAGAGTTGTCTCCTGGTAACACCGACGCCATAAGACGTCTTGCCAAAGACTTCATTGATGGAAAGCTACAAGAATTGCGCGTATCTGCCGAGGCTTCAGTCCCTATCAAATCAGGCCTCATCAACCTTGGGAGACAAACCGTATCCCGCGCTATGGCTTTTGCGAACGATAAAATACCTTCCTTGCCAGAGTATAAGATTCACAAGCTCAATTTCCGTGAAGTCGAACTACCTGACCTCCAGCGTGCTATGGTAGCCGACGTTGCCATTGAACTCGGTAATGACTATCCATTGGATTTTACGATTCCTCCTCTTGGCTTCGCCATTCTTGTCGACAACTGCCGGCCCTCGCAGCCTCTCATTCAGTTGGCCGATGCTACGACACCGAGCCTTTCTGTTAGACCGAAGGAAGACCTGAACGTCAGCGTCTCTGGTTTCGTAAGAAGGTTACCCCAGGCTTTCACCCAAGCCTGTCCCGGTTCACACGAGTCTCCTCTCGACAACTTGCTTGGCAGCTACATCCATGGGAATGATACTACTGTGTATGTTAGAGGCTCGGATTCTCCGTCCTTGGATACACCCCGATGGATCACAGATCTTATGTCGGATGTGACGGTGCCAGTTCCTTTCCCCGGACACACCTTTGGACATCTAATCAGGAACTTCACTATGGCCGATGTACACTTCGGATTACCTGATCCATTTGCTGAGCCCAATAGCCCGGAAGCACAACCCAGGATTTCTGCTGTCATCAAAGCACTGGTTGCTCTTCCGGAGGAGATGAACTTTAACATCAGTGTTGGCCGCGTGAGGGCAAACGCGGATGTGTTTTACCACGGCGCCAAACTGGGGTATCTCGATCTAAGCAAATGGCAAAACGCAAACTCGACTCGAATCGCTTCGGCCAAAGACGAGGGTCCCCTACTGGCAGTACAATCAGCAATCGAGAAGGCTCCTCTGACCGTGACAGACGACGATGTTTTTACCGATGTTTTGAACGCACTGCTATTTGGCGGCAAAGGAGTCGAATTGGGCATCAAGGCGGATGTTGATGTCGAGATGGAGACTGCGCTCGGTCAATTGGCTGTCAGGAAGATTCCTGCCGAAGGCTCTGTGCCTGTCAAACGTTCGTGATCGATTCCTGCGTCGTTCGAACGGTNNCAAGAGAATTATGTAGCTAATATGCGGCCCCTTGTAGCCATCAAACGAGGCGGTGTCGGCTCATTCACGCCAAAGATCGGCAATCTACAAATACTGGACACTGGCAAGACTTCGTTGACCCTCACCGCGTTGGTGAACTTCACCAATCCTACCGAGTACAGCGCAACAGTACCCTTTGTCGACATCAATATCCTGACCAACGGCACATTGCTTGGACACGCTACAGCCAAGGATGTGAGCGTTGTGCCCGGAGTCAATACCAATATTCTCGTTACAGCCATATGGGACCCTAGGACATTGGGTGGCGAAGAAGGCCACCGCGTTGGTGTCGAGTTCTTATCTCAATATATTTCTGGTTGGTGAATAAAACTGAATCTACCGCAACTATCTAACATTCGATAGNGCTTCAACACGACGTTAAGTTTGCGCACTCATGAGGGTACCATCCCAGCACAACCATCTCTTGGTCGTGCGTTGTCCAAGTTTGGGGTCGACCTACCGACACCGAATTTGAGAGGTGGTGGTGACAAGGATGAGAAGCATTTCATCCAAGATGCTACGGTTGGTCCAGGACTGGCAACACGAACAGCACATGGCTAACACGAATGTCAGATGCATCTTATCACAAGCACAGCAAACTTTGTGCTACTCTCGCCGTTGAAGACGTCGACGATCTACGTCACATATATCAATGCGACAGCTTTCCATAATGAAGATGCAGTCGGTCATATCGTTTATGATTTGCCATTTGCCGTACCTCCGGGATCTTCAACATCGCCACGTTTACCAGTTGACTTTGGGTCAATTGGATACGACGAGGTCAAAGGAGCATTAGGCGGAACGCTCAGAATGGCAGCGAAAGCGACGGTAGGAGTGCGATTAGGCAAGTGGGAAGAGCGGATATGGTACCAGGGAGAGGGCATAGGTGCCAAGATCAGATTGTGATAAGTCAAGATAGTAGTGGCATCCAAACATGCAAATATGAGAGTTGGTTCAGCACGATCGACACGGTATCCCCAGATTTGACATGTGATGCGGGGAGGATGGGGAGACTTCCTTCAGGGTGCTCAAACTGCTCGTTGTAACTTGATGTGAGTCGGCAAGGGGCCCAACAAGTAGTCTTACAGATTGATTTGAGTGCCTCAACGTAGTATGGAGGTAGGTAGGCCATGGTTGGACCAAGGCTGATCAGTCTTCTGACATGGCTTCACAGTCGCAAGCAGGCAATCGCAAGCGCACGTCGCGCCGGTCGCACACCAATCTCTCCAACCTAAGACTGGCCCCTCTTTCACGAGACATCAGTCCTGTAGACGGTCGGATCTCATCGTCTGCATGGCCACACACATCCTACATTGAAGGCAAATCGGCACCTACGACACCGAGCATCCTCGGCCGCAGCGCAAGTCGACGACAGCTGGGCGGTGCCGGTCTGAGTCGCAAACTGTCCATCCATGATGCTGAATATGATCCTGTCCGGACCACGTCTCTCGGTGTTCCTCTAAACGCTTTGCGTCCTGATGCAGGAGACCATCTCATGCCCAAAGCGAAGAGCGAGGCTGCCTTGAACCAGCGGCCCACTTGTGCCGGTCTGCCCAAGTTACGCACCCCTCTGCTCCATCCCAACTCTGCCTCTCTCGCCGTCAAGTCACATGACAGACAACATGACAACGATTGGTTCACTCGAGCGGGCTTGGCTACAACATCTATGCTACGCGAGTCTAAGGGACAATCATGGTTGACCTCGCGCCATTCGTCGACATCCTTGCAACTCATGCATGCCTCGGACGACGAAGAAGATGCCCTGGCTAGTAGAAGCGCTGCCTCTCTACAACGTCTCCACTTTGCCGATGATGAGTTCAGTCCGGAAACACCACGTGCCACCAGCAGATGGGGTAGTAGATTTGGCAGTCGTGCTGCCAGTGCTCGCAACAGTCGTCGTGGCAGTAGAGTTGATCTGGATTCGCCGCAACTACATCGCGATCCATCAGACTATTTTGGCAGTGTTGCTGCGGAGCCCGAGATGTTTGTTAGACCTGACTTTGTCGATCCGCGCGACCATTTTGATGACGAAGATCCCGAGCAAGAGGTTGCTAGGCTGGCTAGAGAGGCTTCATTCGGGTTCGGTCCGCTCATCGACCGTCTAGTTGGTTGGACATTGTTCGATGTTACGGAAGATAGAGAAGCCACTGATGTTGAGGCAGAGGCCGAAGATGAAACTCCGACTATACATGAGAGAGTGAAGCATACACCTGTGCGACCACCATCCCCTCCTAGACCAAAGCAAGTGGTCGCTAGCGCAGACCGGCAGGGTGATCCTGAAGAAGGTGGTTGGAAAGACGCGGCTTGGCTGCTTGGTGTTGCCTCGAAGGTCTTGCTCTGACGATTTGGCATGGTAATTCTGATTCAACGGCTGACGAAATGTACTAATAATATCTTCTCTACTATGTTCTTGAGACTGTTGCATCCTAGACCTCCGCGCCACCTTCAATCTCGACACCTTCGATCCGGCCTTCGAGAAACTCCTTTGCTATGCAACCGAATGTCATCCATTCAACACCTTTGTGCTTGTTGATGTAGGCAATGATNGCTAAGCACATTAGTGTCCCTACTTGATGATCAGTCGAGAGAACATACCGTTCGTGCATCTTGATGACCTGCGGCTTTCCACTGACTTGTGGATGGATTGACATGGGGAAGATGAAGCTGTCGTATTCTTCATATGCAAAATCGAATTGTTCGAGCCATAGTCTTTCCAGATCGTGAGTGCTGACGAATCCGTTNCTGCGACATGTCTTTGTCAGCTCTGCGCCATCAAAACCAGAGGCGAGGGAAAGGATGCTCTGACTTCCCGTGCCAGCTCTTCCCGGCATAGGTTGCAAAGGCGGCCCTGTGCAACTGATGTCAGTCTAGACCTCCTTCCATCCCTCTCATGAAGGCAGACAGAAACAATACCTACAATCATCCACATGCCAATTCGCCGGAATCTCCACAACCTTGCTCGGTCGAATCTTGGTCATCGGCTTCATCCAAGTCTCTGCTTCTTTNTTGATATCGGTCTCAACCCACTGATGACTTGCATTCGGTGCAAAGTATGGTTGCAAATCATGATGCATAAACGAATGATCATAGACAATGCCGAACTCTTCAAGTAAAGGGATGAGTTCTTTGCTGGTGTCCCAGGCTGGTGCTGTATAGCCTTGTGGTTTCTTGCCGGTGAATTTGGTCAGCACTTCTATGGATTTCTGGAGAATGTCTCTTTGCTGTGAGGTTGAGAGTTTGGAGATGTGTTCGTGGGTGTAGCCGTGCAGACCNGCTGGTTTTGTGTGTTTGGGTTAGTGCATTGTTCTTGAGGTGCCTGTTTTTACCTAAACATACATCTCATGCCCAGCATCTTTGACTTTGGTTAACTGTTTAGGAAATGATTCGATCGTATGAGCTGGTGTACTTGCAGTGTCGAAGTCAGCCAGTACTCCTTTAGAAGTCATGAGACTAACAAGAAANGTTGCCTTGATATCGTGTTTATCGAACAACTTGAGTAGTCGTTCCAGCCCAACAGTTGCTCCGAAAATGCCTCGAGTGACATTGGTGCTGTTCTGTGCACTGCCGTCTTGAGTGTTAATCCTAGACACTTGTAAGCAATCTCGAAACTACAAGAGAGGAAACGAAGACACTTACCAGCCCGCTACGGCGTCCACGTCGACTGCTGCGTGTCAGTTTGTTTTTGTCTAGATATATTGGATTGGTGTGCTTACCACCATAGCCGACTAAAACTCGCTTCTTACCCATTCTATTGATATTAGGTGTAGAAAGTGATTGTGCCCAAGTCGGCTCAGACAACTAACAGGAGAGAATCTATAGACTCTCCTCGAGTGATGTGGTACTATCAAGTCTATCTTCATCACGATGATACTACAATGAGGGGTCCAAAGAAGGATGCATCCCAAATAGGAAGGCCAACCCCCACTCTTATCCTCGGGCTATACTTCTTGCCCGAGACTACACTTTGACATCAATCAAAGAACACACCTAGATATTTGATACCAGGAATATCCAAGAAACACATAAGAAGAGATACAAAATGCTAGAAATCACTTGCAAAGGCTCGCCCTACGAAGTCAGTCTCTCCATCTCGAACCCTCTTATCACCCAAACATCAACAAACTAACCCCTCCATAGANTAGGCTACCGACACGGCACACTCGCCCGCCAACAAATTCAAGGCAGCATAACTNTTTACACCAACCTCTTCCTCAACACCACAAATCTCTCTTGGGCTGAAGTACAAACCACCGCCCTCGACTTCTTACCAGTAATCCGCCAAACATGGCCAGACTATCTAGAAGAAATGAGGGGAATAGCAGAAGGAGCGGGAAAATCGCTCGCTGAGATTATCGCACTAAATGTACGCACAGAGATCAATTTCGGCTTGTTTAGTGATGGGTGTACTGCTTTATCTTGGCTTCATGGTAACTCAAGCATATTGGCGCAAAATTGGGATGTGAGTAAAAGGACTACTCCTTCTTCTCAAGATCAAGAGACTGACAGCTGGATAGNNTGGATGACAGAACAAAAGCAAAACTTGCTGCTCCTTACTATCTACCAGCAAAACAAGCCAACCATCAAAATGGTCACAGAAGCAGGTCTGATTGGTAAAATCGGCTTCAACTCTGCAGGCGTGGGCGTCTGTCTCAATGCCATCAGAGCAAAAGGCATGGATAAAACACGAATGCCATGCCATCTAGGTCTTCGCTTGGTGCTAGAGAGCAACTCTTGCAAAGCAGCCGTCGATGCTCTGAAGAAACATGGTATAGCATCTTCATGCCATATGCTGATTGCAGACCCAAATGAAAGCGTGGGACTGGAGTGGAGCTATAAAGACCTGCAGGTTTTGGAGATGAATGATAAGAGTCAGGTCTTTCATTCGAACCACTATCTTTTGCCGCATCCGGGCGTCACAGATACGGTTTGGTTGGAAGACAGCAAGTTCAGGATTAAGCGCATCCAGGAGATCTGTGATGACTTGGGTAAATTGCCGACGATGACAAAGATTCAAGCGCTCTTCAAGGATGAGAAGAATTATCCATATGCCATTTGTCGAGCGGAGGAGGAAGGAAACCACTCTGGCACCGTGTTCAACATTGTCATGGACTTGAAGGCGAAAAAGGCTTCGGTGATATTAGGAAGACCGACAACGCCGGAAGAAGTCTATGAGATAGGCTTTTAGTATGTAGAGCTACTTACAGAAAATGCATCCTCGAAACAGATATGTAAAGTGACTGACAGCATCGATCATCTCATCGAAGCTAGTTGATAGCAAGAAAGCAACACGAACGAGAAGAGCAAGTAGATGGATAGCCATGATGTATGCAATAAGCGACGCTCAGTTGAGCTCGTCTTTCAGCCACGAGACCCACATGGTCTGGAACTCCTTGTGCTTGTTGATGCTGTCCTTGGCTTCCTGGTCGAGCTCCTTGTGCGCCTTGTCATTCTCTCTCTGAATCAGTCTGCGGAGACTGTCAACCTCGGGGTTTGTGTGAGACAATGGGCTGAAGAGACCAGTCATGTCCTCGAGACCAAATTGAGAGGGGAACTTTGGATCATGGAGAATTTGGGCACCAATTTCGGCAATCTCGCGGCGGTTATCCTCCCATTCCTCCCAGAGAGTCTCAAGATCGTTCTTCGTCTTCTCAAGTTTCTCTTTCAACCGTTTGACAGTAAGGCCGATAGGAATCTGTTGCCTACTGACAACATTGCCATTATCGTCTTTGAAATGGGCGGTGACAAGCTCATCGGTCAATGGCGTGCAGATGTCCTGAGCAGCTTCGATAGCTTGGGCGATACGGCCACTCAGAGCATCGGGTCCGAGAGTAGTTTTGTCAAGTTGTTGGACGAGGTCCTTGTAGGCGCGAGCAACCGTCTGTTCAGAGTCATCGGCTACATGGCTTCTGTAGCTGTTGAGAACCTCTNNGAGAAGCATTAGCAAACGGCGATAAACGGTAACTGAGCACGACATACCATTGGACTCGTCAGCGAGAGTGTATCTCTTCCTAGGCGGTGGAGACGACGAAGGTTCGCGGCGGCGACGGCTTTTGCCCGGGTCACTCCTCTTGCCTCTGGGTGATGGTTTGGCGCGCTTGTGGTTTCGATCGGATTTGGACTTGAAGATGGCGTTGGTCGTGATATATTTCTTTTCTTTCCTGTCTCTTTTTGCTTCCGAGACTTGTGCATGCTTCTTGTGTGCAGTAGAGGAAGTGTGACCGCGACGACTCGTAGCTGCGGTCATGATCGTGGGTGTTTGACTGATTTGGAGGTGCAAGAAGACTTTGGAAGACTAGTGTTGGTCAGATATAGGTGGGCCAGGCAGAAGTCACATGTCAGAGTCGCTCCTTCCCATTCGAAACTACAGCAAGTCACACTCGTCAAGTAAGGTTGGAAAGATCAAGGCAGTGAGCGATTTGCCGATTAGTGTACAAGATGATGATACAGACCCGAGAAAGTTGTTCTTATTTACATTGGCTCAAGCAATCTACTCTGCTGGGACCAAAACGTCCTTCTCCTCGAGCAGCTTGGCCAACGAGCCGTCTTGGTGCATCGACATGAGAATGTCAGTTCCACCAACAAACTCCTTGTCGACGTAGAGCTGAGGAATGGTAGGCCACTCGGAGTACTCCTTGATTCCTGTATCCTGCGCATCAGCACTTTGCCTATGGTATATGTGATAATCAAGGACCGACCTGCTNCTGAGCTCCTCATCCTCAAGAACGTTGAAGGCAGTGAACTTGGCCGGGTTGACGCCCTGCAGGCCGAGGATCTGGATGCTTGCTCTTGAGAAACCGCACTGGGGCATCTCGGGNGTTCCCTTCATGAACAGAACAACGGGGGCCGACTCGACAGCCTTGTCAATGGCTTGTCTGGTCTCTTGCGACAGCAGGCGTGTCTGCAGGGAAGCAAATCGTGACGAAAGCAGAGGGTTGTGGCGAGGGCGGAAGGCGGTGCGGAAGACCTACGGACGGCGTGTGAGTGTGAGAATGAATACTGTGAGCATGCGACATACCGCTGATGCTGCTGATCTGGCTGCCATTGTTTATGATGGTTGATGTGAATGATCAATGAGTTCAACTTCTTTGCGATAGACCTGCTGGAGTCTTGCGCGTTCCGCCAATGACGCCGAACCATTTCAAAGCAAGTCATCATGACTCGCGAAACACTTTCCGCTCAGCGACCATCAACTGTAAACGCAATCTTCTCCTCCCATCGACATGTCAAAGACACCAACATTACGTGCATCCGATAACCAGAATGACGGCCGTCCGCATGTCCTGCTAGCATGCACAGGCTCAGTCGCAACCATCAAGATACCCCTAATCATCGAAGCACTTTCGCATCATGACATTTCCATGCGCTTGATACTATCCTCCTCAGCCAGCCAATTTCTCCGCGGACAGTCTGCCGAACAGCCTTCTGTTGCATCACTTCTCGAGATTCCCAATCTTGAAGCTGTTTACACCGATGAGGATGAATGGTCACAGCCATGGACTCGTGGTGCAGACATTCTACACATCGAGCTGAGGCGGTGGGCCGATATAATGATAATAGCCCCTCTTTCCGCCAATTCCATGGCCAAGATGGTTGCTGGTATGGCTGATAGTCTGGTTATGTCTGTGGTACGTGCTTGGGACACGACTGCTATACTGGATGCTCAACGGACGAATCTACCCTCATCCCTTCGTACATCGACAGGGAAAAAGCCCTTGTTGGTTGCTCCTGCTATGAATACTGCCATGTGGGCGCATCCAGTTACTCACAAGCAAGCTGCTGTTTTGGAGCAGGAATGGGGCGTCGACGTTGGAGGCTGGATCAGACTCATTAGGCCTGTTGAGAAAGAACTAGCTTGTGGTGATACGGGAGGTGGCGCCATGCGTGAGTGGAAAGACATCGTTACCATCATCAGACAATACCTGGATGTTGAGGCTTCCAATTCAACAAGAAATCCAACGGCATGATACCAAATCACAAGCCATAGACCAAACAAGAGAGCGTGAAGTTTTTACTTTTTGGATTGGATCATTTCTTCTATCCTTCGCCTCTACGGAATGCAATGCCGGTCTCGATGCCGCTAACCCTCACCATCACTGCCGTGACTCTGATTTCCAGTAAGAAGAAAAAGACAGCCATCATCATAACAACTCAACTCCAGCTTTTAGTAGATTGAGAGGAACCCCTTTTGCGCTAGTATTGAACAAGAAAGAGTTAAAGTAAACATGAAAGGGTGCGGTGTGAGAATAAACTAAGACGTCGTGGGTATAAACGTTTAGGCCTCGGTGGCGGGGCGGTTCTGTTGACGGCGGTCTTGGTTGTTGTTGTTGTTGTTGTTGCCGCGTTTTTGGTTTTGGTTGCCCTTCTGGCCGGACTCTTGGGTGGTGCTGGCCTCGGTGCCCATGGTGAGAGCAGCGGTTGCGAGGCGGTTTGACAGGTCGATTTGGGTGCGGATGGTGTTGGCGAGGTAGGAGACAAGGAGAACATCTTGGATGTGGTTGTTGCTGTAATGAGACAATTAGTAAAGGAAGGACAGAACATAGATAGTAGAACAACATACAAGNTCGCGCTCAATGTCCTGAGGGTCGACCTTGGGAGCCAGAGACAGAGTGTTCATAAGGAATTGACCCAGAGCAGAGCTGGGCTCGGCCTCCTCGTCCAGAACGTTGCTCACGTAGTTGGAGACACGCTCAATCATCTCGAGAACCTGCTCGATGGCACGCTCCAGCGACTCAATGTCGGTCTGCAGCATCTGCGAACGGTCCTCTCTGTCCTTTGCTCCCGCAACCAGCTCGAGACCGCTGCGCTCAGCCTCGCCATACTTGATCTCGTGGGGAACGGGGATGAACAGGCAGCTGTCGGCGGCGCGCTCTGCAGTGACACCGACGGGGGCGGAGATGTATGTCTTGGCCTCAATGTCCTTTCCGGGCACGGTGGAGACGGTCAAGTGGATGGCGGGGTGGGGCCAAGTGCCGTCGCCTTGCTGGCCGTAGAAGTTCTGGATGAGGGCGGAGAAGGTGTTGAGGTCGGAAGAGGTGGCGTACCAGCCGAGGAGGACCTCCTTGGGGTTTGCGCGAAGGTGCAGCTGCAGCATCTGCTTCTGGTAGTCCATGTCGACCTCGACCTGCTCCTGGGTCTCGGTGTGGGGAACGGCGTAGCAGTTGCGGATCTCGACTTCTGTGCCATCTTCAGAGCGGACACCAAGAAGAGTGCCGATAACGCGCTCCTGGTCCTGGGGTCTGCGGAGCGAGTGGTCGAGGATTGCGAAAATGGCCTGGGGCTGGACACTGACGTTCAGAGGAGCGGTCGAGGGCTGGGTGCCGATCTGGACAGGACCCAGAGGGCGGGCGAGGTGGAGGAACGAGTCTTGGGCCATGATTGCGTTGGCGATATGAGCTTGCCGTCGTCTAACTCGAGCACCCTGTCGTTGTGGGAGGGAAAAGTTCAGGCTTGCCTTTTCGGCCACGCACCGAGATTCTACCGTGACCAGGTCGCTCAGTGACGGCGATCGGACTTAAGAAACAAGCGCTCGACTTTTTTGTTCTTTGCAAAATTGAAATTATTCACAACTCACAATGGCGCCTTTCAGAGGAAGAGGAGGCTCACGAGGTGGCCCACGGGGCGGTTCAAGAGGAGGAAGTAGAGGTGGGAGCTTTGGAGGCCGCGGTGGCAGCAGTTTTGGTGGTCGCGGTGGAGGATCAAGAGGAGGAGGAAGAGGAGGATTTGATCGCGGCAGTAGTCGAGGTGGTGGCCGGGGAGGAAGAGGAAGGGGTGGAAGAGGAGGCAACAGATTCGGAAGAACCGAGTTCCGCACAAGCAGAGTCGACGAACCAGAAGATCAACCTTTCCCCGAGAGCGGCGATGAGAGCGAACCCGACGACGAATCTATGGACGACCAAGACGATCAATCTGTAGGAAGCGGCGATGAAGATGCTCCTGCCTCCAAAGTCCGCGCATACAACGCCCTTCTCCAATCCTTCCAGCAAGAGTCAGACGAGCCTCGTCGCAAGCGCAGAAAGATTGAAGAAACCCCCAAGGATGACGAGAGCGACGAGGGAGAGGATGCTGCTTCAGAAGATGCCTCGGATGTTTCAGGAAGTCAAGATAGAGTCCAAGACGAGGAACAAACACAAGAAGATAGACACAGCGACGCCGAAATCGAGCAGGACGAGGTCGACGACGACGAAGATGAGGATCCAACAGACCCCTTTGACCAACACTTTGCCAACCCGGAAGCCAACGACCTTACTCAACGTCTCAAAGCAGTCACAGACAACCAGTGGCGCTCGGAAAAACTCAAGGTCATGAAGGACGGCAGTCTGACCATCTCTCTTCCCGAATCTGCTCCTGCTTCGTCACGTAAACCACTCAAATCTGTCTCGCAACTCAATCTCAAGCAACGCATCGCAGAGCCTGCGGCAAAGCACATTGGTACTTTCAGCGAGCTGGGACAAGCGATTGCACCTTCAATCTACGCCTACCAGGATGTGCTGTGCGGCGCCAGAACCGTCGAAAACGCCTCCGAGCTTAGACACGTGGCTGCTTTACATGCTCTCAATCATGTCTACAAGGGCCGCGATCGCGTACTTAAGAACAACTCTCGTCTGGCAGCTGCANGGGCAGACGCTGATCTCGAACTACGTGATCAAGGCTTCACCCGCCCCAAGGTTCTTGTCTTGCTGGAGACCCGCAGTGCGGCTGCAAAGTACATTGATGCTCTGATTTCCCTCTGCGAGCCCGAACAACAAGAAAACAAGAAGCGCTTTGAAGACGGTTTCGTACTGGACGAATTGAAGTTTGGCGGCGAAGGAGACTCACATCCTACAGACTTCCTCGAACTTTTCGAGGGCAACGACGACAACGACTTTCGCCTAGGCATCAAGTTCACCCGCAAGACTGTGAAGTTCTTTTCGCAGTTTTATGCTTCGGACATTATTCTTGCGTCACCTCTTGGTCTACGCCGTATCATCGAGCACACAGATCCCAAGAAAGCCGACAGCGATTATCTCTCCTCGATCGAGATTTGCATTGTAGACCAAGCAGATGCCATGTTGATGCAAAACTGGGACCATGTAGACTTCGTCTTCCAACACCTCAACCTCCAACCTAAAGATGCACACGGCTGCGACTTCAGTCGCGTACGAAACTACTATCTCGACGGCCAAGCCAAGCATTTGCGTCAAACCATTATTTTCTCAGCATATGTGGCTCCCGAGCTCAATCGCCTCTACAACGCCCACATGCTCAACATTGCTGGAAAGGCAAAACTCACACCTTTCTACCCAGGCGTAATCGGCAACATCGATCTCGAAGGCATGAAACAGACCTTCTCCCGCTATGACTCGGCATCACCTCCCACCGACCCAGATGCTCGCTTCAAATACTTCAACACAGCCGTTCTCCCCTCCCTTCTCCGTGTGCCGAAACCATCAGATGGTGGTCCTGGTATCCTTCTCTTCATCCCCTCATACCTCGATTTTGTGCGAGTGAGGAACTACTTTGCCAACTCGAACGAGACGCAACACATTTCCTTTGGCGCCATCAGCGAATACACACCCGTGCCCGACCAACGACGCGCACGCAGTCATTTCCTCACTGGCCGCCACAGTGTCCTTCTCTACACTGGCCGTGCACACCATTTCCACAGACTAAGACTGAAGGGTGTGCGAAGAGTGGTCTTTNACGCTCTGCCCGAAAACCCAATCTTCTATACCGAAGTCGCGAGAGGCTTCTTGGGAACTATGGTTGCAGAAGGTAAATTAGATCCCACTGAGGCTGGTGTTAGGACTATCTTTTCGAAATGGGATGGGTTGAAGTTGGAGCGTGTTGTAGGAACCAAACGCATTGGTGCTATGTTGAGGGACAAGGGCGGAGACACCTTTGATTTTGTTTGATCAGGTCATTGTACTATACCACACATTCGCGATATCCTAGAATTGCCTCACGTTGTGTTATTTCTCCGTCGTATCTTCTGTGCTTGCATGTTCGTACTTGCCTCTGACTTCTGCAAGACCCTTCCCCAACGAAGAGATGTCCTTTATACATATTCACACCGACCTGCCCCTCTGGAACCGTGGAATGATAAGTCGCCCCGTAGATCACAAGGAAGATCGCAAGATTGGTAAGACAAATCGCCACACTACTATGGTGCGCACTCGATCCAAAAATTTCTCGTGCCTTTCAGCAATCCTCTATACTTAAACGAGTTTGTGACAAAGTCCAACAAAGTAAGCAACAACCCGAGTCTTTGACCCGAAATTTCCCTTCTTTCCTACTGCACATGATGTCTCGTGCATCTCATCCCTAGCCTGAATAGCCCAATGGCTAGTCCGAGCGTGTTAAGAAGAATCATGTCGATGATAACCCGGTCTTCGAACATGTATGCGGTGGGCCTTATTCTCTCACAGCTCGCTGTAACCATTGTTCGATGCTCTTCTGTCTGCTTACCAGGCTTGGACTTGAGTTGATGTGGTGTTGGACTGAGCGGTTGTATAGTGGACAAACTGAGCAATCTGTGGTGGTTTTGTAAGGCCTTATGTAATCTTGAATCGATCTTTCTGTATCTGCTTTTCCTCTCATAGATCAAACAATCTCAAAGCCATCTTTTCATGTCAAAACAAGCAAGAAATCATGTTGTACAGCTTGGGAAAGCCGTCTCATGCTTGCAAGAGTACTCTACCTTTGTAAGAGAGAAAGAACAACAATGTACCGCTAGATGCGAAGATCGAGCCAAGGACCTTTGGGAGCTTTCATCGCAAAGGACAAGTGGTTTGCCGATAGGGCCCACTCGACTCATTGCTAGTGGCAAGTGAGGTTGGCGGACTTGCAAAGGTCGGTGTAGAGTCAAGTATAGGGAAGGGGCGAGTGGTGCGGCAGAGGGTGGCTGTGGAGGGAAGTTTTCTTTTCCTTTTGTATGTACAGGAGATTATTCTTGCTTATCTACAAGTCTGGGTCATGCCATACACTCATTGCATGCACGCCATTGACAAGCTCATTCGTGCTGTCAGCAGCAGCCTTGTCATCCTCACTCTGTGGATTTGACTCTTCTNNTTGCCCTTGAGTTATCTCTGGTTGTTCTTCTTGCTTGTCTGCATGCACCTCTTGTGAAACCTTGCTAGAACCTTGCCAAACACTGCGGTCCACTGCACCAAGATTGACTTTGCCGAGATGTCGTTTCGTCACCTCATCAGCCTCAAACCCCTCATCTCTCATACGTCTAAACGTCTCGACCGCCTCGTTAGCTTTGCCGAGCCTTGCATAGCCACCCAGCAAAGAGTTCCAAGTGACTTCGTTGGGCGTCTGTTTGCGCTCTCGCATGTACTTGAGCACCTGTTCTGCAAGCTCCATTTTACCATGCTTGGCAAATGCGTGCAGGAAAATTGACCACGAGCGCACAGTAGGTTTCTTCTGCGATCGCGCGTGGGTGAAGGGTGTCTGCATGTCGCGGATGACTTCGGCGGCATAAGCGAGTCCGGAGGAGTCTTGGGCAAAGGCGAGTAAGAAGGCGTTGGAGGTGTGGTCGTGTTGGGCCAAGAAGACATAGGGGCTTATGTTTTGCTCGGCGAGATTGCGCCATCGTCGGTACAAGTCATGTATGTGGTCCATATTTCTGCTCTGTGTTTGGACGGTATTTCGGAGGTATGCTCCGATCATGATGCCCATGACGGGTAAAGTCGGCTTCTTCCTTTTCAAAGACTTGTTCGCGTATATCTGGGGCAGGATTCCAAGGTTGATGAGATCGGATGTGTCGAAGAGCTGCGTGTAGGCCTCGGAGACTGTCGAAAAAGCATTCTCGGGATCGATCTGGAAGTGGTGTAGGTATAAACAGTGTATGATTTCGGTCGCCACGACATAGAGATTCCGTACTTCGACATCAGCGATGGCTTGACGGATGGTGGTGTTGAGAGTTTCCGAGTCTTCGATTACAGTCTTGCAGCCCTTGAGCAGAATAGCATGGGTATACTCATCGGCCTCGAGGTTGTTGTCGACAAGTGAGTGGTAGATACTGAAANNGGCCGTCTTGAGGTCACCGGCTTCGACGGCGTTGAGCATCACAATGTTGCACAGCTGGACGTTGAGCTTGACGCCAATGTCGGACAGATTCTGAACCAAACGAAGACTGACACGTAGACCGTCAGGTTGATCGGCAGCCTTTCGGAGAATGGTGGCACAGCAACTTTCAAACTGCTTAGAACTGACGTCTGCTCCGTCCGACACTGCATCAAGCAGGGTGTCCAACGCCTGATCAAATCGTCCATGATGGGCTAGATAAGTAGTAAAGTGTAGACGGGTGTTCCAATGCAAGAGTGTTCCGCTAATAGTGATATGTTCAAANAGTTTCAGTACCTGGTCCTGAGAGCAGAATTGCAGAAACTTGCGGAAGGTATTGCCGCTAACCTGGAGTGGAGAGGTGCCCGGGCGCTCCATAATCACACAAGCAACATGCACCAGATGCTTGCGGGTATGGTCAGGNAGAGAATTCTTGTGGTAATGGCCAACAATGTAACTCAGAGCATCGGCAACGTAGGCAGCGGGCATGTATGGGGAGACGTGGGTGATTTCCAGCAGGCGAAGAGTGTCGTCGACAGAGTTGGCCAGTGTCCAGAGCAAAGCATGCATCCATTTCCTCCGCCACTGGTCACCCAGCAATGTCGCTAGCTCTTCCTGATTCTTGAACTCTTTGGCATTGAGTATCTGAGTAGCCCATTTTTGAGAACGAAAGTTGAGGTTCGGCGTCGTCTTGGGTGTAAAGTTATGGGATAGACGAGTATCATGGCGGGCGTTCAGTTTGGCAAAATGATGGTTCCAGTATAGAGAGTGGCCGTCGGCANNGAAGACCAGTTCTTCTGCCTTGTCGTCGACGGATTGATCTCAGGTCCTGCGCCTCACGGGTCTGCCTAAGGGNGCATATTTTATCCTTGTGCTAGAGGGCCGCTTGGCGGCAGTCCAGCGAGTCTTGACAATGGCCTGTGAAGTAGACCAGTGCTGGAAGAAGGCCTTTTGAACATCGGCACGGCTTAATTTGCGCTTGTTTTCTTCAGGAGTTCCTGTTGTCTTCTTCTCATCCTTGTCATTCTTCTCGTGCTCTGGATCATCATGCTGGCCCTCTTCTTCTTCTAGCGGAGCGATGGCGCTCTCGTACCATTGCTGTACGAGGAGACTACGAGCGCTCTCGTACTTTGGGCGGGTCGAACGGGACTGCCTTGCATGTTCGCAGGAGGTGGTCGAGAAAGACTTCCTTTGGGAGTGCGAGGGTGGTGAGGACTGCGGCGGTGACCTCGGCCAAGGCTGAAAGACTCTCGGGGCGAGGAAGGGCAGGACAAGTTGTTCAGCTTCGGCCACAAGCTTGACGTGTCGGGACGCGCATCGTGGCATAGGCGGGCATGGACAGGGCGGAGCGAGTGGTGAATACAAGAAACTTGGACACTCCCGTCTCCACGACTTTCTGGCCCATCCCCGACTTTCTCATCAGCCTGTTTGTTCTGTTTGCTCCTCCACCACCTTGAAGCTACCAACTTTGCGACACGTCCATCTACGCCAACACTACCATCCGTCTCTGTTACTTTCCCAAGGAGTTCTCTTCAGACCAAGCCATCATGTCCGGAAATCTATCCAGCGCCGCCGAGGACCGCAAAGCCCGCCTGGCCGCCCTCAAGTCTCTCAAGCGCAAGCAACCAGAAGAATCCACAGAAACCGACGACAACATCCAAACAGAACCAGACTTCACTCAGGACGTCTCCTCCATCATCCTCTCAGGCCGCAATTACGACGCTACAACACGCGCCCCAAAACTCGGTTTCGAGAACGATCCCTCAGCACAAGAAAACACCCTAGAGAGAAAAGCACAAGAGCTGGCAGAAGCCACANAAAAGCAAGCAGCCCAGGAAGAACAACAAGACAAACCTTTGGATCTGTTCAAGCTGCAGCCCAAANAACCCAATTGGGATCTAAAGCGCGACTTGGACCGCAAGCTGGACATTTTGAACGTGCGCACCGACAATGCCATTGCGAAATTGGTCCGCCAGAGGATAGCCGCAACACAGGCTGAGAAGAGGAAAACCACTGGTGTGACAAACAACGAGGGCGAGGCTGTTGGTATGGAAGGTGCAGAGTTGCTCGAAGCTACTAACTTGAGAGAAAAGGAGGACGAAGAGGAGGCTAGGAGAGAAGACGAAGCTCAGGCTGACCTTTTGGATGGCAGCTGAGTCCTTGTCACTCACCAAGACAACTCAATATTCTCTCGCCTTGCCCCATGGCTTTTGTCTGGCGCCGCCTCTGTCGCAACCACTACATCATTTCTCGTTACTACAATTGCGCAAAGGAAACACTTCCTTGCAACGAGACACACACGACAAGACGTCCGGCTAGTGCACTGCTATCCTGTTTGGCAGTGGCCTATTTGATATACGATTGATAATCATTGGATTAATTACAGAAAAGAATCGAATCTTCCATCTTCAATCATGCACCTGGAATGTCCCGAATCCTCAAAAACTCCAACGAACGCGGTGGTGGTATCCTAAACGAAAGCACAGAGAGCAGTTCGCCCATAACAATAAGAAAGAAAGCAGTTTACAGAGAAGAAAAAGGCAAAATCGAAAAAGAAAATCGAAAATGTCAGAGAGAGAGAAGGATCGAAGTAGGCAAAAGGAGTAGAGTGCTCACTTAACCAAAGGCCCAGACGAGCAGGATACTGGCTGCTGTGACATCCATGACCAGGATTCCAATGACCAGTGTGGCTATCGGCCAACGAGGTGTCTGTCTACCAAACACGGCTCCCATACCTGACACGGCGAAGGCCAGACTCGAAGCCACGGCCAACACAACACCAGCATCAACTTCAGACGCTAGCTTTCTCTTGCCGGTGGTCACTAGTATGTAACCAATGCAGAGCAAAAGCACCGATGCGACCAAACATGTTGCTGCCAATTGAGAGACCCAATCAGATTGTTGATGGTGTGACTCGGGGTTGTATCCAGCCATCTGGTTCGTCCTTTGATTCAATGTTCCATAGGAGCGCTGCTGAGTACGCTTGGGGACATGCGCTTCTTCGTCTGATGAGCTGACTGATTCTTCTACCATGCCGCGCTCGTTGGCACCATCGTGTCCAAGCAGCGACTCTTGGTCAGTAGGCTTGTTCTTGGACCACAGACTGCGAATGCGACGCCATGTCTTGGTGGCTGACGAAACCTCGTTGGGGTCGATATACAAAACATACTCATCCTCCGAGTCAGACGGATTATCGTACTCGCTCCAGTATGTTTGCTTTGGTAAGGCACTGCCGGCCCTATCATAGGCAGACTTTCTCTTCTTGCGGAATGCACTAAGAGGAGGCGTCTCAAGCTGGTCGGGAATCTTGATCCTATGAGGTGATTGTTCCTCCACTGCAGTCAAATCACCACCGTTGTAGTCACCTACTGATCCAGTTGAGGGCGTCATTTGAGGTGTTGTGGACTGGGAACCATAACTGGAGTCGTGGTTGTATGCCCTACGTCTGCTTGCCAGTGTAGGCACTTTGCGAATGTCTTTTTGCATCAACGGTACCCAGAATGGAGGAACAACATTTTCGGGTTGGCAACAGTACCAAACTGAGTGGTACTCGAGCGAAAACCCACGAACACGCTCGACGAGATGACTCTGGTCCAGAACTTTGATAAGCATGCTGTTGTCGAACCCTTCTTGTCTTACACGAAGTACTGCAAAGGGAAATTCTGCACTCATGGCCTGAGAGAACGTGTCCCCTAGGGAATTTGCTAAAGACTCTGCTTTTCTCATGCGAATGTTCTTGTCCAGGGTGGCAAGAATGAATCCGCTCGAGTCTGTGGCCGTCTCAGCAAAGCGAGATCTGTTCGACGCGATAGTAGTGAGAGGTTTGATGGTGCTCTGCTGAGCAATCCAGGTGCGCATGTTCTCAGCGGCTCCACTATTCTTGTCTTGGGTGATAGAAGACTTCCGTAGCGATGTGGTTGAAGCGGGCTCAAGGACAGCGAAAACATTCTTGCGCTTGACCGAGACCTTCTGAATGTCCCGCTCATTGACCTTTGCAGTAACGATAGCGTCCTCCGTTTTGGTCCATCTCGCATGAACAGTTGCCTCCTGAAGACGGCTTCCTACAGTTTCCTCGCGCTTCTCGAACGTGGAAGAGCTCTGGTGCGCAATAAAGCTTTCGAGGTCGTCAGCAACAAGCACAGTGGTATCGGCTTCGACGGTAGAACTGTTTCTTCTACCCGATGAGGATGTGATGCTGTTTTGACGAGATAGTGTAGGAGAGATTGTTGCCGAAGGTAATGCGCGGGTCGGGAAGGACCGAGCGTGCTGCAGGATGAAAATCTGTAGCTCAACAATGTTATCAGGGTGTACCCAGTAGACGGCATTCTTGCCGCCACGGCCAAGTGGGGACGTGGAAAAGTAGGAATCAAACTCGACTGACGAGCTCGATTCAATCATAGATCGAATTTGTGTAGAGTTGTCTTGAACATCAGCGTCGACCGGGGACTTGCTGGGTGCTCCATTGATGCGCTCGTGGTATAACGTCCTCAATGCCGAAAGCGTGTCTTCGTATTCAGTATAGATAGGGTTCAGGTCGATGTTGGTAAAACTGGATGGATCGCCGATAATATGTGTGTTGAATTCGGTCTCGAGGTCTGTAGAGCCAGTCCATTTCTTGTGTTTCTTGAGGAGCTTGCGAAAGGCGGTTTGTTGAGCTTTTGAGAAGCGCGACAGGCATTGTAGTTCATCGCCGGCNCCTGCCATCCATGTCAGTGTTGGCCAGGCCCGCAAGGCGGTGGGTAAAACTCACTTGAGGATATCGGCCTCGAGACGGCCATATTTTTCGAGACGCCTCGCAGGGATGCGACCGTTGACGGCGGGTTTTGACGTGAGCAATGCGGTCTGCTTGCGAAGGTGGTCTGTTACTGTCAATTGACGCCGTCATGGTTGTGTTGAGGATAAGCACTCACCCAACCGCCTCTCAATCTCGCCCGTCTTGCTCCTCACAAACAAGGTGATTCTCTGATGCTGTTGCTGCAGGATGCCGTAGAGGTTGTCCTCGAGCTCTTTCCCCCTGACATCGCCGGCTCCGGGTATGGAAATGCTGTTGCCGTTCCCAGCGGTTGTGTTCTCCTTGATGTAGTGCTTCACGTCATCGTAGTCGACGTTNGTCTGGCTGGTCAGTGAGGTCGAGGTGCAATTGAGCGAGAGGTTCTTACGATGCGCCCATGCGGGNATGGAATCCTGGCGGAGAGCTGCGCCATACTTCATGATGATGATGGTGCTGAGCAAATCACAGCAGCGGAGCAAATGTCCGTGAGATTGTTAACCTTCGAAAGACTCAATGCGGAGTAAAGCAAGCAACGAGGGTCAATCACAAGGAAGGGCAACTGTCCAGGGCGAGGCGCAACGGGCGGGACAATTGATGGTTTTGAATACGGATGAATGCAGCAGAGAGCTTGGATCTGTTTGGAGTGCGAGGATTGCTTTTGGCAGGGTCTGGCAGCGATGATGCGAGCGACACCTCGCGACGAGACCATTGGCTCGCAAGCCATCAAACCGCTGCACTCGAACCTTCAACTTTCTTGATCCGCAGAACGGGGCGCCACGTTGATCCACAACGTCCCTTAGAGGCAACCAGGCACACGACCACTCCGTTGCCAGGTCTCCAATAGTAAGAATCCAGCACCATCCTTAACCACCATCGGTCAGAGATTTCTACTGTTGTTGCTCCACTGCCCGTCGTCCGTCTCGCACTTTGCAGACCCACCGGCTCGTGCTTAGGTTTGGGGCGTCGCCGAACCGACCGAGTATCTTCAACAGCCTGTTCGGACTACAATCCATGCAGAGTCAAAACGTCTGTTCTTGTTGAAGGACCCTTTTGTACTCGTGTTGTCCTTGTCTATGTAATCCTTCAAGCCTTACGCGGAATACAGCTTTGCTCCGCCATCTTACTGCATGCACCTGTATCCGTAGTCCGGGTAGACACATGATACAGTACAGTTATGCATGAATGATCAACCGGGACAGGGGCCTGCGCTTACTAGAGTCGTCGCCTTCAAATATAAATGGAGTACACGCAAGGTGACATTCTCTATATTGCACTTCGCGTCCTTGCGCTACAACTGCTCAGAGTCAGAAAAATGAAGGAACGGTTCAATTCATGACTGTGCTAGACACAAGCTCAACCATCATCCATGTCGAATTTTTTCATGTCACCCAAACCCTCGGGAGAGACGGGGCAAGTCCTGTCGGAGTCTCGAAGAAAGGTGGCTTGCCGCGTGCATGTGAAAGAATCGACCACGATCGTCGCAGCATCGCATGGCCTGCATGAATCCTTCAGCCGGCGACGAACAAAATTGCTGGTCCTTATCACGCAGGGTTATTCTTCCTATCAAAGAGGCGCAGACTGAGTGTTGCCAGCATACAAAAGGCTCATTGTATCCCCCCAATCCTAGGACTCCCCGCATAGTTCAAACCTCCAGAATCACAGACCCTTGCTTGTCTTTGCTTGTCCCTTCGGTTGACTCGGCTAAACCGCTGCGTGGAGCAGACCTGGGCCAAGCTGGGTTTGCTCCGACACATCCCCCATACCATTCGAGCAAAAGATGTGTCAGCTCAATTGAACCGGCTGTAACTGGAGCTTCATGGACACAACATGGCCCCAATGTTCTACGATGCTCGGCAGGATCACATACATCATGCTGGCATTTCGATCAGGCCTGAATCGATTCTGCTTCGAAACAAGGGTCAATCACAACGCAATTCAAAAAGATAACCCTGTTCTCATTCAACTAATCGAACAGCTTGCAGTCAGGTACACCGTATCAACAACTCATGACGGGTTCAGCTGCCTCGATCTCGGGGCAATTTCCGGAGGTCCCCATCTGCAGTGACATTCACAACTTCACATGGACTGCCGGCAACCAAACAGAAGACGTTCGAGGCGCACGTGCTAATTAGCAGCGATGGTATGTCGTGTGCCCACTTACCATGTATCAAGGGTCCCTCACCGGTGGCCCCACTGTAGACCGCCGGCTACCTCAAGTGCTTGTTTGATCTATAAGATAGGCGGGTGAATTGCGTAGTTCTTCATTGGTCTCGTTGCAATTAATGTGCTATGTAGCCAGGAAGGTCGCTAAACAATGAAAGGCCCCACCGGCTGGATCCCAAAGTGGAGGAGAGCACTTGTGCAGTTCAGACGAGAATGATGCCAGTGGGACGTGATTCGACATGGCTTCGTATATGCGCTAGGGCGTAGGGGACGGATGCTGCTCGTGCATTTCATCTCGAGTCCTCTGTTTTGCGGGCCGCTGCTGCTGCTGCTGCCAGCTGGAGTGGTCGATCGGCTAGGCCAGGGACGTGCTGCTTCTTGGAGCAAGGACTTTCAAATTTATCCTCTCCAGCATGTTAGAATAGTCTTGCTTTTGCGCTCGGTTGCTTGATGAAGATGACACTTCATCTATTCATGGACTGTGTTAAGGCGACTCTCTTGCTGAAAGGGCTCAGAGACCTAGGGCGTTCTCCACCAGGCACATCCTTCATCTCACGGTCTTGATCTCGGTATGTTTTGTAATCGGCCCGCTCTAGATCGCTATGCTGGCCCAACATTGGGTTGTTATTGGCATCGTCGGGTCTTCGAACAGGCGTAATACCGCGACCTTCCTTGAGGATGTTTCTGTCGGAAGCGGACCGCATCCGTCTTTCTGAATTTGCTGACCTGCCTCTTCTTCTTCCACGTTCAGAGGGGCTTCTCGAATTCCTGCGCATGCGGGTATTGCGGCCATGAGCTTCGTACGATTGTATGTGGTCTGGCGATGTAGTGGAGTTTGAAGGGCGCATGCGCTTGTCGCCAGCACCTCCTGTGGCCGATGCCTCTCTTTCTTGCCTTGCGTCATGTCTGTTTGCTGGTCTTTGAGGAGAAGGAGAGCGAGTGGAGATGGTCGAGACGGAAGCCGAAGAGAAGGATGCAGCAGAGCGTGAGCGCTTGCGCGAAGATCTGTGGTCGTCCATGTCGTCCAGTGAACGTTTGCGCGGCCTTTCTTGGGCGGGCTTATGGGTTGCGCTTGACTTNTCTACAGCAAGTCAGACGAGCACGACGGTACCAAGGCGATGTTTGACGTACTCTTGCTCAGTTGACGTAGGAGTTGGCGCAATGTTGGCCAGCTTCGGCTTCAGTTTGGGATTCAGAAGTTGTTGACTGCGACTGGGACGAGAGATGTATGGTCGTTCTTGAGCTTGAGCTTTGCATTCGTAGCTGTAATGACCNTGGGCGTGTGTCAGACATGACAGTGATAGATATGCGCCAAACGAGAGCATGCGCCTACCCTTGCTCAAACACTTCTGGCAGATTGTGTTTGCAGAGGCTCGATTGCTTGACGATGCGCCTCCGACAAATCCGGGCCTGCCGTAGCGATTCATACTGCGGAAATGGATGGATGCCTATCGATGCAAGCGTAGCAGGGTGTCAAAAGTGATGCGACAGACGCGAGACACGTGTTGTTGGTGGAGCGACGACGAGGAAACAAACGCATTCACGATTCACTGAGCGCATGGAAGAAGCCAAGACAGGGTCGCGGTCAGGGTCGCGCTTGCCAGTTTGGTTCGTTCCACTACCGCGCCTGCAGCTGTCCATTAATTTACTACTTTAGATGCTTCACATACGAGAAATCGCAGCGACAGAAGAAGATCAACGTATTTAGACATGTGTACAAGAGATCAACTCTCCGTATCACAAGAAAATTCACCACTTGCAAATGATCGCATGCATGTACATACTCTAGTTCTTCCACTCGCAGAAACGCAAGTGCTTGGCGATGGTGCATCTTGAAAAGCAAACGGGGCTTTCACCGGCCTTGGCTGGCGAGCGATTTGGTCTGTCGGGCTTGACGACGGCGCCCTTTCTAGCCTTCTTCACCGCATCACCTTCGCAACGAGCGACGACATCTCGATACTGCGCTCCCCGGCGCTGCTTTCGATCGGCCGCACTCACTGTGCTATCTGCGCGATTTCGACTGTCCGCAGCGGATCCCAAGGCCTCCGTCTTTGTCGTGTTCAGGAAAAAAAGCCGTGTCAAACAATCCTTCAACTCCATGTCGACCTACCACCATGCCAACATCCTTGCCTCTTCTCTTGACTATTTTCCTTGAGCCTCCGGTTTCCTGAGATTTACTGCACAAAACAACGCCCTCTTTTCCCTTCATCTTGTCCTTGGCACAAACGAAAGACAGCCCATCCGCGACCACTTCGCACCACTTCAATACTTCGACAGCGCTCGCACTACTTGGACAAAACATGGCTTCTCTTTCAACCGACCAACCTCCAGCGAGGCGGACTTTTGCCAACGCGCACCTTCCTGCTCAAGGCCTCGACCTTTCCTCTGCTGACCACCAACAGCTGGCTGCTTCAGCTAGCCCACAACCTTCTCAACATGACCACGCCAGCAACCAAATCAGTCAGACCCCTCTTGACGCCGTCATTTCTCCTGTTCTCTCGAGGGAACTTATACCTTCCCCCTCGCATGAGCCTCCCAAAGCACCTTCACTGGATGGCCTTGAGACGACGCCGGTTTTGACCATACAAATCCTGTCCGGTGCATCTGACGAAAGCACTACTCAGTTGTCATCATCGGATGACTCGGCCAAACCTCCTAGCCTCGATGGAAAAAGCGTGGCTTCTATCACCACGTTCGCCATGGATGAGAAAGAATCGCTGAGGCCAGATGATAGTGCCAGTGTCTTGGCCATCGAGGATGACGACACCTACTCGCCATCAGGATCCGCTGCTCTCGGCTCGCGACTGGGCTCAGAGACAGGCGCTCGTGCCTTCCGCGATCAGCTCTTGGAAATTACCTCCAGAGGTCCCGCGCTGCGTCAATCTGGACCTACGTCAAGACCTGACTCGACCACCAACGCACCTAATGGAACGCTCTACGTGCCTCCCNCAATCGGCAGCTCTACAGCTCTTCCCGGTTACGTACAGCCACCCACCAATGTCGGTAGACCTGAAGATGTTCTGCCTGACGTGAAGCTCTTGGAAGCTCTGAACAATCCTAGAGACAGGATATGGGTGCTCAAGTTAGAGCAGGACATTATCGACTTCGTGAAGGATNCCCACGTACGTTCTCCCAAATTCACATGGCTTTCATTCAGCTGACCTCGCTACAGTGAACATTCTCTGGACTTGCCTCAATGCAACTCTTTCTACAGAATGCTGGCTCACAAGTTGGCCGATTACTACATCCTGGGTCATGCCGTTGACGGTTCCATTTCGGCCGTTCGTCTGTACAAGACTCCAAACTGTAGAATTGCACCGCCTTTGACCGCCATTGCAACACCGCCAACAAGTACCAGCACACCACCTCCCGCCGCGCCTCAGATGAAGATTCTGCGCCGTGGCGGTGACGCACCGCTAAATGGCCTCTCCAAGTCGAACTCTGATGGAGGGGACAGCGCCGACTCGGACAAAAACAAACCCTTGACTCGTGAGCAACGTGAGCAGAGGTACGAACTGGCTAGACTGCGTATTCTGGGCTCTGCAAAGCCGACAGAGGATGCACTCCTTGTTAAGGAGAAGGATGAGTCCCGTTCCAGCTCTGCTGCTGGAAAGAAGAAGCCCAAGAAGCAGCGCAGCAACAGTGACGATGACTTTGAGGCCAGGTCTGCTTACAGCACCTTTGTAACACCACAAAATGGCGCCCCTGACAGTGGAAATATGGTCTACTACCCCGCATTCCCCGGAGGTGCTCAAGGTGCCCCTGGCATGTACAATGGTGTTCCTACGGCTTCAGCTGCGCAGAACTCATATAACGCTGTCTATGGTCCCATGACGCCTTCCCTGGCCGCTCCCTACCCATGGTTGCAACAAGGTTACTCTGGTTATAACGATCCCAACAATCAAGCACAGCACAACGTCAATGACCTCTCCACTGATTTCCAAGCCATGTCTTTCCAGACACAACCGGGACCTACCTTACCTCCCTCGGCTGGACCATACGGATATGGTAGCCCCCACAACCAGCAACAGCAGCAGTATGCGTCATGGCAGCAGATTATGCCTAACCAATCCGGCTATCCTGGCAGCCCCAACAACTATGGTAGCCAGTTTGCAAGCAGACCTCCATCTTCAGCAAGCCACGGATCCGCCGCCCATGGCTACCCGTATGGGGCACCAATGAACCAGATGCAGATGCCTGACACGTACATGGGCTACCCAAACCAAGCCATGGCTGGTGCATACAACCGCGGAAACTTCAATCCTCAAAGCCAGGCATTCATTCCAGGCTATCAGCCTCATTATGGCGCACAGATGGCGCCCNCCAACAACATGGGCTTCAACTCAGCTTACCCTGGATCGCACGCACTGCAGCGTCAAAATTCTAGCCAGTCGCAGGCATCATCGTACGGCGGACAAAGCAGCGGCCAGAACAACAGCAGACCAGCTCACCCTCTGCCACAACCTGTTTTCTCTCCCCATGTCCCCATGCCGTTTCAAAATTCTCAGAGACAAGCTGGCACGCCCGCCCGCCCTGGCACCACATCAGCAGCAGAGAACAACAACAGTGCACCAAGCTCAATCGCAAAATGGGGAACGCCGGCCTCTTTACCTGCCAAGCCCNCTCCGCCGGCAGCAACCAACTCGTTCGACATGTCCAGGGTGCCACATGGGCAGCAGAACGGCGCACCATATTCTCCTGGAGCCTCTCGGGGACTACCTGGCGTCGGGGGACAAGGATTCCATGCTTTGCCATCAATGGTTGCTCTGCGTAATGGACAGACGCCTCGGAGTGGCCAGTGATTTGATTTCGAGGAAACAGTGATATGCAAGAGGAACACTCCTCTCGAGTTTTGCTGTCGATCCGAAGAGAAGGGTGTTTAAACAGAAGTTTGGCAGGCGAACAGGTTTCAAAAAAAAAAAAGGAGTTCTTCGTTGTCAAGCATTACTAGGAGTTTTTACTTTTGCTCGAGGGATTATTTTGAGGTGCCCCTTCGGTGGTGCTTTCTCGGTACCTTGCCGTGATGATAACTATGCTGTACAGCAGCTGAGGGAGGAAAGAGAGTTTGTCATTGCTTAGTTAGGTAGTGAGACGCAAAACAGCGAGTTGTTTCCTTGCATTATGATACATGTCTGTCAACACATGGTTGCTACTGCTACAGCTCGGCCATGATAGCATCCCGAACTCCCAATCGCTCTCTGCGCCGAAGGATCGAGTATGGCCATGATTATGTATGGGACAGTCAAGTCTGACGAGTGGAGATAGGCGGCAACTCGGGAATCTTTCTGGCTCTTTGTGTCGACATGGCTCTGTGGTGTGATGTCGTGTGTCGCATTTCTTAACAAAAATGGGGTATCTATGTATCTCTTTCCTGGCCGCATTGGGCTCTGGCATGTGCGGGCTACGATCGCCATGTTCGCTGCTCGTCGTCGAAGTCTTTCGTACACCTCTCAGCTTTCGAAGAATTGCCTCTTCTTTTTGGGTTGTTCTCTCTTTTGCGAATCATGGTTCAAGTAGTCTTCTTCTCAGCCTCGTCGACAGCACTGCCAAGACCTTTGCTGAATACAGCAGAAACCTTGTCTTCGGCATCTGCTCTCCATTGCTCCCAGTTGAAGTGTTGAATTTTCCTTACGGCGGCCTCCAGCTCGGTGTTCCAGCGGTACTTGAGGCGGTCGGCGAGGCCAGGGACTAGGTGACGGGCAGTTTGTGAGGGCTCCTTGGGTTGAGGGTCTGTGATGTTGCGCAAGAGATTTGATTGTTGGCGCAGCAGATGTGATTGGTATAGGCGGTTGCGCTCGTGGAGGTTCAGNGAGATGTAGAAGAGGGAAGATGTTAGGGCAATGCCGCCGATCTGTTTTGTTGTTAGATATCGAGAATTGTTGAGCAGGAGAGAAGGTGCTTACGAAGCCAGTTGTGAAGCCCATTGTAGTTTCTGTGACGGAATAGTTGCCTGAAGAGTGACAGAGTGTTTCTTTGGGAAAGAGCTAAGGGTGAGATGGGAAGTCGCGATTGTTGACTGGTTGCGGCCAAAGACGGGGAATTCGAGATTCAAGATTCATGCTCGCTCTTGGCGCATTTCTGTCGTCCGTACTCGATTGCATACCACGACCATCTTTGCGCTACACATCCCCGCGCATTGCATTGTACTGACTGTCGACTCTGGCACTCTCTCCCTCAACGCCATCACATCCACTCAAGCGACAGCCTCTCCCGTCTCTCGACAGCGCCGCCACTCGGGCAGGAAACGAGCCTAAAGAAAAACATGGCCGGCGGACTTCAGAAATACAGGCACTTGTCGCGCAGCAGCTCGCATCGTCAGGCTCTGCTCAGAAACCTCGTCACATCGCTGTTCAAGAACGAGACGATATCCACAACATGGCCCAAGGCACAGGAAGCCCAGCGTCTGGCCGAGAAGCTCATCACCTTGGGCAAGAAGAATACCGACGCCAGCAAGAGAAAGGCCCTCTCCATCTTCTACGTACGTCGTCTTCTTTTCACCACTTACTCTCTTGGACAATCGCTAACAAAACTCTCTTTCAGGNAACCCCACTCTCTCATTCCCAAACTCTTCGGCCCTCTTCGTGAACGCTTCCTGGACCGTCCTGGTGGCTACACCCGTGTGCTACGTATCGAGCCCATCAAGGAAGATCAAGCACCCTCTGCCATCCTGGAACTCGTCGACGGCCCTAAGGATATGCGATTCGCCATGACTGCCCGCACCGTCTCCCGCCTACGTCGCGAGGGCAAGGACATCAACGACATGACCGCCGGTAACATTGCAAAGGTCACCCGCTTCCGTCCCAACGGTGACAAGGACCTAGAAGACATGGTTGCCAAATTCGACAAGCTCGACGCTCAAGGCGAGCACGGCTTTGAAAAGGTCTACAAGCAGAGAGTCTACCACAACCCCAAGGCTTCGAGGTAGATGCTGTCTTCTGCTGTATTGCTACGATTCTTTGTACATTACTTTCATCGGCATGGCGTTTATACTGGAATCTACGAATTGGGCTTTGCGAAAGAATCTGTACACTTTGTATCAAAAGAACATTATCAATCATGTCACCATCTCCGCTGTACTTATATGCTGGCTTGTCTAGACTATCTGATCATTAGCAACTCCTCGAAAGCATGGTTTGGGGCTATATGGAGCAGTTGCTTTGCATCAGTACTAACCATTATGCACATGAGCAGGGTCATCCCCTCAACAGTCCTTGTAGAGACCTCGACGACGTATCTTGCTCCAAGGACAACCTTGTCTTCAAAGCCACTACCCATACTGAGTTTGTGGTGGCATCTCTAAGCGTTTGTGTTATTCAGACCTCCATGCATGGTTGGTAGCAACAGCATATACTTCCACATTCTCAACTATGTTCAACTATGTTCAACTCTAGCCCCTGAATCATTCACCTTAGACACCCTTCTTAGCCATCACACCATCCATCCCTGCTTGATGACCCAGTCCTTAGAGACCAGCATCACAATGGAAGAAAAGAGAAAAAGGTTCGCATCAGCTCGAGGTAGTGCAATACGAGCGACACTGTGGCCTTGGGAAAGAACTATGTTCTCTGCCCTCGACCCACGTTCCAAAATGATATCGTACTCGTGTGAATCACACAAGCAACAAATGGCGAAAAAGTCTTGCCAGCAAGCGACCAATTGCTGGAGAGATACATGCTAGTGTATCACAAGAGCAGTTTCTTATGAGTTGTGACCCCTCTTGTTACGACTTTTTGAACAGAAATTCCTCTTCGATGGGCCCGCGTTCGAAGGATCTGTCGTGGTTTGTTGTAAGCCGCGTATGAGAGGAAGAAAAAGGAAGGAATGGGAAGAGCTGAGAGGGTTATCTGTGTGGTTTGTAGGATGACTGATAGTCGTACGTGGAATATTCAAGTAAAAGGGGTGACTCACATAATTGATATCAAGAACATCTCCATCGACCCACTTCTTCTTCATGACCCAGCCAACAGACCAGCATCACAACGAAAAAGAAATTGTCAAGCAGCTCGCGGGTAGTGCAAAGGCGAGCCATCATCAAACCCGAAGTACTGCAATACGAGCCCAATGTTTCTTGCCCAGGAAGAAGCCCCACGCTTCCTCCCAAACATCTACAATCCTTTTTCCAACAGTCCTTTTGATTGTGATGCTTGAACGCAAGTTTGTGGGTATAATAGCAAAAGATGTCTCGACTGTAAAGTCATGAACGAGAGATAGTTTTTCCAACACCGGCCTGCGTGTTTTTCGAGAGACAAAAACAACATGCTGGGGAAGAGCTACCCTCTGGCAAATGGTGAAGGAAAACGGTTATGAGAGGCGAGCGCCTATAATTCAAGTTTGTTTCTTCTTGCCCACGACTGATTTGGTAGTAACCCATGGGCGAAGGGTACGTCGCAAAGCCGTTGTTTATACTCGGTTGGAGTTTTCGCTCTTGGAAAAAGAGCGATGGTTTACCATCCGCAGCCACGAACAGATGGTGCGCCCACTTGATGGTCCAAGCCTGCCAGTTGCTCGATTCGTGTATGAGAAAGAAAAGAAAGAGAGAAAGCGCTGGGGAGGAATGATGTTTCTATAAGCTGTGATGAAAGGATCCCGTGACAGCCCACGTGGAAATGCTGACCTAATAAGAAACAACCTCAATCCATACCCACTCAGTCCTCAGGCTCATCTTTAATGATAACGATGCCTTCCTCTTCTCCGTCCTCGGTCTTGATAATGACGTCTCCAAACCTTTTACCCCGTCCCGGTGCGATTTCATTGGCAAACACTACAGTTTCGACACCTGCAGGCGTCTTCTCATCCTCAGGACCCCATGGCAGCGCATCAACATCAATCTCTCTGTTCAACAGCGACTTGAGGATGACTTCGGCGCCCGCTTTGCTCATTACAGAATTTGCCTCTTTGCATTGTTCCGAGCAGCAGCATTCAAGACACCCCTCATCGCAATGACAGGCACCCACTCGATCGCAAGCCTGCACGAGCAAGCGATCTACGAACTCAAAGGCTTTGGTGCTGATGCCCGAGCCCGCAGCACCGCCTTTCGCATCATAGAAAGTCAAACGTGCAGGTCGCTTGCGACTGTTCTCTCTNGCCTGAAACTCTTTGATTGCGTTTTTGCATTCGGTCTTGACGTCGCCAGGCATGCTGATGACAAAGTTTGGCATGAGCGAGAGCAAAGCGTGTTCGGCTGCGTGGATGGCTCCTGCCATATTCAGTCGCCTTGACTCGAGGATCTGCAGCGCGCGACGCGGCACATCTAGCCACATGCCTTTGCTAAAAATCGTGATGGGTGGGTTGTCGACTTCCACTGCGTCCAAGATGCGGCGCTTTGCATCCACCTTAAAGAACCCAAACACCACTTGCGTGATTCTGATGGTGCCGTAGTATGCTCTTGACAGCGATTTGGAGATCTTGCGGATTGCTTCTGTCTCGATGGGGTCGATATCGGTAAAGTCACGTTGTTGGGTCGTCCATTCTACTCGCACAAACTCGACGCGAGCCATCATCCTATCTGTTGACATTTCTTTGACCAGGTACTTGTTACCTTGATGCAGATATATGCCTCCTTCATAGATCGTAAAGAATGCACGCGAGGCCTCGAGCTCTTCAAGTACGACGTTGCGCCCATGCGTGATGTCAACAATAGCAAAGTGATCTTCTTCAGTGTCGCGAATTGCCACAAAAGTCGATGGTCGAGGAAGGAACCGATCAGCCGTGTGGAAGAAGCCAAGTTCGTCCTTTCTCATTCTGTTCTCTGCAATATCGGTCAAGAGTTTGCCGAAATAAACTTCATCCCCTTTGGGCTGAACGGGCATCTCGTTGGCCGCACACTGCACATGTCCCTCGAGTACAAGCATGTTCTCTAGATCGACCTGTAGTTGACAGTTGGGCTTCGTGAAGATTTCGTCTGGGTTTTGCATGTAATGCTGATCGGTTGGAAAGGCGTCTCCAACAAGTATAGACATCGAGTCCTTGTTTCTGCGACCAGCTCGACCGCTTTGCTGACGAAGGTTGGCGATCGTATAGGGGAACCCGCAAGTCATGACCGCATCGAGAGATCCGATATCAATGCCCAGCTCCAGCGCACTGGTCGCCACGATACCGACAAGTTTGCCGTCAAACATCTCCTTTTCAATCTTTCGTCGATCTTGAGGAGCGTAGCCGCCTCGATAGGACATGACTCTTGCCATGACTTCCTGTTTATCCAGATACGCCAGTTCGTTCTTGACAGCTCCTATCAATGCTTCGCATTGTTTTCGCACCCTACAAAACGCAATCACACGAACACCTCGAAGGATAAGTTGACAGAAAAGTTTCGCAGCTTCCGCCAACGCGTCACCTCTACCAGAAGTCGGGTCTGCAGGATCTTTGAAAGGCGTGTTCCAGCAGAGAAACTCTTTCCTGCCGGAAGGCGAACCGTCGAAATCTGTAAGTTTGACTTGCTCGACACCAAAGATAGTCTTCATGTGCTCTTCAGGGTTAGCGACTGTAGCAGAGCAAGAGATGAACTTGATGTGGCGGTTTCCCACAGCAGCACAAATTCTACGCAGACGTCTCATGATTAGAGCTACATGGGCTCCAAACAAACCATTGTAGACGTGGAGTTCATCAACAACCACAAAGCGTAGATTCTGAAGAAAGGTTCTCCAGGCTTCCTCTTGTGGGAGAATGGTGATGTGCAGCATATCAGGGTTGGTAAAGATAATGCTTCCTTCATCTCGGATGAGGTTTCGGTCGCACATTTGTGTATCACCATCGAAAGTCTCGACGACAAGATCTTGCAGTCCATCCATGTATTGTAACAGGTCCTTTAAACTGCGTCGCTGGTCTTGAGCAAGAGCCTTGGTTGGGAAGATATACATGGCTCTGGCCTGATTGTTCTTCTCCAGTTCATGGAGAACAGGTATCTGGTAGATCAAAGACTTGCCAGAACTCGTTGACGTTGATACAATCACGTTGTGGCCGTCATATAGATTGTTGATAGCCTCGGCTTGATGGGAGTATAGTTGAGTGATCCCACGAGTGTTGTACAGTGCGTTGACAAGAGTTTGGGATAACTCAAAGTTCAAGTCGCCATAGATGGCCGGCTGAGGGTCAAACACGCGGTGACCATCCGGCACTATTTGGCCAGTATACCACTCCAGAGTCTTGATCTCGGACACAATCTCCGGAATAGTCTTGCGTTCGTCCGGGATGGATTTTGGCAGCAAAGCTCTTCGCTTCTCCGGGGTGGGTGTGTTTCCTCTACTTTCCGAAGGCGCGGGTATGTTCAAGTTGTGCTCGATATCCAGTTTCTCTACCGGATTCACGCCTTCTGCGTCGCAATCGTTCAGCCAGGCATTCACCGCAGAGGTGAATTTATTGTTCCTCTTCTCGATCAAGTTCATCATCTGCTTCTGGCTGTAGACGGGCATCTTGAGGTCTTCATCTTTCAGCTTCCGCGTTGCCTTTGTGGGCTCTCCAGTCTTTGTATGCTGTACTTGACGCTTCAGGTCCCCGTCAATGTACTCGAACAACAGTACCTCCTTGTTCCCTTTCTCTTGCTTGTCTTCTGTTGGTTCCGAGGCCATGTAACCTTCGAATCTCTTATTCTTCGAGTTTTCTTGTTCGCCCATGAGATTTACCTGCAGTAGATCCTCGTCAATGTATGCAAAGTTGATGGAACGCGGTATGAGGGCCTTGATCTTGGCGACATCTTGTATGGAAAGTTCGCGGCCAATGTGTGACTCGACGGTGGTCCTTATAGTCTCAAAAGTGGTAGCCAGATGTTTGCGCGTGCAACAGAAGGTGTAGACCAGATTGAGAGCTCGGTGAACTTGAGATAACTTTGTGAGCTCCTCGGGCCAGGGTATCGTCGTCTCTACCATGGAAGATCCTTTTCTGGACAGACTAGGTGCTGCACCTTTGGCTTTGGGTGTCCGCCTTGGTTTCTTGCCTCCATCTTGTGTTTTGGTCGGGACTGTTGTCGTGCTTGCGGCTGAATCTTGGGTACCTTCAGGCTCGGTTTCTACTTGGTCTTGTCCATCCTGACTCTTTCTCTTTCTTTTGCGCACAACCTTGTTGGATACTGTGGCAGCTTGCAGTTTGGGCATTGTTGTTGTTGCGACTTGACGCGAAAACCGATGACGTAGTGGAGCCCTTCGTGAAGGTATCCTGAGGTTAGGATACCAATTCCTGTAGTAGTGATTATAGCTATCTGATCCGACTGCTTCTGGTCGTATGCATAGTGTTCGTAGAGGAAGAAGATGGCAAGGTTACAATATGTGTGTACGTCAAAGAGGTGGATACAAAGGCGAGAGCAGAATTCACGACGCCTTTGCCACAGTCTTTCGCCCACACTACGAGAAGAACAATCCCTATCTGCATGTAACTCAACTATGGTGCCAATTGAAGAACTCAAGCATATCAGACATGTTCAGAGAAAGTGCTGTTCTTTTGTAGTTCTTGTTTTGATTTTGGTTTTGATGTTTATCTTGTATGCTCAGGTGACAGCCATCATGTAATTCGCTCAAGACAAAAACCACCCATCCAACTTGTGTGCCTATGTTGCTAGTCCTCGCGCCAATTGCTAAGAATGCGCCAAACTCAACGCAGTGTTAAACCGTTACTGTCGTTGATTGTCACCCTCTACATCTGGTTCTGCAAATCTGTGATACGATCCCAGAGTTCCATGGCAAATTGTGGTCTCAGNCTATTGTTCATGTCAGCATAATGTTTGGACAGAGGGAGGAAAGGATCTTTTCGAACCTTCAATTGGAGAACTTCGAGCTGGGGCTTGCCGTCCAGAGAGCCTACGAGGCTCATAAAGTGTCCAGTGGGCCTTTCACCGCGCACGTCGCCGTATTTGAGAGCCTTTTGAACAGGAGTGTTGAGGATAACGCGATGTGAGCCATCTGCACGCATGACAATTCTGGCCTTGATCGTCGAGTCCTCGTCGTCAGGCTTGGGCTCAGTCACGTTCAGACGAAGAACGCCCACTCCACGCTCTTTCCATTCCTTCTTGTCCACGAAATTGTACAACTTGGCGCGACAGGTGTATTCGGTGGTCTCGCCTTCTTCGCCAGTTTCAACNTGTATTGTCGTTAGAAACGAGAAACGTCAGATGTCTTGAAACGTTGGATCCTTACTGTCTTGTTCATAGAAACGTGTGTCCTTCTTGTCCCCGTCGACTATAAGCTTTGGACTCTTAACCCCAGCATCGTCTTCGCCCTCATCTCCAGACTGTTCCTCCTCTTCTTGCGCAGGCGCACCGAATGCTGTGATACCTGTCTTTGTGCTTGATCCAATGACACCGGGAGTTCCGCTGCTTGCAAAGCTGGTCAGCTTGGAACCGCTGCCCAAGCCTCCAAACCCACCGCCGAAACCATTTCCGAGTTTGCCAAAGCCGATGACGTTTGAGCCAAAGCCGGAAGAACCAGCAGATGCAAAAGGTGAGGCTGTAGATGGGAGGCCGCCAAAAGCACTTGGAGTGGGTGCTGGCTTTGCGCTATCCTCGCCAGGCGCAGGAGTGCTGCTAGGGCTAGCGAAACTAGACAGAGTCTTGTTCTGGCCAAGTGCGCCGAAAGCCGATGTTGACGAGCCAGCAAGCGCACCGAATGCAGAAGAAGCAAAGGCACTAGTAGCGGGTTGAAGTTGTTCCGAGGGAAATTTAGTGGTGGCTAGAGAAGCAAATGGTGATGATGCAGAGGTGTTTGCGAAACCGCTTCCAGCAGGGATTTTGGTGGTGGGTTTGGCGTGTTGTGCCGGGTCTTCAATAGTCTTTCCTTCAGGCTCGATGGTTGCCTTTGCATCTGATGTCGTCTGAGAGGTTGTGTCGGCACTGGTCGTGTCGTCGACCCTGCTGCGTTTGGTCTTTGGGCTCTCGTCAGACTTGGTCAAATTGTCTGCCCCAGTCGCAGGGGCAGTGGAAGTAGATGGCGCAGAATGCTGGGGNGCCTCTACTGCTACCGGCTCATCGTCTCTTTCAAGTTCACTGGATTTGCGCTTGCCGGATTGTTCAACGACCTTGTCCTCGGGCGAGTTCTCCCTAGATCTCTTATTCTTGCGAGCCTGGTTGCTCTTATGCGCGGGCTCCTCCTCTAGGTTCTCAACGTGTTCGTGACTTCGCTTTCGTTGCAATTTGGCGCCGCTCTTCTCGGGCTCGGGCTGTGAGGTTGCGGTTGTGCCAGCTGCCTGAGGTGCGCTCTTGATAGTGGCATTTCTCAGTCTTTCTCTGAGAGGTCTCTCACCCCCNTCGGTGTCGGAAATGTGCGATTCCTTGGGCGACGTGGGCATTTTGGTTGCGGTAATGCTGGCGGGGAAAGCTGCTGTCTGGAAGTGAAGATTTGGGGTCGCGAGGAGCTGCTGCGCGGAGCGAAGTCAATAGGCGGGATGCGTGTTTGCAGGTGCTAAGATTGATGCAAAAAGGAGAAAGCAGAGCTGGGCAGGTTTAGAAAGCGGTCGAGGCGGCTCATTCAGATATGAAGCAGCTGTCTGTGTCGGTGGATTTGATGTCTTGTCCGAGGTTCAAACCGAGCAATCGTTAAAGACACGGCTATGCGCGCTAGAATGACGATGGATAAGACTAAAACTCGCTGTTCAAGTCACAGTGCCAATGCATAACAACAGTCTAGAAACCACAATGCTTGTGTTGCAGCAACCGCCGTGTGTCTTGATGCCATCGGCGGTCGCCCTCACCGACTAGGCCCAAATCGGCCATCATTGTCTTTGTCTCAATACCCAGTCAAGAGTCCTTCACTGTGCTTCCAAGACAGCTTTCTGTTCTAGTCTTGTCCAAATTGCTAGAACCTGCATGATCAGGGTTGTGCCTAAGTCCAGCAACAGCTGTGTCTCGAGAAATGATTCTGTCACACATAGTCTGAGAATTGATTATGATTGCTTTTACTCTCTCGCTCTCTCTAGCCAATCACTGAGCTTGCTTAACTGATGAAACACAAGCATCCCAAGCCAATATAGAAGACGAGCAGAGGGAAGACCGCAATGCCGACCCGATTCTTGACAACACCAGAGCCTCCAAGAATACTGACACCTGCAGCCAGTGACCATGCGACCAACACAATATACACAGGAATCCTAGCAATCATGGGGAGGCCAACCGCGCTGAGAGTTGATGCGATGACGAGTGGGAACAACGTGTATCCGATGATGCACACTGACTGGAAGAATGAACTGTCGCATATGTTAGCATTTGGAAATCAATTGCAGCCGAGAGGATCATCATACATGCTGCCNCCTAGAAGCTTGATTTGGAGCGTGACAACGGCTTCTCCGATCCAGACAGTAGCGAAGACTCCAGAGAAGACTATCGACTTCTGTTCATCCTGTGCGCCGCGCGAGAGAAGGAAGCTGAGGAGCAAGCAGAATACGAGTGGGCCCNNCTATTTATACGTTAGCTCTTTGACAGCAAGAAGCATCGTTGGACGTGCGTACCAGAGATCCCAGTCCCTCAAACCCTCGCTCATGCCACTCTGCAGAACTGTGTCTGCATCTGGCCATCTGCCCACCAGTCCGTTCATGCCACCACCGCTGAGACTGTCTCCCTCGGCTCTTTCTGCGCCGCCCATACCTCCACCACGCTGTAGCAGACCACCCAGGAGATACTTGGGATACAGCACTTGGCGCATCTTCTCCCAGATAGCGAGCAGGTCTCGTGACAGTGTATCCCAGACGCTTTCGTCAATGGTGTTCTGAGGTGCCCTTCGATCTTCACCACCGATAGTGTTGTTCAAGTAGGACTGAGTATTTTGGGCACGAGCGGATGATTGTTGGATGTTGCCTGTCAGGGGTGCTCGGTCGGAGGATGATGCGAGCGGGTCTTCGAGGTCCAGAGCAGCNTTCATACAATCAGCTACCGTGAATCACAGATCTCTAGATAACCAAATACCATCATCTGGATCAATAAGATCGTCTTCGAGCGGATCCTGATCGTAGTGTTCGTATGGGTTCGCGGAAGCTGTTCCACTAGGCATCATGGCGGCCATCTTGTTCGGTTGTGGGTGTAGAAGCTACAGAACTAGCAGCTTGTGATGGACAGTATAAGCAGCTTGTTTCAAGACTTGTTGCGCGAATATTCCTTCCCCTGGATCGAAAGCTGCCAGCTCAGCTGCATGTCCACGCCAGGGAAGCTCAACACGAAACGCGTACAGCGGGAACTGCCGGCGTTCCAGCGCCGTCATCAATCTTCACATGCAAAACCCCCTCCATCTGCTTAGAAGGTACAATACGTTATACGACTCTGTTCATTCTCGCCTTGATGACAGACTTTACTGAAACCCGACCAGCTGTTTCCATTCGTGCACATCTCTGATGGCAGCCAATGGTGCACGAATAGTCATCGGCATGCGCTCCGGACCGGAAGGCTAATTCCTAGCTGTATACACAATAGGCTGAATGCATCCAAGCCAACACTCTTCCTCTGCTTCATAAGTACAACTTCCCCAGCCATTGTCGTCTACTTCTCAAGATGCTGGTCATTACTTCGGTTGCTTCGAGCACTGTCTGCCATAGCCTCGATCTACAGCTCGATCGCTGGAGAGATCTGGCCCCGCAATCATCGCTATGCGGAGGATTTGGATGACGGAGCATGCGGGTAAATACAGGTGGGCTGGCTTCAAGTCGTCGTGTTAGGGTTGCTCACCAGAGCAATCTCCAATACCAAGTTTTTCTTCATTTCTCTTTCACCTTTTCTCCCTTCAACTATACACGCACCTAGCACACAATGCCTGATGCCATCCTGGACGACATCTCTCACCGACGCTTCAACCCACTGAGGNGAAGTTGGATTCTGGTCTCTCCCCACCGTACCAAGCGACCATGGCAGTAAGAGACAAGCTTGCACCGCGAAAACCGGCCCACAGTACTTATACAGCCTTAGANNGGACAGCAAGAAGGCGCTTCGAAGACGACACTTCCTGATTATGACCCTTCGGTACGCACTGCTGCATGACCTACCCCGCCCTCAACCACTGAATAGCACGACAGTNGCTACCTCTGTCCTGGCAACAAGCGCGCTGCCGGCGACTCCAACCCCAAATATGAGAGCACCTACGTCTTCGTCAATGACTACAGTGCTGTGAAGGAAGAGCAGGCCGAGTACGAGCAGCCAGCCAACGATGGCAGTAAGCTTTCACCATCGCCAATACGAAGATTGGTCGCTGACTTGGTTCAGGTCNTCACCAACACGCTCCTGCGCGCTGAGCCTGTTACTGGCAAATGCTATGTCATCACCTTTGCTCCGACACACAACTTGACCCTCGCCGACCTCCAGCCCTCTCAGATCCTCCCTGTCATCAATACCTGGACCCAGATCTACACTACTCACTTGTCTCCCAAGTCCATCCTCGCCGAAGTCGCAAAACCCACTACTATTGCTCCCCATGGCCAGGACCTCGCTGCACCGAATGCCCAATACCGCTACATGCAAATCTTCGAGAACAAGGGTGCTGCAATGGGCTGTTCCAACCCTCATCCTCATGGTCAGGTCTGGTGCACGACTGGCACACCAGAAGAGCCCGCTCTTGAGCTAGAGAGTCTGCAAAAATACCGCAAGGAGCACGGTGGATCACACATGCTGGTTGACTATGCCAATCTCGAGTCTGAGAAGAAGGAAAGAGTCGTGTTCGAGAATGAATCCTTCCTTGCTGTATGTCCCTGGTGGGCTACTTGGCCCTTTGAGGTCATGATCATCGCCCGCACTCATAAGCGTGCCTTGGTCGACTTCAACGACAAGGAGAGGCAGGACTTGGCCGAGGCTATCGCAGAAGTGACAAGACGCTACGATAATCTCTTTGAAACCCAGTTCCCTTACAGTATGTTCAGAAGCAAATACTGTTTGATCCACAAACGCTAAAAATGAAATAGGCNNATGGGTCTCCACCAGGCACCACTCGAAGGCACACCCGAAGAGATCGAGGCCAGCCACTTCCACATCCATTTCTACCCTCCCCTTCTCCGCAGCGCTACCGTGCGGAAGTTCCTGGTTGGTTACGAGATGATGGCAGAGCCTCAGCGCGACATCACTCCTGAGCAGGCTGCTGCCAGACTCAGAAACTGCGGCGGAGAGCTTTACCGCAAGAAGCTGAACTAATCTTGGCATATCCGATCATTGGATAATCTTGGATACTCTATAGAAGCGAACCGCTGTAATCATCATTATCCTCGTTATGTAATCATCTAATTTTGCTTGTTGGTATATGTTCAGAACGGCAATGTTTTCCAATTCCTCGTCATATCTTCGGCGCAACGATTGGCTATGGCTTGACGTAGTAGTCCCATTGGGTGTACATCCAGATCAAAGATGTGGTAGCAACGATAGCAGGTCCAGCGAGACCCTTGCCCCATCTTGTAGAACCAAAGACCAGCCACTCGGACATGAAATGGGTGAAGGCCACAATGTATGTCCAGAAAGCCAGCTCGTACATGGGCTTAGTGTTGATGTTGTAGGCAGCGTACAGACGGACGATGGCAGTGATTGCGGTCCAAGTGCCGAAAGTGCGAGCTGAAAGAGGTGTGACGGGCGAAGCATTGGGGACGGTACTGGCAGGCACACCAGCTGGGACAGTCTTCGAGCCGCAGTAGACTTTCTGCGTCGGGCCAAGTGAGAGGTAGGCTTGAATGCTGTTGCCGAGCGATACAATCGAGATCTGCATACGGTCAGAGAAGAACGGTCAATGGTTGGGTCATTGCAGACGTACGAAGAAGATCCATTTGGGCAAAAGGCCCTCGGCTGGCGGCAGGTACTCGAGCAGCGAGTTCATCTTGTGACGATTGGCCTATACGACAAGATGTCGACGAGCAAAAAGATGTTGTAAGCAGAAGGTAAACATCAGACGACTCTTTTGGAGCATGAAATTGGACCCTCGGAACCTGACTCGCCGAGACCCGAGCCGGCACTACCTCCTGAATGCGCCAACTGCTTTTCTGACACCAGACTAGACACCTTTGATCCATCGACAACATCACTTCACAGTCGTCTCCAACATGGTTGTACATATCGAGGACCCCTGGAAGGAGTCGGTCACTGCCCTGTTTGCCGGCATTGGCCTCCTCTACATCTCCCTGAAAATCTTCAGCTTTTGGAGACTGATTGCTAGTCTATTCATCCTGCCCGGTACCTCTGTAAGTATACTTTGTTGCTTCTGCTCTAGCATAACATTGACTGGTAGAAGCTTTTTANAGTTTGGTCGCAAAGGAAGCTGGGCTGTCGTGACTGGTGCTTCTGATGGTATTGGCAAGGAGTATGCCTTGCAGCTTGCAGCCAAGGGCTTCAACATTGTTCTGGTCTCTCGCACACAGTCGAAGCTTGACACTCTGGCTTCCGAGATCCAGTCCAAGTACACTTCTGTCCAGACCAAGACTCTTGCTATGGACTTCTCACAAAACCTCGACTCCGATTTCTCTGCTCTGAAGACTCTGGTATCCGACTTGGATATCTCCATCCTGATCAACAATGTTGGTCTGAGCCACGAAATGCCCGTTCCTTTCGTACAAACTCCCGAGAAGGAGCTCAAGGACATCATTACCATCAATTGCATGGGCACCCTTCGTGTTACTCAAATCGTTGCGCCTGGTATGGTACAGCGCCGTCGCGGTCTGATCCTCACCATGGCTTCCTTCGGTGGTATCCTTCCAACCCCTCTGCTGGCCACCTACTCCGGCAGCAAGGCCTTCCTCCAGCAATGGAGCAGTGCTCTGGGCTCCGAGATGAAGCCCCACGGCGTTCACGTTCAGCTTGTTCAGTCCTACCTGGTCACTTCGGCAATGTCTAAGATCAAGCGTGCCAGTGCTACCATTCCCAGCCCTAAGCAGTTTGTCAGAGCTGCATTGGGCAAGATTAGCCGCTCTGGTGGTGCTCAGGGTATTGCATACACCAGCACTCCTTACTGGAGCCACGGCATCATGCACTGGGCGCTTGGCACCTTCACCGGTACCATGAACTCCATCGTCCTGGACCAGAACAAGGGAATGCACGAGAGCATTCGCAAGCGTGCTCTGAGAAAGCTGGAGAGAGATGGCAAGAAGGGCCAGTAAATTCGTAGGCATATCTTCGTGCATCAACCAGCATCAGCATCTGCACAGCCTCGACCAAAACAACAAATCTGTAACGCCGGCCAGCATCACCACTTTCTACCTGATCAAAGTCCTGCTGTGCAGATGTTATGCACACCCATGTAGTGGCACGATCAGCTAGAGCTCGAAGCTCAGCTGAGGGCAGTCAACGAGGACAGGATCGAGAAGCGTCGGTACTGTACTCAGCAGTGACGCACATGTTGCAATATCGACACAAATTCGTATTGAGCAAAAATCAGAACCATAAGAATAAGTTTATATAGCTTCCCGTCATGCTGCATTCCCTGCATCAACCATTATATACCTCAGGTACCGCAAGGCACAGAAGCGGCTCGGAGAAGACGGCATCCATTGCATACAAAGCGATGAAGCTTCATGCTGATGTGCTTGGAGCTTTTGATGTTGGAAGATGTCACTGGTCCTCGATCGCACAGATGCCCGCACGAGGGCATGACACAGATGGTCTGCGATTTGCTGTAGCATGGCGAGTCAGGTCGAACTGACCGTTTTCTGTAGTCGGTGTCGGCTGCAGTTCCTTCAGCTAGGGCCGACGTCACTGATCCGTGCACCAGCTTTCCCCACTCTCGTCGATCTTCGCGTGGCTCGCAACGGGCAGCAGCCTCCTCACCTTGGTCGCTGCCTCCCTCCTGTATACTTTCTGAGAAAGCAGCAGAGAATCAGAACCTTCATTGAGACTCTCCATACAATCTTTGCAGCATGCCTGAGAACAACACTTCCGAGGGCGTCGCCCAGACTATTCAGACAGCCCACGAGCGCGTCCATTCTGGTCCGTCTAGACATTGATCACAATACAACAGCATGAACCTGACAGATGCAGTAAACCCCTTCATGGACCGCGAATCTTACCCAACTGGAAGTCTCAGAAGCTACAAGATCCTGACGGCCGCTTCATGGCTCCTCCTCGTTGTGACCAGCATCTACTACACCTTCAATGCGCCCACCGAAGGCAAGCACCGCAGAGGCACTATCTGGCACCAGAACTCGCACCGCCACACTCCCTTTGCCCTCAACTCCATCATCACCTCGGTCTACATGATCGTGCTGTACATCCTCCAGATCGGTTACTGCTGGCACCTGTACTCGGAGAACCCCGTCTATGTCAAGGCCGCCGCCGATGTTGGCTCGCACTTTATCTTCAACAACCTGCTCTTGTTCGGTTTCATCCACCTGTGGTGCCGTAGCCACTTCTGGCTTGCTGAGATGCTGATCATCATCAACTTCTTCAACCTCTCGGCTCTCTACTTCAAGCATTCGAGAACCCCAAGGTTCATCCACATCCCCGTCGTATCCGGGCCTCTTGCCATCAACTACGTTCTTCTCTTCACTGTTGGTGCTGCTGCCGTCAACGCACACTCTCTGCCTGCCAGAATCTTGGCCAACGTCATGATCTGGTCCATCATGGGCTACGGCTTCTTCTTCCTCGTTGCCTACAAGGACTACACCATGGGTTTCAACTTGAGCGTTCTGTGCGCAGGTAAGTTGGTCCTGAGCCCCAATTGCGAACCTCTCTAACATTCTCTCTAGNCTCTCGGCGTCTCCCAATTCCTCACCCACGTCATCGCATTCCAGTGGATCTTCGCCTTTGTCATTATGGGCGTCTTGTTCATCCTCTCCGTCTTGGTCTCATTCCCTGGTCTCATTGGTCAAGATCCCTTCAAGCGTGGTGCTGTTGTCGATGAAGACAGAGAGAGACAGCCCCTGCTCCAGGAAGAGTAGATCTCCCCAACGACCACCTGACATAAAGATTTATGCTTGTTTGAGGTAGAGGCATCGGAATTCTAGTTGGCGCGCCATAAACTGCTGTACTCGAACCTGCAGACATGGCGTAAGACTGCGCCAGAATCGTTCTCGAAAGCGTATCGATCGCGTGCCTCTCTACTCTCCAAGATCCTTGTTCTGGCACCGTTCTCAAACCGCCACCACTCAAAGTTCCAGTGTTGCTCCAATCTAGTGTAGTTTTTCTTCTCGCAATCGAACATTGAATTTGTACTATATAACAGAATACTGGGATCATCGGTCTCCTACAATCTTGACTTGCCAACGCGTCGCATGGTAGCATAAATGCCTTTCACAATGAAGAAGAACCCTCTCATCCCCCTAGACATCTTTCCAAGCATGTGTTATTGTTACCAGGCAATCTGAACGCCCTTTGTCCCGACAGGCACAATGACAGCACCCAGATAACCACTCTTCCCCTGCTCCTTCAGCATGATTCCCCTAGGATCGTCGTCCTCGGACGCATCAGACCCACGACGTAGATCTGTCTCGCATGATTGATGACCGCTTCTCTGAATTTGTCGTTTAGCTTTGTAAGCCTCGGAAGTTTCGGCGGCGTGCTCTGAGTCGTCATCTTCTAGACATGTGCCCTTTCGTTCCAGTAATTGCAGACATCTGGAGCAGATGTTTGAGAGCAAGGGAACGGTTCTTTCGTATCCTCGCTGGCAGGCACCGTGTTCGTTTGGTAAGAGGCGTGACGGGTTTCTGGGGCAGAATTCGTGGATGGGCATGCTCGCGTGTCCGCATTTGTGGATCGAAGTTTCGATGCGACACATGACTTTTGATTCTTCGGCCTCTAATTGCGAATTATGGATACTCAGTTCTAGTGCAAACGATAGTAAAACGAATATGCGTTGCTTGCTTCTTTCTTGTCTCTGACAGTCAGCTACCTTAGGCAGGGTTATATACCTTTTCTTTCGAAGGACATTGTCTTTACGGTTGCTCGGGCCGTAGCCAGCAGCATTGTGCTACGAAAGGTCACATGCGTTGGACGCTATATTGACTTCCTCTGAGATTGTCCCACGGCCTTTCTCCTCTTTCTCCTTTACTCATCGGCAGTGGCATCGCATGTGTGAGCAGTCTCGTATTTTTGACGAACAGGATCCGGAGCGAGAACTGCCGATGGTTGGTTTAACATGTGGCACCACTTGGAGATTTGCTACTTATCCTGGACTCTTCTCAAGTTGGTTTGTGAGGATGAAATGATGGTTGAATCTATGCGTTGGCTTTGGTATGCCGTTTCGGACTTTGCACATGAAATGGCAGCCTCGGCCCTGGACGCGATTGGTCGAATCCTTGTTTTCGAGACAAGTTCACAGCCTCTCTTGAAATTCGCTTGGCTCGGTACCGAGATGTTGATGAACTGTGTTGTATGACAAGATAGCAAGGAAAGAAGACCAGAGGCCCCGGCAATGGTCCTTTTCAAAATCCAATCTTTGGATGTGGACACAGTCCAATCAAACGTGTGTTGTTCGTCGGCAATGCCGTCCAGCTACCTTGAGTCTTCTTTGCGATGGATAGGTCTTTTGGACTTGTATATGCTGTTGCCTTGTTTTTGTAGGAGATGTGGCCATGACTTAGATCTACCCCGCCCGTCTTATCGAGTCTTTCCAATGAAGAGACGGGGTGGTGTTGTGCAAGAGCCAGGATCCATCAAGTAGTGCTGACTACTTACTGGAGATGCCCTTCGGGTTACTTGATTGAGAAATCAGGGTGAGGATGAGGCGGTAACTAAATGTTGCGTTGAGGGGACAGTGTTAGAAGACGTGCAACATCAACAGCGGTCGAAGGAGTTGACTACTTCAGGGAAGGATCGTATGGACACCCCTGCCTTATGAGTATCAAAGCCCCTGCTGCTCAGACAGATTGCGGAGTCGAAGGTCGTCCCCGCCTCCACAGTCGTTTGTGCTTCGCTGCTCGACCACGACCTTGCTCTGTCGCCTTTGCTGGTTCTGCCGACATGAACGGTCTTTGGTCCTGTACGCGAGTACTGAATGTTGAATCAGGCGACGAACAATGATTGTCGCGTTGCTCTCTCCTCATGACTACGACGAGGTCCAGTGACCTGCGCCATACGCCACTCGCTATCAGAACGAAGGCATAACCCGACACAGTACATACTTGCTCGCAAGCAGTGCAAACCCTCGAGAACATCAATAATGATAGCCGCAGTATTCGAATACACAAGCATCAGAGCCAAACCTCAGGATTCAAGCTGGAAATTGATCTGTTCTCAATAATACGAATCAACGCAGCAATCTGGGCTGGGATGACTGGACATGGCCGAGCCATCGTCCTTCTTTGGCACCAGCCCTGGAGAGGCTCTCTCAGGGTCCAATACGAGAGTCTGGAACCGAGATTCTGTGCAAATCCTTTGGCTTGGGTTCCAAGGACTACTGTCTTGATATGCTGGCGAACCCAACAGAGACCACGACCGCCAAGGCAGGATTAAAGCCACATCTACGTGCGGCTGAACGTACCACATAATAGTACGTACCGAAGCCGTGAGAGGGCCAGACTGCCTTTCGGAGTTGGCGAACCTTAAAATGACATCGAACTCATTATCATGCATTCCATACAGCTGAGGCGCCTCTTGGTAGGTCAGGAATGTGACAGGTATCTTGTCGTCTCGTACGAGGTACCGGAGAAAACACGAGCTTGTTCCTTGTTGAATTGTCCGGATCCACAGAGGCACTGTGCCACATACCCTGGAAGCTGAGCATATTCATCACAGTACCAACCAATCTAGAAGAGATCGTACATGCCCCAAGAATGGATTCAATAGTGGCTTGCGGCGAGCCCATGGCGCTTGGGTGTACAGTAAGACGCTGCCTTGGCGACATATAACAATGTCTGCAAGGTCACTCTGCTACAGGTATTCGATATCATCTAATTCTCCTTCAAACACTACCTCCTTAAATCGTTCGACTATGCGTCCCTCTCTATCAAGAGTGCCTCTTTTGGCCTTTGCCGTGCTCAATCTCAATATGCACGTCGAGGCATGGCCAGCAATGGCGCAACATGCTGCTGAGATCTCTCGCCGCGCGCCTCAAGCTGTAGCACCAGACGTCCCTTTCGACGGCGACATTACACGGGTTGGTCTGGGGGACGTCAAGAGTGGTGGCACCACTCCTGTCGGTACAAGCGTCTACAACATTCTTATGGGAACGGAAGCTGGCGACTCAGCCGTGGCTGGTTATAAACCACCCGGTATAGTTGGCACCAAGGCATGCAAGGCTGACACATGTTGTGTATGGTGGTGGATTGCTCAAGCCATGACCATCGCCTTCACCGGACCAACCGGTCGCTGTAATGGCTTCGCTCGTGCAGCCATCCGCCTAGGCTTCCACGACGCAGGGTCATGGTCAAGCTCCCTTGCCGCCGCTGGTCAAGACTTTGGTGGCGCTGATGGAAGCATTGTCCTATCAGGCACCGAGATCAATAGAGCAGGTTCGTCTCCAAGGTTCCTTGACGCATTTCTTGCACAAAGACTAATACTCAGAGCGACAGACAACAACGGCTTACAAGCCATCGCCAACCAAGCTCTTCTCTGGTCCAAGCTGTTCAATGTCGGTGTCGCCGACATCATTCAGTTTGCAGCTGCTCATGCCGTTGTTACATGCCCTCTAGGCCCAAGGGTCAGGACTTTCGTTGGCCGCAAGGACAGCACGAAACCCGCCCCCGAGGGTTTGATGCCTTCTGTCACCATGAGCGCAGACCAGATCATCAGTCTCTTCGAGGACAAGACTATCCAGCCTCATGATCTAGCTGCTCTACTCGGTGCACACAGCACAAGTCAACAGTTCAATGTAGACAAAACAAAGGCTGGCTTCGGTCAAGACTCGACTCCTGGTGTCTGGGATGTGAGGTTTTACAATGAGACCCTCCAGCCGGGAGTAAACAGTAAGGTCTTCAAATTCCAGAGTGACCTGATCACTGCAAACGATACGAGAGTCAGCGACGAATGGCAGTCTTTCATCGGCGATCAGAGCCACTGGAACGNNGGGTGAGTCCTTGATCATGCAAAACTCTTTTCTTCTTGTGTAGGTGCTGACAACAGTTTGTAGGACTATGCTTCCGCCTATGTCAGACTGAGCATGCTTGGTGTCAACAACATCAACAATCTGACAGAATGTACAAAAGTCTTGCCGAATGCGAAGACTACCTTTGCAGGGGCATCGACGCCTGGTCTTTTTGGCAAGGTATAATGATTTGGTAGCATTGCGTTATTTGTTATGATATACCCCAACAGATATTTAATGTTCAGACAAACAAAATCTTCAGAAAGCCTTTCATTCATTATCATAGTATTGTAGCAAGTGTTCAATAGATGATGGTCAGATACAGTCTCCTACTTTCTAGCATCACTCCTCTTCCATCCTAGAAGCAGGTCCTGATTGAGATTCTCATAATCGATTATCCTACGCTGAACACTCAGCGCTCTACCAGTAGTCCAAATCTAGACCTAATCAGGTGGAGCAGGGCCAGTATACAAGTCTGCTGTACTCTCAGATTAGGACAATGAGTGAATGCGCAGTTGGCCACTCACGGGGCCTGGTCCTGGTCAGCAAGCAGTACTTTCGTATAATACAAGTGACAGTACTTTCTCAGCCAAGCCTTCGAGCAGCTCAAACAGGTCGTCGCATGGACTATATGGGGAAAGCAGTAGATATCCGAAACCCTAAGGGCATCAGAGTTCAGATGCTTGCCTTTTCCCCGCACACCAACTTACCCAGTCCGGCAGCCTGGAAAGTGGATATGCAAGCCACCTTCCTTAGCGAGAAAACTTCCCAGACGTCGGGTCTCTTGCAGCAGCCCCAAGCGTCACAACACCGCTCTGAACTCTTGCACTGAGCTCTATGCACGTCTTCAGCAGCCAGCCAGTCAGCCTACGAAGAACGTTCAGCACGCCTCTGCGAGGTACAAGGCCTTGACTTCGAGTCCAGCCTTGATGATACAAGCGTAACAAGCATTAACGGGCCTCAGACTCCAAGCTGATCGAGGCTTGTCCAGACAGCAAACATGGCCATCAACGTAGAGTACCATCGACGACCGCCTCCCAAGGCTTCTGGCTGAACTCCAAATTGCCTCCACGGCACCCCCATCAAAGTTTCGTGGGCTCCGAGAATGTCCCCAGTCTGACAACTCTGTCAGAACATGGCCAGAACACTACCTTTGTTGGCTTGATACCAGCTATCTCAGCTATTCTCATATCCTGGAAAGGTGCATAATTCTACTCTTGCTACTGATCATGGACCATTGTCATGGCTTGGTGTCTCCGCTGTGTGGCTTGATAGCTACACGCGCTGCGGAAATCCAGTACGGTCAGCGATTGCGCTATGCTTGGCCAATCGAGATATCTCAAAAGCACACTCACAACATGACCGACTGTGTATATAAGGTTGTCTGTGGAAGCGCCTTGTGTTCAATCATCAGCACCATCTTATCGGACTCCGACACTCACCTTCAAATCATCTTCTCTTGTTCTTCAGACATTCTCCGTTGTATACCACCAACATGATTGCAAATCTTGCTTCTTTGCTGTTGGTCAGCAGTCTCGGCCTGGTAGATGCATTCTCCATGCCGGAGGCGGCATCTTCCTTCACCTCTCTACTTGCATCTTCCCTCAACAATGCTATACCCAACACACTTGTTGCCCGTAAGGGTGGCTCAGGTGGCTGTCCAGCAATCTGGACTACCATCTCTTCTGATCTTACTGCGTCTTTCCTGGGCTCTGATGGCCAATGCACTGACCTTGCGAGAGCTGCTATCAGATTTGCATTCCACGATGCTGGTTAGTAATCTGACCTAAAGCACGCCGCCTGCAGAAACTGATGTACCATACAGNGACCGTACTCTTCAAAGACACCATTCTTTCTTCCTGCTGCAGGTGGTGCAGATGGTTCTCTTCTCCTCAACTCCGACGAGATCAACAGACCCGAGAACGGAGGTTTAGGTGACTACCAACAATGGTTGATGACAAAGTACAATTCCTACAACCAAAAGGCACCCGTTGGTGCCGCAGATCTCATTCAATTTGCCGGTGCTCACGCCGTTATCACGTGCCCCGGCGNNGGCTCTCAGATCAAGACCGTCGTTGGTAGAACAGACGATTCCCGGGAAGCTCCTGATGGCTTCCTCCCGGCTGGATTTGGTCCCAACTCGTCCCACGATGTCCTGTACCAACTTTTCCTCGACAAGGGCTTCAGTGCTAGGGATCTAGCAGCTTTGATAGGTGCACACTCCACCAGCAAAGCATTCACTCAACAAGCCAATGGAATTCCTTACGGTGGCCAGCAAGACTCAACACCTGGTAAGTAGACGTACCGAACTTTACACAGAAACATACTGATTCTTTCTAGGCCGCNNTGGGACATCGCTTACTATGCTCAGGTCAGCAATCCCCCAGCTGGTGTATACCGCTTCCAGGCCGACATCAACCTTTCCAACGCATCAACAACTGTTGGCAAGCAATTCCAGGGCTTCGTCGGTAACCAGGGCAAGTGGACAAGCTCTTTCGCTGATGCCATGGCCCGCTTGAGTGTGTTGGGCATTCCTGCTTCGGTGCAAGCCAACTTCATTGACTGCACAAACGCACTGCCCAGGGGCACGTCTGNNCGAAGAGATATTCGTGCGGCGCCCATCAATGATCGTGCGCGATGAAGGGACGCATTTGGACATGTTTTATGAAGTTTTATGGCGGCGTTGGTGATTATCTTTTTCTTTCGTATCACAAAAATTGCATAGATTTCTCTGCATGGTTGTGCGCGGATTGTGCTGGAATCGTGCTCAGATTATGCATATATTGTGCGATGTTATGTCCGGAGTGCACTATTCTCCAACCTCACGTCGTGACTGCCGCCTTCCTCTGCTTCGTGCTTGCCACATTCCCTATCTTCTCGTTACTCATCAGTGGTTCGCGTAGTTTGAAGCACTATCATAACCAAACAAGTATTGACACTCTAATATCCACACCCACGATCCAAGTACCCGATCACACTACAGAACACATCAAATGTCGAGTCCTGAAACTATAAGACCAAGCAACAATGACGAATTTGGTCTGACAACTCAACAAGACAAAATTATAGCCTTGACGACCCTCATCTCTACAATATCGTTTGCGACTTTGGATACCAAAGCCGGCGGACAAATGCTAGGCGGTGGAAAGTCTGTACTCGCAAATGCACTTCCTCCTCGCGTCGACGTCTCACTGCCCAAAACACCGCTCCTGGTTGAAAGTATCTCGCGCTCCTATCTTCGAGGTACTACGGCGTGCGCATTCTTTTATCTCGCGTACAAAGATTTTCGGACTACACAGCTTCGCCAGAAGAGGTTGGAAGAAGAAGACGTTTCAGCTTGGAGGTGGAAGTACTGGGCTTCGTGTGGTGCGGCGGGCGTGCTGGCACAGAGTCTTGGGCCGATACCTGGGGGTGTGTGGGAAAGGGTTCACAAACCCGATGGTAGCGTCAAGGGGCAAGCTCAGAGGATGGGGATGCTGACGTTGGCGAAGGGAGGGATTTTGATGGCTACGGTACCGTTCTGTTTGAGTGCTTGGAGTTCTTTGTAAACGGTTGCTTGAACAGTAGAAGTTGAGATGGGTTACTCCACTTTCCAATACTAACGATTCTATGGTGTCTGAATCTTTGTCTTGGAAGGGTAAACATGCATAAAGGTCGAATTTGGAAACTTGCTCAAACGATCTTGACCACAGCCACATTCCCTTTGCTCATGACTAGAACATCAAAAAGTCATTCTCTTCGCCACCATTTCATCTTGCTGACCACTCTTACATTTATCATGTACCCACCGTCCGTTGAAAATTCATCCTGGCAAAAAGCTCAACCATGGAACGCAGAATGCTGTCGACTACCAACGAGAAAGAATACTCGCTACGGAAGCACACCAACTTCAGCAGTCTACCTCTAGACGTGATCCTCGCCATAACTGATCACCTTCCAGCGTCCTGCGTCGCTTGTTTGTCCATGACCTGTAAGTCTCTCTACTACAGTCAACCAATTCGGAACGTCTGGACCAAAGGACTGGACCCGCTTGCTTCCCCAGCCAATACCCCCATACAGACTATCCTTNGTTATCCAGGCATCAACAACCGCAATCATGACTACTTCGATTTTGTCAGAATGCTACGGAAAGATATACCCACACATCTACTCTGCGATTATCGCCAAACGTTCCATTCGAAACCGCTGCCCAAAACTTCGAGGCCAGAAAAAGAGTGGCTTTCCTGTCCTAGGGCACCGTAAAAGGGAATGCATCTATTGTGGCCAAAGTTCGGTGTAGACTTGCAGTTCGAGGATGTACAGATGGTCATGAATCGACATCGGTGGAGAGGGTCACACGGTGCACCTCTATCCAGCATATCCATAAGCACGGATTGGAAAGTCATCAGAAATGCGCAGAACAATCCGTTCTTGTGCAAATTCGAGCTGAAGCCAGAGATTGTGAAGGGCAACCTCTTGATACATACCACCCAACGCCTCTTTTCCACTGAGAGACAGATTGAGTATAGATTCAAGGCCATAGGGCCCATACAAGATGCTACAGACGCATTCAAAGTGTGCAAACATGATCGGCTCGCGGACAAAATATATTGGAAGATCTCAGCGCTGCTCATGTCTTCTCATGTTCGCATGTTCGATCAAGGAAAGGGCTGGGAGAAGACTAATCTGAGCTGGTGCAAAGGCTGCAATACGTGCTTTTGCTTGGAAGCAGCATACCACGGTGATGGATTCTATACTGACGAAGCTGGGGGCGAAGGCTTTGATATGCCAGCAGAAGGCCTTGAGCTGACCTTGCATACATGGACATCTCTCGGCACATGCGAGCACACTTTTTCGTCGTCATGGCTCGATGTCTGCGAGCAGCGAGCTGATGTTCCGATGTACCCTAGTCACTCGATGGCCAAGGCAAAGAAGATGGCCTTCAAGACGTTCGAGAACTCAATATTGCCTAGGGTCAAGACACAGCACCGCCGAATATCCTCATGCTTCAAGGCCATCCAGCATCCTTCACTGCTTCATACAATCGACCGGGCAGTAGCTTTGGAAAACAGTCCATTCGCAGCCAAACACCACGGATCACAAAGATCTTGAGAAATGCCAAACACAAAGTCGACGAATTGGACATGGCATTCTTGGTGGAAGATGCACTTGCCGTTACGCCAAACAAGTACGAGCTTGTGGCATTCAGCTCGCCCCGCCTCTGAAGACTGCTGTGAGGATTCTAAATACGCACAAGCGCGATACTGAGAGGGTTAGTCCATGGACACAACATTACTTCAGCGTTTTGGCCAAGTTGTCGCGCGGATTCAACAGTTCACGCCGTGGATAAACCCGTTCCTCCTAGCTGCTCTCTTGTAGCAATGTATGGTAATGTCTGAAAGATGAGTATGCATAATACTCTGACAAAACAAAGCAGCATCTACAGAGAACCGTCATTTCTACTGACACTCTCTCTGGATAGATGTCCAGTTTGCAAACCTAGCATGAATATCGGACAGTGACATATTCTGACTAATCAACATAATTGCCAGATCTCCTTGAGACCAGTCAATCGCACATATATCTGTAAAAATACACAATGATCTTCCAGCCAGAGACATGTCCAAGGAGAGCGTACAAAATCATAGCTCTCTGTGGACGACGACTCTGGCTAAAAAGGATCGTATATTTTTATAGTAACTCGTGTCAGTCTAATAGTTGTAGGAGGAGAGCAAGGAGTGGTTAAGCCCAATACGCGGGAAGCAAGCGCTAAAGAAATCCAACTGTGACTTAAGTCAGCAACAGGACATGAAAGAAGGAGCTTTAGGAGAATGTTTGTTGACCTGGCTTTGGCGGGCGGTCATGCCTACTCTTTCATCTCCCCGAGACCCTGCTTCCGAATCTCAAGAAAGATGAACGAAGCTGTCGAGACTATGGAAATGCACAATCACTTCTGGCAACGGTCGTTTGTCCGCTGAAAGATGTCGAACGATAAAAAAGGTGATAAGAAAAAATTCAAAGTGTGCAAGGTATCCTAATGAGAAAAAATGAACCAAAAAAAGCAATAAAAAGGTCGGGATAGGGGCGACAGGCGCGAAACCAAGATTCCTGCTCTCGAAGCGCCTTGATGCTTTTTTCCAACCCCCCAGTCTCATGCCTCGCATTATGTACAACTCTTCGTCGTCGTCTTATTCATCCCACTATGCTGTTGTGGGCGTCGTGTCCTAATCGTAACATCTCTTTATTTGTTGACGGGCGAGTCGGCCTGGATGGTGGGGTTCTGACCGTGGGCGAACTTCGAGTCGGTCTCTAGGGGCTCTTGGGGCTTGTCTGTAGGAAGTGTGTTAGTTGAGGTCGCTTCAGAGCATTGAGTGATAATGTGCTTACCGTGACGAGCGTAGAGGTTGTACTCCTCATCAGCGTACTTGCCGACCTTGCCAGACTCGACATCTTTGCGGGTCAGCGAGAGCTTGCCCTTGGGCAAACCCATGCTGCCGAGGTAGCTGACGGCATCCTTCCACTCCTTGTCCTGTCTTGACTTGCTCCACTTGTACTCATCGGTCATCATGTCGATAACCTTGGGCAGAGCCTCGAGGGCAGCCTGTGCGTTCAAGAAAGCGAGACGAGTACGGCGGGCAATGACATCGACAGCGGTCTCGGCGTACTCATGGCGCATGGCGTAGCGAACCTCGCCGTCAACGAAGGGGTAGAGCTCGGAAATACGGTTGCCACGGACAGGGAAACGCTGTTCGGTAGGCTCGCAGAGGGCAGCGACTTGCCATGCACGATCACCGTACGACTCGGCCAAGTGCTTGGCGACCTCGGTCTCGATTCCGTAGTGTTGGATGAGGTTGATGAACAGAGTCTTGCTCCAGCCGTGGGCACCAACAAGTCTGACCTGGTGAGTCTGACAGCTACCGTTAAGAGTGGCGGCGTCGTTGAATCCCTCGGAGCCCGAGACACGGGGAGGGTTGGAAAGAGGACCGGTGCTAAGCTTAAACTCCTTGATGGCTTCGTCGACAGTCTCCTCGGCCATCTGGCGGTAGGTGGTCCACTTACCACCAGAGCAGGTGATCAAACCGCTGTCGCTGGTGGTGACGAGGTGGTTGCGGACGAGACCTTCAGACTTGGACTTGTTGGGGTCGCGGACAAGAGGACGAATACCAGACCAGGCGGCAAGGACGTCGCCACGGCGGACAGTGATTTCGGGTTTGAGATAGTTCTTGACTTCGGAGAGGATCCAGTTGATCTCCTCCTCGCCGGCGATGGGGTTCTGGTTGATGTCACAAGGAGTGTCGGTGGTGCCAGCAATGGTGTTGCCCTGCCAGGGGAGGAAGAAGATGACACGGCCGTCAGAAGTGTGGGGGTCAATCATGCCCATGTTGGCGGGAGCGTAGTAACCGGGAAGAATAACGTGAACACCAGATGAGGGAGCGACAATCTCGGCGACCTTCTGGTCGTCCATCTTACGGATTGAGTCGGTGAAGGGACCAGTGGCGTTGATGACACCCTTTGCGCGAATGCTGAACTCGTCAGAGCCGCCGTTGGCCTCGGCGACCAGATCCTTGACGCGAGCGCCATTGAGTCTGCCGTTTTCGTCCTTGGTGAGAGAGGTGACTTCGATGTGGTTGACAACAGTTGCGCCGTAGAGAGCAGCAGTCATTCCGAGAGAGACGTTCATGCGGGAGTCGTTGTGGGCACCATCNTGCTACTGTCAGTACACGCGGCTACTCAGGAATTGGCACACCAGGAAAAACTCACCGTAGTAAACCAAAGCACCAACCAAGTTCTCCTTCTTGAGCATGGGGAATGCGTTGAGAGCCTTGGACTTGGTCATAAAGTAAGAGGTTTCGATATTTTCAGAGCCGGCGAGGAAATCGTAGAACTTGGTGCCTGCCCAGAAATAGGGAGCTTGCCACCACTTGTTGATAGGAATCATAATAGGGAGCCATGACGAGAGATGAGGTGCGGTGTCCAGGAAGAAACGACGCTCGCGGAGAGCCTCCTTGACGAGCTTGTATCTTTACAAAATTATCAGCATTGGAAGCAATTGCAGAATTGAATCAGAGTAGACGCACTGGTTGTAATCGAGTTCCCAGACAGCCTTTTCGAGATATCTAACACCACCGTGGACGAGCTTGGTACTCTTGGAGCTAGTACCCGAGGCGAAATCGTCTCTCTCGACCATGGCGACCTTCAAGCCACGAGTGGCAGCGTCGAGAGCGATACCGGTACCAGTGGCACCGGCGCCAATGACCAAGAGGTCGTACTCCTCACCCTTGCTGCCTTGGTTGTCAGCCTGGACATCACCAGACGAGCCGGTGACAGCCTTGGCGACCTTGTTTCCGGCATCCTTCAGGGCACCCGTCACGGCACCAGCTGAAGCCTTGAGGTCGGCGATTTGGGCAGCGCGGGACTTGATCTCGGGGAAGCTGGGAGGGTTGAAGACACCACCCTCGCCGTAGGTTGGCGGCGGGACAGCTGCGGCCTCTGAACCGGGGATCTCGCGGGGTCTGTAGATGGTGTAGAGACCGCCTGCACCGACCGCACCGGCGGCCGAGGCGTATCCCAGAGCGCGGAAGAAACGATTCGATCGACTCGCCATCCTCTGTTGGTTGTGAATGAAGGAGAAAGAGGGGGAGCAGAGGGAGCGCGGCGAGAAAAGGTTTCAGTCGAGCACTCAAGGATTGCGGCCTTGATGAGGGAGCGGCTATGATGCAACGGATGTCCAAGCTTGTGGGTATTCTCCACGCTGATGGAGGATTGAGTCCACAATCGTGGATGGAGCGGCCCTACCACGGTCGCTTGTGTCTACATTCTCCACGGGCAATCCTGCATGCGTTGAGCGCCCGCATCCTTCTGGAGGCTGAAATATTGACCGAAGGACGCCCAAATACCACGACTTGCGCTCTTTCCTCCGCAGCTGCACGGCGGAATTCCAGCGCCCAGCACCTTGACATGTGAAAACAACCTGCGCTAGCCACGGATCTTAGCTGTCGCGTGTTTCCGCCAATCGGCCTCTTCCAGCACAACCCCTTGTGGCTTGGACATCGTGAAGTCAAGATTTGGCTGATCAACTTCTCATCTCTGCTTGGCGTTCGACGATCCTTTCTATCAACAGTTTGCAACACGACGCTCAGCACACCTTCTCCAGTCTTTTTCCTCCAACAATTTGAAACCCGACAACATCACTCCCGTCATACCCCGATCATCCTTGGCAGCTTCCTCGATTTGTTGCCAGCTCTCTCGGTTAGACCGGGCAGAGGAAATAACCCGGACTTGTGACTGCCATTGCATCCTTGAAATCTTTACTTCATATCGCATCGCTATCGACCTTGTGTGAAACACGCACCAGTACATGCTCGACATCAAATCTACAGCGCCGTTCGTTCCATAACGTCTAATCATGCCCCGTTTATCCCTTGCGCCAATCATGCCTCTGCTGCCTTTAGCAGCCCCTTCAGGTCGATACTCTTCGGCCTCTCGATCGGAAGACCCAGTGCGCGGTCCCAGATGAGCTGTGCAAGCGGTCCAAGGCCTCTACTGACTCCGAAGATGGCTGTGTAGTACAGTGTCTCCTGGAAGCCGTAGTGGTGGAAGAGTACTCCTGACCCAGAGTCGACATTGGGGTATGGGTTCTTTGTCTGCCATGCTGTCAGCGTTGAACTCCTCCAAAAGAGATGGATACAACATACCTTTCCGTGCTCAGTCAGCACGCCAGGGGCGATCTGCGAATTTGTCTTGACCAGCTGGAACAGGCTGTTGTTCTTGATGTCTTCGTGCGCGTCACCGAACGCGAGCAGAGCATCGAATCTAGGGTCGGGCTTGCGCAGCACCGCATGTCCGAAGCCAGGAATCACTCTTCCACTCTTGAGTGTGCTCCACAAGTAATCCTTGACGTCTTTTTCGCTAAAGTCGTTGCCGATGTGGTCTCGCATTTGCAAGATCCAGCGAAGCACCTCCTGCGCTGCGAGACCGTGCAAGGGACCTGCAAGGCCTTGCAACCCAGCCGAGTATGACAAGAAGGCATCCGAGAGAGCAGAGCCAACCAGGTGAGTCGAGTGGGCCGAGACGTTGCCTCCTTCGTGGTCACCGTGCAATGCACAGTAGAGTCTGAGCAGATCCTGGAAGCCTTCGTTCTCCTTGCCGCCTTTACCCAGCATTGCAGCATAGTTGTAACACCAATCCTGCTCGGGGTCCGCTTGAGCGGGTAGAGCACCGCCGCCGTGGTAAGAGTTTTGGTAGATCTTGGCTGCGATGGTAGGCAGTTTTGCGATCAGAGAGATCGAGTCTTCAAAGGTCGGCTCCCAGTAATCGGCCTTGTTCAGTCCCTTCTCATACGCCTTGGCAAAGACACTAGTCTTGTTAAGGGCGGACACTGCGCAGGCAAACTGGGTCATGGGGTGCATGTCCGGAGGGAAGTTGTCCAGCATTGTCTCGACATAGTCTGGCAAGGCGGCCTTCTCGGCCAGCTCCCGGGAGAACTGGCGCACCTGATTTGTGGTTGGCACTTCACCTGTGAGTAGCAGCCAGAACATTGCCTCGGGCAACATTTCCGATCCGGTCTTGCCCTTGGGGAGCTGCTCCTGGCAATCTTTGATGGTGCGGCCATGGAAGCGGATTCCTTCGTTTGCATCGAGGACGGATCCTTCCCAGATCATGGCAGTGAGACCTCTGGTCNNACGCTTAGCTTAACAGAACGGTATAGCCTGGTGTGGATAGGTCTACCTCATGCCTCCCAAGCTGTTCTCAACCTTGACACCACCAATACTCTTGGACGCATGGCTCTTGACTTGCTTGAGGAGATCGCGTTTGGCAGGGATGACTCTTGCGAGCGTGTCTTTGAGACTAGGTTCTGCGATTGTTGCGAAGCCTTGTTCTGTNGCAACTGTTAGGTACGTTGACCAAGGCACAGATCCTTAGGAAGACGAACGAGCTTGAGCAGGACGGTATTGGGTAGCCTAGTTACCATGTTGTTAGCACGTCAGATCTGCTAGAGGCATGGTGTTGTTACTGACCTTGACATTTCTTAAAGCCCTCAGGGCAGTGCGAGAGTTTGAAGCCATAATGTGTCTTTCTAGAATACAAAGATTCAGGTACCGTTCAGACAATGGCAGGAGGCTACTCGAGGAAGGAGCTTACTCATAATAGAAGCGCCTCCAAAAGGTAGGGCGCTGCGGGAAGGTACGCTGCAATCGTGGGGTGAGCGAACCTCGGTCGGCTGTTTCGGTTATGACGCCCGGAGCGATGGACCTCGCCGCAATACCCGCACGCCGACGGCAACAAGGAGACATATGCCTGGTGAATCTGCAATTTGCACTGAGCCTCTCGTCGAGTCCTTGAGTCTCGCTATACCATTCTCAGCATGCGTCGAGCAACCATACAGTGCCTGCAACGGCGCCCACTGTCGAAGCTCCATCTCACAGCTCGCCCTGCTCCTCGCTACATCTCGTCAAGCTTGGTCCGCATGTCTACCTCTTTGAAATCTGTTGATCCACCTTTACCTTCAGCAGAACCAACATCGTCCTTCCAACTATTGTCAACAGAAGAAAAGGTTGGAGCTTCTGAAGATGCTGTCTTCAATGACCAAGTTAAACAGGTCCAAGACTGGTGGGCCTCGGCCAGATATAAAGGCATCAAGAGGCCATATTCTGCAGAAGATGTCGTCAGTAAGAGAGGAACTTTACAGCAAATCTATCCTTCCTCATTGATGGCTCGGAAACTCTTCAACCTTCTGGAGGAACGAGCTGCTAAAGGAGAACCTGTGCACACAATGGGAGCCATCGATCCTGTGCAAATGACACAGCAGGCACCCCATCAGGAAATCTTGTACGTCTCTGGATGGGCTTGCTCTTCCGTTTTGACCAGCACAAATGAGGTGTCGCCCGATTTTGGTGACTATCCTTACAACACAGTCCCTAATCAAGTACAACGTCTCTTCAAAGCACAGCAACTACATGACAGGAAGCACTACGATGCAAGAAGGAAGATGTCTGCCGAAGAGAGGAAGACGACGCCATACACTGACTACCTTCGACCGATTGTCGCGGATGGTGATACTGGACATGGTGGTCTTTCGGCAGTCTTGAAGCTAGCCAAACTCTTTGCCGAGAATGGTGCTGCGGCTGTCCACTTCGAGGATCAATTGCACGGAGGCAAGAAATGCGGTCACTTGGCAGGCAAGGTTTTGGTCCCCGTCGGCGAACACATCAATCGCCTTGTTGCCACACGCTTCCAGTGGGATATGATGGGTTGTGAAAACCTGGTCATTGCACGCACAGATTCAGAGAGCGGCAAACTATTGAGCAGCGCCATCGACGCCCGCGACCACGAATACATTCTCGGTGTGACAGAGGATATCGAGCCTCTGGCAGAGACTCTTCAAGTGATGGAGATGAAGGGTGCAAGCGGTGCAGAGATTGACGCCTACGAGGCCAAATGGGTCAAGGAGCATAAATTGGTTACTTTCGATGAGGGTGAGCCGCTATACATCTGCTTGACATGCATGTGCTGACCTTTACATTTCANNGCTGCTATTGCCCACATCAAGGCTCGAACATCCGACTCGGACAAGGTCGCAAAATACGAGAGCGAAATATCTGCAAACCGTAACCGACCTCTGAATAGCCGGCGCCAGCTTGCTGCATCCATCGCGGGCTCTCCTGTCCAGTTCAGTTGGGACGTTCCGCGTACGAAAGAGGGCTTCTACCACTACCGCGCCGGACTTCCCGCAGCAACGAAGCGTGCCATTGAATTTGCTCCATTCGCTGATCTGTTGTGGTTGGAGACTGCAGACCCAAGTGTGAAAAAGGCAGCAGGCTTTGCCAAGGAGATCAGAGAGGTGCATCCTGAAAAGAAGCTCGTTTACAACCTCAGCCCTAGCTTCAACTGGATGGGACACGGTTTCACCGAGGACCAGCTGAAGAATTTCATCTGGGATCTGGGCAAAGAAGNNGGTGAGTGAAACATTCATCATTGCAATGGCCAAATTGACTGACACACCTGCAGATTTGTTCTTCAGCTCATCTCTCTGGCTGGTCTGCACAGTACCGCCACGATCACCAACGAGCTCGCCAAGGGCTTCAAGACCGATGGCATGCTGGCATATGTGAATCTGGTCCAGCGTCGTGAGCGTGAACTTGGTTGCGATGTACTCACACATCAGAAATGGAGCGGTGCAAGTTACCTCGACGGTATTCTGGGCAGTATCCAAAGTGGTAGCAGTAGTAGTAAGAGTATGGGTGAGGGTAACACGGAAGGAAGTTTCTAAACAGACACGTCAGTCGAGCTCTGAAGTCGATGGAGCTTGATGCTGGCAGATCTTTGCACTTCCATGCCTGAAGAACCAATGCCGTCTTGCACATTATATGAAAACAAACACACAACCATCATGAACCCGAATTTGTTTTCGCATAGATGCAATGTGATGTCCAATACCGCGGTGCAGATTTCCTCAGAGACGGAATTTGATGGTATGACCCTGACCAAATTCGATAGCCATCAACGGTGGCACAACATGACCAATAGTTAGTTCCCTTTCATTTCATGTGGGTTACATCACTCAGCAATTGCCTATTACCATTGGTGGTATTTCAATAGAACTTCTAAACGACGGCAGTAGGATGCATTTTTTTCTCGATTCGACCGGAGTCATCCATGAGCAAGTTAGAGTGAGATAGTCAGGCCCTTCTGCACTGATTCACAGATTGAAACCATCATAAGCAGCTCCCCAGGAAGCAGCTCTTCTTTGTTTCTCAAACACAACATCTCAAGTTCTTCGAAGCAAAGTATCAAAACTTCCCAATATTGCCGTCAAGACACCCATCAAGACAACAAGATTCTGCCACAGTCAAACTTCTTGCTTAAGAGCATCCACAAAATTGCCATCGAAACGTAGTCCATCTCAAGGCTAAGTACCCCGAGGTTGATTATACTGGCCACATCACCATCGACAATTACCACCACTGATATTCTTGTTGAACTTACATTCTCTCACCACAACAAGCACATCAACCACCATGTGTCAACACTTCGCTCGCCGTGGCGGATCCACCATCCGCACTCGTCAGATCACAAGGGTAGCTCAGAGCTATTCGGAAGGCACTGGTGTAGTCCGCAGTATCACCTTCGTCAAAGCCGTCAGCAAAGACACCTACGAAGGCCGTCTGGGCGACGGAAAACGATTCAGAGTCACCAAAGACGACATTAGCACGGATCCAAGCATATACCAGCTTGGTAAAGAGCCAGGTCACCACAACTGCTACCAACTGATCTTCAAGGCGTTCGAAAGGTATCGCGAGTTGAAAATGGTCAAGCCGGCCTGCGGGCCCAAGCAACAAGACATACCAAACAGACCGAAGAAGGTATTCTATTTCTGTGATGGCGAGAGTATCACAGATCTGGAATTGAAAGAGGATGAAGATATCGACGAATTCAATATTGTCGAGATCAAAGACCGTGATGACGATACCATGAGGAGGTATCTCAGGGAGACAGGATGGGTGTCTTCCAACAAGACCACTCAATCTGATGGTGAAGAGGACTGAAGCTAGCATCAACTGCTGGTGAGCATCACAGAATCGCTTGCCAGATACTCTCAGTACTCGAGTAGAGACACCAGTCGAGGAAGTCACAACATTTGCGAGAGAGTGACAGGCTTGGACAGATCTGCAGAAGGTCAGTTTTGTACGACCGATGTGTTATGAAGCGGGCTAAGGTACACATCGCTTGGACTGGAACAGAGATCGAGTGCTGACACAGCGAATACGCACACCTTTGCCCCCGGGTTTCCAACGAGAGCAGAAGACTATGGCGAATTTGATCCGCGTATCTCATGATTACAGATCATGACTAGACCGACCAAGCAATGCGGCGCCGACAGTACAACAGCAGGACCGACCTGTCGGAATTTCACATCTCCAGAGCATTGACCCCACGTCCATGTGCCGGGAATTGGATACGGCTCCAGGACATTTGGATGCATGTACAGTAAGACTTTTGGCGTGATCTCAGGTGATCGAATAAAGTCAACAGGACAAGGCGGTGATACCGCATCTAGCGTTCTGTGTGGAGAGTTACTAAGAGTTGCGTATATGCAAGGGTATATCGTATATGTTTTATGCTTTTTGTTTCAAAACTCTCGTTGTGATGTGCCTCGGTGACAATGCAGCCAGACTTATGGCCTAGTCTTGCTATGACACATGCCTCGAGAGGCACGACGAGTCTCTGTGATCAGTACGTGGGCACATTGGCCTCTGATCAGATTTACGTGCCCCATGTCCAAGTTCAGAGATAAAGCCTTTCATGAGTGAGTGTTGATGACATGATGCACATATAGGTGCGCTTGAGATTGTATACATGAGATCGACAATCGGCTTGACTGTAAGAAGGTATGTTGTTTCGAAATCGATGATAAGTCGGCCGAGGCTGTCGACAGCAGACCGTTAAGGAGGGCAGGACCAATGTTTCACGATTTCGGGGAACTATGCAACAGCTCCTTGAAGCGGACGTTGTGCAACACGAAACAGGTGGACGAATTGCTCATCATCCAACAGACAACGGTCTACCAGACGTTTGTCGAGTCTTGATGCCAGGAATCAAAGAGGGTCGATCGTGAGGAAAGAATCCTTCTGTTGGCAGTTGAGGAAGTTGGAAGGAGCGGCCAGGCCATGACTCCAGGAGCTGCAGTTTTGGGCATGCGGATCGACTTGCAGCAAACCGAGCTCCAACTCCTAAGGGCAAACATCCGGGAACCGGAACACTGGCACTCGAACCGACAGCCTGGATGCTTCCAAGCCATGGCGTCGAGTGGCTCGTCGGAATTCGGAAGCATTTTGACAGGCAAAAGTCCCAAACGCCAGCGTTGCCCTCTCAAAAGCTCGCATTTCGATCATGGGTACGCGCATACCGCGCTATCCTTCAGTTTTCAGCCAAGGGAGTTGATTAATGGACAATTGTCCGAAGACATCATCTTATTCGTGCCTCGTAGTCAAACAAGCGAACCATTTTAAGCGACACAAAAGAGGGTTGCTTGGGATGAAGAAGCTTTGAGCGCATTTTAGTTCCCGCATTCGCGCGTTTGCCCGGCACGTAGGCGCTCCAGATACATGCAGCTAATAAGAATTGGCCAACAACTGCCATCTATGAGTTGGATGGTCACTTAAACAAAGAGGGCAAACTGTTTTGCCCTCTTGCGTCAACTTCTATGAAAAGATCTGTCCCCCTCCCCTTGCCACTGTAGGCCATTCTGCAGTTGCCAATTACAGTATTAGCAAGGAATGACTTCAGAGACGTCGCCAGGGACGGCGGCGTCTACAACATCCGACACATTGGCAACCTATGTCACAGACTATCGTATGGAGAATGGCCGAAGATATCATGCTTATCGAGAAGGCAGCTATTGGGCAAGTCAGCCCTTGTTCTGGACCAACCGTCCTAAGGATTAACGTATTCAGGGTCCCAACGATGAACAATCCTGCGAGGGCGAAAGCCTGTCGCATACCATGTACACCCTAACCCTTGATGGGAAGCTGCATCTGGCGCCTATTGAAGCTCCGCGAGAGATCCTGGATGTCGGGACTGGCACGGGCACCTGGGCAATCCAGATGGCCGATAAGTTTCCCGAAGCCCAAGTTACTGGAACCGACCTGTCGCCCATACAACCGGATCTTGTGCCCTGTAACTGTGTATTCGAGATTGACGACGTTTCACTGGACTGGACGTGGGAAGACAATCAGCTTGACTACGTCCATGTCCGCGAAATGTTTGGCTCCATCAAAGACTGGAATCTATTCTGCAGCGAAGCCTACCGATGCATTGCGCCTGGCGGTTACATCGAGATTATGGAACACTCGACCTGGCCAGTATGATGACTGCCTTTGCATCGTTTGGAATGTTGTTCAGCTGACGAGATGTCTTGTAGGNTTAGTGATGATGATTCGTTAGCCCCTGATCACTTCTACAACACCTGGGGCCAGACCATCAACGACCTTTCCGTAAAATGGGGCAAGACCTTCGACACTTGGAAAGAGAGTAAAGCTCTGCTGGAAAGAGCTGGGTTTGTCGATGTCGTCGAAAAACGCTTCAAGTGGCCGATGAATGGCTGGTCCAATGACCCGACACTCAAACAACTCGGAGAATTTAATCAAATCCGCTTGGTAGAACATATCCAGGGTTTTACCCTGAGGTTATTGACTGGCGCTGGGGAGGTTGGTACATCCGTGGCATATCTCAATAACCGAAGCTGACGAACGACGCAGTGGCCATTACCACGTAAGTTGGCTTGAAGATGCAATCGACATGACGAAAGCTGGCCTCGGGTTCTGTCCTCTGGAGTTTGTGCAGCGGAATTGAATCAGCATCAGAGGCGAACATCACGTTTATGCTGAGTCGTGGTGTTAGTATTGTTCGATGGTATGGGATCATGCTAATTGTGCTTCGCTTCAGGTGCTCATGTTTTCCTTGCCGAGATGAGAAATGCTCTGAAAGACACCAATTGCCATGCATATCAAGACGTGTAAGTTGCTCCGGATACATTTTCTATGGCATGGATTGACGGAATTTCTTACAGAAGCGTTGTATATGGTAGAAAACCATCATGAGCCACTTCACCTTGGGAGTACTCAAAACCCTCACAAAGCCACCTACCATTGCCGAACAGCTCGGAGGATCCGCCTGTGGATCCACCATATACGTGCGACTGCTCTCATCGATGTCCAGTGTGCGCAAAGACTGAGCCAGTCCGAGTGTTCATCAGGTTTAGGCCACAGATTGACACGAGAGAATCTGGCCAGACGTACAGCAACATGACTTTGGTATGCCACTCATTGCATGGGATGTCATACAGAAGTTTTTGCCAATCTTGACAACATCGAGCTGATCGCTGTGGTCAAGCTGCTGTCTCTGAACCCGGCAACTAGAATGATTGCTCCGCGCCAGTACGATCACGAACCGGACCCCAATCTTAGGAACATCACATAAGGAAGCAAATATCTTGTAACAAGGATCATATGTTCGAGTTGTATCATGTTCGGGCCATATAGCGGGTTGTGTTAATCAACATTTCCCGGAAAGCAATTGCAAGATCGTTATGTCAGCACAATGCTTCCAATCTTCAAGCGCTATTTGCCGTCGATAACCATCAATGATCGAACCATGTTCTCAAATGCTGGTAGATTGATGCAGACCTTGGTCGAATCACCTGCGCAGCTTGTAGAAGCTCGAATGATGAGAACAAGTCCCACGATCGTATGCTCAGCGAGCATGGTCCGTCACCTGTAAACCTGTTCTCCTCCTTTGGACGAGAGTTCGTAAGGCTGTAACTCTTAGCATTTCGTGTGATGGTAGCCGCAAGGTTGAATAATGTCTCAGTATTTGTGTATATGAAGACATCTCCCGAGACATCACCGTCCATGTCCTGAAACTGCCTGCCTCGCTTCCATGGTGCATGAGATAGCTCGACCGCTCGTATCACTCCTCTGAACACGGTGAGCTCATGTACGGTTTGAAAAGACCAGGCCATCAGCTATGGAGTGTCCGAGAGTCCAGCTCGAATAAGAGCCTCAACAAATTTCTGTTCGAGGTACGCTTCTCCGATACGTACGTATACAACTATAGGCAGATGTGGAAAGCTTTTTGCCGGAAATGGCTGGCGAGCAGCACGTCTTTACGCGGCTACAACTGCCTTCTATCAAGGGGCTTGAGGAAAGCACGGATTGAGAAGCCCAAAGTGGCTGCAGCAGCAGTGTCGTTTGGGAAAAACAAAAACGGCCAGACCACCGGTAGAAGGATCCTTTGGGTGGCACGACGGGGGAGGTTGGAAGAAAGACGTTTCGACGCTGGTCGTTGTACTTGTGCAGTAGGTTGGTGGCTTGATGAGAATGTGCCGAAGGACAAGGGGCAGCATGGTGACTCGGAAACGAATCAGCAACTGGAGGGCTAACCTCTCCCATGTTCGACAATCGCTTGACCCTGGTTCTTGGTACCTAGTTTGAGGTCTTACTGCATTCCCAAAGCCTAGCCGCGTCGGATGCTCAAATTTTCCCTTTGCACCTAGTTGTCCGTCGCATACCTCGTCGTTCACTGGTCTCCGATGACCGGCGCGATACGTTGTATGTTGTATTTTGCCCGCTGATGTTCATCGAGGATATGTGAATATGAGAAGTGTCGAATCTCAAAGATCCGCTTATTCAAGGCTTATTGCAACGCAGATTGTTCTAAACATGCTTCGATATCTACGTTTTATTTCTGATTCACAGATCGCGACCACAGATTGAAGGCATCGTCATAAACAGACCACTCGTCTGGACGCACGGAATCTAGACCTACGGCTTCCACAGGGCCACACCCGGATCGATGAGACACGCTCCTCGCTGGACTACACCTCACGAACCCCAGGTCCCGGAAGGGGACCTAGCAACCGAAAGTCAACTGCTCAACAGTTGTTTGTGATAGAGAATTGACGTCGATGGTCGCGAAAGCTGACTCTTGGGCAAGTGCATAGACGGATCGTAGCGTGGAGTAGGCAATGGTGGCCATCAATGGCTCAGAAACGCTCGGCTACATTTCCTTGCAAAGACAAGGCATAAACTTCGGTCAAGCTGTGGCACGATCAGGCATACATGCATGATACATGCGGGGAATGGCGCGAGATCAGGGAACAAAGAATCAGCTTGCTGCTCATCGAGCTCAGATGCGAAACCAAGTGCTTGCCGCTCACCTGTTTGTTCGAGTCGGCCTTCACTTGGTGTGATGAAGAGAATTGCTGTTCGGAATTCAAAGATCCCTAACATGCACATATCGCAAATTGATACCCAGCATCTGCATGCCTAAGGAAACCCCGGCTAGATAGTCAGTAACGGGGTCCACTGACCCCTACGGCTGAGTACGGGCCTACTCATTGTTAGCCGAATGGAGAAAATGGTCGATACCGTGCTCTCTCAATCAAATCACATGGCCAGGTCTCCCTATAAAACATATTCTAGCACTGGATCGCGATATTGAAGCATATACGTAGATACACGCATAGCACCATCTGATTGTCAACTTCCTCCGTCCAGCGGCTGCCTCTCACGAAAATATTGCTGGTCTACAGACGGAGACCGTTACGATCTAAAGCCCTTGATACAGGTGCCTGGAATCGCGCGTGGCAACCATGAATATGGGGTATTCATCGAAGTCACAGCGTGGAAGACGGGGATGGAGAAGATGGCGGACCGAAGACGAGTAGAGTTGACGCCAGCAAGATCCAAGCGGATGGACTTGATGCTATTGCGCACCAGCAAAAGTCAACAGAGTCATCGGGGCGTGCCGACGCAGATGCAACGAACAAGCTTCGGGTTATCACTGTTCGTTCTAAATTAGCCCTGAAGCGTTGGGTGGAATGCTTTCGGCGTCGCCGAGTCGAAGTAGGCATTGTGCCGAAAGCCAACGAGGTGCAGTGTGAAAGCAAAAAGCTCCGGTGGCGTTCTGGGGAATTCCCAGAGGCGTGACTTTGGAGAAACGATTCAGGTGAAAGGATGCGCCCCAACCGAGCAGGCGGAATTGGGCGATCATACAGATGGTGTTATGATATTGGCCTGTAGGCGAACTCGTTTACCACTTGCCTGCAACAGGATGCCGAAATTGAAGAGGGACGTTGGCGAAACAAATTATATGCGTGACAAACCTAGTGAACCACAATCCTTGAGGACATCGGAGGAAAAGAGATTTGAATCGAGCCTAGACTCGGTAACTAGATACCTGCCTAAGTGAACAAGGTCAGGTTTCGCTTAACCGATGGTTTTATTGGCCGGATTCTTTGTCTCAAACTGTCCATCTAACATTGCCCAACACGAGACTCACGAGCTCAGATAAGGGGAGTTGGCAATTTGAAAACAGCACGCTATACGTGGTACGTCCTGTGAGCTGTGAGTAGGACGCGGTCTTGACGCCGTTGGCAAAAGTTGCGCGTGCGAGCAACGTAGAAACGAGAGCTTCGCCGAACTTGTGTGAGCGGCAGAATTCAGAAAGGGTTCACGCACCGTGCACGCCTCTAGCGTTGACCTCGGGAAGGATGCATTCTCCAGACGCCATGCCGCTTGTGTCAAGAGTCGCATCAAACTGTGATCATGATGATCGTCCAGCCCCCACCTCGTGGTGGCTTCAGCCTTCAGGAAGCTTGCATGCATAAGGATTGACAACAGGGTATCTTTGTTGCTCTCCGAGGCATGCGCGTCTTTGCAAAAGTGATTACTGCATCCATGAACTCGACCGGCCGGGTTTCATGGGATGAAGACGATGTCGCTGTCTCGTTGTCACCGATTAGCAAAGCATTGGTTTCATACTTGCAGATATTCAATCATCACTGCGTGAACCGTTATTGATCCGTTATAGGCAGAGCTTCGTATCAGTAGACCAATCGTCCAGCACCTGAATGTCGCACGAACGGCCGGTAAGACTTGCTGATGGCCGGTTCAGAGTCGATTCAACCATGATGCACTATGTTGACGGCCACGTGAGTGCAAGATCGTGTTTAGCTCTGCTTGTCGAATTTTGCGAGAAAACATCAAACACGACCGAGGGTTCGGTTCGTAGAGATCAGAAGATTTTTGTACGACATGGGGGCAGGCGTTGGTGCTGATCCGGGCGGAGAGACCGAAAGCGACTACGAATTCTTCCTTGCAGCGTGAACAAAACACATCAACTTCGGACAACAACTTGTGTGTCGCAAAGAGAGATTGGTTTTATAAGGTCTACCCTTGTTAGTTGCTTCTCTGTCAGAACTCTCCGTTGAATTGAACGCTGCCCTTGTAGACGAAAAGAAGGCGGAAGTATGATTCTTTGCTGACCGAGTGGTCCTCCCCGCACTGCGCACATGGTCATTTGCAACTTCCAGAATAATATCGGCTATTTCCCACACACTCATCTGCATGCAGGCACAGCACATTTTCAGTGTGAGAGCCTCGTGTGCACTCATGCTTGTAGCGTGATGTCTGACCAGTAGCTCTCTTTACCAGTCTTTGTAGCGATGTTCAGGCAAGGCTTATTTTGGAGAAGGATGCGTTGCTTTGGCCAAAAGGTGGGAGACATGGCCTGTTCGCTCTGTGCCGCCCGCATGCTTGGATTGGATCTGCAGGTCGGCGCTTATCACACTGGCGGCCGACCTAATGAAACACGAGCGTCTGGTTGGTCGTGTCTTGGGTCGGAGGGAGTTGGGCGCGCAAGCGATGGTGGTGTCTACCGTAACTTGCAAGCCCATCCCGCAGCAACGGCCCCGAGGGTTCTACTCGGTCTAGTCCCTAGGGCGAGTCACCCTTTCAGTTCACAGACCATGTCGTTGCTTTCGCTTTCACTTTTTTGCGAGAAACGCGCTTAGCGGCCGCTTCCAAATACCGTTTCTCGCGCAGAGAGCTGAGAACAAGAAGCAGGATGGGGTGCTGCATGGTTTGATGAGGGTGTGAGATGGGCAGCAACCACGGGGGCATGATGCGACGCAAAATAGGGCCTCGTGCAGTCTGCGGCCAGACGCATCTTCCCTGGAGCGGAGTCGCATCGGCAGCTGAAGCGTGAAGGATCGAAGATGGAAGAAGAAAAGACGCTGGGCGCGGAAGGATTATTGCCTACCTGTCAGGTGCATCGGAGCGGTTAGTGCAGCGCGCAGTGCAAGAGTGGGCGGGAAGTGGGAGGCTCTTTTGCTCGCCCTCCGCCAGTTGGTGCTCAGGCTCGTTGACTCTGTCTGCCCTAGACTCGATCCAGACGCCTCGCGCTCGCGCATGGATCTCGTCTACCACTAGCGGCCTCTCAGACAGCGCACTAGTCGTTTAGATTGCCGTGCATGTTCACCTCTCCGCTGGTGTCCAGCCCTCGATGTCCGCCATCCGTTCTCTAAAAGCGCCAGGGCACCTAAGCTTAACAAAGGATCGCCCTCCTCGCACGTCTTCAAAGACGTTCGTCTGTTTGCCCTGCGCGTACGCGACTCGTCCCTCGACTTCAAAGCACTCTCTCGAAGCAGACGCATTCTTTGTTCGTCCGCGCTGCTCTGCTCTGATTTCTGCCTCCCCTTGCTCGACTCTGCGCTCGCTCTCATTCCACCCACAAGCCCCTGCAAGCCACCCTCTCCACCATCCAAGCAGCTCTCCCAAAACGTGCATTTTCTCTCTAGCTTGCGACTGCCCAGCTCCAAAGCCACGTTTGTTGTCCATCGTCTGCGAATACCCAATACCGGTGCGACTCGTGCGTGTGACCCTGCCGTCTGCACAACCACATATCCGGGCTCCCAGATCTCTCCCTCAATGTAAGCCTCTTCCCCCGATCATGGCCTTGGGTAGCGCCTTCTGTTGCGCAACACCCGCTGAGACCCTTCTAGTATCCATTCGGTTTGACTCGCAGCAACTCGCGTCACCCTGTGCCTCTCTTGACCATCGTTGCTCCATCTAGCGGCCAGCAACGTCAGGCTTCGATCCCTTTCCGGGTTTCTGGAATTGTGCTGCAGCGAGGTAATCCGAGTACCCGCGTCTTTGGGATCCCATCATCACCACCACGGCAGAAGCATCTCTCGTTTTTGCCTCAAATCACATCGCAAAGCCATATCGGACGCCTCCATCTCATCTCCTCGGCTGTTCCTTTCCTCAACCGCCGCAGCCTGCATCAGTGCCGAACGCATCCTCTGACCCTGCCGAATAAAGCCTGCCATCCGCCATCGTGGCTGCCAGTCTTGCTCTCACGTCACATATGATTCCTGGATCGGATTCAATGGGTGCTCCCACGAGTTTCTCATCTCGTAGACCCAATGCTTCGAACCTTCCCAACTTCGAGCTGCCTCCTCCTCAATTGACGTCGCTGCACCAGAAGTACCACTCATATGCTACCACCTCCCAGCCGACTCCCTCCATCCCCTCGAGCTTGACCAGCGTCGGCAACTTGTTGACCCCTCCAAGCGGCATCTCGAGCGACGGTCTCAGCCCTAACTCATCTAACATGCCGACTGGCAGCTCGCAAGCCAACCAGGCGGTACCGCCCTTCACCCCTACCGGTTACATGTGGCCCCCTTCGCATACCGGCACCACACCTTACGGATTCCAGTCCCACAACAGTCCCAACCAGCGAGGCCTCTTTTCTCCATCTCTCAACTCGATTGTCAAGGGCAACAACTCGCCTCATTCTTCTGAGAGCCTGCCTCCTCCAAACTTCCCTGAGAACCCTTTCCCTACCTCCATGAGCATGTCGGCACCCGTCAACTTGCCAGCTCTGCCATCTCAGTCATCCAGCATTGGCTCAGCAATGATGGGAGGCCACACCCCCGTGACCCAGCCTTCGCCAGTGAGCCACCACGATTCTTATGCAAGACCTCCCNCTACGCCCACCTATTTCCATGGATCTCAGCACAGCCACAATGGCCAATCATCATATGCCTACTCTTCTGGACCTTCGCCTGTTCAGCAGAGCCCGATGAGTGCAGGTGGTCAGATCCCACGCATGTCTCCCGCAAACGGTCACGGATCTATTCCGCCACTTCAACCACAGAATGCGCAACCATACCAGCACCAGCGCCCATCATACCAATACCCAGGCCCGGTATTGTCTAACGTCGGGAATCCCAACAGCCAGCTTGCCTTGGTCGGTGGCATGCCCNCTTCAATGATGCCAGCATACAACAGCGGCCACGCAGCACACATGCAGCACATGTACGGCCATCACCCTCAGGCACAGCCAAACCCCCAGAACGACAGGCCTTTCAAGTGCGATCAGTGTCCTCAGAGCTTTAATCGCAACCACGATCTGAAGAGACACAAGCGCATCCATCTCGCAGTCANNAGCCATTCCCCTGTGGACACTGTGACAAGAGCTTTTCCAGAAAAGATGCTCTAAAGGTACGCGTTCCTCAAAATATGTATCGTCGAGATCTAGCTAATCCTCGAACAGAGGCACATCCTCGTCAAAGGTTGCGGCAAAGCGCCTACCAATTCGGCCGATGGCGATAGAAAAGATGGTTCGATATCTCCAGCTATGAAGAGCGAGAATTCGAGTCCTACCGTCTCCGCCTCGGCATGAGATTCACTCGAGCGACACGACCTCGACATCATCAAAACATGAACAACAACGATAACCTCACGGTGATACCCTTTTTGTTATTGTATTACTTATGGTATATACTTACGCTGTTACGGATCGGAAAGCATGCATGTGGTTTTTTCTCTTTCTTCTTTTTTTCTTCTTGTCAATGGCGAGGGCGCCGCAGAGGGCCACGGAACTGTCTTTGGGGCGACATCTTCACAGGGCGTTTGACGAGCTGGCATTATGCTGGGTATTGCGACTTTACGGACTTTAGTCCATCACTTTTTGCTTCAAGTTCTTGGATACCTATTTCGATTCTGGTGGTGGGCTTTTAGGGTTGCTACGGACGAAAGAAAGTGCAACCTCTACCCCTTTTCCTACAACAAAGCTACACACTTCTGTTCTTCGCATCCATCTTGACCACCTTTCGTGAAGCCTATCAGGCGTGCATTGGTTGTCGTACGTGAACACCTATTTACACATGGCGGCGCTGACGACATGCACGTGCTTCGGCGGGGCATTTCCCCAGCTTGATTCTCTTCCAATCCCCAGATCTTCTCTTCCTCTTGCGACCAACATCCTCACCGCCATCAGGGAGTCTTCTTGAATGGCAGATCTATATCAGTCAGAGCAGGAGGTCATCCCCTATGGCATCAATTCTCCCTTGTGCCAAACGTCTCGGTGCTTTCAATAGCCAAATCAGGGGTACGGCCAACGGTTTTGCATGTCAGGGGGCAGGCGGTTGAAACTTGACATGAAGTCGAGAGAGCAAGATGACGATGGCACGCCTTGAGTACCGAGAATACGTCGCCGGCAGTGTTGATGTACATACAACGTGAACAGTAGAGACATTCACACAAAGACTCTGACAGTGATGTCTTGGTAAAGAAGGAGGTGTTCTGGTCAATGTTTTGCACAGTGTAAGTCGGAACTGTTTGTCGAATTGCAGCGAGCAGGAGGTCAACGTCGTCGCGCACCGTTGCATTCCTAGCTCTGCGCATCAAAACATTTACAGTAATCATCATCTCGGCCAACAACAAACAGCGCTCCTGATTCTGTCATTCCGTTCCCTCGTCTCGGCACAGTGCTTGCTGCCAACTTGTTAATCGCTGACAAAGGCCACCGTTGGTGTCGATTGACGATTTCGCCGTCTCGTGGTGGTTCCTTCCCTCTCCATCACCTTGTACCTTGTCCCTCCTTGTCGACCTACGCCCGCCTTCCTTCCTTCCTTTCCTGTTGCGCCCGCGTAAACTCGCACGCGCCCGACTATCCTTCATCGACTCTATAGATACATCCCTCATTTGTCTTTATCACGCTGCCAGCACACAACACTCCGCTCCTTACCCGACCTGCATCTTAATACGCCAGCCAATGCATAATTAATCACGCTCGTTTTCTTTCGACTTTCAGAGCAGGACTTGGGTTGATTGGGCTGTCTGTATCATCGCCCACCAGTGTTTGGATTGCAAGACAGTATACCATCGACGCACATTTACCGAGGCACTTGACGCGACATCAAGACTACCCAACACAACAGCGCCATCATGGCCGACAACTATCGCCGCCAGACGCGACCATCATCGAGACGAGAAGTGCTTGGACCCGGCGAGTCTCGCGCCAACATAGACTCAACTGCGCGAAGAAGCATACGATCCTCGAAAGCACCAGAAGTGTCTTCGCCCACCTCACTCCNNCCCCACAACCAGTCACTCGCTGCCAATGGTACTCTAGACGCACGCACAAGCAGTCCCGCGGCCTCATCAACGCACCAGGCGCACCTCTCATCTGCTGCTCCCGAATCCCAACGAGCTAGCAAACGCTATTCAGAGATATCAAACTGTACCACCGCTTCCGGATCGGGTCGCAAGAGCTTCGTGGGCCGATGGCAACTCGGAAAGACAATCGGCCAAGGTGGCTGCTCTACTGTACGCTTGGTTAGACACAAGGACACTGGTCAAATTGGTGCCGCAAAGATCATCTCGAGAAAGATGGCCGAAACGGTTCGTGCTCAGAGTTTAGCCAACTTGGCAGAGATGCCCGACAAGTCACTGCAAGACCTTGTTGCTGCCGGCAAGGCCATGCCACCCNCTCCTCCAGGTCTCCTGCGTGAGATTGCCATCATGAAGCTACTTGATCATCCCAACATTGTTCGCCTGTATGACGTCTGGGAGAACCACAATGAACTTTACCTCATCATGGAATACGTCGAGGGTGGAGAGCTCTTTCACTACATCGAAGAGTGTCGCGGTCTCGGAGAGGGAGAAAGCGTCTACATCTTCCGCCAGATTGTTGCCGCTCTGCTTTACTGCCATCGCATGCACATCCATCACAGAGACCTCAAGCCCGAGAACATCCTCCTTGACCGCGAGAATATCCAAGTCAAGCTGGTCGACTTTGGTATGGCCGCTTTACAGCCAGAGGGTAAGAAGTTGACAACGGCCTGCGGTAGTCCTCACTACGCTGCACCCGAAGTCATCAAGAGTAGACCGTATGATGGCGCACGAGCAGACGTATGGAGTTGCGGTGTTATTTTATACGTCATGCTTACTGGAATGACTCCTTTCAACTACGACCAAGATCGAAACCTCGGAGTCATGTACAGAGCCATCGCTGAGGCCGACTACTACATGCCACCTGAACTCAGTCGCGATGCTCAAGACCTGCTGCGTAAGATCTTCGTTCCAGACCCTCGTCGTCGTATCACCATGGAACAGATTTGGGAGCATCCTCTCCTTCACAAATTCGACGAGGAGTGGGGATACACGGGACCCCTTGCAAACAAAGAGGCTTGGGTTGGTCCGTCACCTATTCTCGAAGACTGGACCGTGACACGCGAAGACGAGGTTGACAAGGAAATACTTCGTAACATGCGTACCCTGTGGCACAGCGTGCCTCAATCGGTCCTCGTCAAGAAGCTCGTCAGCAACGAACCGAACCAAGAGAAGCTCTTCTATGCCGCTCTTNTAAAGCATCGCGAAGAGAATCTCGAGAATTACCTTGGTGGTGCTGATGCCATCAGCTATTCTGCCAGCGATTACCAACACAACACGAATGAGCTCAAGGACCAGCCCNCTATGCCCAACCAAAAGCAGCATTCACAGTCTCAATACTCCATCATGAACGACGAGCATCTTCGCACCCCACAACCTGACCAGAATTCGCCATCCGACGGTAGCTACGATCCCTACCGAGCATCCCGTTACCAGACTACACCCAATGGAACGCCGTACACAAAAGTCACTGTGCATCGCAGAGGCGAGAGCAATGGTAGCCGCAAGGCCTATATGCAGCACACCTTGCGCCATCCCAATGCACTTCGTGTTGAGATGCTGAAAAAGAATGGTCCCTCAAATTCCAGTTCCAGTCTGGTAAAGCAAGAGTACAGGAAATCGATGACACGCTCCTTGTCTAAAGCTTCAACATCTCGCAACTCGGTCGTGAGTTCTGTCTGGCCTAGCAGCCCACCTGTGATGCCGAGAACAGTCAGCTCCCACAAACATAAGAGAAAGGTCAGCTTTTCTCACCATCGTAAGAGCTCGCAAGCCGCAGTCAGCACCAGCGCTCGTTTCACCCCAGAGCTCCAAGCCAAAGCCAGATTCTCTCAATTCATACACGGAAGTCCTACTCCTGACGCAAACAGCCCTTCTTGTCGTGTAGACAATGCAATTCGATCCAGAAAGGAAAAGTCGGTTACACCTGCTCCTCGTACGCGACCTCGCAAGAACTCAACCGGCGCAGCTAAGACAGATATTCGCAAGGCCAGTAGCGAGCTCGAACAGGCTTGCGAAGAGGCTTTCAATCGTTGTTCCTTCAGCTCAAGCGTATTCACAACGGCATCGGCAACCGAAAAGGCTGGCTACGAGACTCCTCCATCATCCGTGTCTAAGAGGGATTCTGGTAGCTCAATCAAGGAACACGCCGCACCTCGCCCTCTGCCCGCTCTTCCCACTGACACTCCAAACACCTTCATCACTCGCACACTCGAAGAAACCCGACACAAACTTGCAGCACGAAGTGCATCTGAAGGAAACGATGGCTCTGCCAAGATTGAACAAGTCCTCGCCAATCTTGATAGAATCATGCCGGGCGATAAGCGTACCGTTTCGGCTCCTGATCACCATGTAATAGATAACAGAGCACTTCTGCCAATCATAAGCGAAGAAGGCAGACCTGAGGGCTCTCAAGGACGACCCAACACAGCTCATAGATACAGATCTGTCACAGCCCCAGTGCCAGAAAGAACAGTTCGTATGGTTCAGCCTTCATCCCCTGCCACACCCAAGAGTCCATACAATTGGCGTTCTGTCGAGGAGCCAGCCTCGGATGTCTCTCAGCACACTGTCATTGACAAGTCTCGCCTCACTGTACCCACTGCAGACNCCCGTATGGTTCGCAAGAAGAGCAGCGACAGTGACATACCCTTGAGCCAAATCTCTACGCAAACGTCCCACGAAGGCGCAGTCAAGAAGAAGTCTTCTTGGTTCCGCAAGTGGAAGGAACCCTCTGTCGTTGATGACAGCCAGCTTGGTCCACGCTCACCCATGCCTTGGAACGAGACTGCTGGTCAACCTGGCAAGCCTAGCGTCCTCAACCGAGACAACCGACCGCCTCATCTGGACCTGACCAGCGCCCAAGTACCTGCGCCTAAGTCTTCTTCAAGCAGTGAGTTCCCAATGCGCCGTGAAAGCAAGGGTTTCAGCAAATGGTTTGGCAGAAAAAGGATTCAGACAAATGTAAGTTTGCAATGTCTAGGAGCTCAGTGATGGTTTCTAACTTGATACGCAGTATCTCCTCCATCTGCCGCAATTAACACCGGTCCGCTCAGTCCTTTCTCAACAGGACCATTGTCTCCTCTACCTCCAACCACTCCTACCTCAGCTGGTGGCGATAACGCAACACGCTCTTGGTTCTCCCGATTCCTTCGTCTGCGACCCGAAGTTCGCACTCTGGCATTCAATGTTCCACGTACCCGAGCTAGAACAGAGTTGGTACGCATGTTGCGCGAGTGGCAACGACACGGTATCAAGGACTTGACCTACTTCCCTCAAGACAACGCAATCACCGCCAGCATCGATAAAGTCAACTCTTTGGGCATCAAGCCAGTCACCTTCAGAATTGAGCTGTTTGTTGTGCTCAAGAATGGCAGGAAAGCTGGCCTTTCGTTGGCGAGATGTTCGCAGATGCGCGGAGCAGCCAGTTCATTCCGCAAAGTCATCGAAGTCTTGGAGCAAGTCGGCAGAGATCGCGGTCTGCTGATTGAGGACGAAAGCCAACGGGAAGAGCTTTGTGGTATTTTGGCCTGAAGAGGGTTCGAATTTGCGTCTCAGCACTGATACACTCACCCACCTTCTTGGACTTTGTTCACTCTTGCAAAAGTTCCTTTGAAATATGGGAAGTTCCTTTTCTCTTAACGTTCTCTTCATTGTACTTGGTTGTTGGAATTCCGGTCATGACAAGGGACCAGATACCCTTTCATCGAAGTGGAGTTTTTGTTTTATGGGAAGCATTTTCGACGACCCAGCATCCAATTCGGAGTTTCTCATTTGTTTCACAAAATGGCGTATCAGGGAGCGATCATTTTCTTTTTTGAGCAAAGGGTGCTGGTGGTTTTTATGTCTTTTTTGTTTCCGTTTACTTTCCACTTCAGCTTTCTTTACAGTTGTACCATATCAGGCAGAGGAAGAGAGAGAAAAGCAGGAAAGATCCAGATTCTGTAGGAAAGAAGGGAAGAGAGATGGAAACAGCGCAATACGCTCTAATGTTAATGAACACTTGTTTTACCTTTGAGCGCATATTCCTAGCTCGAATCTTCATTGATGGCGCTATCTGGGCAGGACCTCCATGTTTGGACGCAGAGGACCGCTGCTATCAATTCGGAAATGGGTATCTCCGTCGCAGTGTAGAACACGAGTATGATGCTTCTCACGTATGCATCTTCCTAGGCCACCTTCTGAGGTGTACTGTGGAAGTTGTCTCTTCATCCACTTCTTTCCGCGAGACATGGCTCGTTTATAATCCCAAAGCTCTTTCGTATCTTTGTCGCTCAAGCACCCACCTCCTCAACTCTCGCACTCAAAATCTTGACAGCCTCGACCGGTCTATCCTCCTTGTCCACCTTGACCAAGCCCATCCTCTGCACAACCTTCATACCCCCNTTGACCCTCCCGAAAATCGTATGTTTGCCATCCAACCATGGCGTCGGCGCCAGCGTAATAAAGAATTGACTGCCATTCGTATCCTTGCCCGCGTTTGCCATGCTCAAGATTCCAGCGCCGGAGTGACGCAACGAAGGGTTTATTTCGTCGGCGAACTTGTCGCCGTAGATGGAGGTGCCGCCGCGGCCGGTGCCGGTGGGATCGCCGCCTTGGATCATGAAGGAGGGGATGATGCGATGGAAGGGGGTGGTGTTGTAGTAGCCTCTGCTTGCTAGGGTGGAGAAGTTGTGACAGGTCTGTTTTTGTTTTGCGAGGATGAGTATTCTGTAGGTCTTGAATAAGGTTATGGCGAGAAGGGTGATACCTTTNGGTGCATGTTCGGTGTAGAGCTCTACTGTGATTTCTCCCATTGTCGTTACGAGCACTACGGTTTGCGCCATGGTTGTGCTGCTGGTGTGTGTGTATGCGATTCCGTGTAGAAGTCAATGGATCAAATTAGACGTATCGTGATATTGGAAGACCGGGTGAACAGGGTTTAAGAGATGCAAAAAGATAGCGATCGGAAGGTGTGAAAGTTGTCCATCACGGTTGCTTGGATCAAAAAGCCCGGATGACGATCAAGTCATCACCCACGCGCGGACCAGCCAAAACATTGTCGCAGCCGTGAATCGAACACGGGGCTCGTGCATGGCAAGCACGAATTTTACCACTAAACCACTGCGACTTTGATATGAGCATTGAGCGGATAGCTAAAATATATTGTCATGAATCTGAGTACCATGCTGCCTGATCAATTCCCAATCCAGCGAGGGCAGTAGTCGCGCTTTGCTGTCGCAATGCACAGTAGCTGATACGGGCTTGTCGAGGGCCACAGAGCTCTGTGCTATAGTGCTGAACAAAAGCCTGTAAATACCCAGAAAATCTATTTGTAGAGCATAGAACACAATTAGACGTACATAAAGACAAGTAAAAACAAAACACACCACCCTAATTACCACAGGACCACAATCTATCGACTCCGTAGCTCTTAACATCAGTACCCATGCTTAGCCAGCTCCTTCTCCGTCCACTCCCAAAGTTCCTCAACCTTCTTCGTGTCCTGGGCCCATCCAGAGCCTGGCCCTTTGTTGCCAACAGGCTTGAAGTAGTACCCTTGTCTAACATCTTCCTTCTTTCCCGTGCAGGCCCAAAGCTGGTTTCTCGTTCCTTGAGGCACAGTCTGCATGAACAGTCCACCCACAGCAGCAATACCATATCTGATAATCATACTGTCGCGTTGAGTCGACGCAAACAGATCCGTCTTGATGACACCAGGGTGCACAGCGACAGCCGTGATGGAAGGATGGTGAGACGTCAGACCGCGAGAATGCAGGATGTTGGCCAGTTTAGCGCTGCCATAGCGAGCCCAGGTACCATAGCTTTCGGCGGCGACTTGATCGTAGATGATACCGTCACCACGAGGTGCCAATTGATGTCCTTCGCTCGACAGCGTTACGACTCTGACATCGGCCTTGGGGTCCTCTGCTGTCTTGAGAAGTACGGGCAAAAGGAGTTTCGTGAACAAAGCGTGACCCATGTGATTGGTTCCGAATTGGATCTCATAGCCTTGCTTGGTGGTGCTATATGGTACAGCCATAATACCAGCATTGTTGAGCAGGATATCCAATCTCTGCTCCTTTTGCATGAACGAGTCAGCAGCAGCCTTGACGGACTCAAAGTCTGTCAGGTCCAGAGACAAGAACTCGACTTTGACATCAGAAACTTGACTCTTGATCTCGTCGATTGCGGATCTGGCCTTTGACTCTGTGCGGGCGGCCAGGTAGATTTGGGAGGGATTGTGCTTTGCAAGCTGCAGAACTGATTCTTTGCCCAGCCCAGTATTGCCNTAATAGAGGTCAATTCAAGGATCTGGACCTTCTTCTTTGCTAAAGGAGCACCTACCTCCTGTCACGATGATGACCTTGCCGGAAAGGTCGGGAATGTCCTTCTCGGGTTCAAACGATTGGCCGCCGAAGAGACCGAACATGATGGATGATTAGAAGGTCAATGAAGTTCCTGCGAGAGTTGCGCTTGGCTATGTCGGTGAAGATGTTAGGTTGCCAAGTATACAGAAGGGCAGATTGGCATGTGCGGAGGTGTCAAAGGGTTGTGGGGATAAAGCTTAATATTTACTTTTTAAGCTCAAAACACCTAATGCTGTAGCCTGGAATGCTGTAGCCTGAAATGCTACAGCATTTCATATCCAATCACGGAAGATACGGAGAAGTGGGAGATTATGGTATGATAGTTCGCATCCTGGCTCAAGGTAGAACACGTCTTTGTGTAGTGGGTCATATGGTAAAGTGTAGAGCTGAAGCGTTAAATAACGATTGCTGCTGATTGGGGAGCTCGGAAAAACGCCTCTATCATAGCCAGAAATAAATGCATCCTTCAGTAAAGCAAAAAGGCGCGAGAAGCCGGCCGTGGTATCTAGTAATTCTGAAATCTTTCAACAAACGCCGTGTTTCCGAGAAACGCCAACATCAAATACGGTCATGATGTGGATCGTAATACATCTCTGGCAGCTCATGGACTGTCAAATCATCGCTCCATGTCGCTCATCCATCCGTTGTTAGCAAGACCCATGTTCATGTTTGGGGTCTGCGTTCCGTAGGCTCCCATCTCGTTTTCACTCATATCTCCCCATTCGTTACCACTTCCAGCGTCAAAACTGCTTCTTCCGCTGAATACCTCGGACTCTTCCGGGATGGCTGGCGCACCGACAGCTCCCCAGTCGAGGTTTGCTAGATCTGGGTACATCTGCAGTAGTGCGGCTGGAAGAATGGGATGGAGATGAGGTTGGTTTGTCATGGGAGGTGGGGCTACAAAGCCTTGGTCGCTTTGCATTTGTCGCTGGGCATGCTCTTCTGCCCACTGTTTCTGTCGCTCGGCAGCTTCTTCGTCCAGCAAAGGCTTGATACACACACGTCCAGCTTCTGAGCGGAAGTGTCGACCAAGAGCATCGGCGCGTGCAAACCTACGGCCGCATCCCCACTGTTCTCCATTGCTAAGTTGACCTTTGCAAACAAACTTCTTCTCGCCAGAATGCAAGCTCTCGTGTCGCTTGCGGTCGTGTTGACGAGCGAAGGCCTTGCCGCATACAGTACAGACGAATGGTCTCTCATCGGTATGAGTGCGAAGATGGGAGCGCAGGTTGTATGCGCGGGTAAATTTCTTGGGGCACAATGTGCACTGGAAAGTCGCAGGGTGTTTTTGAGTTCGCTTGGGGTCATTGCCTCCATTGGCAGCTCTTTCAGGGTTTGCGAGATCCAGAATGTAGTCTCGCTGGGGCACAGACGAGGTCGAAGAGCGTCTAGAGAGTCCACTAGTAGACGAAACGGACGAAGGCGAAGGTGAGCGGGAGCCGCTATGACGTGCGTCGAAGGGCGATAGGGAGTTTGTCCCTGGTTGAAGCGAAGGAGATCTACCTCTTCCTGCGACTGAGGGAGTTACAGGCCGCGATCCAACGAAAGTGTCTGATTTGGCGCGCATTCGATTGCGACTACGATCTGAGATGGCAAAGTCAGTAACAAGGTTAAACAAAAGGTAAGACAACGTACTCCTCTCCGGCGGACTGAGTGCATCCTCCGGCGCAGCACCAGCGGGTGGTCCAAAACTAGGTACCCTTGAAGGAGGTGCAAAGTCGATGTTGATCTCGGGCGGAGACATGGTATCGGCCATGCCTATCTCATTGGGGGTACCGCCATTGCTCAGCTGAGGAAAAGGTTCAGCTGCCGTGAGCGAAGCATTCGAATACATGTCGAAAGTCTGCTGTGGTACTTGGTATGACATGTCTGGTTGCAAGGCAAAGCCGTTCGCCGTGTTGAAGTCTGGAAGCGCTTGCTGCGCTTGAGGCAACAATCGAGGCGACACGGCCGGACTAGGGCCTGGGCTGATATGAGGTGGAAGCTGCGTATCGGACAAGGAGAATTGACCAAGACCAAGAGCGTCGGGAAACATGGAGGCGTCGGTTTGTGGGTTCAGCATGGGCGAGGCATCGAAGCTGTCTGCTGTGGGCAGATATGGTGAAGCCTGGTTGGAATGCGACGAGATTTCCGAGTAAGCGTCCGATGGTGTGCGACGGTGCGACTGAAAGGCCTGGCCAGCGCCCCAGTCGTTACCATGATATCCCGGAGGTGGGTATGCAGCGCTTGCGGGGTCAAGCGACTCGGATCTCTGTCTATTGACCTGATTGAATGAAGCCTGCTGATACGAGGGAGACGCATGTGGACTGGGACTCTGTGATGAGCGGCGCAATTGAGGCTGCAGCAGGTGAGGAGGAGTCGGGTTGTGATGTGTCGCAGCCATGGGATCCACTAGCGACGGGTTGGAAGTGCCGTAAAATAGGTTTGGGTCCAGCTGGTGCTGGTTGAAGTCAAAGCCCGGAAACGAGTTGGAATCGTTCTGGGGCGGATTGTGAGGCGAAGGNCCCGTTGAGCGACAGGTTGGTCGCGCTGAGAGATGTGGGAGACAGGTTGCCGCTCAGGTTGCTACTGCTGCCGTTCGGACTATAAAGGCTGGGGGTGCGAGCGCTGAAGAAGCTNNATTGTTATCAAAGGATGAAGATTGGAAATCCAGCAAGGTAGCTTGAGGATCAAGAAACTGCTGTTGGTTGAGAGTGTTGGCCTGGAACTGCTGCTGGCTATCATAAGGATTGGAGAAGGGTTGGAAAGAGTCGGCCGAGACGGGNGGTGACAAGTGCGACGACGAGGCCGAACGATCACGCTGGCCTTGGTTGGAGGTCATGTTGACGAGTGTGACGGGGTGCTTCTGTTAGATATCTTCCAATATCATGGCCATATGCGGTCGCGACAAAGGCGTCGAGGCTGTGGAGAGGCTGTATAAAGCGCGAATGCACGCTGACTATAGCGCAGGAATGAGAAGGATACCTCTGCCTGAGGCGGTGCAATAATGCTTCGGGGCGGAGCACAAGATGCAGATGCGGATTGACACTGGTAGGAAGAAACAGAAGGCAAGTTTTGGCCAGGAAGGCGCGCGTGTCAGAAACCCAGAACGAGGCAGCTGCCAACGACCCTAGGTACCCTACCTGTAATAAGCAACAGCCCAAGCCGACTTTTGGGCATGTCCTTCCGCCGATTGGTTTGCGATGCACCGAACCGAACCAAAGTCAAAGCGTCGTGACGGACAGCAGCCCAAAGCGCTCCACCCGACATGTAGTTTCCTTTTGATTATCAGATCAATCTCCATCACCTGCTCTGCCTATGAACTCCCCTTATTCGCAATCAATTCCACCATCTATCAGTCCGCATCACAATCTCCTGCTGCCGGCGACCAGCGCAGTGCGACGAGAATGCCAAAACCTGCAGAGCATATGAGTTCACCGGTCAAGGGACCCGCCAATAGAAACGTGTGTCGCATGCTCTAAGCCCCGCTCGAATGAACCTTGCTTGTTCACTCCCGACCTTTTCACGTGCTGCCCTTTTTGTGCTTTGAACCTCTTCCCGCTTCGAGGCTTGCAGCATGATGCCTGTCTTTAACATCTTGCACAACACTTCATGACTGCGCCCCTGGGGCCGATTGACCGCGCATTGAATCATTGATGCAAGAGCAGCCTCCAGACGATTATCGAGGATTTTCGTTGTTGAACGATCGCAGAGTGAAGTAATGCAAGACTAGCGATGGTTTATTGCTTACACAGCCACCTCCATATTCTCGGTCATGATCATTTCGGCTCTTACACACAAAAACGATCTTTTGCTCTGATTCATGCATCTCTTGTGGGTTTCTGCCAACTGTCGGGAGCATTTCGTTTTGAGGCCCGTCATAGGGGGTCTTAAGAGGACGTGTGGTCAACTTCCGTGCTAGAAAACCGCCAAATTATGCCTAGTGATCATACTCGATGATATTAGCATCATTGTTCTTACCATGTGCTAAAGACTATCATATCTAACCATAGAAATGATCAAAATCAAATTTACTGCATGGTCAAACAAAAGACATGAGTTCTAAAATCGAGGGATCATCGTCGTCTAAAGAGTGAAGAACCCCGTGGTCTTACGGTCTCTGCTTTGCTTGAGCGTCGTGGGGTCTTCTGAATATCGATCTCAGACGGAAGGTTAAGATCTTAATGCGGTTCTTTTACGCTAAGTCTACTAAAGATGATCGACGAAGAAGCCTGCTCACAAGCGGCAGGAAGAAAAATCATGAATGCATTTTGAAGGCTCAAGCTATGCGCATATTACAAGCTGCTCAGCCACCACATGAAAGCCAGCTGGATGATATACGAGTAGACGAAGAGGAAGTAAGTCCTCTTGGTTCTTTGCGAGCGGGCGATGGGGTTATGGGCGCCCGAGGCAGTATCCGGGAGAATGACATATTTGAGTGAACGGAGCTGCTTCAATTAGTACACAAGACAGGTGAGGAGGGAGTATTTGTTGCTTACGAGGAAGAAGGCATTGGCCAGATAAGTGTAGGCAAAGACGGACCAGCCAACATAACCACCGGTGCCTTTACCACCTGTCATGATGGTGGCCAGAGCAATGGTGAAGATGATACCGACGAATTTGTAGCCAGAATAAGCGACCAGATCCAGCCACTGAGACTCGTTTGAAATGTTCAAGAGGTAGGTACCGAGCTTAAGAAGCAGAAGCTCGATGATGACAACAGCAAAGGCGTTGGTAGCAGTCAGGCCGAGCAACTCTGGACGGAAAGCGCCTTGCAGACCTGCGAGGAGGGTCGAGAGGAGAATGTAGGTGACAAAGGCCATGACGGGAATGTACATGTCGGGACTGTTTATGTCTTCGCGAGGNGGCAGGAACATGGGACCGGACTGGCCACTGGCGGCCATGGGCTGCTGTTGGCGCGACCAGGGACGATGGCGCCAGGGGAAGAGGACTATAAAGAGCTTGTTGACGACGTATTTGTTCGAGACGTTGAAGTAATGCTTCATGGCCGAGACATTGACATAGCGGTTGAACTGAGAGGGCATCAGTGCGTCTTCTTGATAATATGGTACAGTGTCTTGACGAACGTTTTGTTCCATGTACTCCTGACCAGCAGCGACGGCCGTCTTGCCCATCTGGAAGCCCATCTGGGCGGTGGGATCGTTGATGAAGCCGCCAAATGGAGGCTGGCCATAGTTGGAAGGGGCGTAGCCATACTGCTGCTGCTGGGCCTGCTGTTGTTGCTGTTGTTGTGTCATGGGCGGAGGGGANGAGCGCAATTGTGGGACGGTCGAGACGTGCTGGGGGACAGGATGGTGGAGGGGAGGCGATTGAGCCGGGCCCATGTTGGAGTAGGGGCCGCGCTGCATGGTCAGACGGTGATGGAGAGGATCCTGTGGTTAGGAGGTGACTTGTCCTCTTGTCTTCAACACGCTGGCAGCGCATACGGAGCTTTCCCCAAATCTTGGCAGTCGCATTGGACAGACGCGGCCAATGCATTCGGTATGCGACACCTCGTCACGCTTTATTCAACAAGCACCCACCCAACATGCTGGACGCCTTTGAGATCATCACGACGTCGGGTGTCGTCGTCTGGAGTCGCACATACGCCNCCGTTGCCCACAAGGTCGTCAACAGCCTGATCAACGACGTCTTTATCGAGGAGCGCGCCCAGAGCCTGCAGAGCCAACCGCGGAATGCCACCTTCAAAACCGACAAGTACACGCTCAAATACACCCACGCCAAAGATCTCGGCCTGATTTTTGTCGCCGTCTATCAGTCCATCCTGCACTTGTCGTGGGTCGACAATCTGCTCGACGTTGTCCGTGGCCTCTTCGTCAAGCAATACGGAGCAGACCTCAAAATCAAGAACACAACCAAGCTCGACTGCTCGACATTCACCCCGACCTTCGATGCCCTCGTCCAGAAGCTCGACAAGACTCAATCCTCAGCCCCGCGACCTGACGATCAAGACCTCGAGACAGACTCGCCCACCGACCTGACCCCACCATCGAGCTCTGCTGGCGACGATCAAGACCACCCACCGCCTCCCGCGCCCACCCTCAAGAAGCCCGCCCCGAGACAGATCGCCGACACCATCTCAGCCTCTACAGATGCCACCCCCATTCCGACACCAGACACATCACGACCTGCTTCTCCTGCCGTAAGCCAATTGCTTGAAGGAAAGAGTCCCCGGGGCTCGCGCCGTTCGCGAAAGGCCGCACTTGCTGCCTCTTCAGCCCCCGCCTCTTCTGGCGATGAAAAGTCTCCTTCTCGCAAAGCCGCAGCCGCAAAGAGACCGACTGCAAAATCAAAGCGCACGTGGGATGCTCACGGCTTTGGCGCTGAGGAAGACGAGGACACAGTTCTGGATTACTCGACACAAAGTCTGGACGATGCTCCTGCTGCCCAATCAACACTGCAGCCCGTTCGCACCGACGACATGGGTAGCAGGACGGCCAAGGGCCAGTTTGTGCTCAAGGATTTGGATGACGAGGTTGATGCCATTCTCGCAGAGTCAAAATCTAGGAAAGAGGAGGTCGACACGGACGCATCAAAAGGACTGGTGGGAACCGGACTGGGAGCCATCAGTGGCTACTTCCGCAACATGGTCGGAGGCAAGACTCTGACGGCTGCCGACCTGGTCAAACCGATGAAAGCCATGGAGGATCATCTCCTGAACAAGAACGTTGCCCGCGAGGCAGCCGTCCGCTTGTGCGAATCTGTCGAGCGCGATCTTATTGGTCTCAAGACCAGCAACTTCACCACTATCGACCAGACCATTCGCGACTCCATGGCCAAAGCTCTCACCCGCATACTGACCCCTACCTCGTCCCTCGACTTGCTGCGCTCAATCACGTCTACTATCTCGGGCTCAAATGCAAGGCCATATGTCATCAGTATTGTTGGTGTCAATGGTGTCGGCAAGTCGACTTCCCTGTCTAAACTCGCTTTCTTCTTCCTCCAAAACAACTTCCGTGTCCTGGTTTGTGCCGCCGATACCTTCCGTTCTGGCGCCGTTGAGCAACTACGCGTTCACGTACGCAACCTCTCCGAGTTGACTGCTCGTGAGAATCTCGGTCACGTCGACCTTTACGAGAAGGGCTATGGCAAGGATGCTGCTCAACTTGCCAAGGAGGCTGTTGTCTATGCCGCTGAAAACGCCTATGATGTCGTGCTGGTCGACACAGCTGGCCGCAGACACAACGACACCCGACTCATGTCGTCTCTTACCAAATTCGGACAGCTCGCCAACCCAGACAAGATCTTCATGGTCGGTGAGGCTCTTGTTGGCACCGACTCGGTTGCTCAGGCTCGCAACTTTTCTGCGCAATTCGTGGATCGCCAAGGAAAGGGCCGTGGACTCGATGGCTTTGTCATTTCCAAGTGTGATACCGTCGGCGACATGGTCGGTACGCTCGTTAGCATGGTTCACGCCACGGGCATCCCTGTGGTCTTCTTGGGCGTAGGTCAACACTACGGCGATTTGCGTGGCCTGAACGTTGGTTGGGCTGTAGACAAGTTGATGAAGTAGTGATATCCCAGCGTTCTTCTCTTTCCATTCTTCTTTATCTGGCATTTAATACGATCACGGCCTATACCTGTACATGATTTGAAGACCACTTTCTTGCCTCTCTGGAACCAGTCTTCCTCGGCCTTTTCTCGCTTTCAGCGACAAAATCCTTACACTCTTTATCAGCCTATTCCCAAGTCAGCAACAACAACAACCTGGATACTATCCGCGCCGCCGAAGATCTGGGCCATGCACCCCTCAAGTATCATTCGGCACTTGCCATTATGAAGCTGAGGAGGGGCATTGAGCTGGGATCCCCGCATATTGCCCCGCAGCCATCAATAGTGGGTCCTTTTTTATATCATACCTATATAAGCACGCTGGAAACGAGGCATTGCAGATCCCAGTCTCTTCCTACTTCTTTGCATATTCTTACTTCTGTACCAAACTGCAAGACAAACTCTGATCCAATCATGTCGGACAAGCAAATGAAAGCTGTGCATTACGAAGGCCCGTTCAAGGTGTCAGTCAAAGATGTTCCATTGCCAGAGCTGGAACACCCTGATGATGCTATTATTAAGGTGACTACTGCCGGTAAGTCTTTGTCTTATCTCAGAGACTCTCATGCACATTGTCATCATTTACTGACTTTTCTTCCAGCAATTTGCGGCAGTGATCTACATATGTATCAAGGACGTACAGCTGCCGAGTCAGGTCTTGTCTTTGGTCACGAGGTAAGCTATACCCCACGTCCTAGAAACGATCCACTAATACTCCTGACCAGANACATGGGAGTCGTCACCGAAGTGGGTTCTGGAGTGACACTGCTGAAGAAGGGCGATCGTATCGTGCTTCCCTTCAACGTGGCAGACGGCAGATGCAGAAACTGTGAGCAAGGAAAGACTGCTTTCTGTACTGGTAAGTCTCGATTTATCTCTGATGATTGAAGTCACGTATTTATAATATCTACAGGTGTCAATCCTGGATTTGCAGGTGGTGCTTATGGGTACGTTGCAATGGGTCCATACCAAGGAGGTCAGGTAGGTCAAGTGTTCGATTCATCGTTTCTTTTTTCTTACATATGTTAATCCTTTCCTAACTTTCAGGCACAATATCTACGCGTGCCATACGCCGACTTCAACGCTCTGGTCCTACCACCTGGCACTGAACACGAGGCCGACTTTGCTCTCCTTGCTGACATCTTCCCCACTGGCTGGCACGGTCTTCAACTATCTGGCTTCCAACCTGGTGACAGCGTGGCCGTATTCGGCGCTGGACCCGTAGGTTTGATGGCTGCTTACTCTGCTGTCTTGCGCGGAGCTAGCAAGGTGTTTGTCGTTGATCAGGTCAAGGAGAGATTGGATGCTGCAAGAAAGATTGGATGCGAAGGTGTCGACTTCACAAAGAGCAATCCCGTGGAACAGATCATCAAGCTCAACGGTGGAGAGATGGTTGATCGTGCCGTTGATGCTGTTGGCTACCAGGCTGTCGACAAGAGTGGTAACAAGGAGCAACCCAACATTGTTCTTGACCAGCTCATTCAGGTCACCAGACCTACAGGAGGTCTCGGTATTCCGGGTCTCTACGTCCCTTCTGTGAGTTTCTGTAGCTTTCAAAGTTTTGACGTACGCCATTGCAGTCAACTAACACGAATTGAAAAACAGGATCCTGGTGCTCCGGACTCGCAATCTGCCAAAGGACAGATCCTCATCTCCTTCGGCAAGCTCTTCGAGAAGGGCTTGTTCCTCGGCACTGGTCAGTGCAATGTCAAGGCTTACAACCGTCAACTCCGCGACCTCATTGTCTCTGGCCGAGCCAAGCCTTCTTTCGTCGTTTCCCACGAAGTCGATATTGACGACGCTGTCGATGCTTACGAGAAATTCGATAAGAGAATTGACGGTTACACCAAGGTCCTCCTGCATCCAAATGGACCTTTGGACCAGTTCTCTATCTAGAGGGATTCCTCTTCCTCCAGACGCTTCAAACGAGTGAAGTGTGGTGTATCGTTTGGAGTATCGGATCTTGGACAATATTTCTTGAATTGTAAATCATATTTAACATTTGAATCAAACAACACGATAACATACTTTAACCCCTTTCGATCAAAAGATATTTCCGATCACTTGACCCTCATAAGGTTCGTCTGTGACTGATAAAACGAGATTGGGATCCCTTATGGAAGCTACAGTCCTGATGCTTGATTTGATTTGATTTGATTTGATTTTCTCAAGCTATTTACCCCGCAAGGGGTATGAGCTGTCCATAATTACCAAGCATTCCAGCCAATCACATCCATCGGTCTTAGTTACATAAGGAGGGTGAAGGTCTCTCAGACCTTGAATCAGTCGCAAACGCCTAGTACTCCAATGTGTTCTTTTATAAAGAGTGACTTTACACTTCCTTCCCTTAAGTGTTAGAGGGTGTAAGCCTCCTCCATCCTGATGCTTGCCTATGGAGGATATAGACACAGGCTGTGAGATGCAAGCAGGGTCTTCCCACCAACGAGCTTCTCAATCACGGCAACTGCAACCGAGCCGAGACAGCACCCAAAAGTGGAGTGGTGCGGGCGCGTAATGCCATAACTTCACAGGTCAAACATGCAGCAGCAGTCAGCGATTCACAATGCACAGCATGTCTTCTTGACATCTCATTGGCGGCGCCTCCATGTGCTGCCCAGAGCCTAGGATGTCCACAAGTCGACTCGCGCAACGCAAGCACGATGCTATAAGATCTCTCGCAGCCTTGGTGCTGACCTCGAGCCTGCTGACAGTGTAGGTCAAAGAGAATTGACGTTGAGGTCAACTCTTTCTCGAGGGTCCGCGGTTACAGTTGATAGTAGCTGTTCCCCAGCGCCATCCAATGTCGCGTTGAGTAGTTGCATCTCTCGAGCGGCTGCGTGCACATGCAGGACCCAGCAAGATATTTTCTGGCCATTCGCTCACAGTAGTTCGGCAACGATCATGCCCGAGCCCAGTCAATATCGCTTCATTGGTGTGGCACACAGCGTCCCGTTCGCATGTAACCACACTATCCAAGACCGCCTGGCAAGGTTCTTTGTGCTAAAGATCTTCACCTCGGATGTGATAACCCCCACTTGCATCTGGGAAGCACGGCTTGGGTCCCTGATATGGAGAGGCAGATATCTAACGTTAGTATTTCCTGCATTGCCGATGCTTAAGGTACCCTCTTCCTCCTCTTCCGCGTCACTCTGTATCTTGTTCTTTCTCACTTGCGGTGACATCAGTAATAATCAATACATTTGGGGTCTTACATCATCTATATCCAGGTTATCAGCCTGGTGCAAGGCCCACGTATGCTAGAAGCCCTACGCAATCTGACTGTTGCGCAATCGTTGTGCATCTCATCATCTGGAAAGCGACTCTCGCAGGAGTCACTTGATATTGTTTGTCCAGCTTCACGGATGTGACGGTTCAGACAAATCTCGAGCGTGGACCCTACAACCGGCGATATCTCTGGACATCACATCATCGACAGATAGGCGTGTCGCGCCTTGAAGACTTCACACACTATGTCGAGCGCTGCTCGAAGACTAGCAAGCGATGCACTCTCAAAATTGCAAGAAACAGCTCAAACAGTCCACGAAAGCATTTCTGAGGGACTCAAGAGACGGATAAACATACCTTCGAATAGCACAAGTCCGGCTGGTCTGATCGAAGCAAATACTCGAGACCCGTGGTTAGAGTCCGGAAAGTATGCTCTAGGTTGGGTCTACTTTTGCATCATTCTGTTGGTTTTCGCATGTCTGCTGCATCTCTACCACATCTGGACGGATAAAATACGGACGGCGCTCTATAAAGAGGACGCGGCGGCGTCTGCGATGATTGAGTCGCCTGCAACGGACTACGAGTTATCTGTACTCAGCACCGACAGATCGACGCATAAATTCTTTCCACGCGAAGGGCTATTACCCGAACAACCCAAAACGCAATCGTCGGTCTCCTCCATGTGGCTGGTGAACAATGCCATAGCGATATTCAGGTTCGCATTCTATCGGCCCATACCAGTCCTCAGGCTGAGAAAAGGATGGAGGCCAATCATATTTCCGTCGCTCGGTGCGGTTGTCATCGTTTCTTTCGCACTGATCTTCACTGTGCTTTACTGCTTCATCCCTCAACCTCTATACTGGCAAAGCATTCAATTTGGTTCTCCTCCATTGGCCATCCGAGCAGGAATGATTGCAGTTGCAATGATGCCATGGATTGTCGGTCTGAGCATGAAAGCTAACATCATCTCTTTCCTCACTGGAATCGGACACGAACGATTGAACGTTCTGCACCGATGGCTCGCATATCTTTGCCTACTTTCCAGTCTAATTCATACCATTCCCTTCTACGTCACACCAATCTGGTCTGAGGGCGGTTTGGATGTTTTCCAATCGGCTTTCGGCAATTCTGGAATTTACGTCTACGGATCTGGCATTGCGGCACTCGTGCCCCTAATCTTCCTCTGTGTGCATTCTTTGCCTCCGCTACGCCGTAAGATGTACGAGTTGTTTGTGGCGTTGCATGTGCCTGCTTCCATCGTCTTTATCGCCATGCTCTTTTGGCACTGCAAGAATTTTCTCACCTCGTGGCACTATCTGTGGGCGACTACGGTCATCTGGTTCGTTTCGTACATTGTTCGCTTGTTCTTCCTCAACTGGACAAACTACTTTCGGCTATCATGGTTGGTTGGCGAAGAGGCGGCTGTCACATTGATGCCTGAGAACGCCATCAAAGTCACTATTCCAACACAGGTGAAATGGAAGCCTGGTCAATATGTTTATCTCAGAATGCCCGGCATCTCGGTGTTCGAGAACCATCCTTTCACCATTGCATCTCTATGGAGTGATGACTTTCCATCTCAGTATGGCGAAGAGTATAGGGACATGGTCCTGGTTTTTAGACCTTTCGGCGGCTTCACGAAANAAGTCCTTGACAGCGCGCTGGAGAATGGACCTTGGCATACCTACCGCGCATTCATTGATGGGCCCTATGGTGGTATGAGAAGGAGCATGGACTCATTCGACCACGTCGTCCTGTTCGCAGGTGGCAGTGGCATCACAGCCTTGGTATCTCAACTCCTCGACCTGATCAAGCGGCTCAGAGACGGCAAAGCGGTAACAAAAACCGTCCAAGTAATCTGGGCCCTTAAACGCCCCGAAACACTCGAATGGTTCAAAGAAGAATTGCGCATCTGCAGAGAATTCGCTCCTCCAGATACCGTGCAATGCCAATTCTACATTACCGCTGCGAAGAGGCAAGCCAGAACTGGAGCATTGGTTTCCGCACAAACGCCCACAAGGCCCATTAGCATGATGTTCCACAATAAAGTCAATGAGGCCTTTCAAAATATTGCGCACAACAGACTCTCCACCATCTCGGCCAACACAAACAGAAACTCCGCCTTGATAATGGAAGAAGCAGCCGGAGACCCAGAACGAGAAAAGGCACTCCGACGCGAAAACGAAGATAGAATCAGACCACTGCCACAAGCACATTTATTGCCTATGAGAAGTGCTTCTCGGAATGGGCGTGCTTCCNCCTCCTCCTCCTCCTTCCTCACCTCCCCTCACACTAGCAGAAAAANNCGACGATCTCAACAAATATCCATCCCACTGCCAGATCCAGTCAACACACCAGCCTACCTCCACCCCAGCACAACACCACCCCAAGAAGCAGACTTTGACTTTGGCTTCNCCTCCACACCCACAGAATTCCAAAAGAACCTCATGCGCTTCGCTTTCCTGCCCGCCGCCGTAAAGTCTACGAAATCAGGTTGGAGTACTGAATATGGGCGTCCGGATATCCCATTCATGCTGAGGGAAATGAGTAAACAGTGGACAGGGCGGAGGACGTGTGTGTTTGTGTGTGGGCCCNCGGGGATGAGGGTTGATGTTAGTAATACGGTTGCCGAGTTGCAGAGGAGTGTGTGGAGTTTGCCGGGGAGGGATGAGGTGTATTTGCATGCGGAGAATTATGCGATTTGAGATGATAGATGGGTGGTTTAGTTGTGTGTATATCTACTGTTGGTCTCGTGGTGTGTTACCTTTCCTCGTCTCAATGAGAGTGGCCCTTATGTAACTCTGAAAAGGCAATCCTGCTCAGCTCAGGCAACTATGGCTCCTTTCCTTGACAAAGTCATCATTAGCCTCTCGATTGAGGATATCGCGTTGCTCGGAACATCCAATCGATGACAGGTGAAAGAGTCAAAAGAGGTACAAAGTTCAATATAAAGATCAAATCTATTGCGATTCTTTGAAGCTATCTATCATTACACTCGAATGTCTCAACCTGTACGCCATTGGCCAACCGATATAACCCGCACCAAAATGCAATCGCTTCCTTCCCTCATAATACATGAACAATTTTCCCGTCTAACAATCCTCATCTAACCACTGCACATGATGCAAGCCTCGGGGTTATCGATGCTGCAAGCCAAGACTGCATCGGCGTAGATATCGCCTTCACGGTCCTTGCTGTCATCGGCAGCGTCCTCGTCTTGCTTGACAGTTCTCTTGACCTCCTCATCCGGGGTACCAACAGTGCTGTCAGCGGCGACCAACTTGGGGCTGCTTCCCTCAAGGAGATCAGCGGTGAATGGGGGTGCTCTCATAGGCAGCTCCTTCTTAGGAGTCGACTTGGCCTCGGCCTCCGGAGGAGGAGTAGTCGAGGGTGTGGGGACGCCGTTAGCGACCGCCGAGTTCTGAGGTTGCTTCGACTCGTACATGGGCTGAGGGGTAGGGGATACGGTGGCGGGAGAACCAGCGCCGGCAATGCCACGCTTCTTGGCCGGGTTGCGGGCAACGTTGGTGTCAGCGACCTTGAGCTTCTCCTGGTCGACAGTGAACTGGATAGGAGCGGCGGCAGCCATGGTACGAAGGTAGTACATGCCGGTCTTCAAGCCGAGCTTCCAGCCAGTGAAGTGCATGCTGGTAATCTTACCCATGGTAGGAGCTTGCATGTGGATGTTGAGCGATTGAGACTGGTCGATGAAGGCACCACGGTCAGCAGCCATCTGAACAATGTGACGCTGGCTGAGTTCCCAAACGGTCTTGTAGAGAGCCTTGAGCTCGTCAGGAATGTTGGGAATACGCTGAATGGAACCGCCGTCAGCGATGATGCGGTTCTTCATGTTGTCAGACCAAAGGCCACGGTCGACAAGATCCTTGAGCAACCAGGGATTGACAACCTGGAACTCTCCGGCAAGGACACGACGAGAGTAGATGTTGGAGGTGTAGGGCTCGAAGCACTCGTTGAAGCCCATGATCTGCGAAGTACTGGCAGTAGGCATGGGTGCAACAAGCAGAGAGTTGCGGACACCGTCCTTGGCAATCTTCTCCTTCAGGGCCTCCCAGTCCCAGAGGTCAGTGGGAGTGATCCCCCACATGTCGTACTGAAGCTCGCCCTTGGAGACGGGAGAGCCAGGATAGGTCTCGTAGGGACCAAGCTTCTCGGCCAGATCGCAAGAAGCAGTCAAGGCAGCGTGGTAGATGGTCTCGAAGATTTGGATGTTGAGCTGTCTAGCCTCAGGCGAGTCGAAAGGCATACGGAGGGCGAGGAAAGCGTCAGCAAGTCCACTAACACCAAGACCGATGGGACGGTGGCGGAAGTTACTCTTGCGAGCCTCAGGGACGGGGTAGTGGTTGATCTCGATGATCTTGTTCAAGTTCTTGGTGACGACCTGGACAACCTCGTGGAGCTTCTTGAAGTCGAACTTTTCCTCGTTCATGTCGACGAAGGTGGGGAGAGCGAGCGAAGCCAAGTTGCAGACGGCGACCTCATCAGGAGCAGTGTACTCGATGATCTCAGTGCACAGGTTGGAGCTGCGAATGACACCAAGGTTCTTCTGGTTGCTCTTGCGGTTGCAGGCATCCTTGTACAGCATAAAGGGGTTACCAGTCTCGGTCTGGGCCTCGAGGATGGCATACCACAGCTTCTGGGCACGGATGGTGTCGCGACCACGACCCTCGCGCTCGTACTTCTCGTACAAAGCCTCGAACTCGTCACCATAGACGTCAGCCAGACCAGGACATTCACTGGGGCACATCAAGGTCCAGGTGGAGTTTTGTTCAACACGCTTCATGAAGAGATCGGGGATCCAAAGAGCGTAGAAGAGATCGCGGGCACGAACTTCCTCCTTACCGTGGTTCTTGCGGAGGTCGAGGAAGGCGAAGACGTCGGCGTGCCAAGGCTCGAGGTAGATGGCGAAGGCACCGGGACGCTTGTTGCCGCCCTGGTCGACATATCTGGCGGTGTTGTTGAACACACGGAGCATGGGCACGAGACCGTTGGATGTACCGTTGGTACCGGCGATGTAAGAGCCAGTGGCACGAATGCAGTGGGCATTGAGACCAATACCACCAGCGTTCTTGGAGATCATGGCGCAGGTCTTGAGGGTGTCGTAGATACCGTCAATCGAGTCATCCTTCATGTCAATCAAGAAGCATGAAGCGAGTTGAGGCTGGGGAGTACCGGCACTGAAGAGAGTGGGCGAAGCGTGGGTAAAGTACTTGAGCGACATCAAGTTGTAGGTCTCAATGGCAGCCTCGATGTTCTCGCCGTGGATACCGACAGCGACACGCATGATCATCTGCTGGGGTCTCTCGGCAACCTTTCCCTCAAGTCTGAGGAGGTATGAGCGCTCTAGCGTCTTGAAACCGAAGTACTGGTAGTTGAAATCTCTGTCGTAGACAATGGCCGAGTTGAGCTCTTCGGCATGGTCCATGACTGTCTTGTATGTCTCCTCTGAGATCATGGGAGCACGCTTTCTGGTCTTGGGGTTGACGTAGTGGTACAGATCTGAGATGACGGCAGAGAACTGCTTCTTCGTCTGCTTGTGGAGGTTCGACACGGCGATACGTGCGGCGAGAACGGCGTAGTCGGGGTGGGTGGTCGTCATGTATGCAGCAGTCTCAGCAGCCAAATCATCCAATTGAATGGTGTTGACGCCCTGGTAGACTCCAGCAATGACCTTCATGGTGATGGCAGCAGCGTCGACATGGTCAGGATCGAGGCCGTAACACAGTCTTGAGACGCGGGCTGTGATCTTGTCGAACTGGACACGCTCCTTGCGTCCGTCTATGGGTTTATTAGCATCTCTCAGTGGACAGTACCTGTGAGGGGATACATACCGCGCTTGTACACAAACATTGTGACGCGTTGATGTGATTGGGAGATGTGAGAATGAGAAGGAGACAGTAAATGTCGAGGGGCGGGCAGTGATGAGGGGTAGATGAGAGGGTTGTCTTGTTGACGTGGTACTAAAGATGTAAATGCAGGATGGGTATCAAAGAAGAAGCAGATTAAGTCGTCAAGACTGTGGAATTGCAAATATGAGAGAGGGAGAGAGGAAGGAGAGGGACGTCTAATAAACACGAGACGCGAAAATGGAAGTCGCGTTCGTGGTTAGCGTGATCAGACGCGACTACCTCTTTAGCGTTTATTGATGATCAAGCGTCCTATGCTTCTTAGTAAGCGGCTTCCAATCTCATACTTTCTTTTCTCGTTTCCTTGTCGACGCTTCCGACTTTTCCCAAACAACAGTCTTGCACTTTTGCAATGACCCGATGATGTTCTTCCATGATCGATCATGTCTGAAGACCCTGACGCCAACATGCGCAGCTTCATGCATCTTCGACCACAGCACAAGACACACATTGCGGTGCAAACTCTTCACGTAGAAATGCATACACAGTGTATGCACGGCGGATTCGAAGACTCGGCGACCACTACCTCTCCCAAGGTCACGAGTTCAAAATCGACGCCAATATCGAGCCCAACGATCTGCCAAGATCATCTCACTCGTGTTGCAGTTTCTGAGCTTTGCTTTGAAGATCTTGCGTCAAAATGTTGAGAGACATCCATGCTCTTGTGATACAAAATGTTTCTTGTTGTGCTATTTACAATTCCTTCTTGTCTACTGCAGCTGTGGTTGCTGTGCCACTGCTTTTGAATGCTTGTGGTTCTTGCTCTTGCTTGTCTATCTGCATGTCGGGGCGCTTGGTGACCAAGACGTACATGGCGACAATGGCTTCGCTTGCCATGGAGATGACGCTGGCACATGCAATGCCCCAAAGCTGGATGCTGATGCTGCCTTTGGGTGCTCTCGGGAATGCGAGGAGCCACTCAACATAACCAGGGACCCATCCTTGCGGCAGCCAGAACAGTGCCTGACGTGAGAACCAGAACTGCAGAAGGTAGCGCATACCGTTCGTACCCAGCCAGCGAAGCACGTTGGCCGTCTTGTCGAATTTGGCCTTGGTGTCTTGGACCGAGCTTGCNTGTTGCTTGTGTTAGATAGCGTCCTCTAGTGTACGTGCGTAGTATGGTCTTGACATACAGCTCTTCTCGTAGTCGGCGACAGCTTTGTCGTGCGTTCTGCGCAGCTTGGCCCATCTGGCAAACTCGTCTTGTGCGCTGACAGCATTCATCTCGCGCTTGAGACGCACCACCTCCTTCTTAAGTCGTGCCGAGTCGCGTGCATCTTTCGCCGTTGGTGTAGGGAGCTTGTTGTAGAGGACCCAGAGCNNTACAATCGTTCAGTACTCGCGTATGCCAAAAAGCGTCTGTCATGTCCATACCAGTTCGTTGATGGTCGCGGCTCCAAGTGTGTTGATGAGGTGAGTTACCACGTTCAGCAAGAAGACGGCGAGCAAGAGAGACACCATGCTGGGCGACCGACGGTACTGTGACAGTTATCTTTGGATAGTTCGTTCGCGGCGCAAGTGGGATGCATGCGCCCAAGATAAATGACGTGGAGCTTTGAGACTCGGGACAAACTTCTCGCCAAGGCTGCAGCATGGGATACTTGACCGATAGCATCTAATCTGATTTGAGTGTGTCACCTACATCACACAAATACAACACGAATGCATGAGTAGAATCGCTGAGACTCCAAGAATTTGTGTACTTCTACCCTGCTTAGACATCTAAGAATGATGCGTCTCTTGCTCTTCCTTCTCACCCATCACCTTACCACACCCCTACTGCCAGAGCTCGACTAAGAACGAAATTCATGACCAGCCATCTCCCTGATAGCATGGTCAGGATCATCGAGCAGATCAGCGGCACTGTCAGCACCAACGTCCTGGAACCGCACCTTTCCTCTGACTCTTGGATGAACAGAAGGATCCTGCACAAGCTCTGGACCGTGCACACTTTGACTATCAATCAGATACTGAGCATCTGATTCTGTGCTTGCATAACCTTCTTTACGAGCTCTTCGCCAACAACGAATACGCTGGCCGTATGTCTTCAGTAGCATTCCGAATAATGCAAGAGCAGTGAAGCCACCACCGCCGATCAACAGTGTCATCATGCGCTTCACAGGTGCCTTTATCCTCTCATCGCAGTATTTTCGGCAGTCAAGCTCGTCCTTGCATACTTGGAATGGCGTAGANGCTAAGAGAGGGTGATGACTTGGGTTTTTGCTCTGGAACTTGGTCGAAGTCGTGGTCATCTTGCCCGTCTTGCTCATCTTGCTCTTCTTGCTTTGCTTCTTCTCTTCCTCCTTTCCGGTTGGGACGAGGAATCCCCAGTGCGGTGTTGTGATATTGATGCTTTCTGTCACGGAAGCGAAAAGTGAGACGCCATTGGACGTAACCGTGACCACTCTGACAGTCGGAGACTCCCAAGGCTTGAGAAATCCCCACATACACATGTCGTTCTTGCACAGTGACTTCTCCTTTTGATCCCTCTCACAGTGTGAATTGGTTGGCAGCGGTCCCCAAGTGTTTGTCGATGATGAATCAGCCGTTGTTCTAGCGTCGTAGTGATCCGCTGGTCCTGCGGTTTGAACTGGTAGATGCTGTCGTGCTTCCAGGCCAGGTGTGGGACAGTATGGAAAGCCTCCCAAAACTCTTGGTTCGCGATGAACAACCTCAACAGACTGAGGACAGTCTGTACTGCGGGAATTGCAAGCAGTAGGTGGACCTTGAGTGGCAGCTGCGAGCAGGCAGCTCTCCACGACCTGAGCTGGAGGATAGAAGACGGACGTCGTCTCGAGAAATTTGTAGGCTCCGTTGACGGTAGTAGAGGTTTGGGTGACATAGTCGTTGTAGATGGGAAAACAAACACACTCGTCTGGTCGTTTGGGGTGGAAGTAATAAAGGTCGCAGGTAACGGCTTCGCTCAAGCCGTTTGCGTGTCTGGTGGAGTTGAGATGAAGAGCGGACGAGCGGGCGATGCAGTCTTTCCTTGTACCAATCCTAGATTCGAGTTGTAAAACCCACTCCGTGAAGTTGCGGCCGAAGTCGACACGTCCGGGATANCTGGATGTAGGGTGGCCACACGACAGCTCCTTTGTGTCAGCTATCAGACTGATCACCGGTTGCATCAAACTGACTGGCACATTGAGATGTGGATGATGAATCGTGATCCTTGCACCAAGTGGCTATGTGGCTCTCTGACCAGGCAGTATAGTTGTGGCCTGCAGAGCTGAAGAATTGGCAAGCTGACTGCGAGTAAACAGTTTGGCAGAATAAGCCAAACAAGAGTATAAGATGCAACATGATAATGCGTGGTAGCCAGCGATCACCTGAGGTGAGCTTTCCATCTGTTGGCGAAGATGATTGACATGTCAGTCGAACCGGGTTTCCTCTTTCTCGAAGTTCCATCATTGTGGTTAGTTGAGAAAGAGCCACCATCGCACTTGCCTTGTCTAGAGCTTTAAGGTGAAGCGTACCTTTTTGGAAAACCATGTGGTCAACTCAAGTTTACTGACCATAATCATAACCAGCAATGTCAACATACCCCCTCTCCCATGTGCTAGTGTATATAATGCAATTAGGTATGGAAATGCAGAATAGTATCCATGCCAGAAACATGGCCATGGAAACATCCCAAGATGGCTTTCTCTCTGTGGACACCACTCCTTTCTGGAAAGTACTGTAGACTTTTATAGCTGAAACGTGATGTACGCCGTTGTGGGACGACAGGACGTTACAGACTTTTGCACATCAGGAGATCGGGCGGCTTTCGTGTTGTCAAGAATCGTCATGTTGGTCGAGTGATTGGTGATTAATAGTAACTATGTACACCAACTTGGTAATTTGTGCACAACCAAAAGAGTTGGTCCAGGCACCCAGAGTCTGCTTTTCTAGTTTTACAACAGTTCGTTAGCGCAAAGAGGGTATCTAGTCTAATAATCCAGAAACAAATCGTAGCGTTGACCGACACTCAAACAGCTGCCTTCTTCTTTTTCACAGGTCGCTTCTTTCTGACACCCATGCTGAGTGGTGCCTCCTTGATCCAACGGCAAATTGCTTCGGCTCTCTCGGTGGAGATAGGATACTCCTTACCATCTTCCTGTGCCCAACGCTTGTGAGCCGGAGCGCGATTGCCATTAATGTCATGCAAAGGCCCGCTCAAGCCTTCTTCATCCTCCATCGCCCTGCGTTCGCGAGCGCGGACGGCTTTCTGGAAGGTTTCTTCGTCGACTACACGTTCATCACCCATTACTTCCAAANNGATGGCGTCTCGTTTTCTACGCTCATGCTTTTGTTCTTCTGTCTCTGTGATGCTGTGTTTTACGATTACTGTACCGTCCCGCGCACCTGCTGGAACATCTGACTCTGCCTGAGAAGTGAGAGGAGCTGACTGGCACAGAGTTTGCCAGGGTTGCGACAATGCAATCCAATTGTTGGCACGTCGCAAGACCTCGATCCAATCAGCCCGCGCTGGAGAGCGAGCGGCCTGGAAGATAGGGTAGCCATCTGCAAGACTTGCGAGACGAGCAGCATTGTGAGCATGTCTGAGGAGCTCGGTTGGAGAAGTTTGAATCAGAGCGTGAGCAAGCAACAGGGAATGCAAAGCATCGGTAAGAAGCGGATGATATGTAACGGCCTCGCGATTGCTTACTGATAATGGGCTGTCGTCCAATCTAGTGTTTTCCGTAGCAGGAAACGCTGGAAGATCAGGTAGCGGCTTTTCGGCGAACAAAGCTGAAGAAGGATAAGTCTTTCTATGAGGGATCCGAGGCCATCCATTTGCATCCCACTCCAAGCCAGAATCCGAGGTTTGCGTTGATTGGTGCGAAGAGAGAGAGCTTACCGTAGGGCTACTACGTCCTGAGGATGAGTGACTATTCCATTCTAGTAAGCGATTACGATGAATAGTTGTCTGTTTGTTGTCGTTCGCCAGATCGTTAATTCTGCGAGTAATCTCATCAATAATCTCCACAGGCAGGCCAGGCGTATAGTCGAAGTAGCCGAGGAAAGCAAGATAGTCTTTGAGAGCCTTTTTCGCGTTGGTCTTGACAATCTTGCGCGCGTCCAGTCTAGCCTGATGGGCCTCTTTTTCTTTCGGGGAAATGGAGATTTTATCCCCATTCTCGTCCTTGGATGGCGCTTCTTTCAGGCCGTCCAGAGCAGCGTGAACGTTCTGACAAGCAATGCTGAGATAGACACCGGCTCGGTTGAACAGCATTTGCTGCTCTAAACTGCTCGGTTGGTCTTCCTCTTTCAGATGCGGCAATTGCCTCCAATCTCTGCCATTTTTGTTCCAACGCTCTTGCTCCTCCTTGTAGTGTTTTGCCAGTACCAGTTGATCAGTACCAGGCTTGTGCATTCTCTTGAGCTCTTGCGCTATTCTGAGTCCGAGTGTCAAATCGCTCGCGGCTCCTTCGAACTGTCTTTTGAATATCTGGACAAGGGCACGAGTGCGCAAAGGGGCAGCTTGTTTCTCCCAGGGCAGATTCAAGATGACGTCGTCTAATGGTTCCAGAGGTGTGTATTGCTCCATCATTCTAGAAGGGATCTTTTCGTGGAAAAAATGAACGTATTTGGCTTCGGTGTCGGTCTGATCGCGCCTGAGGACGTGTAGAGCAACCTCCTCCAGAGATGTCGTGGATTGCATGGTCGCAACACTAGCGGCAACCTCGTCCAATGCATAGGCCTTGGACAACAACCGTGCAGCCTTCTGGCGAATCTTGTATATTCGTTCCTTGCTCATCTTGGGGGCTTGCGGTCCGCCTTGTCCAAAGGGATCCAGATAGTTCAGTGAGGCATTCATGGCAGTGATTGACATTCCATTGGAAGCGCGCACGGCATCCTCTGTCGCTTCGTCGACAGCGCGTCGGATCTTGACTACATCGTAGAAGACTGCTGGGTCGATCAGCCTCGGTAGTGGCTGTGTATAATTCTGGTGAGCGAGCGAGTCCAAAATCTCGGGCGGCAGTTGTAGCCACGGGCCATGGAAAGATGAGATGTATCGCCAGTGNTCTGTGTACAAATGTCAGCCATAGCTGTTAGGAGTAGAAAAGCGTGTCAGAATCAAGATAGCAAACGAGACAGCACCTACTCACTTGTTGCGGCAGATGATCAAAGAAGATGCTGAGGATGCGCCGGACGCAGCATTGCGCTGTGCGTTCTGCACATTTGTGCCCTTCTTGTTTGCCATAGTAATGCTGCTAATGGATATGCGTTAGGTCATGGTTGTGTCCCGGAATGCTTCGAGTAACAAAATGTTATGCGGAAGCAACTGCTTGAAAACATGCGGCTTCACCCGCCGAGGTTGACACGAACACGACATGGGAAAGAGCTCCCTTGCATGCGAGAAGCGAACCGTCAGGCATTGAATATCACGACTGGTTTCTTGTCATGTCGTCCAACGCGGAAGGGAGGGTTATTATCTGCATAGCATATGAAGTATATACAGAAGGGTCAACGACACACGTCACAGCCTCCCCGTCTGCTAGAGTCTGTAACGCGTGTAGCTATACAAATGCACAGTGCTATCAATAAACAGACAGTATAACAGAGAGTCAACATCTGATGAGCTCTCCCAGGCCGCTCCACTGCTCCGGAAACCAATTGTGCCTTTTGATAGGGTACGCTTCGCTTTACGCTCTTGTGGGATGAGGGTGGGATTATATACTTTAGCACCTCGGGGAGGGACAACAACAAGAATATCATGCAGAAGGAACTTGAATAGATCGCTGTGGCCACTGATATATACCACAACACATTTGCAAGCGATACTGATGTATCGGGATGCTGCTCATCTTGGTTTCCGCTCGACTGGCGTACTCGTCTTCAGCACCGCGCAAAGGTGTGAGAGCATTCGCTGAAGTGATTTTTAGACAGGTTGACTCCTGCTCGACTGGGCCCAGACTGATCGGAGTCCAACTCCTGTTAGTCGGCTGGCGAGTCTCATCAACACTCAGCCGCGGACTCTCAAAAGAGTCAACGCTGGCTATAACGAGGTTGGACATGTACGAGCGTATACCTCGACCGAGATTCCGAAAGAAGCGCATGGCGGGTGAGACCATTGGAACACGACTTTCTCTTTCCCTTCGCAGGTAGGAACAGCTCTCTGTCTTGCATTTCTTGCATTGACGTATTCGGAGTGACATGGCTCTGCTCTCTCGTCGTGTCGAAGGATGAACATCTTCGCGAGAGGCGGTCCAGCATGACCACTCGATTCTTGATTCGAAGAGGGCAAGCCTAGCTCGCAACCTCGACCATTTGACATTTGGCGAGGACAGGCCAGTGTGTCCGTCGCTTCCAAGTGATCTGCAATCAAGTGGACATCGGACAAGTCGCTCCTGTCCTCTAAATTCTTTGTCAGAAGCGGACGAACAAGGGGTCGCCTTGTATTCTGCTACCCGAGACCAACTGAGGCATGACAGCCATCCTGGCACGAAGCCGTATCGGGCATGACAGCCCATCCTTTGTGTTGCATGCCTGGTACAGCGACTCGTAAACTGACTGAACGTCTTCAGGCAGAAGAAAGAGGGACGTCAAGGCCGCTCAACACTTTCGAGTGGTCCGCAAGAGGTCCTCCAAGAAGGTGTCGAACACCAAGAGTCGTCGATTTTCCCGAGTCGCGTCGCGCAAGGACCATGACAACGAATCTTTTCGCAACACTGGTTGCTAACATTCTCGTCGGGATCTTCTCGTGCAGACCGCTGTCTGCCGATACTCCTCCACCGACGGTGACCTTCATACGCCGGAATTGAGTAGAGCACGAATACTCGTCCCTCGGCGTCATCTTGGGTATTCTGGAACTGACGCATGTGTTCTCCATCTCTCAAGGCGTCCAAGCGAGAGCCGAGACTCAACACTCCGCCAAAGACGAGCTCGCACGCGCGAAGAAGAAAGAGCAAGGTCGCGAAGCGGAGCGCGCAGCGGATTTTGTACTCCGCTTCTCAAGCCAGCACAGACCTTCCCAGCCACCGTTTGAGACTCACTTTCTGAACTTCCAGTCATCAATTCCAATATCCTCTCCGTGTGCCAAAGTATGCAACGCGTGTAGCTGTGGAAATTCACAGTGCTATCAAGAAACGAGACACTATCCACTGAGAGCCGACATCTTGGCCTCTCTCGCTGGCCACTGCTTTGCTTTGGCAAAGGATTGTGCATTTCTATAGCGTACACTCCGCTCTACGCTCTGTGAGAGAGGAGTGGAGTTACAGACTTTAGCACACGGCGAGGATGAATGCGACGAGTAAACCTTGTATAGCAAAAATTTAAATTCGAGACAGACAACCAAGACTTGGACAGTGATATTCATTAGGTCTGACAATTTCTTGTGAACGACCGACGGAGGAAAGTAGCTTAGCACGTGAGACCATAAAGAGAGAGCAGACAACTATCGTCCGTCACTCAAAACCACTGGAGAAGCCACATCTACTCTCGAAGCACTACAGTGAATACCTCTGGCTCTGAATTGTCGGGACGGATAGCATGATCAGAGTGTAGATGATATACAGCATGGGAAAGAACGGAAGGGTCAATCGCTCCTACTTCCTCCAACCACAAAAGCATGGCAGGACATCCCCAGCTCTCAAGACAAGATTGTTTTCAGTGTCCATCTCTCAAGCATTATTTCTACCGTCTTCTGATGTCCATCTTGTGCTGCTGTGAAAAGTAGATGGTCGCGACAGCCCAAAGTGATGGCGAGCTCGGACCACGCCAAGGCCGCACATTGGCAGTAAATCCACACAGAGAATATTCGCCTTTCCGATCTCCAGTTCGTGAAGCGACGACCAGCGACGACGACAACTTTCCCTTCGACACCTGTCAATCCAGTTATTTCGCCAAAATGAAGTACATCCACTCGAAGGAGACCCTCACCATCCCCGACGGTGGTACGTTTGCGCTTGCGAAGGAGACCCTCTGCATCTTTTAAGAGAGAGGCAGGGAGGCACACAGAAATGAGCGCTTTGGACTGACACCCAGCGCAGTCAAGGTCGACATCAAGACCAGAAATGTCACCGTCACTGGCCCCCGTGGTACCCTCGAGAAGTCGCTCCAGCACTTGGCTGTCTCCTTCTCGCACCCCGAGAAGAACATCATCGACATTGAGATGCACCACGGTGCCCGCAAGAACGTCGCCGCTCTCCGCACCGTCCGCACCATCATCTACAACATGATCGTTGGTGTCACCAAGGGCTACAAGTACAAGATGCGCTACGTCTACGCCCATTTCCCCATCAACGTCAACCTCGAGAAGAACAACGAGACTGGCCGCATGGAGGTTGAGATCAGAAACTTCTTGGGTGAGAAGCTCGTCCGCCGCGTCGTCATGGCCGACGGCGTCGAGGTTGAGGCTTCCAAGAACGTCAAGGATGAGCTGCAGCTCACCGGCAACGACCTCGAGAAGGTCTCGCAATCCGCTGCCGACATCCAGCAGATCTGCAGAGTCCGCAACAAGGATATCAGAAAGGTGCGCCTACCTCTACCTCCCAGCTGCGCGCCTTCGACGGCTGCTGCACATCAACACAATCTGGAACACGCCTGGCTAACATATACTACAGNNTTCTTGGACGGTCTCTACGTCTCGGAGCGTGGCAACATTGTCGAGGACCTTTAAGCGAAAACTTGTTTCATCAACTTTGGCGAAAGACGGATCAGGGGACTTTGCTGCACTATGGGCTGCGTAGCGCTTCAATGAAAACGGGCAGATTTTTCGCGGACCAAAATTTCATTAACGACTTCAAAAAGAAAGACTCCTTGTTCTGTTCACTGAACGTCTCGTCTACACCATCCGCCGACTCGAGCGCCCAGCAGTGTCCTGAATTATTTCGTATTNTGTTCGATACCGAAACTACGCCTCATAAACACNCANTAGCCGTTCGATGCACAGCAGCAGATACCCGCTTTGCGCCTGATGTATCCTCCTGTACATGGTCTTTCAAAAAGCGAACTGATACCCTTCTTATTTTCTTGCTTCCAACCCCTTATCCCAGTAATATCTGTTGAATCTTGTGCCTCCCATGCCGAAATAAGAAAGATGGTCAAGTAACGTTAAATAGACAAAAGAAGGTATTATACTCTACCTTGATTTTAGGGTGTCAAGACTCAGCTTCTGAACTTGACGGCTGCCTTGGCTTCGGCCTTTGACACCTCCATGATGCGCTTGCCCCCAAGNTCCTTGATCTGCTGGATCAGCTTGTCATCCTCGTGCAGACTTGCGATATCGTCGCCTCCACCAATGCTCTTGCCGTTGATCAGAACGTTAGGAACTGTACGTCTACCTGTTGTCTTGAGAAGCGCCGCTTGCAACTGAGGGCCCAGAGGGTGAAGGTCGAGCTCCTCGACATAAGGTGCGGGCACGATGTTGTACTGCTCAAGCAGAATGGCCTTTGCCTTCTTCGAGTACGGGCAGTAGCTTTTGGAGAAGATGACGACTNNGTAGGCACCTGTCAGTGAATGTAAACGTGGTTTGTCTTTCCTGAACGTACTCGGGCTCTTCTTCAAGATGGAGTTCAATTCAATCTCGACCTTGTGTTCTTCCTCGGACTCGTCGGGATGTTCGGCTTGCGCAGGTTGTGCTCCGGTGTTTCCAACCTTTGCCACGCCGTCGTCCTTCAAGCCCTTCTCTCCCTTGATCATCTTCCTGCCGGCAACGCTCTTCTCGCCGGCATCGACAACTCCGTGGACTGCATCCTTGACGCCCTCCTTGACGGTATCTGCGACCTTTTGGGCTTTCTCGGCGGCTTCCTCGACATCGACGGCAAACGGCTTCTGGTCCTTTCCAACCTTCTGGCCAGGTACAGCAGCGAGATCGGGATCACGGATGTTGGCGGCTTCCTTTTCTTTTTCGGCGGCCTCATGGGCCTCTTGAATCTTGAGGTGGTTTTCTAGGTCCAGGGCTTCCTGGTGCTTTGTGTTGAGGGCAGTTGCCGTGTTGGTATAGAAAGGGCTCGATCGCGTAGACGAGGCAGCTGAAGAGAGATAGATGAAACTGAGAACGGCCAGAGCTGCCAACAGGGCAAAGACCTTGACCCGGCGTTGCGAAGGCATGATCAGGTGCTTTGGTCGGTGTAGCTTAGATGGTGCGCTGGATCGATGACAAAGGAAAGCACTCGTTGACTCGAGTAGTGATGATGCTCGGCGATAACTTGAAGCTCCTCGATCAGAGAAGGAAGAAGAGCAGTTGAATGTTGGCTGCTGTCTGCGCCAATGTCGTGCAACGGCGGGCAGCTTCACCGAGGCGACCCCTGATTGGGTTGAACCCCTTCTCCACACTCTTGTTGCTTTTGTACGAGCTGGAACCAACTCTTCTCCCTGAACCTACATGCAATCTCATACCATGCCCAAGAGCTTCGTCTTCAGGAGAAGCCTTCGTGTTGAAACGGGTTCGACGAAAATGTGAGAGCCTCCCCGTTGCGCGGCTCCACCGTCGTCGGGACCCTCCACTGCACGCGCTGCAACGCTGACCTGCTTCATGTACACCGCTCGATTCGACACACAATGCATCTGACACCGGCCGTGGCTGACATGTGCTTGTATGGCCCCCCCGCCGATAGCTATCCGTATGTTATTTCTTTGTAAAGCGCTTTACTTATGACAATCCCATCCTTCCAACGTCTTCTCTATTGTATCGTGCGCGATTTATCTGCTTCCCACCCATCGCACTGCCACCACCACCACCACCACCATCACTGCGGTATTTTTCTGCTACCACTATCACGGTCCTGCATCCGCCTGCCTATCCGGTAATCTTGCTGTGCATCCCACGTGCCGCTGCTGTGACCCGACTTGATGTTTTATCGTCACCCAGTTGAAGCCTTGTTCAGCTTAAGTAGGTGATCGAGCTGCATTCCTCGATTTCTTTGTTGTCTTTGCCCCTCGTCTTTGTGATACCTCACATTCTCTCCTACAAACCCCACCTAATGAGCGAGAACTGTCACGTACACTTTGACGACAAGACTCTGCAGAGAGAAAGGACAAAAGAGTCCATGGGTTCGCGCAAGAAGTCCGTCGCTGAAAAGGAAGCCGATAGCGAGTCTGTATGGTCTGATGAGCCGTATGGTTTGGAAGAGCGCGATTTTAAGAAGAAGCAGGTTTGTGGTTATCTTATTCGTGAGTCGCAGCAAGCGTGACTGACCAGCGTAGNNACCTTCAAAGGATGGACTCTACTATACCTTGCGTATCAGTCAACGGGTGTGATCTATGGAGATATCGGCACCAGTCCTCTATATGTTTACTCGTCGACATTTAGCTCTGAACCCTCGAGAGATGACCTTCTTGGTGCACTGTCGTTAATCATCTGGTCGTTGACTTTAATCGTCACAGTCAAATATGTGTTGATTGTCCTGGCCGCCGACGATGAAGGAGAGGGAGGCACATTTGCTATATNNGTAAGCCATAATGTATCCGTCCTCGCGTATTCACATCTTCTAACATTGATGCTAGACACCCTTTTGTCCCGCTTCGTAAGTCCCACGCAACCGAGAAAGAGAATCCGTCACAGCCTAACCATATACTCAGNNAGCGAGATTATGAAAAGAGACCCTCGAACATACCACGCCATAAAGATGGAACGCTACCCCAATGCCGAGCTTCCCAAACAGAGTCGCAGTATCAGAAACTGGCTCGAGAATAGCAGAGTTGCACATGCAATCTTGAAGATATTGGCTGTGTTTGGCGTGAGTCTGATCATCGCAGACGGTATCCTTACACCCGCACAATCCGTGCTCGGAGCTATCCAGGGATTGACAGTAGTTGACCCTGACATTGGTAGTTCAACTGTCATCGGTGTCAGTTGTGCTATTCTCGTCTTGCTGTTTCTCTTACAGCCCCTCGGCATTCAGAAGCTGGCTAGTTGCTTTGCTCCGATCGTCATACTCTGGCTCACGTTCAATGCATCGTTCGGTATCTATGTAAGTCTTGCTCGTCTTGTATACTCAAGGTAATCCTTCTGATGAGCGTTATAGAATCTTGTTATGCACGATTGGACAGTCCTGAAAGCCTTCTCTCCTTACTTTGCAGGCCTCTACTTCATGCGGCTCAGGAAGGAAGGGTGGCTGTCGCTTGGTGGCATCTTGCTCTGCTTTACAGGTGTCGAGGCTCTATTTGCTGATCTCGGTGCTTTTAGCAAACGGTAAGCCCTAGGTATCCCTATCTTGAGATATGTATCTGACAGTCAACAGCNNGCCATACAGATCTCGTGGCTTTGTCTCACCTTCCCGTGTCTGCTTTTGGCATATATCGGACAAGCAGCATACATTTCACGCATCCCATCGGCGTACTCGAACCCCTTCTTCGAGACTGTGCCTCCGGGCATGTTCTATCCTTCTCTGGTCCTCTCGATTCTTGCCGCCATTGTTGCTTCTCAAGCGCTCATCACCAGCACTTTCCAACTCCTCATACAACTTATGCACTCTTCCTACTTCCCTCAGATCAAGGCCGTATACACTAGTACCGCCTTCCATGGACAAGTTTATATCCCCCTTGCGAATTGGCTCATGATGATTGGTACTGTCATCGTCACTGCTGTGTATAGCAACGTAAGCATATCGTTTATCGACACAAAGGTCATAAACAGCTAACACGCTTCTAGANCTACCAAGCTTGGCCATGCCTATGGTGTCTGCGTCATCCTCGTCACGTTCATTACCACAAACCTGGTGACTCTCGTAGCCTTGATCGTCTGGAAGAAGAACNCCTTCCTCGTCTTTGCTGTGTGGTTGCCTCTGGTCACCTTAGATGGTCTCTACCTCTCCTCGGCTCTCACAAAAGTTCCCGATGGTGCTTGGTTTACACTTCTTCTTGCGGTCCTCCTCGCCTCCTTCTTCAGCCTCTGGCGCTACGGCAAAGAAAAGCAATGGACCACCGAAGCCAAGAATCAGGCCCAGCTCTCCGAACTGGTAGCCTACTCCGCAAACAATCTTTCTTCCTCCACCGCGACCCCTGACCCATCTGCCAAAAAGACATTCCACCTCTCCTGGCGACACGGAGGCGGCGACTTGACAGAAACAAAAGGCATGGGTATCTTCTTTGACAAGTCCGGCACCGATATCCACGTCCCCCAGGTCTACGAACACTTTATCACAAAGTTTGAAGCCCAGATGCAGGTTGTGGTGTTTTTGCACCTGCGCGCGTTGTCGGAACCTCATGTCCACGAAGAAGATCGCTATACCATTGCACGCACACCTCTGCCAAATGTCTATCGCATGACCATTCGCTACGGCTATGTCGACAGAGTGGTAACCCCCGATCTAGGCAAACTCGTCTACGAGCAAGTGCGCATGGCCATCGTACGTGGCACAGTAATCAACAGACCCAAACCCACAGTACCCGAAACCGTTATCCAGAGTGCACGCAACACTATCCACGACGACGGAGATATGGATCCCCATGCCACTTCCACCATCACCACTTTCGCCCCTGAAGTTGAAGTTAGTGATGAGAATCATACTTCTGGGGCTACTGCATTGGTTACCTCTCGTCGTTTGCGTGCCTTGGATGATGCGTTTAAGACGCAAACGCTGTATTTGGTTGGCAAGCAGCAGTTGAGGGTATATGAAGACACAACCATGGTGAAGAAGGCACTACTTGCGGCCTTCCTTTTCGTCAGGGAGAACACTAGAGCCAAGGTTGCACAGCTCGATGTGCCGGTTGAGAAATTGGTGGAGGTCGGGTTTGTTGGCGAGATGTGAGGTCGTTGAGTATGGTTTCACGAAGTCATGATGTGAATTGAACGTACATAGAGACTTTATATCGCATTAGCTTGGTCTAGCAATGTCTTGTGCTTGCTGTGGGTTTGAGAGTACTACCATGGTTCTGGAGGAAGGTACAATCGAGGATGTTTTCAGCCAGGGTCGCTCCTTCGGCATGAATGCTCGAGGAGTCAACGACGTTATCAGGTCCACCTTCTGTTATTTTGTTCATTCAGTATGTCTGGTATGTATTTTGAGTTATACTGAGTGTAATGTCGATATATGAGACTGCTGTATGATCAGATACCTCCATGAAACGATATTTTCTGTTTTCACATCCTGTTCTTCGGGACATGACTAAATAACAACTACTATCATAGCACCCCTCACTGCTCAGTTGATCTCTAACCGTATTATTGTACCGAATGTGACAGCTCACAATGGCTGACTATGTAGACCTGACTTGACCAGTCAGTTTGACAATCGGTGAAGTGCCAAAATCTGAACGTGCAGATGCCGAGCTCAAACACAACACATTCACGACGGGAAAAATGACAGAGACGTGTAGAATGTATAGTAGTATGACTAGCGTTCTTCGTTCCATACTATATGCGCAAAAGTCTCAAGCTGAAAAGTTGCGCGCGCTATGTTACAAGGATGCATGACCCAGATGTGCAAGCCACTCCTTAGAGGTTGTCGTACTTCTCCATGCCAGGGATGACAGGCTCTTCGAAGTCAGGCATGGGAGTATGAGTAGCCATAGTGTCCATGTCCATCTCATCCTCACCGAAGCCCATACCAGCATCACCAAGACCACCCGAAGTAGTGTAGTTGACCTCACCACCGTTTTCGTTGAGGAAGTCGTTGATGTCAATGGTAGGCTGAGCAGTGGAGCCAGTGTGACCCACGTTCTGGTTGATGAAGGGATCATTGCCGGTATGGGCTGGTGCGTAGCCACCGGCGAAGGGACCAAAGGGATCGCTGTGGTAGGTTCCAGTGGAGGCATGGAACAAACCGGCGGTGGTAGCGCTGTGATCAGCAGGAGCGATGAAGGGGTCGTTCATGTTGACACCGACAGGGGCTTCGTGAGAGACAGCCATACCGGTCTTCTGGTGGACATCGATGTTGTTAGGAATGTCGACGGCGGTCGACTCAGGGAACTTGATCTCGTCAAGGGCGGCGCTGGCAGCAGCGTCGGCGGCGGCATCGATGGACATGGTGTTCTCCATATCCATCTTCACATCAGCCGAAGCAGATCCGTTCTTGACACCACCATTGGTCATTGCACCAGCATGCTAAGATGGTGCATTAGTATAGAACAGGAAGGTATATCAGCATTGCATTTACCTCGCCGTTGGTNNAGCCTCAAGCTTGACCTCACTTTTCTCAGTACCGTAGTTGCCATGTGTCATGCCGAACTGAAGACAATGCTTCTCCAAGGCAGTCTTCTTTTCAGCGATACTCTCCTCCTTCTCCTCGATTTGCTTGATGTTAGCCTCAGTGAGATTCTTCTTCAGCACAAGAATCTCTCCCTGGAGCATCTGCATCTGTTGCCAAGATGATTAGCAAGTGTCTTCGTAGGGAGCCATCTCGTTTGATGAAGGTTGCGTCGACGCAAGATCCCTCAGCATGCCAGCGACGGCCAAGGAGACACGAGCAGTATGTGGCGGTCGGGTACCCGGAGCGCACGACGCAGAGCTAGTGGATGGGATTGAGGATCTTACTTCAATGTCATGAGTCCAAGCTGTGACATCGTGAGGCTTGATATTCTGGATGGTGGAACCACTAGAAGACATGGTCAAAGCAGCGGAGTAGTTTGCTTGACGAAATTTGGTTGTGTGTCAGGAAGAAGAGATGGATGGTCAACGATTGGAAATCAAGGGTTGGGCTTTTCGCGATGTGAATGCGAATCTATCTCGAGTCCGGAACATTCTATTTGGCTGGATTCCACCTCTTCGTTCACTAACAGAATAGGGTGCCAGCCAGGAAGCCAACACCAGTGAGACATTCACATAGAGTCACGTCGTGTCTGACACATACGAAAGGTCGCTGTTCAAGCCAGTGTCCCCTACAGGACTTTGAAATGATTTTGGCAAGATCTCGAAGGTATCGAAGTGCAGAGCAGAAGTGCAGAGCACTACTGCAATGGGGACCGCAAGCAGGCTGACCAAAGCAGCTTGGCTTCCATGTTACAGAGCCAGCTCGTTGACAAAGTGACTCTTGCTACTCGCTTTGTACCGGAGTGGTGTTCTTAGATGCTTCATATCGGTCATGGTTAGTGTTTGGTTGTAGAGAGAATGAATGTCGGTTATGGGGTTCGAAACGTAGTTGAGGACGGCAGGAGCTAGAAGATGGCGTCACAAAGACACAGAGCCTTGAGCCTTTATAGTGTATAGATTAGGTGGTACTTGTACTGAGTACTGTTCCAGCAGTCAAGAACAAACTGATCTCGGATTGATGTCGAATACCTACGCGAGATATACAGACCGGAAGCGATGCTCCAGTCGCGCATGAATTCGCTTGTGATAGTTTTAGATGTCATTGTGGATGAGATGTCACCGTGAGCCGCGAAAAGGCGCGAAATCCCTCAACTATGGGGATGGTCAGGCCGCTTTTTGGTACGAGCTTCATCTTTCCCGGTTTTGGTTTGTGCGCCAGCACGTGATATCGGGTGGCTTGTCCAATGCGACGTCATTTAGGGGCAATTTCGTTTTCGAGACAGTCTTCAAACTCACCGCTTTGGAGGATGATAATGTTGTGAACATTCTCTTTCCACAGAATCTTACAACAGGAACTTGTCAACATGTCAGAAGAACAGGATGTTCAAGAGGAGCAGCAGGCTCAAGTGGTCTCCGAGCACCTCCCTTCAGGCTACACTGCCGAATTCACTGGCAACAACGGCTCTGGAGTTGAAGACTCTCTCAATCTGCAGGGAGGAGATATACACAGAGACATCTTCAAGCTCAACGCCCAACCTCGCCAGACCTTGCACCAAAGAGCAGCGACGTTCTCTGCTCCTCGTGCTCGCAGAGAAAGCTGGGATGACGAATTGACAGCATCTCAGGCGCGAGCTCCCGGTGCCTTCCGCCGTCAGTATCTGCAGAGAAACAACACCTTCAACACTGCCACTATGCCTGTTACCAGAAACTTCGTCGAGTTTTTAAACCTTTACGGGAGCTTTGCCGGTGAAGATCTCAACGAGTCTGATGACGAGGCCATCGAAGATGAAGACGAAGAGGATCAAGCACCTGCAACCGAGAGCAGACCACTTCTCGGCCGTCGCAAGTCATCGCGAGCAGCTCCCAAGGGTGATGCTGGTATGGTCAAATCCTTCTTCACACTCCTCAAGGCCTTCATCGGTACCGGCATCATGTTCCTCCCAAAAGCGTTCAGCAACGGCGGCATCCTGTTCTCTTCCTTGACCATGGTCTCTATCTCGGTCGTTTCGATGCTTGCTTTCCACCTTTTGCTTAAGTGCCGCAACCAGTATGGTGGTGGTTATGGTGATCTTGGTAAAGCTATCGCTGGAGATAAGATGAGATCCCTCATTCTTGCCTCGGTCACTATCTCGCAAATTGGCTTCGTCTGTGCAGGTGTCGTCTTTGTGGCTGAGAATCTTCATTCGTTTCTCGAGGCTGTTGTCAAAGGTAGCATGCCTGTGTCAGTCCGAGCCTTGATCGCGATACAGCTGGTCGTCCTGGTCCCCCTCTCCTTCATCCGTAACATCTCCAAGCTCGGTCCCGTCGCTTTGTTGGCTGATGTATTTATCCTTATCGGGCTCGGCTACATCTACTACTTTGATATCGCCACCCTCGCCACAGATGGCATCGCCCCGACAGTCAAACTTTTCAACCCCAATTCGTTTACCTTGACCATTGGATCGGCCATCTTCACCTTTGAAGGCATTGGACTTATCCTCCCCATCCAATCTTCCATGAAGAAGCCCCAGAACTTTGAATGGCTCTTGGCTGTGATTATGCTTCTCATCACTGTAATCTTCACGTCGGTCGGTGCCTTGTGCTATGCCACCTTCGGAGACGACACGCAGATTGAGATTATCACGAACTTCCCTCAGGACAGCAAGTTTGTCAACGCTGTTCAATTCTTGTACTCTATGGCTGTTCTCTTCGGCAACCCAGTCCAGTTGTTCCCTGCCATGCGTATCATGGAAGGAAAGCTGTTCGGTCATCTGTCTGGCAAGAAGGACATGCTTACCAAGTGGAAGAAGAATGCTTTCCGAACTTTTTTGACAGGAGTCTGCATCGTTATCGCCATTGCAGGTGCTGGCAACCTGGACAGATTTGTTGCTTTGATTGGATCCTTTGCCTGCGTACCGTTGGTATACGTGTACNCCCCTCTGCTGCATTACAAGGGTTGTGCCGAGTCACGTCTCGCAAAGGCTGGCGACATCATCTTCATGGTGCTTGGTATCGCCATGATGATTTACACAACTGGTGTCACACTGGTGAACAGTTTCTAGGCCTCTGCAATAAGAAAGCGATGTTGGATCAGAAGCTGCGGCTGAAATTGTATGATATGTTTGGAACGATAATGAAGGATGATACTCACACCAGCCTGTAAAGAGAAAAAGTAGCCCATCGTTTTAGGGCATTACAAAACTAGTCAGTCTTCTAAATTTGACAGAGTTACGAATACGTTAATATTGTTATAGCCTCAAATCTTCACATGTGCAAAGGACCGGAAGTTGATGTCGAGTTGTTGCGTAGTGATATTTATGTCCAAGACTTTAGCCGCTCATATATAGCGGGGTCAGATGCTGACTGCATAATATAGATTATGGATTCGCGAGATAGCCACCAAGGAACGCATCCCGCGGAAATCTCGAAACGTGGCACCTAAAAAGTCGACGTTCTTATAAACAAGTGCTTCACTTTTTCTGACCATACTCTGCCCTGATACGATGCTCATGCTGGGTGTTAGTTACTGGTCAGCTGTATCAGTCTCGATCCTCGGAGCTGGACTCTGGCTCTTGTGCTATAGGGCCTTCTTCCACCCCCTCGCTCGGTTCCCAGGTCCTCCACTTGCTTCAATTACAGGTCTCTGGCGGTTCTGGCATTATGCTATCGGAGACTGGTCCGAGATAATTCTCGACCTGCATCAGAAATATGGCAGGATCGTTCGACTGGCACCAAATGAACTATCAGTCGTGGACGAGTCGGCCATGAAAGCTCTCTATGGTCATAACACAGCTGCTATCAAAAGTAAATGGTACTCCGCTTTCCAGAGTCCTGAAGGAGCACCAAATCAATTAGCCACCCAAGATCCCAAAGTTCATGCTGGGATTCGGCGCAGATTTGCTCCTGCCTTTAAGATGACTGTTCTGTTGCGACAGGAAAGCGCTATGCAAACCTGTTTGGACAAACTCTGGCAATCACTCGAGAAGCCTGCTCTCGAAGGCACAGTCATCGATATGTGCAGTTATACAGAAACCGTAACTTGGGACATAATAGGCCAGCTTTGCTATGGAGAGCCCCTTGGCTCAATCGCTGGTGCTGAGGGCATGGATCTTCAAGGTATTCTGAACAAGTTACTGACGGCATCCACAATCTTTGGCCATGTCTGGGGTCAGCTTGCTTGGCTCGATAATCCGGTAACACGTCTTCTCGGCGTCAAGAACCCTGTCCAAGAGTCATTTGAGTGGTCATCTATGAAGGTTCGACAGCATGTGGAGGCTGATCGAAGTGACGTCGAACCTGATATGGTTGACTACTTTCTCAGCTACAAGGACGCTCAAGGAAAGCCGACAACACATCTCGAAGTTGTAGAGGGTGCTTTCGCAGTCACGTAAGTTTATTGAGATGCGCCGTGTCGTTCTTGACGACGTCTACTTACTATGAGCTTGTAGCNNGGTGCTGGAGCCGACACTGTGGCCATTGCAATGCGTTCGGCTTTGTATCATCTGAGCGCCAACCCGGCAGTACTTCAAAAGCTGAGAGAGGAGATTGATAATGTCGATTCCGACGAGTCGCTCTCTTACAAACAGACACAAAAGCTTCCTTACTTGAAAGCCGTTGTAAGGGAGAGTCTAAGGATGTATCCCTCGGTACCAGCCCAGCTGTATCGAGTGGTCCGTGATGGCGGTTTGTCGGTCGATGGCCAATTCATTCCTTCTGGAACGGTGGTTGGTATCAGCAGTCTGGCACAAAACAGGGATACCGCGATATTTGGTCAAGATGCCGATGTTTTCAATCCAGACCGATGGCTAGGAGACGAATCTCAAGCGCGATATCTGGAAATTGCGCTTTTCAACTTTGGTGGCACAGGCCCACGCTCCTGCCCAGGTCGAGACCTTGCAACGGTAAGTCAATCCTACGTACTTCGTCACTCAATCTAACGTCCACAGATTGAGCTGTACAAGTTCGTTGCCCAGATGGTCAAGAGGTTCGAATTTGAGCTGGTAGATAAGTTACATCCATTCTCGGTGAAGACTTACTTCTTCGCCATGCAGAGCGACATGCGGATGAGAGTTTCCCGCCGAGAGCAGCATGTCACGTTTCGTGGAGAGTCTGCCGAGACTTTGTTATGATCGTGCTCTCATAGCGAACAGGATGGATGGTAGTCATATGTTCTGTCTTGATCCTTGACGTCTTTGGGAATTGATAGCGAACCTACTGAATTGCCAAGAGTGGGGGCGGGGTCAAAGCAGTGACGACCCCAATAGCCGAAAGTGGCCGGTCCTACCCCATCGGCCACCACTTGGCCGCTTATCGATGTAACATCCTCATCAAAATGTCCCTCACGATGTGTGCTCCTCTCATTGTTTATTCGATTTCCAGCTCACACCAACATGTCTATAGTGTCGCTTGCAGAGGGTAGCTTGTAAGGTTTCCAACACAATAATAAATGAGCTGAAGTAGCAAATCTAACTTGTCAGGNNCCTACGGTCACCAAGGAGGAGTTGCATGCTGCTGCAAAAGGAAGAGGCTTCTCCATCCCGGTCGGCAGTCAAGATGAGACGGACTTTCTCCTACTGCAAAACAGCTTTGACGCTGTGGCTTCAACTGTAGCAGCTCTTCCCGAGTATATCGATCCAAGACTCGAGCCAACACCAGTAGAAGGTGGGGAGCGGAAATGGAACAAACCAACCACTGAAGAGAATCCTCTTAACGCTTGGTCGCACAAGGTGAGTTAATCTATCTCGTTTCGAGCTTGGACAGAATTCCTGACAGGATTGTTAGNNACAGAACTCAAGGCATCATCACCGACAAGCACAGCACTTGCTGGAAAGACTCTTGCCATGAAGGATAACGTTAGTGTCGCTGGAGCACCCCTACGCTTGGGTACTGCTCCCGAGTTGTTCAAGGGTGGAAAACATGCTATCAGTGAAATCGACGCAACAGTGGTAAAACGAATCCTCGAAGCCTCTGGCACAATCTCTGGAACGGCAGTATGCGAGAACTTCAGTCTGTTTCCTACCTCTGTTTCAGCAGACAGTGGCCCAGTCCATAACGCTTGGGCTCAAGGCTATATGACTGGAGGCAGTAGCTCGGGCTGTGCTTCATTGGTTTCGACCAAAGACGTCAGAGGCTGGAACGAGAAGAACGGCTTGATCTTCAAGACAGACGCACTCGAGGAAGAGGGTGTGGATATGGCGATTGGTGGAGACCAGGGAGGTTCCATTCGTGCACCAGCATCCTTTGGCGGATTTTATGGGCTCAAGCCTACAACAGGACTGGTTCCCTACACAGGCATAGTCTCCATTTTGCCAATGATCGACTCGACAGGACCCATGGCAAGATCTATTGAGGATATTGCACTGTTGCTTGGCGTCATTGCAGGCTATGATGGCATCGACCCTCGTCAGACACCAGAAACGCCTCTTCGTCAAGCCGTACCCGATTACACCGGGCTCNTCGCCGAGTGGCAGGCAGCCAAAAAGAAAGCCGGCGAATGGACCGCATCAGCAGCGGCGAAGGGGCTCCGGATCGGCATCCTCAAAGAAGCATGGGAGATCGCCGGCCTGAACACCGACGTGGCCGCGATCGTCAGGGCTGCAGCGGAGAGATTTGGTAAGCTCGGGGCGGAGGTCCACGAGGTGTCGGTGCCACTGCATCTGCTAGGTCCGTCGATTTGGACCGTTGCAGGTCGCGAGGCGATTCCGCGATTCTTCGAGAACAGGGCTTCTGACCTGCTCTCTCACCCCTTGCCAGGGCTCGAGCCGAACCCCACTGATCAGGTGTTCTACGACAAGTTGGTCTACAAGAATCCGGCTGTCATCAATGTTGTGCTCAACGCCGAGCACATGGAAACTAAATATGGACCTTCGCTTACACGCAAGGCTCACATGCTCGTCCATCAACTACGTGCAGAGTATGACAAGGTGTTTGAGAAGGTCGATATTCTGATCACGCCGACAACGCCTACTGTGGCAAACAAGCACTGCAACTACACTAGTGTCATGGAGATTGCACAAAAGGCCGTGGGTGTGACGCTAAACACTTCACCCTTCAACTGTTCTGGGCACCCTGCTATGTCAATCCCATGTGGTTGGTCGCAGACCAGCGATGGCGAAGGCAAGCTTCCGGTCGGTATGCAGCTCGTAGGCAAGAGATGGCATGAGATGGACATACTGAAGGCCGCAACTGCTTGGGAGATCTTGGGCAAAGGACTGGATTCTTGAATGAGTATAGTCCAGAGGAAGAGAGGTGAAATGGAATTATAACGTGAATTCATGATATATAACGCCCGGGTACTAGTTGCAGTGATGATAGCCATCTTTCAGTCCCCATGCTTCGCTTCAATAAAACAGACCCTCATTAACATATTTAGTTGACGCATGTACGCCCTTTCGTGCCAGTTTGCAGCGTGACCGATAAGCCGTCTAATCCCAGTCACCAGCACCAAGCTCGACAGGTCTGCCGTTTCTCATGGCGTCCATGATCTCGTCGATGTTCCATGGCTCGTAGCGGTAGCCAGGAGGGTAGTTGGGCGGGACACGCTCATCGTCCTCGTGTCTGATGCCCTTCTTCATACCGTCGACAATGTTGTCGTAGTTTGAGTGGATGTAGTGCTCGGGGTCGTGGCTCCAAACCCACTTGGGAAGCTTGGGGGCAGCCATGCGGGGNTTGAGCTTTACCTTCTCCCAGTCGGTGTCCTGAAGGAGCTCTGCGTTACTGAAGCCGAGCTTCTGTGCGCAAGAGTTACGGATGAAACTAGGATTATGTTAGACAGATACTTGGGATCTAAATGCTTGTGTGACTTACCGAACTCTGACGTGGGCACGAACGGCCTCGTCAATGTGGTCCTTGCCGCCAAGTTGCAAGCAAGAAGCAATGGTGACAGCATCCTCAATGGCTTGAGTAGCACCGTTACCAGAGGCAGGCAAGAAAGAGTGAGCGGCATCACCAATCTGGACGACACGAGCGCCGGGTGACAACCAGGTAGGCTGAGGGTTTCTCCACAGAAGCTCGAAGTTGATGATGGTGTTGTCTGGTGTGCACTTCACAAGTCTCTTGAAGATGGGCGCCCACTTGTTGGGTCCGGGGACCTTGTCCATGCCCACCAAAACTTCCTCGTGATCGATAGTGTTGCTCCAAGACTCGGCTTCGCTACCGGTGGCGTCGTGGTTCATGATCCAGATCATGGTGTCAGGGCGGGTGAGGGTCAAGGCGTAAGTGCCGGGACCGAGCCAGGTACGAACGATGGGGTTCTCGCCGTTGACGAGGGAGAAGAACTCCTTGACCTCAGGGTCCTTGTCGAGGTGCTCAATAGGGAAAGCGGCTCTCCACATGGCTCTGCCTGAGGAGACTGCTCTGACCTGACCACCGACAAGCTTCTGAGACTTGGAACCAACACCGTCGGCGGCAATGACAATATCGGCTTCGTATTTCTGGCCGTCATCACAGACGACACCAGCCTTGCCGTTCTCGATATCCTCGTAGTAGTCGACGACACGGCGACTGAATTCGACCTTGACGCCAAGAGACTCGACCTGGTTGACGAACATCTTGTAGACAAGAGGACGCATTTGGAAGGTACCGGGAGGAGTGCCAGGGTCGAGGCCCTGAGCCTTCAGACGGTCGGCGACTCTGAGGGGCTTGATCATTTGCTGACCAGAGTGCTGGAAGGTCTCGATCCAGGCATCGTGGAGACCAATCGAGTCGTATTCTTTCTTCATCTCAGGCCAGTGGTTGAAGAAGCGGGTAGCGCTGAGACCCATGAAGTACATGTCTCCAGCGGTGTTGATTGTTGCATTGCGCTCAAGGACCTTGACATTGTGGCCCTTGCGAATACATTCGAGGGCAGCAGTCAAACCTGCAAGACCAGTACCGACGACGAGAACGTCGATGCCAGACTTGGGGTAAGAACCCAGAGGTTTAGTTTCCATCTTGGTCGTCATGTTGATGACAGTTCGGAGAATTGATCTTAGTGGAACGAGAGCAGATGCATCTTTTCAACGGGATATGACCATGTTTTTGTGTAGTTCTTGCTCGCACTCAGAAATCTCCGAGACCCCAACACAGGTACGAGAGGGTCGCAGGTCGGTGGTTTGGCCATGCCGGAGCAGCGTGACAATGGTTTCGGGTCTCCAAAAGAGTCCGACGGAAGAGCTTCATGACGAGCATGATAGACGTGATCAACGCTCACACATGCCTGGCTAGTGCCGCTGCTGCCCATGACGGCGACACTCGACTTTGCGACCGGGGAACCAAGCCACACAAACGACCACCTTGTCACTCCAGACGCCTCTCAATGCTCTAAGCATCTCCCCGGCCAACAAGTTTTCTGGGCGTCGAAACAACCCCTTGCTTGACAAGCCCTGATGCTTTGTCTGTGCGTCGGCGCGGGCCGAGGACACGACGACGTCCTGTGCAGGAGCACTGCTCATCGCTGCTCCCTCTTCACATCCCACGCAATCCTAGCAACTCCGAAAGTCGTCCCGCCAGTCACACGTTCCTGATCGTCCAAACTCTTGCACTTGCACTTGCTCAAGCTCTCAGATTCGGTCTCGGACTCGAGTGTCGAGCGGGACTATCATACCACAGTGTTTCCATTCCGGACCCGGTATCTCGACCGCTGTTACACTGCTTCGCCCACGAGAACGCCGTGCGAGGCAGCTATTGTTGTTTCTGTGCTGTACTACCCACATATCTCGCCCCCACACTTCCCATGGGACATGATGTTTCGATCTCGGTGTACCCACGACTGGCCCTGCCTGGCCCTAGACAACCGAGCAGATTGAGTTGTGCCGCACCTCAGTAGTGACTTGTTCGCTGCGGGTGTGGCCTCCATAGCGTCGGTATCCCAGCTAAGCTTCACCTTGAGATTAGTCTCCTTGGCTAGTCGCCAGCCTTGCAATTTATTTCCAAGGAAGGCCTGGCTGTCGACTTTGGTATGTGTCAACGGAACTGCTCTTTTACCCATGCAACGCATCATGCAGTAAGGCAGATCTTTCCGTCTTTCTCGCCCAATTGCCTTTCGTGTTTATCGTTGTTGCATGTGAGCATCTCATCAGCATGTTGCGAAGGACTTTCAGAATCTGACCAACATGTTGGTAAGAGAGGACGTCCTTTTTCAACCTCTTTGTTCTTCTCCGATTCCTACACGGTTATGCTTGTCTCTGTCGGCAACGAGGTCGATACTTGCTGTGACTCATGGAACCAGCCTTGCGGTTCTGTGTTGGGCGTGCGCTCGCTTTCGTGCGAGCAGATCTCATGAATCATCGTGCAGCGACGATTTTTGGGCTTGCATGCCCACACCCAAAACCCCTGTTGGAACCTTTCCGAACTGTCTCATCGCAGATCGACCCATCATTACCCACATGAGTTTAGACTCGAGCATATTGTCATGCTCACGCTTCACGGCACGTTTGAGTCTCGATCGTCTGCTCTGCTTGAGTTAACATCTCTGTCCTCCCGCTCTCTGGACTCCTTCTCGTTCCTTTCTCTCTGTAAGTCACAATGCAGCCCCTCACATTAGCCGCTGTCAGTATTGCCCTTGTGGCCTTCGTGGCCATCTCCATCCTCAACAATGCACGGCGTCCCAAGAAGGCAGAGGCAGAGCACCAATTGCCTGGGCCGAAGTTGTTCCCGATCATTGGACGCATCCACGACATGCCCATTCAGAAGATGTGGATCAAGTTCAAGGAGTTCGCAGATATCCATGGTCCCATCTACTACACCGAGATGCTTGGCACGAAATTCATCATCGTCTCTGATGAGAAGATTGCCGAAGAACTTCTTGTCAAGAAAGCCAAATACAACTCCGACAGACCTGCCGTCCCTTCGCTCTTCGACTCTAAGAGTACTCATGGCTCCATGGAATACCTTCCCTTGATGGGCAAGAACCGTAAGCCATATCTTTTCTTCCATCTTTCTTCTTGGACTAACATGTTACAGNAATACTGGGCCAGACAACGTCGCTTCACACATGGCTACCTGACCCAAGCCACCAACGCTGGCTACTATGGTGTTATGCAACATGAAGTCAAGCGATGGATGTTCCGTCTACTTGAGAACCCTGACGCCTTCAACTACACCCTCGAAGACATGGCTTCCAAGATCATGTGCACGCTCAACTGGGATGATCCAAGCTTGAGTGAATATTGTATCGGTAGTGCCTGGGGTCTGCTTACTCAGATGTCCCCTGCTGGCCCAATCACCAACATCATCACACCTCTGTGGCAACTCCCCGAAGTCATCAACCCTTGGAAGAAGGCCGAACACAAGCGTCATGACGAACAGCAGCGCTGGTGGATGGAAAACCTTGTCCGCGTCAAGACTCAAATGAAGCAAGGTACCGCTCGCTGGAGTTTCACCAAGCAGTTCCTCGAAACCGAAAAGACCAACAATCTATCTGGTGACTACGAGGCATCTTCTGTTCTCGGTATGCTCGCACTGGTTGGCATCTTTACTGTTGCTGGTCCTCTCAACTACTTCCTTGTCGCCATGGTTCACCACCCTGAATGGCTCAAGAAGGTGCAAAAGGAAATCGACGAACAACTCAAAGGACGTATGCCCAGCATCGAGGACTTCCCAAAGCTTCCCACACTCCGCGCATGCATCAAGGAATCTATGCGTTGGCGCCCTAACGTTCCCACTGGTGTCGCACACGAAGCCGAGCAGGACGACTACTACCGTGGTTACTTCATCCCCAAGGGTGTTCGCATCCTGCCTCTCGACTAGTAAGTTTTATCAGTGCTCTCATTGGCTTTTCACATATTGACGTCTGTCTCTAGTGCATTCCTCCTGAACCCAGTCAAGTACCCCGATCCAGAGAGCTACCGCCCAGAACGCTGGCTTGAGGCCGGATGGCCAACCTTCCAAGAGCCGCTGACACAGCACCCCAACATCAAGGGCATGACATCTTTCGGCTTTGGACAAAGACAGTGTCTCGGCATGTCATTGACGCAGGACGAGCTCATTGTGGCTTGTGGTGCGCTAGCGTGGGCGTACAATCTCAAGCGCAAGGTCGACCCTGCCACCGGCCGAGAGATCGAGGTGCCCACCGACAAGTGCAACTCTCTGCTTATCGTCAAGCCGGACCCCTTCGAAATGGCCTTTGAGCCTCGCAGCGAGGCCCGCAAGGCAGACGTCATCCGCGAGTGGAAGATGTCCGAAGCTAAGGATCTCGAGGAGCGGGCTGCGTATGCTAAGGCCGCCGCGCTTGGACAGACGCAAAAGTTTGACGACATTGTTGTCTAGATCAACATGCACAATGTCCGACGGACTATGCCCTTACCCGGAGGAAGTGATTGATGTTTGGTGTCCGCGATGCGCAGGCGGTCGTGTTTGCCATTCAATGGCTCAAGGCGGCACAGTAATGATTTTTGTTGTTTGCTTTGCACCTTTCTTGTCCTCTCTGCTTCTCGATATGTTTCAGACTATTACCCCCTTTCTTGTATGTGTCTCTTGTTCACTACAGCAGTTTTTTTGTTTTCTGTTATCTTGATTACACGAGCAAAGATCTTTTCTTCCTTTTGTTTTCACAGATCAACTTTAGATATCAACGTATTTGCTCATTCACACCCTTCTTCCTTTCCTCTCATCCTTGGGTATGCATACACGTACAAGGTGTACCAGATAATGGCCGTACGGCCGCAAACCAGCCGGATGTCCGTTTGCAATACGGCCACTGCAGGCAACCGCCTTTGGTGGACGATTTGAGCAGAGGTTTGAGGGTTATCAGGGATCTGCCCCTGTCAATCTCAAGCCAGCTTTGCGAGACGATGTTGTGTCCGCGCGGGCGGGAAGTGTTGAAAGCAAGTCTTGACGACATGGCGAGGGTTTCTCTGGGGTACCGGATGCACATGCAATATCAAGTAGGGCAAAGATCGACGCGTCACTGGAGGGGTTTCTCTATCTTTCGGTGTTTGGAGTGAGGAGAGCCGATGCATGCAGCTGCATGGATATCTACAAAGCTTCGGCATGGTTGGTTGAATTTCGCAATGTTATCTTTGGATGGTGTTGGCAAGGTCATGCCGGTTGTTTTCAACAAAGTCAGAGTGGAAAATGGTTTCATTTGTTGGTCTAATGGGAATAATTCCACGATGCAAAAAGAATCGATTTGTTGTTTTCTATGGGAGTGGTTGGTGGTGCCCTGTGGGCGTTCATAGTGTATTGATCGTAGGGATCGGCATCTTCATGGTTCATGCAAGCATGGGAGTTTTGGCGAGCAAGATCGATGGGCCGGCCAGCTTCGAGACTCGGCTTGGCTTTGAGGGGAGAGGTACGTGGGTGTCAACAAATGTAGTGCATGTCTCTACGACAACGACTTTTTCAGCTCTTGTTATCTTCCGCCACGCGATATATATATGCAAGCATGACAGAAGCTATGGAAGCCTCAGCAACATGCAAGGAGATTGTGCAATGCTCGCTTGGAACGAGTTGTATCACGAAGACGGCACAGCCATGTAGACAAGACAAGTTGTATTGTAGACATTCGGGGCATTACATGTAGCGTAAGCATTGGCATGCAGACGCGAGTTTCCTCATCTCAGACGAAGCAGGTCTTTTCTTCCGGTCAAGAAGAGCACGGCGGCGCCGGCCAAGGCAACCGGAACAGTGGTCGATACCACCCAGCCGACTGTGGAGAGAAGGCCGCCGCCGTGAGAGTCGAAGTTCTTGGGCTTGACCTTGTTGCGCATCTCCATGGCTTTTGCGCTGTCGACAAACTCTCTGATCTGGGTGATCTTGGAGCCGTCAGGAGTGAAGCGCAGCAGCATTATGCACTCGTTCTTCCATGGGCCCATGCCGGGCTTGTTCAGTTGGCCGTCCATCATGGCGTGGATGACGACGGCATTGTTGTCTTCGTCTTCGTAGATGTTCTGCGGGACCATGGCGAAGGTGGTGAAGATGGAGGTGATGCCCTGGGCGTGGCCTCGGAACTCTTCCTTGGAGCGAGGAGGCATGCCCAGCGAGGCGGGCAGGGCCTGGTGTGTGCAGCTGTCATCGAGGTGGTCGAGGATGGCATCTGGCGAGAGGGAGCCGTAGGCATCGAGCAGCGAGTAGGCTGTGTTGAGCCGCGTTGATCTGGTTTCCGAGGCCATTGTGTCTTTGTGATGACTTGAGGGTTCCTGTATGAGAGAAACGTCTTGTCAAGGGAGGTCAGTGATGTGGTGAGAGCAGCAGCAGCACAGCATGGTTTCTACAAGGTCAGTGTTTCGCACGTCTATGATCAGCGCTTAATTCTCCGAAGCGCTGCATCTTGCACTACCGTGGCCGTGTAGCACAGGTGGTCAACAGATGGTGAATGGGGATCCGGTGATCGCCCAGCAGACTTCGCGACAAATCGAGCGCCGAAGCGTCGGACCACGACACGACGCGCCCGCTCGGAGTCTGCAATCCACCACCCAACCCTCGACAAGTCCGTCAATGAGGTGCAATGCTCATGACGGACTTGCTGCACTTACAGTAACATGTGACAAGCCTGCTGCAGCCATGTCCTTCGTCGGCTCTGCTGCTCCTGCCTCTGTCTCTTTCTCTGCATTTGCGCCTCTTGCTCCCTGACTATACTCTTTATTCACAGAAACCCATCATGTCTCGCGTCCTTCTCATCACCGGCGCTACCGGCAAGCAGGGTGGCTCAGTTATTGACGCCCTCCTTGCACTGCCCAATGCAAACGACTTTACCATTCTGGCCGTCACCAGAGACTCCAGCAGCGGTAGTGCAAAGAAGCTCGCCGCAAGAGCTAACAACATCAAGCTCGTTGAGGGTAACCTCGATGATGTTCCCGCCCTTTTCGAAGCCGCCAACAAGATCGCCCAGCGACCAATCTGGGGTGTCTACTCGGTGCAGATCTCGATGGGCAAGGGCGTGACTTTCGAGGGTGAAGTCAAGCAGGGCACCGACCTCATCGACGAGAGTGTCAAGAACAACGTCCAGCACTTTGTCTACAGCAGTGTCGAGCGTGGTGGTGACGAGAAGAGCTGGGACAATGCAACTCCTATTCCTCATTTCCAGACCAAGCAACTCATTGAGATCCACCTGCGCGACAAGGCCCAAGCTATGGGCTGGACCATCTTGAGACCTGTTGCTTTCATGGACAACTTGCAACCGGGCTTCCCTACCAAGGTCTTCCTGACTGCCCTGCACAACCACCTTGGCGACACCAAGCCTCTGCAATGGGTCGCTACCGCAGACATTGGCTTCTTCGCAGCACAGGCCTTTACCCACCCCGAGGAATGGAACCACAAAGCCCGCGGCTTGGCTGGCGACGAACTCACCTTCCCTCAAATCTCAAAGGCTTTCGAGAACGCAACCGGCTCCCCTGCAGGAACCACCTTCTGGGGTCTTGGTTCTGTCCTGACTTACATGGTCACCGAGCTCGGCCATATGATCGGTTGGTTTGCGTCTGATGGATACAAGGCAGACATCTCCAACCTGCGCTCCATCAACCCGCAGTTGATGGACATGGAGACATGGTTGAAGAAGAGCGCCTTCGCAACAAAATAGATTATTCACGACCCTCAGCACCATCATCTGACCACGTTTTAGTTCATCCACTGCCCAGTCTTGTTACGAGGGGACTTGTTTGTTTTCGGTCTGGTCGCAAGTCAATGGCGTTGTTTTGGGACGGTTCACCGCAACGGGCGCGGGAACAAGCAGGCAAAATACCAATCTGGCACTCTTCAACCACTCCCAATTTCCTGTCTCCTCCTGTTTCTGCTGTGGAATGCATGCCTGCGCGGTCTAGTTCTTTCGAACGGCACACTACAGAGCGCTAATGGTAGGCTAATGGTATGCTTAAAACTAAGGCTTGAATCTCCGCGCACTCCGCATTCGTGCACGGCCACTCCAACGACCCTCGACCGTAATATCTTCGCCTTGATTGGCTGGTAAGTCCAAAACATTGGTATTTGGCTTCTTGACCGTTTGCAGAAATTTCCCGCAACATGCGCCCCGTTCCTAATACGTTCATGATCTCCAAGATCGCCGTTGGGTCACGCAGGGGCACTTGTCAGGTCTTGAGGTTATTCCCATCGGCCACACAACACAACCTCACAACAATCCAACTCCTCGACGACCAGAGGTATGCGAATGGAGAGAAAGACATGTGTTCTGTGTATGCGAGAAGTAAGGAGCATCACGACCAATTGTTCCGATGGGTCAATACAGCCAGACGTTGAAGAAACGAACGGCTTCAGTGGTTCCTATGAAAGCAGAAGGTTGCTCTCCCGCGTGTCATTCCTGTTCCTATTCATGCGCCATTGACGTTGCTGTGTCTTATTTCCCCGACCAAGGGGACGAGCTCAATTTGGAATGACCACAGACAGCTCGAGGAATGAAGAACCACATAAGCTTGAGACAGCCCACCACTCTTTCTCTCTTCTTGCTCATCCACGTTCTTTTCACACTTCGACCTCACACACATCCACCACTTTCTCACCATGCGTCCCTCCACTTTCGTTGCCGGCCTTGCTGCCGTTGCTGCTCCTGCTTTTGCCCAGAACGCATCCATCTGTGACAAGTACACCACTGCTCTGCTCAAGGAGAACACTGGCGCCAACCAATTGACCCTGTTGACCCTCCTCGTCAACACTGTTGTCATTGGTAACTACACCAAGCCCAACATGAACGCCGTCCCCGGTATCCTTGCCACGGGTACCTACAACGGCACTGAGGTCAACCTCCTTCCTTACTTCAACGGCGGTCTTGCCTCATCCAACCGCGGCGGTAGCTCTGGTGTCTCCATCAACTTCCTCGACGATGGTGGTGCCGTCCCTCTCACCATGAACATGCCCGCCAACGGCACTTCATCCAACCAGTACAAGCTCATGACCCACTTGTACCAGTACTTCGGTGCTCTCCTCGGCTGCTCTGCCACTGGCTTCCCCAGCTACGCCGGCTTCGGCTCCCAGGCTTCTGTCCACAGATTCATGGACCTCTCTGCTGCAGAGGTCGGCTACTTCATCGAGCAAGTTGCCCTCGCCGCCTCTTCCTTCGGTGTCACCCAGGATGACATTGCTGTTGTCGGCAAGGCCCTCAACACCATCTTCAACGTCCGCTGCGCTCCCNCCACCACCGTCATCCCTGCCCAGGGTGCTCAGCTCCAGAGCATCTGCCAGGACGAGACCTGCCTTCTCGCCCCCATGGCCACCTGCGCCGCCTACCCTGCCACTATGAAGCCCGCCAAGAGCAACTCGACCATGGCCGGCTCTAGCTCCATGGCCAACGGCACCATGGCTGCTGGCACTGGCTCTGCCGCCAGCGCCTCCTCTTCTCTCCCCGCCTCTTACACTGGTGCCGCCGCCAAGGTCGGTGCCGGTGCTGTTGGTCTTTGGCCGCCGCCGTCCTCGCTCTGTAAGCGAGTTGTGTGAAATGGAAGATCGTGTATGATGTGCCTGACGAAGCTTTTTTATCATTTCTCGTATCTCTCTATTGTTTCGGCTTTTATTTCTTGCAAGATACCACGGAAGGGACTCCTAGTACCTTAATCATTAATCCACCATTTTGAACATTCACTTTTATCTTTTGATACTCTGCATCCAAGTGACTTTGTTCATTGCGCCTTCCTCCACATTCCGAGCCTGTTTGGAACTCCCAAGCTTCGATTGTTGCAGACGTCCGTTCGCTACAGCCGTCAAGGCGTCGCTTATCGCTTGGTTCGCGACTTCCAAACAACTGTCTCCTACTCTCATCTCGACACAGCAACTCCGACACACATCAACCTCAAAAACTATTTCACCATCGACCCAACATCAACCTGGATCTGACTGCTCGGTATTGAAGGCGTGCAGTTCAACCCTTCGCGCTTTCTTCTGGGCTCATCTCCTCACCACTCTCACTCAACTCGTCTCCAACATCGACCGAACATCCTACCACCGAGAGCGGAGTGATCAAATCAGTTGCAGCGTGCGAATCAATTTTCTCACGCTTTATCCTGGTTCCGTCTCTTCGCGCCTTCTGCTTCAACATTCATCCAGTCATCGTCCAGACAGCACCGAGCTAAGTGACATCCAGCATAGAAACGGGTTAAGCTTGTGATACAACTTCATCACGGTTCATCCTGATCCCAGCTCTTCTGTTTCAACAGGCATCTAGACACCGACTTGAAGCGGAAGATCGGCATGCTGACATACGTTCAATTCAACTTCACCACGCATCACACTTGATCAGCACTCTGATTGTAAAGATCCTTCAACATGGCTCTTGAATTACAGCATCAAGGCCCTACCAACTATAATACACTGCCACCTGAACTTCAACAAGACATCTGTGACCGCCTCGATGGTGATAATGCCTCCCTCTTCGCTGTCATTCAAGTGAGCAAAGCCTGTTATAATTGCTGCATCGGCATGCTGTGGCGAAACTTCACACAGAGAAGGTTAGGCAAAGCACTAACACCAGAACGATGTCAACACTACGCCAACATGATCCATGACTGGGAGCTCGATGATGACCCCTCCTCGGAATTGTTTGACGGGCTTGAGTTCCCGCTACTAAAGGCCATGTCATTATCTGGCGGTTCTCTTTCGATCGCGCAGCTTCGCCGTTGCCTGCAGATAGGACTGCACACGCTTCGGCACACACGATGCGCTCTCGACACAGCTATCCTGGAGATGATAGGGTGCTGCTGTACACAACTCCAAGAGCTTGAGGTATGGGCCCCAGATACACGTAACATCACACCTGATAAATTCATGACCATTCTACGGNGGTTTTCAGCTCTGCGTAGCCTTTGACTGGGCTATGTTGCGAAAAATATCATGGACAAAGTGTATGCCTGGGATGGCAGTTCAGTTGCTCAACTCGAGATACTATCCTGCACAGAACCCTGGAATTCTGAGAGTGACCTTACGCTTCGGAATAACTTCTTCAAGCACTGCACTGGCTTGTGTGAGCTATATTTGGACCGTGGGGATACGCTTTCTGCAGATGCACTCACCGTATTGTCAAAGCATCCTTCGCTTGAAGTTCTCTTCACAGATGGTTGCTTGGATAACAATGTTGGTGAGCTTCTTCAAGAGCGGCTTCTCAGCGGAAGTTCGGTCTACCACCCATTCCCCAGCATCAAGGACTTGTCGTTATGCAGCTCAGCGCCTGCAATCAAGACTCTTCTGTCCAGCGCGCCTCAAACTCTCGTTGATTTGGATCTTGACATCACCGACAACTCGGACAGTATTTGTCCAACCATCGGCCGTCTCCCAAATCTTGTGCGCCTCAATATCAAATTTGAGGAGCACCGAAAATTCTTCCGTACAGACATGGATTCAATCTCGAAACTGTCAAAATTACAGGAATGCTGTATCGACTGGGGAACTTTGTTGCCTACGCAACATGGGCCGCCTTCTTCGAGCGGTTGCCCCTGGCTGACTGATGGATACTTCAGAAGCTGGATTGCAAAGCTCCCGCAGCCTGGATCTCTATTCTTAGCGCTTGATAGTGACACAATTACGCAATCGTCCTTGCAATCCCTTGCTGACAGTTGTCCATTGTTGGTCGACTGCCACCTTATGTGGGAACATGATCTAAATACTTGGGCGATGCTTAAAGGATCACTGTTTTCCAAGCTGAAAGTTCTGTATCTTGGTAAAGTCAAGGACCAAGGTTATCAAGAAAGTCAAGCAACGCTCGATGAGGATGCTTCCAGGGATATGAAGGTGCTTCGAAGCCTGGCTCCAAATCTGACAAGCTTTCTCATACACGATCAGAGACCGGATGGTACTCCAGTTGAACAGCGTTCGCACGAGATGGCTCTGGTGGCTGCTTTTGGGCCACAAGATTGATTGTCCTCTTTCCACTGCTCTTTGGAAAACCACATCTCATGCTCTCGCATGTTTCAATCACTGTTCGCATTACCATGTCGCTCTTTCCATTCATCCGTTGTGAGGGGCACAAATGAGGACTCCTCGGTCGTAGTCATCGCTTTTACGATATTTTAGACCTTGCTTTAGCTTCTTCCTGTACCAGCCAGATAGTTATCAATCACAAATCCCAATCAGTAACACTCCCTCGTGTAGTATACCTGCGCGACTTCGTCTGTTGTATTGTTCATGTACTTCCTCGACCAACCGCGAGTAAAATGGAAATCCCTCGGCATATTCTTAACCTGTTCTTTTCCTGGATTTACAGTTCCGATATATGTTTTCATGTCCATCCAA